TACAGAAGTTCCTTCTACAATGCCTCCTTCTCTTTATAGCAGAATTAGACCAATATCATAATGAGAAATAGTTTCACTTCTAGATAAAATTAGGTTTTCCTATTTTTCTAGATATACCTAGTGTTTATTTGATTGTTGTTTTAGATAATATCTTCAGGCATTGGCACAATACACAGATATTGGTCAAAGAGTAAGGCAGTAATGAAAATATCCTAAGATATTTGACAAATTTATAAAGTGGTACCAGACCACTGACAACAAAAATACTCTGTAAAAAGCAAATAAATTCAAAACAAGCTTAAGTACTTTGTGATTCTAGTTGCTGAGGTGCTGCACAGATCAAAAGCAGGTTACTAGGTCATCTAGTATCCCTTCAAGCCTTGAAGCTTATTTCTAACTAATATTACTCAAAGAACTTAATGGACAGGCACTAACTAACTGATGATAATGGTTCATAGGCAAGTTGTCTCTGCCTAAAGTAGGACAATTAGCCTTCTTATATACTATTTCAAGCAGGAATCTCTTTCCTAGTATATATAGGCTGAGCAGAGTCATAATGAGTCAAAGAATGGTATAGAAATAAAAGAATAGGGAGGAAAGCAGAGAAACAGAAAGGAAAGCAAAATAAAGATTTATAATCTGGCAGAATGTTCCTTCAAATTCCTTTAGAACTGCTCAGAACCTTCTGCTCCTTTTACCTTGGCATAGCCCAGACTCTTCCCTTTCCTCTACATTCTTTAACTTTCCACTGAATTTTATCTCCATTCTACCAGATTCTATTGCTTTTTTTTCTATTCCTTATTGTTTTGCCATGGTTTAGCCCTTTTTATGATAGACTCAGGGCTCTAAAATTAGTTTTAAAAGCAAAATATAACCCAGGCTCCTACCCATCTGAAGGTAAGAGAAAAGCAGGTAATTGTGAATAGCACATGCCCAATAGTTCATAGTCACATGCTACAATACTTTTGAATAAGGAACTTTTGAACTTCTATCTACTAACCTCTTGCTAGTAGCTGGCATAAAACATTGGTAAATGAACACCACCTATGGTGCCAGCCACTTAAATTTATAGCCTAATACTGGTTTAACAAATATTTGTTTATTTATTTATTTATTAAGTGGAAATATAAAATGGCTTATTACATTGCATCATACTATATAGAGACAATTTCAACTAGAATACAAGGAAGCAAAGTATTTGAGATACCTTAGCTAAAGTATGGCATACCTAGAATGTCATTGGCTAAGAATATCAGAGTGCTATGAAAAAATAAAAGAATATTCCTAATTTCTTGGCTCAAATGCTAATAAGTGAGGTGATCAGCATGGAGGTAGCTTTATAGTAGTAATGATAGTAGCTCAGAAATAGTGCAGCGATATGATTTGAGAGCCTATAGAATATCATCTAAGTGTGGATGGATACCCATTTTGATCAAAGGTAAAACTAGTATGATATAATACAATGCACCATACTATACCACAATATGCTCTCAATAAATTAATTAATTAATTGTATTTTTATTAAACTAGTGTTGGGCTTCAAAGTTAGGTAGCTTGCACTATAGGTGGCATTTGTTTTACTAATGTTTTATGCCAGCTGCTAGTAAGAGGTTAGCAGATTAAAGTTTAAAATTTCCTTATTAGGAAGTATTGTAGCATGTGATTATATTTGGCATATGTCACTATAAGAAACTAAGTATAAGAGATAAAATATTTGAAATATATATATTAAAAAATTGGAATTAAATGTCCTTTCTATTCTAAGTCATTTCCCCTCTTTTTCTTCTATTCAGATCTTCTGCCTTCTCTTCTAACATCACTATTAAGTGCTTAACAATGTCTAAGTGTAATATCAATACAAGTCTAATAATGACAAAATCTCCTTGGTCCTCTCATATATGTGACACAGAATAGCTAGTGCCTGGGCAGAGAACCCCCTCAACAACACAATTAGGGCAAACCCTATCAAGGACCTTGGTACCTAAAAGGACTTCATTAATAGCTTTAGGCTTCAATTCAAGGAATCCAATAAAAAGAACAAGGCCAAGAGCACTCTCATAGCCCTCTTCTAAAAAAAGATGACTGTAGATGAGTACTCTAACCAGTTTTCCCTTATCACTACCAATGCTAACATCTTTGACAAAGAACAAGTTTCCTATTTCCAATGAAGACTAAACCTAAAGGTCATGGACAAAATCTATGATAAAAAGACCTTACCAAAGGATACAATCTAGGACTGAATCAATATAGCCTATGAAGTAGATAAACATATAGGAGCTCAAAGTGCTTAAAAAATGATACTTGCCAGCTCCACCTCCTTTAGAAGTTATTTCCTAAATCACTTTCATATCCAACCTTTACCATGCTATAACTCTACCAATGCCCCATGAAAAATAAATAACCAAGCAGTGGATATAGACATTAATTCTTTATAAAAGCAAAATGCCATTCATTAGAAGTACACATATGATGGCAAGCCTACTACCACTTGTTTTAATTATAGAAAGTTTGGACACTAGGCATTTGACTGTCTAATCCTATGTAGAGGCATTCAACTATCTTAAGGATATTAGCACAAGCCAGTGGACAGAGGAAATAGAAAAGCTCATAGTATTGACATAGAGGATAAAGACAATCAAAAATCCTAGATAAGCAACTATCTAGGATTATATCAAGGATTAGAGGAGGGAGGTTCTAATAGCAACCACCATGACATATCACAATCTGGTCATCTATTGGAACATATAGACTCTTTCTTAGAAAGAGAAGGATTCAGTCGACACAATTGAGCATACTACATACCATCTAATAGACAATGAGGCAACAGACCTGTCCATAATGTTGCTAGTGTCCAAGCAATCTTCTAGAAGCTAAAAGACATAGATAGGAAAGAGTTATTAGTGGATCTTGTATAGGATTTTACCTAGCCTCTCCTTTACTAGTGAAAAAGAGAGGCAAAGGAAAACCCAAGTATGTGCTGCTATCATGTATTTAAATTAGAATGATTAGCAATAATATCATTACCTCCATTCATCTTGATGTATAATTAACAACTGAAAGAAGAAGTACTAGAGCAAAAGCTGCCATTGACTCTATTTATAAAAGAATTTTAGTTCATGAACAATGGATATGGAAACACAACTTCTCCACCTACTATTTAAGCTATTCTATTTGTATCTGGAATATTAACAATATAATAAACAAGGGAGGCCTTATATAACAAGGCCTAGATATGAACCTTACCATCAGAGACTGATGGACAATATTAGGGAAAAGCTCTATATCAAATTAACCATAGTTAAGCGTAAATATAGCTAGATTTTTTCCAATTACCACTAAGGATTTTTAGCTTACTCCTAATTTAATCCTAAAATTATAAGGTCTAATTAGAGCTAATTAAATCTAATTCATCATATGCATTTTCGGAAAAATAGCAACTAATCCAGTCCTATAATTCCTCTACTATCACTATACCTTTAATCACAGAGTATCTATAAAGCTCACTAATCAAACTAAAGTCACATCTTGTGATAAACTTGCCCATCACAAGAGTTGAACCAACAATCTTATGTCTGCATACCCTAGACCACTGTTCTAAGCTACTAAGCCACAAGACCTAAGTTATTTACCTAGTAACCTAAACATAATGATATAAATAAGACAATCTCAACATTTCTGATTTTCTTATATATACATCTTTTATCTATTCTATATATAAAGGGGTCAATAAATACCCTAAAAATCAGGGCTTTTGATATTTGAATTTAGGCACTAGACAATGATATAGTAAACCAATAAAAATAAATGATACACTAAAAATAAAATTATAATCAGGTTGTAGATTTCAATAGGACTATATTTGTTACAAACTACTTATTTAATAACCCCAAGAGTAGGAGGTTCTTCCCTAGGTCACTCGTGGAAGAAGAGTAGAATAATGGTCTCAACTGTATGTATAGCACAGAAGCCGAAGATATATTGCGACATCTTGTATCTCGAGGATACAAGGGGCAGTGGTGAGTACTATAGGAAGACAGTACAGAGCAAAGGGTGTGCAGTAAGAAGACTGCATGGAACAAAGGAAAATAGACTGGAGATCCACCAGCCTACTCTATGGGCCTTATATACTACTTTAGGAAATAGGGCTTGAGAATGCCAAATATATATCCGTAAGTATTCTTCTAAGTCATCTCTCTTAGGACAACTACTCTTATGCTTCTCCATTTGTCTCCTTCCAGCCAGGAAAGACTAGGAGCTCTATGCCCTATGTGTGAGTAGTTTGTAAGGCGAGAAAGGATGCCTGCTGCAATAAAGGCTCATGATACTTGACCAACAATGAGTGATCTGTTAGGAGTGGATGACCAAGGTTATTACCTGTACCTTGATGTATGCCTCAACCTGTGAGGCCGCCTAGTATTTGTGATGATCGTATTGGAATAAACCGCCATTAAGGCCCGATAAGTCATGATTATAACAATATTAGTATAGACAATGTCCCCTTACTTGCAAATTTGACTATAAAGTTGATTATGAATAATATATTCTAATTAGCTCAGATTAACATTTCGAGGAATTAGATCTGATTGAGAGGAGGTTTTTCCAGATAGGTGCACTATTCTGTATGCACTGCAGAAGGACCTACCATGTGGAGATTCAAAGAATGACCAAATATCACATGGCCCGAGAATCTCTGTCACTCTGCCTGCCATCGGGCTCTGCCCATCAAAAACAATTTGGTGAAGAGCAGTGGAGCCCTCAAAGTCAGACAAAATGACCTGAATGCTTTCAGTGATACCTCTTCATATTCCTATTTTTTTAGTTTTGTAATTGAGCTCTAGGATCTGAGAGATCTTGAGCATCTCTCAGATATTTCTGCCTTAAAAGCCATTATTCATTGCCTCCTCACTGCTGCACCCAATTTCTGTTCTCGCAAAAACTCTGATACTTGAAGAGTGCTTAAATAAACGACTACGATCTTTTTCAAAAGGTGCCGTCAAAAGGTGCTGCGAGGAGCTCGATTTTGAACCTCTCATACCATTTGCAACTCCGGTGCAACAATAGTAAGGCAGCCCATGAAGTTATGTTATGTCCGTATGTATATAGTCCAATTAAGCGCCCGAGCAGCTGTGCGTCACCAAACACCAAACACCGAACACACGACGTCGAACACCACGACGCCGAAACTGCGAAAATCCAATGCCGGAACCGAGTCCCTGTCCCTCCCTCCTTCGTGCGAATTCTCTCTACCTAATCCACCTCTCCCCCCTCCATCCACGCACTAACGCACCTCCACGCACCTCCCGGCTCCCCCGTAGCCGCCCGCCGCCGCCGCGCGCTCAATGCATCCCATGCCGCATGACCGCGAGCCCGGACAGGAACATGGCGAGCATGGTGGCGAAGATGCCGACAAAGGCGGGGTGCGCGGTGTACGCGGCGAGCGCGTCGCTCTTGCAGCCGCTGCAGGTCCACCCTGCGAGCGCCAGCGCGAGGAGGTGGAGGGAAACGAAAGAGGGGAAAGGAAGAAAGGGAAGGGAAAGAGAGGGAGCGGATGTCAGCATGGTCGTCACGATGATGAGGTCAGCATGCGTGCGCGGGGCGGCGCCACGAGCCCACAGACTCACGAAAGCAGGGACCGGCGAAAAACGAAAAACGAAATGCCAGAGATACCAGGGAGAAACGCAAGCTCGACTCACCTGACGCGATGGGGGTATACGCCTGCGGCGTGTACAGCGCAAACTTGAGCGCATTATTCGGCGAAAACAGCCCCGGCTCCCTCGCGGCGCCCATCCCGCGCTCGTCGAAAATATTCAGGGTGAACGTCGCCTGTGGGAGCGGGCTCGCGGGGTTCGACTGCTGGAAGGCCCACGCGTCCCAAACGACGGAGGTCTGCGTGCCGGGGATGACGCCGTCGGTGGGTCCGACGGGGTACGTGATGCCGTTGTCGCAGACGGCGGAGAGCGTGAGGTGCGCGGGGGTGCTGTAAAGCGAGGTGAGGTTCCAGGCGAAGGTGATGGGCTGCGCGGACGCGAGCTTGAAGAAGGCGATCGTGGTTTGGGGCGGGGAGGTGATGGTGAGGCCGCCGGCGGCTGCGGTCTGGGGGATGCTGATGGAGGACGTGGTGGCGGAGCCGGAGGCTGAGCCTGACACTGAACCTGATGCTGAGCCGGAGAGCGAGCCAGAGTTTGAGGTCGCTGCTGAGCCCGAGGCAGAGCCGGAGTTGGAGGCCGAGCCTGACTGGGAGCCTGACTGTGTGCCCGTTGCGGCTGCTGCGCTGGTTCGTGGGGACGAGGACATTATGGCGGCGACGACGGCGGCGAGGGAGAGCCTGTGGTAGACGGGCGATGGACGGTGGGACGGCAGAAGAGGAGGAGGAGGAGAAGGAGGAGGAGGAGGAGGAGGAGAGAGAAGAGGGAGACGACGACGATGGCGACCGGCGTGAGTTGAGCGTGCGTGGGGGGCCAGCGTGACAAGCGTGACGTGATGTGACGCCGCGTGTTCTGGGCTCACGTCGAGCGTCACCGTCCCAGGCGAAAGAGTCATGAGATTCGTTCTAGCACCACCTCTCCTCTCCCCATCATGCTCGACGACGACGACGGCACCACCACCACCACCACCACCACCACCCCCGACGTCCCTAGCGCCGCGCTCGTCCCCCTTTCGCCCTTCGACCCCGCCTGGCGACCGATCCTCCACGTCTCGAACCAGGTCGTGCTCTACAACCCCACCTCCCACGCGCTCACCATCCACAGCTCGCACCCGCACGCCCCCGCGCGCCCCCGGCGCCGCCCGCGCATATGCCCGTACTGCGCGCGGCCGCTGCCGCCAGGCTTTGCGCGTGCGCGCGAGGACGGCCGCGAGTTTGGAATTGATACGGACATTAATATGGATATGGACATGGGTATGGATATGGATATGGATATGGACGATTCGGATTTGGATGTGGATTTGGACGTGGGGTACGACGTGGACGCATTCCAGGACGAAGTTTCGCGCGCGCCGAACTATTTCCAGCTGCTCGAGGTCGCGAATGAAACCGCGAGCCGGTCGGGCACGCCGCCGCCCTACCGCGTTGAGGCGGCGCGTGCCTCCTCCTCCTCGTCTCGCTCTCTGTCGTCTGCACCGCGTTCGCTGCTCGACGAGCACGAGGACGGGGACGGAGAGGAGCGGAGGAGCAGGGGGTGGGGCGCGGGCGGGGGGTTGAGGCCCGGGTCGATGGCGGAGGGGTACTTTAATGCTTTCTTCAAGGAAGAGGCCCGCTTGGGCATGGGCGCCAACGGCAGCGTCTACCTCTGCCAGGTCCGTCCGTTTCATTCATTGCCTTCATTTTTTTTCTCTAATGCCTGCCCGCCTGCAGCACGTGCTCGACGGCAACCCCCTCGGTTAGTCCCCTTGTCCTGCTCTCCGTCTCTCTTCCGCTTAATCACCTCGTCATCGCTCGGCGCTCGTCGCCGCAGGCCACTTTGCGGTCAAGAAGATTGCGGTCGGCGAGTCGAGCGCGTACCTCCTCCAGATCCTGCGCGAGGTCCGCCTCCTCGAGACTCTCCGCCACCCAAACGTCGTCTCGTACCACCACGCGTGGCTTGAGTCCACCCGCTTCTCCCAGTTCGGGCCCACAGTGCCCACTTTGCAGTTGCGTCTCTGCGTCTCTGCGTCTCCCCCTTTTCCCCTCTACCGGCCTTCCGAGCCCCCTGCTGATCTGCGAAATGACTGCTGATTCGGTTTCCCATCACACACTCAGCGTTCTCATGCAATGGGCCGAAGGCGGCTCCCTCGACGACCTCATCGACACGCGCCTCGGCCGCCCCACCCACCTCCCCGCCTTTCCCCCCTCGTCCCCCTCCTCCCCCTCTTCTCCCACACCCTCTTCTTCCTCCCCGGCCTCCCCTGATCACCAAAGCTCCCAAGGCGAGCACCACCACACGACGGAGCACCGGCACCAGCACTCCCGCTCCGCCCGCATCCGCGCCTTTCGCGCGCTCCAGCGCGCCCCGCCGGAGGACAAGGCGCGCTTGCGCGAGAAGCTCGGGCTTGGCGCTGGCTCTCCCGGCGCGGGTGCTGCTGGAGGAGGAGGAGCGGGAGCAGGAGCGGGGGGCGCGGGCGCGTGGAAGGCGGTGCATCTGTTCAGCGCGGAGGAGGTGCGCGGGCTGTTTTCGGACGTGGTAGAGGGGCTTGCGTTCTTGGTGCGTTGCGCTTCTGCTTTGAGTTTTCTTTTTCTTTCTTTTTTTCTTTTTTTCTTTCTTTGCCCCGGGCTGGGCCGGGCTGTGTGCTTTGCTTTGGGCTTGGGCTTTGTCTTAGGCGCGAGCCGTTCGCAAAAGCTGACCACTGTTAACATCGTTTTTATTGGGATTATTGTCATTGTTATTGTGACTATGCGCGGGCGTATGTGCGGTACGCGCGGTGGGATGTGGGGACGTGGGTACAGCACGACAAGTCGATCCTCCATCTCGACCTCAAGCCGGGGAACGTCCTCTTGACGTGGGATGAAGGCAAGCTCATGTGCGTCTCTCTCTCTCTCTTTCTTTCCTTTTTAGAGGGGCCCTACCCCGCTGCTCCCTCCAACTTGAACACACGTTGATTTTTTCTGCCGTTGTGCCTGCAACAGCCCCCGCGCGATGCTATCTGATTTCGGGACCTCGCGCGACATGATTCACAGCACACGCGCGCGCTCTGGGAACACTGGGACGTAAGCCCCCTCTCCCTCTCTCCCCACTCACCCATCCCCACCGGCACTCGCACCGCTCACCCGCCCTGCCAGCCTCGAATACACTGCGCCCGAATCCCTCCCGTCGCCCCTCACCGGCCGCCTCCAGCAGGTCGACTCCAAGGCCGACATGTGGTCCCTCGGCATGCTCCTCCACAAGCTGCTCTTCTTCCGCCTGCCGTACCGCTGGGCCGCGCAGGGCGACCGCGACGAGGCCGCCCCTGGGCCCGCGCCTGCGTCGCCGGAAGTGAATCGGCGGAACGGCGCGGGTGCGGGCGTGGGTGCGGGTGCGGGTGGTGGGGCAGGTGGAGAGAGCGATATGGATAGGCTTGAGAGGGAGGTGTTGGGGTACAAAGGGTCCGTTCTTCTCTTACTTCATTATCTTTTTCATTCTCATTCTCATGTTTCCCTTCGTTTCCCTTTATGCTATGTCATCGCGCCGTGCCGCTGCGCACTAGGTTCAAGAGCACCCCAGAGCTCGAGACGACCTTCACCGCGCGCCGCCTCCCAGGCTCCTACCCGATCCTCCTCGAGAGCCTCCTCAACGTCGCCCCCGGCGCACGTCCATCCTGCGAGCGCGTCCTCGCCGCCCTCCACGACGGCAAGGTGCGTCGCCCCTCCCCCATCCCTCATCTCCATCGTGTCTCCGCTATCAGTTATTGATACTGACATCCTGACCCCGCCGCGCCAGCTCGACCCCATCCCCGCGGCCCGCGGCCGCCCGAAGACGGCGACGGCGAGCACCGCGGCGGCAGCGCTCACGTCGCTCATCCCCGCCCCTCGGCGCTTTCCGAGCTCGGGCGCGAGCTCGCCCGCGACGACGCCTACCGCGTCCGAGTACGCGGGCGGCAGCGCGCGGGGGCCGAAATGGGAACGCGAATGGGAGCGCGAGCGCGAGCAGGAGGCGGTGGTGGGGGCAGGGAGGCGGGCGTTGCCTGCGCCGGAGGTGTCGAATGCGCGGGTGTGGTGGGCGTGGGTGGGTGCGGTTGGGGAGCTGCTTGGTTATGTGCTTGGGCGTGGGCAGGGCCAGGGGCAGGGGCAGCGGGGAAGAGGCGGGGCGATGGAGAGAGGAAGGAGGGCGGCGATGGCGGTGAGGGCGATGAAGTCGTGCGCGTTGGTCGCGAAGGTCCGTCCGTCCGTCTCCAGCGCCACGTTCCTCCTCCCGGGCTTGTCCCGGGGATTTTTATTTTATGTTTCCTTGGGGAGCGCGCGGATACTGACACGTACGTGCATTTTTCGCGCTCGACAGGTCGCGTCGCTGGCATACGTCCGCCCGGACGACGCCGCGGGCGGGAACACCCAGCTCGCCATCGTCGTCGGCTTGTTGCTCGTGCTCGGGGTCGCGGACACGCTGCTTGAGGGCGTGGACGTGTCGGTCGGGCTCGGGCTCGTGCATCTGCTGGTGCTGTGGGCGTGCGGCGCGATGTGTGCGCCATGGAGAGGGCTAGGTCTGGGATCGGACGCGGGCGCGAGGCTGTTGAAGTCGGTGGTGTGGGGGCGTGAAAAGGAGGCGGCGGCGGCGGTGCTCACGTGATTTGAGGAAATGACATTGCGAGGCGGGACGTTTTTGTCGATTGCTCTTCGTTGTTGCTGTTTATTGTGGATGGCCGGGTCGCTTTGCTTTTGGATTTTTCTGTCACGACGGTGTGTACGTCACACGCGGAAACGGTGTCGTCCGACTGCGGCCAGCGCTCTTGATTCCTGGTGAGGGCGCGTCGTACTGATGCCACGACTGAGTCGAGTGCAAGCTCAAGCCGCGCTGCTGGAGGACGCCCGAAATTGGTATCTGCCACCGCGAGAGCCTGGCCGATGATGGATCGTGGTGACATAGAACGCAGCATTAAAGATACCTGCGAATTCGTTGTATGATTAGACGTGATGCTGCGCTCTGCGGCGGGCGCGCGCGCCGCGATAGATGCACCGCGTACTGATGCATAGGCACGCCTCGCCCGAGTTGCGCGGGATTTGAGAGACGTTTGACGTGATCGAATTAGCGGCAACTGTCGACGAACAGACGATGGTGGAAGCGTTGGCCGATTTCGCGTTGTAGCTAAGGAGTACTCACCTCGATGAACGAGCACAGCGTCGGTTCTATGTGCTGAAGGCTGCTACTGTGTGGTAGTAGCGCTCGCTTAGCACTTACCTGTGGGGTAGAAGCTCTTGCCGCTTGGAGATTTAAATTGTCCAGTTGTCGTGAGGAACGCTGGGCGCTGCTCGCTCAATTCGCGTCTCTACATACTCGGAACAGACGATTGACCCCGCCAACTGCCGCCTGCATAAAAGGGAAAACGTTCTCACGGTTGTTCAACTTCTTTCATCGCGACCCCGACGAAATTGAGCAAGAACCGCGAGCTTCGCTGCAGCTGGCTTCTGACGTGAAATGTCGTCCGGGTGAAGTCAATGAGACCAAGAGGTCGCTGCAGCGTCTGTGCAGGCCTATACGGGCGATGACCACCCCCGTCGTGAACGAGCGTTCAATGTTATTGCAATCGGCCCATCGGGTGCCTGCCAACCATCATGCATCACGCTTCAAGGCATCAGAAGCAGGGTATGTAAGATGTGCAGGGCTGGGTGGCTGTTGCGGCAGATTTGAAGTCTAGCAGGCTGCTGTGTGATGCGGAGTTCTGATGACGGTCCCGACTTGGACCACCACGGTTGCTGCTTCCCTATAATTGCAGATCAGCATCACCTGTTCGCTCCTCCTGGATTCTTGCGCTACACGTCGTAACATTCTCCCCGGGTCAGGCATCCTTTCTATCCTTGGAGTGAGGAGGATCTGCCAGAACCTGAATTGGGAACAAGGTATGTTCAGTTTATATCTTTGCCCGCTCCGGCTTGGTCCTATGACCGTCACCCGAATGGCAAAACCCTGTTTACGCATAGACGCAATGTTCAAAGGTCCCATCCCAGATTTCAAAGTTGCTGAACAGGTGGTCGACCACGTCGCGCTGATAGCTGCGGTTCCATCCGACTTACTTCGTTAAGTATAAGAGTGCCAGGTCATCGCCTTGCGCGTGCCTATCGAACCGCTCTCGAGCGAGGCCTCCTGGTGCGTCAAAACTTCTATACAGAACATGATGATCACAATATTGATTCTGCATTGTTGTCTCACATTTGTCAATCATACAGCCTGGGTACTCAGCCTCCCTCATCATCAATCACTGACATCCAGCATCTACCCACATATCCTTCCTCGCGGTGTCTACCAAACCTTTCAGCCGCGACAATCAATCTAACGACAAGGCGGTGCCATAATCCGCTCTATTCCGCCACGGTTCCAAAAGCCGTGTGGCCGTCGACCAACTATCAATCACAGCTAGTAACTGAGGTCGTTGGGCTCTTTGACCCTCCTTATTATTAGGCTCGACGTAGTTGGATCAGTGTGAGCTGGCTAGTCTGTATTCCCCAAACCCTTCCGCTCCTTGTTTTTCGACTCCACATTCCTTTGATTCTGTTACGAACGTATCGCGGACTCTGCGCCTCATGTCGCTTTCGGTCTCTTCTTTCCCGGAGACGACGTATACTCCACCACAAGGTCCCGGGCTCTCCGAAACACTCGACGATCCTGCACCGATCAAGCGTCGTCGAATATTCGGGAATCTGTTTGGCAAGGACGGCCCCACCATGTTCAAAGTGCACCGCCGCCAACACGCAGCGAAGGACAGTTTGAACTTGCAGATAGAGGACATCCATACGCCTGTCGTTTCATTTACTGCGCAGGACGTCCCTCCCCATGTCGCGGATCTCTCGTCATCACGCAAGCCCAAACTCTCTCTCCCAATTCTCGACGTCGGCCATCAGCCTGCTTCGCGTTCGCCTACTACTCATCACGAACAACTCGTCTTTCCTCCGACGCCCACGGCGACTCAGTACGACCACTCAAACCCCATGAAGGAGAGCATCAAAAGCCTCCGCCTGTCTCGCATCTATCGTCCCATAGACGTCGGTCGGAAAGACGAGGAATCGCTACCGCCATGGGCATCCAGAGGGGTGATCGCATCTTTTGGTGATCCGGACGATTATGTCAATGGCGATCGAGAAAAGGAGGTGGATCGCGACAGGACGAGTTCCCTTCTGACGCCGTTGAGCTCATGGTCAACCTCGAGTACACGGCTGAGCCGCCGTCCGTCTGGAAGCTCTGCACCATCCTCGAGGACATCGTCCATGTACTTTTCATCCATCATCTCCGCCATGTCTTCGCCATCCTCAGCCTCCACAAGGCCAAGGACAGGCACGGTTCCAGTGGTTCGTAAACACACAAATAGCGACGCTGCAGTATCCAAAGACTTCAGGCCGGTGTCCATATCCTCTGAAAATTCGACCAGGACGACGGCGTCATCTCCTCCACGGCTGACAGGCGTTAGCACTATGCGCTTGCGGTCGTTGTCCACGTCCTCGGCCAAGGGCGATAGCAAGACGAGAATGAAGCCCGCGTTGACCATCGTCCCTCCTATGCAGCCTACCGGCCATAAGCGCTCGCGAACGCTGTCGAATGCATCTGACAAGGGCAAAGCACGGGCAAGAACCACGTCCAACCCTTCTGCCCCTTCCATGTCCGGCGGCGATCGCTCCGCACAACGGCCACGCACCCGCACTCTATCGAACACATCCGATAAAGGCAAGGCCAAAGCGAGAATATCGCGCGCAGACAGCGTTTCAGAGATCGTCAACAGCAAGAATCATCCTCCTGTCCCACCCCTACCTATCATTGGTATGCCGTCCACTTCGGCGAACGACCTTCGTGATGGCATGAGCCCCGCGACGGCGCCAATATCCACGCGTGCCACTGCGAAATCCCCATCGCGCTCACCCCACCATCGGACCCCGCAGCCGCCTAAATCTGCCCCGTCGTCGCCATCTAGAAAAACCTTTGGCCTTCCCTTGGCGAGCTCGTTGCCGTCTAGCTCACGGCCCCTTGTGCACACTTCTGCGACGATGAAGCTGTACTCTCCGGCACCCATCTCTGCCTCCACCCCTGCCTCTGCACAATCCCTCAGTCATCAGCATACGCTATCCTCTCAGCTCCGCGGCTTTCCACGTCAAGGAGTAATGAGGTCGCGGTCGAAATCTACTGTCGAATCACATCTCGATAGAACGCTGCCTCTTAGTCCGTCGAAACCGCCCTTGCGAACTCCCAACTCAACGGGCCTTGTGGGTTATCCAAATACCAGGAACCAAGGTGTCCGGAGACCGTTTCAGTCATCGGCGGACAAACGTTTAGACGAAGGTGAATCTCCCTCCTTGACAGTGGCGACACAGGATGCGGGACAATACGGTTTCCAGGAGAGAAATATCGGCGACGTTATTCCCAAACTGCGAGGGATGAGGATGAAGTAACAGCCATCCACACGGACAAAATATTGTTTCTTTGGGGTTGGTCCAGTATCATGTACCTAATCCGTGTGCGTATCACACTCATCCCTAAGAGCCGCAATGGATGCTTATCCGTATACAGCGCTGCGCAGTCTCGTTCATACACTCTTTTATATCTCAAATAGTTCATGCATTCCCGTATATTCTTTTGGGAAACTATGTTGTACTCTGGATCGGTAATGTGTACTGTTATCAGGACTTGACATTGACTTTTCAATTCTTTGACTCGTTCACAAAGGATGCTTTTCGTACATACCATACTTCATGTAAACCATACAATTCAGATCAGATGATTACTGGTCGATTGCTGCGAACTGCGATTGAAAAATGCAATGTCTTTGAAGTAGATGAGGTAGAAGTCGAACACAAATAAGAATGCTCATACATTGGGCGGAACATACCACTCTCCTCTGCTAGGTCAAAAATGGATTTCCGAAATCATGTGAAGACGGGATACCGATATTGATCTCAAAATCATAATGCCGCAAGTTGTCGTGCGACTGTTTCAACTCGTCTCGACCCAGTTAACATCAGCAGGCGCTCTCACATCCCACTCCGTCTCAATCATGATCTCCTTCCCAGCGCCCACAGCCCCAACCCACTCAAACATGCCCTCATTCTTCCCACCTTTATCTCCTTGTACCTTCCTCCATCGCACCTTGAGACCATCCACGCCCACGCCCCCGTCCGACTGGGCGACCACACAATCCTCGCCCTCATTAGCCTCCGCGAGGATCTCGGGACAGCGCAAGATCACCCGCACACGATCCTCCTCGACCGATACGGGGATCACATCGCGCACGATGAGGCGCTCGAGCGCAAACGCGTGCCTGTTGTACACGATCGTGTGGGCGGTGTACGTCATCATCTTAAACGGCTCCGAGAACGCGCTCGCGCTCGCGACGACAAGCTTCGACTGGCGCGCGTACGTGATCTTCGTCGACGAGTCGGGCCCAAGCGTGCAGTCGAACGTGTCACCTGGCGCAATATCCTGTACAGTCAGAAAGTGTTTCGGTAATTTATAGTATGAAGATACATAGTGAAAATCGGGCGCACCTGAATCGAAGTTTGAGAGACGAAACCATCATCGAGGAACACGTTCACTGGGCCAGGCAGCAGCCAGTAATTGCTCGTGTTCTTCACCCCAGCCTATCACAAATGCGACCAACGCCCGTGAGGTCTCTTGTCACCACAGAATATGCGAAATCACAAACACAAATAAAACAATACGCACCTGCAAATACACGATCGCTTTAACACGTGGAACGTCGATGTGAGCGACCTCAGCCTCGAACTGGAGTTGTGCGAAGGAAACGTTGTGCGTGACGCCGTCGCTCGAGATGCTCGACTTGCCCTCAACACGATAAGACATCGACAAAGGGCTTGCATTCACGATCGTCCCGGGCTCTGTAAACGCGGGCGGTGAGACCCATCGTGGTCACCTCTTCCTCGTTCACCATACCTAGATCTTCATAATTATCATTCAAGGCACCCGAGGAGCGCCCGAAGAGACCACCAAGAGCTAATCCGCGGGCGCAGTGTACAGAACGTGAACGCCGCATTCTGTCCCGTGGTTCTTGCACAGGAAGCGGAGAGCGAGATCGAGGAATTTGCTATCGCATCATCATGGATACACCATGAAGAGGCATAACGGTGGGCGGGCAGATACGGATGGGTTTGAGGTCAGGAATACGCTGATCTGATCCGTCCATGGCCACCGTGCTCAGAGTCAGCGCAACGCTCGTCCAGTCTTCGCCCGTGCTCTGCGTGATCCGTGCACGATAGTGAAGCGAGACCGCAGAAGCAGGCTTCCCACTCTCTGACTCCGCCAGCAGTTCATACGTCGGCGACCATGTCGCGTTGCGTACAACTATACGATCACATACACCGTTCATATCATCATTCGTACAAACATTGAATCAGAGAGACGACGAGACATACCATAAGTCAGCTTGAGCTCAACATCCGTCGCTGCTTGAGCCATCACTATCACAGTCACCAGGCCCTCGGCCCTACCCTGCTTGGCCGACTGCTCCAGCGTCAAAGCCCTGATCTCCCTTTTCATAAGCAAAATATGCTCGTCAAGTCCAGTACCGGTTTTGATCAGTGCTCGCGCACGAGTCATATAAGTGTCCAGGAAGCTGTCTGCTTCTTTCGGACTGATTTTGTCGCCTTTCATGTCGGTCACATAGTTGTTTAGGGCGACCAACGACGCGTCAATGATTTTCTTTTCCTCGTGGAGCAATGCACGCTTGGACTGGAGGCTGCGGATGGCCTCTGCAGCGCCAGTAGGCAAAGGCTGAACCTTGCCGACGGTACATGCGATGCCCAATAATTGCACATTTCCTAAACCTGTAATTCGCACAGAGTTGGGGTCTATGGAGCTCGGCAGACCATGTATCTCCAGTTTGATTTGTCCTTGCTGTGAGAGGCAAGGAAACGATGATCAAAGTTGAGAGATCGCTAGAGCGAACCGCGAAAAAGATGGGGCTCCCAGGCTCCACGTATCGCTCTCCCCTTGATGGCGTCTGAAATCTGAATCATATCATTCATACCATGAAGCGCTGAACGCTCAGCGCTCAGCGCTCAGCTTCCAGCGTTTACAATAACGTTGAGGCCTTGAGGGTCCAACGTCAGCAAAAATGCCAAAACGCAGGATTCCTGTGAGTTAGACGACCATCACAACTTTTTCCTCTCGGTACCCCACGATGTCGCTCACACTTGCATTGCGAGTTCATGCGGGCAGCGGTACTGAGCGAGGCCATCAACATTTGACATACTCCCTGATCACCCTGAACGGTCTGACAGGGCTCACTTCAGCCTTCGAGGGCTCACTTCAGCCTTCGAGCCATCAGGTTAGGGTCAAGGCAGCCTCTTCACTATTCAGTAACAGAATCATGTCAACTGTCAGGAATGTTAGGATTCCCAGATTATGAACGGGTTCCAGATCTTTAGACTCATCAGTGCTTCCGACAGCACACAGCGCCTCATGTCGAGTCTGGGTCTGCGGCGGACAAGGGTATGTATGCGAAGTCGTGAAGTCTGACACACAACAAACGCAATGCGATTGCATGCATAAAGGCAATAGTTTGTGTTGCGCTGCCGCAATCTGACGCTGAGATTTCTGTAGCTGATCTGACACAAGGTACAGTGTGCTGTCGTTTCGCCTTGAAGATTGTTCAGTGAGCTGATTATCTATTTGGAATGCGTAATCAACATCCCTGAGATCTATTGGATTGGGAAACTGACTAGACAACCATTTGGTCCATCCCAACTCTTCGCTATTACCTTCAATTTTCTGCGAAAGTGACAGTGCGAGCTGCGAGGAGACCGCCAAAACGAGAGCATGCCGCATTGAAACGGAGATTCAAAGTCTGCACGATCAGGTGACGTCTCTTGATCGTTCGGAACTGTTGTTCTCAGGTTCCCTCGAGTCTTCCGACCCCTCCCTCACACGCCAGAGCCTGTCCAGCCAGCTCACCGCCGTCTTCCTCGTCCACTCAACGACAACACTTCTAAAAAATCATGTTTTTCAGTCGCGTTGCATCTTTCGCCGCCCTGAGCGCGCTCGTCGGCTCTGTCGCCGCCGAGTTCTCCGTTCTCAGTCCTGGTGGGCCTAATCTGTGGTGGGGTGAGTTGTCCGATGTAGCATCGAAAACGGTGTTTGACATCACATGTCTTTCGCCTTTTTGCTTGGGCGCTACCGTCATCTCCATGGCCTCACCTCCTGCAACCCTCGATCCAACCCGCATCCGCTGACCCGACAGTTGCCCAATCACAGAACACCCTCGTGTGGTCTTGCACTGACAACCCTCCCGCCACCACCTTCCAAGTTCTGCACGTGTCATCTTTTTTTTTCGCTACTGTTCAAATCTCATATATGAATGCAGCCTCGCCAACACCAACGTCGACATTTTGGTCGCTCCAAGTGCGATCATCTCAACGGTGAACAATGCCGACTGCTCGCACACCATCACTCAGCAGCAGACCAACCTCATTCCTGCCACGAACTATACCATCATCCTCGCTGACATAGTCAACCAAACCCACGTGCGTCGCTTCGCTCTTCTCTTCCCGACGTCTATTCTTATCCTCTCGCTGCGTGCTCCTCCGGCTTCCATTCCGCTGTCTGTCAGGTCTACGCCACCTCGCAGCCTTTCGAAGTGAAGGCGCTCGGTGCGTCCTACCCGCCTGCCTCCGCAACTCCGTCGGACAGCGGATCCTCCGCGTCCGCTTCGGCCACTGCCTCAGGCTCCGCTTCAGGCTCAACCGCCTCTAGCACCTCCTCAGCATCCTCTTCGCAGTCCTCAAGTGGGGCCGAGGGCCTGCACGCGTCTGTCGGCGCGGGTGTCCTTGCTCTTGTCGGTGCGGCGTTCGGGCTTTTCTGATCGTATCTAGGCATAGTTCGGTCTGACCTGGGCGTGGGTCTCGTTACCGGGCTGGTTGTGTCTTGGTTAAAGTGATAATCTTTCTTTACTCTTTGGACAAGTGACACTTTGGTGGTTGTCTTCTCTTTAAGATGACCACTTTGACCTTGCCTAGTCTTGTTCCGTTCATCCAGATTTTCCTTCTTCTGTGGCGCATTGCAGATACCATGCGGTGATATCTATACCTGTCATTTGAAATAACACACTCGTTTGCTAATTAAGCTCTAAGCGACAAGCTAATCTTAGAGCACGCTGCATTGGAAGTCACGCCTCCAATTGAAGCAAGACGTTGCTTTTATATACATCTTATACACAGTCATTCCGGTTGCTTCAACGTATTGTCCAGACATACTTGTATGTGTTCAGAAGGGCAACACGACATCTCGAAAATCATCTCGCGTTCCATATCCATTGACCTCCTTTTTGTACTCCTCACAATATCTGCGAAAACCCGTAGGCGTGATGAACTTCCTTGGTTTGAAATCAGGAGTCTCGCCGAAGTTATCAAGCACATAGGAGTGATACATCCAGATGGTCTCTATGGCTTGGGCCGTCAGTGGCTTGAAGTCCTTGCGCATCACCGTTACCTGTTCGAAACGTCACTGGTGCTGATTTTGGGGCGAACGATCTATGCTGAAACTTACCGTCCCCACGCACTGCTGCCAACTGGAAAATGATACAAATCATGATCCTACCAGCTATGCTATATGTCAAGGATGTCACTCACAACGGGGGGGCAAAGCCTGAATCGACATCGATCATGAGGTACGTCGCGATCTGGTTGTCGAGCACCGCGGTGCGCTCAATATCGAACGGATCCGCCTTCAGATGCCGGTACATGACGATAGGCAACTTGACGACTTTGGAGACGGGGCAGACGTCGCCGTAGTCGTAGATCTCGTGCTTTGGGGTGATCACCACGGGCTCGAACGGCGAGCCATTACGCTCGCCGTCGCAGGTGATCCTGATACCGTGCACGACGGGCGGTCGGCAATTCCATCTATGCACGTCCCAATGGCTTTTCTGGCATTCTGGAGACTGTTGGGGAAGAAAAATCAGCGGTACAAGGTCTGCGAGCACGTTGTTCTTACACAGTAACAGGTGCTCTGGTCCTGGCACCTGGAGCACATGAAAAGTTTCCCCGTGGATTCGCATCGCGTGCATTTTCTGGTGGAGGTTTCGCTCGAAGCCATGGTTGATTGCTCTTGGTCGTTCGCTGAAGGGAAGGAGATGCCATGACATCTCCCATCATTCAGATGACGTCATTCACCGCGTTTTAGACAATGAGAAAATCAAGATTGGGTAGAACGCCTTTCCGAAGGCTGTCATGTCGCTCATTGGCGAATCTACTTCCATTTCCGAATCTAGCATAAAGACTGAAAGGCAGGAATGACAAGAGATAATATTGTCAGGACAGACAAGTCGATCGATAGATACAATATCTGCTTCCTTTAACCCAGTGTCTTGCACAATCCTTCACCAAGCTTGGGTCGGTCAGATGATATGAACAAGATTGCTCGCCATACCACACTACCAATCTTCTTCTTTCGAGTCTGTGCCAGCCATTCTCTGCTCGTAGTCTTCACAGAACCCGCGGAATCCAGCTGACGTGATATCCCTTCGAGGATTGAAGTCGTGGTCGCTGAAATTGTCGAGCAGGTCATCATGATACATCCCGATCTTCTCAATCATTTCGGGGGTGAGCGGCTGGCAGTCCTTACGCATGACTGTCACCTGCCGTGAAACATGTCAGTTAGACGAGACATGTGATAAGTGGTGGAACTTACAGTGCCCACACACTGCTGCCAGCTGAAGGACCAATATCGAGTGAGCTTTCAGACATGGAATAACATAAATGGTGATTATAACATACATCATCGGCGCAAAGCCAGAGTCGACTTCGATCATCGAGTAGGTTGCGATCTGGTTGTCGAGCCGCGGCGTGGGTTACATGTTGAGCGGATGCTCTGTTGAGTGCCGAAACATGACGATGGGCAGATCGATGACTTCCGAGACAGGGCAGACGTCTCCGTATTCATATATCTGGTGTGTAGGGGTGATCTCGACGGGATTGAACGGCGGGTCATGGCGCTCGCCATCACAGAGGATCTGAATGCCTTGCACAACGGGAAGGCGGCAGTCCCAACTGTGCTGGGAGTCGGCTTCTTGACACTCTTGAGACTGAAGGGAAAGGGAAGGAAGTCAGGGTGGCGAGTTTTTGTGATAGAAGATGGAAAGCGAATAGGGGCGCACGCAGTATGAGATGCTCTCGTTCTGGCACCTGGGACACGTGAGGAGTTGGTCACTTGCGTCTTTTGAACACGCGGCGCATTCCTTGGGAGGGGTAGACTGACTGGAAGCCATTAGTGTAGAGGTGCGGATGCGCGCGAGAGGAGCTGAATATCGTGATGGTTGGGTTTGAGTTTCGACCGAGGTGTTCGTTCAAATACCCGCCTTTTATAAGCTAGAAGAGATGTCGCGGGGTGCCCATATGTCGTCGATTTCTCTGAATGTCCATCAAACATCCACTAGTACACTCAAGCTAGATCATAGACTTCTACACCAGAAGACCAAGGCATTGAATGGGGCTTTATTTGCGAAAGGAGCAAGAATTTTAAAGTTTCGTTCGACACATGGAAGATCAAGATGAGATGTAAGCCACTGCTTGCCTTTAGCGCAAGCAAGACGAGTCGTTGTTTTCCTGCTAATATATAGGCATCCGGGCGTGAATTTACCAGCTGTTAGGACCATTCGGCCATATTGGAGGTCTGCAAAGGTTGTCTTTTGTGTAGGAAAGCCTGTAGTTGACGTCGAGTCATTCGAGATTCATAAAGGAGAGTCTCCGACTATCCACGACTGAGGATAGTTGTCTTACTGTCGTTCTGTGCAAGTGTGGGAAGAGCCATGGATCAAAGAGGACCATAGAAGACCACGTGTGAAATGTGGCTGTCCTCTTCGCATAGGCGTGACCCTCAACGTTGCTGTACGTTGAACGCACGCTGAACGTTGTATTTGGATGGCTCCTAGGCTTCGAAATAACTGCTATAAATGGGAGGGCCATATGAACAACTGGAGAACCCTATCTTCCTAGGAACCCACCTCGTCCTCCATGGCCTCTCTCAAAGTTGAAGCGTCAGAGCATCCCTTGGCCTCGGTCACTATCTTCAAATCCGCCAAAGCAGAGGTCGTTCGTAATTTCCAGCTCTCTCTTGGAGTGAGTCTTTCATTCTGTCAGCCTTCGCGATCTCTCAATTTAACCATCGCTTCCCTGCGTCTCACAGCAAGGACAAATCAAACTGGAGATACACGGTCTGCCAAGCTCCATAGATCCCAACTCTGTGCGAATTACAGGCCTAGGAAACGTGCAGTTATTCGACATCGCATGCACTGTCGGTCAGGTTCAGCCTTTGCCTACCGGCGCTGCAGAGGCCATCCGCGGCCTCCAGTCCAAGCGTGCATTGCTCCAAGAGGAAAAGAAAATAATTGATGCGACGATGGTCGCCCTGAACAGCTACGCGACCACTATGAAAGGCGACAGTATCGGACCGAAAGAAGCAGACAGCTTCCTGGACACTTATATGACTCGTGCGCGAGCACTGATCAAAGTCAGTGCTGATTTCGACGAACAGGTTTTACTTCTGGATAGGGAGATCAAGAACTTAACGCTGGAGCAGTCGGCCAAGCAGGGTAGGGCCGAGGGCCTGGTGACTGTGATAGTGATGGCTCAAGCAGCGACGGATGTTGAGCTCAAGCTGACTTATGGTACGTCTCTTATTCCTCCTGATTCAATATCTGCACGAAAATATCATATGAACCGTGGATGTGATGATATAGTTGTACGAAACGCGACGTGGTCGCCTACGTATGAACTGCAGGCAAAGTTCGAGGGTGGCAAGCCTGCTTCTGCTGTCTCGCTTCACTATCGTGCACGGATCACGCAGAGCACGGGCGAAGACTGGACGAACGTTGCACTGACTCTGAGCACGGCGGCCATGGACGGGTCAGACCAGCGCATTCCTGACCTCGAGCCCATCCGTATCAGCCCACCTCCCTCTACGTCTCTTTTAGGTCCACCCGGTGTTCCCCAAATCCTTCCATCGGCATCTCAGCTTCCGCCGAAAGAGCCGCCAGTCAGCCGTGGCCTTGGATCAGCTCGTAGTGGTGCTTGGATCGAGAATTCTGGCTACTTTGGCGCCTCATCGCCCTTTGGCTCATTGCGCGAGAGAGACAGAGAGGTCATCACTACGCCGCCAGCGCCACTGCCCGCGTTCACAGAGCCCAGGACGATCATGAATGCGAGCCCTTTATCCATGTCCTATCGTGTTGAGGGCAAATCAAGCATCCCGAGCGACGGCGTCGCGCACAATGTGTCCATCGCTCACCTTCAGTTCGAGGCCGAGGTCGCCCACATCGCCGTTCCACGCGTAAAAGCGGTCGTGTATCTGCAGGCGCGCATTATTTTGATTTCGCATATTCCGTGGTGATGAGGAATCTCACGGGCGTCGCATTTTTGATAGGCTGCGGTGAAGAATACGAGCGATTACTGGCTGCTGCCCGGCCCAGTGAACGTGTTCCTTGATGATAGTTTCGTCTCTCAAACTTCAATACAGGTGCGCCCGACTTTCACTCATATATCTTCATATCATGAACTATGATGGCTGACGAGCCGCTTTCCGACTCTACAGGATATCGCGCCGGGTGACACGTTCGACTGCACGCTCGGGCCCGACTCGTCGACGAAGATCACGTACGCGCGCCAGTCGAAGCTCGTCGTCGCGAGCGCGAGCGCGTTCTCGGAGCCGTTTAAGACGACGACGTTCACCGCGCGCACGATCGTGCACAACAGGCACGTGTTTGCGCTGGAGCGCCTCATTTTGCGCGATGCGATCCCCGTCTCGGTCGAGGAAGATCGCGTGCGGGTGATCCTGCGTCGTCCCGGGATCCTCGCGGAGGCGAAGGAAGGCGAGGATTGTGTAATCTCCCAGTCCGACGGGGGCGTGGGCGTGGATGGTCTCAAGGTGCGCTGGAGGAAGGCACAGGGAGATAAAGGTGGGAAGAAGGAGGGCATGTTTGAGTGGGTTGGGGCTGTGGGCGCTGGGAAGGAGATCACGATCGAGACGGAGTGGGATGTGAAAGCGCCTGCTGATGTCAACTGGGTCGAGACGAGCTGAAGTAGTCGCACAATGGCCTGCGACATTATGATTCTGGGATCAATATCTGTGTGTGTTTTTCGACTTGATTTGGGAAATCTATATCTGATCAGCAGAGGGGAATCATGTGTACAAATATGCATCCTTGTGTGTTTGATTTACATTCTTAGACAATGTCTTTCTTGTTCGTGTGCGTTCATGTCCTGTATGATGGAAACGAGAGTTTAGGAAAACGGCGAATCTGTCAAGAGAGTTAGAGCGATTTGAATGACCAAGGATTCGGAGAGCAAGCGCTTCGTGTGCCAATTCAATGGCTTCCTCAAGGTCCTGTATCTGTCTGGTCCGCATGAATTGAGTGTGCACGTGAAATGAAAGACTGTGAGGGGATTCTGCGCAATCTGGGTGACCAAAAGGTCGGTGAGCGAGATTCTCGCGATCCAGCTGTATTGACTCCTCAGCATCTGTCCGGTCCGCTCAAAACGAATACATAATTTAATTGTGAGCGTGTTGATGGAATCGGAGTAATCTGGACGGACAAGGGTCGGAGAGCAGTGCTTCGCGAACCAGCCCTATGGATTCCTCAAGATCCTGCATCTGTTCTGTCTGCTCATAGCGAGAGTGCAAGTAAATCGCAAGATCGTGGAAGATGTCGGAGCGATTAACATGACCAGTAGATAGGAGGGCGAGTGCTTTACGGTCAATTTTGATGGCTTCATCGAGTTCGCGTGTCGGCTCAATCTACTCGATAGAGGATTACAAGTCGTCCGCGACATCCAGAATGGTTAGATGCTCTGAGAGGTATTTAAACGCGGACGATCAAGACTTAGCATGCTGCATCGATTCTCCGTAGTCCAAGTATGCTGCTTTCTCAACGATTATGATATGCAATTAGGCTATTGAACGAATGAAACAGTCCTCGAGGTTCACATACCAGACGTGGCGGGATGATGTGAGCCTTGAAGTTACCGCGACCAGCAGCGTTCGGTGAGTGCCAGAAGCCTCCAGTGCTATAAGCACTCAAGATTGTTTTTTAAAAAAACCCTTGAGCAATGCTTTCCACACGTGGTGAAATGGAAGCCGGATATCGCGTAGTTGAATTCCTCAATTTGAACCGATATGCCGACAACACACGAGCCGAAGTCAATCGACCGAACGCCATGGAGCTATGTCAAGAGTTTGAACATGAGAAGTCGCATGAGTGATGGGTATTCCTCACTGTTGTAGATCATATGGTGGCCATTTGGCCTCACACACTCATTCACGTGAGTGTTTCGAACCAGTTCAAGAAAAGAAACTCGGGGATGGGTATCCTTGAGCAGATCTGAGGGAGAGGGGCGATACTGGGGCGATACATGCCATGCCAGTGAGAAAATGTAAATTATACAGGAAAATCCTGAATACGCACTTATTCAAGGCAAGAACAGCGGAGGTCACTCTCAGAGTCGAGAGAGAAAAGGTGCGTTGGCGCCGAGAGTCTAGTAATTGCCGAGCGTCGGCAATGGCCGGATCGACCTGACACTTCTCTTGAAGAACTCAATTGACAGCAAACACATCGACAACTCTTCGTCTGCAACGCTGCTAGCTAGCAGCTCATCACAATCATCTGTCCCAGTCGCTTTCAATGAAGCTCACCCTTGTCCTTTGGCCGTGCTTAGGCTGACACAGATCTGGGTAGCTACCGCCTTAAGTCCTGAGGTACGCCTTCGAGATCGTTTCCTCAAAACCAACGTAGAACAACCAGAGTCTCATGCGTAGAGTCTCTTATTATCAAGTGCATCCGCTCTTGCCTATATCGCTTATGTTTCTTGACTTGGCTCACGCTCCATATGACGGACACCTTCGACCTTGGACAGATTCATCCAAGTTTGTTTAGCAGGAGCGCGACCCTGTGCGCGTTTGTATGTTGTATCGTGTGCTACGCCATGATATAACATTTTGCAGTTTACAAGGGTCTAGATGACTAGAAGGCTGCGCAAGGATGAGAGGAAAACGCATATTTGTGTGTGGTGTGCTGTACGTTGTATATACAGGTCCAGCCAACGTCCAGCCTGACGCTCGCCGTCACCATACCCAGTTCTGACAGTGGGTATGTATCGATTGGGCTGTGTCGGCCTCGCTGCCTTCGGCCGGGAGCAGCGGTTTCAGCGGTCCTTCGCCGCGGTCTCCACCACCTCTCCCAATCTCAGCTCGACAACCTCCACACCCAGCTCGCCCAGTTCCGCGCCGCGCTCACCCACTTCGCCACGCACCGCCGCGCGGACATCCAGCGCGACCCCCGCTTCCGCCATGCGTTCCAGCAGATGTGCACGACGATCGGCGTCGACCCTCTCGCGGGCCCGCGGAGGTAACGAACCTGCTGCATCTCTCATACGGTACGGCAGAGGCGAGACGAATCATCATCTATTCACTAGGCACGGTATCTGATGACACAGTCGGAGGGTCTCAAGAGGATTTCAGACCATCTTATGATTAGCTGCGGTGAATCAAACTTCAGATATCAAAACAGGGACTTGTAAAGCTAAGACTATTCTAGTCGAAAAGGGAATAATGATCACCCTTCAGAGCACGCAGAGAATCAGGAAGAGCTATTTATTTTATGAGAGTATGAACAGGAACACAGTAGACGAGTAACTCACCTTTGCTGCTGTCGCTGCTAGTCATATTAAAATCTCCAGATGCAAGTCTCATAGGCCACAGTTGCGTTGCTTCGGTGTCTTCTAGAGGCTCCTCTAGCATCATTGCTAGTTCTTCGCCCTGAGCAAGAGAGAGATGGCGAAAGGCGAGGGGAAGGAAGTTGGTCCTCGCATGGTCGATGGAATAGATCAGACCGCTCGAGTCGATGCGAAAGTTTCCCCAATGAAGGTCATCGATGCAGAGTGAAAGCGGTATGCCGGTCTTCTCCGCAAAATCCACCCTCCATGGCCATCTTTTGTAGGCGAGAAGCTAGGGTGATATATGTGAACGTTTTATGTGGCGAGTGGACAGCATGACTCACAGCATTGATATGCTCCTCAAGGAGGTCGACCGAGCTATATGACACGGAGGACAGACAACTTGAGAACATACGGCATGATAGGTCCTCCATTAATCGGCCCCGGTGCCGATGTGGGACTGGGGATCTGTTGGAGATGTTTGACGGCTAAGGCAATTTTGGGGAAGTCGTCTCTAGTAAAATCTCGATCCCCGACGTGCTGCATCGCAATGTAGCCGACATTGTTGTGACGGAATGCAAGATAAACGACCGGAACTCGCACAGCGCTGTTGTTGTCCTCGTTTACCTGTTTCGCGAGAAAGTCCTGAGTGCGAGCCTCACTCATTCCCACTGCGGGCCCCCACTTGACGATAGCAGCATCAGAACCATCAGGCGGGTGTATTGGGATGTTCGAGGGGCCCCGCCCGTGTTTCAAGCATTCAAGTACTATGTTCTCAGGAGAAGGCAGCCATGCAGGAATACTGTCGTTCTTGAGAGCCAGCACTATCGACTCTGCCATCTGATGAAGAAAAGGCAGAACATTAGCTATACGAACAATGAAATGATGAATGCATACTGGGATAGAGATATCTCTTTCAAGAATGAGTGTTAGCAGCATCAAGATGAGTATGGAGAAATGGGGGATTGACAAGTGGAAGCGGATTAGGTTGTCCTCCGCTTCCCTCACGTACCCCGGCTGACCTTAGTTGGTGGCCGCATACGGTGCCACGCCACGAGGCCTCACTTATCAGACAAGCCTTTTGATCTCCATCGCTAACCTTCGCTGACTAGTAACGCAGAAGATATGTGAGCATGTGGCCCAGCTTTTGGCGGTGAACTATAAGCTTGCTTTCAGCGCTCCAAAGGCCGAGGGGCCAGGGCGTGATCTAGGACACAGAACGACTGTCTTCTGTGTAAGGTCGGCCACTGAGACTACCGAATACCCTACTATAGACGTGCTGAGAGGCAGGTCATAGTTAAAACTCCGCTCTAACGAAGTATTGCAGTATGCACACACCTGATCAAGTGGTTTTCAAAATTTTCTAGTGGGTAACTGGGTAAATGGATGCCCTTACACAGGCCTTTAGAGAGAGTTCTAAATGCCAGATTCTTCTGATGGCTTGGTTGCTGTGTCGGCACGAGCGAATCCATTCTGTCAGAGCTTGAGACCCCTCTTCTAGATTTTTGAACTAGAAGGAGGGCCCACCCCTTTCCAGTTCAGATTCACTGTCAAAAACACATTTTTTGAACTCCGCTTGTATTTTGTCATTGCTATCATCCAACCGCTGTCCTGTGGGCTCGGGCAAAAACACTGACACAGACAAGAGCTTTGCTCCATAACACCTAATCATCATTGCGATATCAGAGTCTAGCAAAACCAGGTCATCAAGATCCACTGCATATGTCATTATCTAATATTATCGAAGCTGAATAGTAGATGGTGGGCTTGTGGTGTATCTGTGGTGGACTTATCCATGCTGGCTGCACGGAGGCAGGTCATGGCCAAAGCTCTGCTTATATCAAGTGCATGCATTCACCAAGTCATAGATGGTCTTATGGTTCTCACTGCTTGCACTGCAGGGTTTTTCCTAGGATAAACTATGGATTTAATTCTGGATATAGATAAACTTTTTGTTCTGGTTTATCCACTGAAACAAAAGCTTAAGGTTTACCTGATATTTTATCACACCCCATAATAAAATATTGAATAAACCTTAAGTTCCTAGCCCACAATGTCTAATTCAAGCTTACATTTTTGAACAGATCGCTCCTAAACACTATATGCTTTATGCAGACTGGAATTCAACATACACATTTTTTTGGATGGAATGCTGCAGATATCTACAAGCTTGGGTTGAGATGGCATAGTAATGACTGATGATTTAAGCAGATGGAGACTCAGGTCAGCAGGCCTCAGGCCTCGGGGACAGCTAATCTAGATCCCACGTTTAGTGACTCCTTGTTGAGTGAAACAATACAAATAGCACTTCTATCTTTAGAGAAAGTACTTGGGACATGGCAACACTTCACATGCCATGGTCACGTTGCCCTGCATCTTTTCGCAAGACCTGCACAATGTGAAGAAATAGTGGACAATTGTTCCAAGTAGAGGCTAGTTCTAGTACGACACCACACCAAGATATTTTAACAAGTGGACAGATAATGATGGAGCCACATGATTGTTCCAAGTAGATGCTAGTTCTACAACACCATGCCAACATTTTCTGACAAGCAGGTAGGTTTTTTGCTAGAAACTATCATCTCACACTATGTTACTCCCAAATCAACAGTATATAAATGAGGACTACACCTTCAAGTACTATCAGATGATTCCGGATCTCTGCTACCGCATATATTGCTCCTGTAAATCTTTTTGTGAAAAATTCTCAGAGTGAGTTTAATTAATCCTTGCATGCATAATGGCACTTATCACCTGTGCGTTTTCTGTGCTCCCTGTGTTTTCCCTCTAGATGTCTATCATTTGCCCCTATACTCTCCAGAATATCTCAGACAAAGTCTCTTCATTGATCTTTAAGGGCAGGGTCATACACATCGAAGTCATAGATACAAGACTGATGGCTGGTCTCAATCTTAGCAATGTTGAGGCGGCTGACCATGGTAAGGTGAAGAACCATTGGAGGTTCAGCGTGGCATTTGAGAACAACAATGGTATCACCTATAGCATCACCTTTGGGGTCGACCCCAAGGATACTTTGAGCATAGCTTCTGGTTGAGCTCAGGGAGGTAGAAGCAGCATCAATACTAATAGCATCTGGTATGACAAGGATGGAGATATTGCCTATAGTAACATTGGAAGTGAAGGCAAACCTCTCATGCTGAGCAATGACAAGATATCCAAGCCTATCATTTCCTGTGATAAATCTAGTGCTGTGGTTGTTCCTGCTAGTATCTGTTCTGCAAGCAGTATTTCCACTAGAAGCAAAGGCAAACCTTCCATGTGGAGTAACAACAAGACATCCAAGCCTATCATTTCCCATGATAAATATGGTGCTGTGGTTGTTCATGCCCCTGCTAGTATTCATTCTGTGAGCAGTATTTACATCCGCCAATATGCTGAGGGGACACCCCGTGCAGATATCTTCAGCATGAGAGTCAATTCACATGATGGAGCCTTTAACAAAGCCCTCACTGTTTTTGACATCCCTGTCATCACTGAACGTTTGACTTTTGGCAAAATCATCAGGACCTTCAAAGAGCAGGGGATGTTCCCCTTTGCATCAGGAAATCAGCTGATGTCTGCTCCAGGTCTGAGAGCTTCTGATTATTCTGAACTCAGATGGCTCAGACAAATCAGAGGTCAGAACAAGACTCTGCTGTCAGGAAGTTACCTTTCTGCATCTGTCTTAGTTCAGACCAGTCAGAGCTCATCCAGAACAATAGTCAGAGATTTGGTCATTAGCTCAGACCCTGTCTGCAGCCTCACACAGGTATTTCATACAATATTATTACCATCAAAATATTATCATTCTACTATATGCAAAATACTACAAACAAAGGACAGCCTTGCATCTAAAATGAACACACTGGATTGTGAGTGGCACATAGTCCTCTATCTTGGACTCTGTTTAAGGCTTGACAGTTTGCGCACGGCAAAAAGAGGGTCAACGAAAGGGTACAGGTGCGGGTAGGGGGGGAAGCAGCAGCAAGAGAACATGAGCCCACTAATATGCTAAAGGTGGCTCTAAGTGCCGAGCACAACACCAAAACAACCTCTAATGCAGGGGGTGCTGGAGCTAGTATCTAATACACAAGGAATTGTTAGTTAGGACTTGAGAAATCAATGGTGCACTGAGAAGCAGTGAAGAGTGCGAGATTATAGCACCTGAATGGTTTCAGGACTGAACCAAATGCCAACCGAACGTTTGGTTGGTTGTGTCGGCAATCCAGTCAGTAATAAGAAGATAGTGTCACAAACAACAACTACATGCTTTAAGAGCCACATGGGACTCTGACAAAATATGAGGGAAGGATGAGGGGTATAAGTGAAGAGACAAGTACGAATGCGAACAAGGCTGAACGATGAGGATGACAAGTTTTTGGGAGTCAATGAAGACAGTTTCAATGGTTGAGACAGGTGCGAATGAGCTCTGAACTGTGGGGTATGAAAGCTGGTTTATTCCAGAGTTGTATGTAGGTTTTTATAGTAAACAGAGTCCCTAAGTATAATATCAAACACAAAATAAGAGTAAATATTGAATGGGTGCCAAGCCCTAGCGATCAGGGAAGATAAGAAGGTAGGTAAGATGTTCATATGGGTTCCAAAGGTGATAAGGTAAAAATTAATCAGCGATGGTGAAATCTTGAACATTCAGGATCCGTCACCCAAGTGTAGATAGTGGGAACAAGTGTTGGAGAATCAATGAAAATAAAGAAGACGTATCGTACAACCAGGGTGGCCAAGTAATGGTGCAAGATCGTGTTTGACCAACCATGTGGAAGTCGGGAAGATAAGCGATAAGGACCAACTGACTCACAGAAGACATCGGCCAACATAGAATACTGGCTCCAATCTTGTAAACACCTATCGTAATACTCTTATGCAGTCATAGTAAGTACGTGAAGTATGGGCAAACTGACCCAAGTGCTGCTAAACATCCTTTGGAGGGTTGTGGTTGGTCGGGTGAGGACCAACCATGTTCAGTAATAGTTGGTGTCTTTGGTACTTGTCTAGTGCTGTTCGGTATCCCCCCAAAGCTTCCCAAATACCTCCCTCGGACCCTGGCATGGGTACATGCTCATCACCGCACTCATCTTGTGTAAGCATGGGTGGCTAGCATTGGCAGTGGCAGTGAGAGAGCGCAAGCGCAAGCAAGGTGGGTGGTGGCAGTAAGAGAACACAAGCCTGCACTCGTCTTGTGCAAGCATGGGTGGCTAGAATTGGCAGTGGCAGCAAGAGGGTACAAGTGCAAGCAAGGTGAGCAGCAGCAGCAAGAGGATATAAGTGCAGGTAAGGTGAGCAGCTACAGCAAGAGAATACAAGCATGCACTCATCCTGTGCAAGCACAGGCAGTGAGGATCGGCAGCAGCAGTGAGAGAGCATGAGCGCAGGCAAGGTGGGTGGTGGTATTAAAAAAAGACAAGCCCACACTTATCTTGTGCAAGCATAGGTGGGATCAGCGTTAGCAGTGAGAGGGTACGAGTGCAGACAGGGTGGGCAGCAGCAGTAAGAGGATATGAGTGTAGGCAAGGTGGGCAGCGGCATTGAAAGAGGCCACACCTGCACTCATCTTGTGCAAGCACAGGTGGGATTAGTGTCAGCAGTGAGAGGATATGAGCACAGGCAAGGTGGGCAGTGGCATTGAAAGAGGCCACACTTGCACTCATCTTGAAGAGCACAGGTGGAGATCAGCAGCAGCAGCAGGAGGATATGAGTGCAAGAAGGGGTGGGCAGCAGCAGCAAGAGAATACATGCTCACACTTGTCTTGTGTGAGCATGGGTGCAGGGCATCGAGAGCTCTCATCTTGTGTGAGCACAAGTGGGGGATCGGCAGTGGTAGTGAGAGGGTATGGGCGCAGTCACAGGTGGGTGGTGGCATTGAGAGAAGATGAGACAAAATGAGTATGGCTAGGGGAAGTGAGCGGTGGTGAGAGCAAGAGGCAGAGCACAGCGTGTGCAATGACGATGCATTGACATGGCAATAGCATGTGCCGCTGCCACATCTTTGCTGCCCTGCTTGCTCTCCCCACCACTGTCCACCACCGCCTCTGCTTGTGCTCATCTTATCTTGCTGCCAATGCCATCCAGCGCCACCCCCTTTGCCCACACTCATCTTGTACGATGAGCATGTTTATGCCTCTTCTTGTCTTGCTATTGCCACTGTCCAACACTGCCTCTGTCTGTACTCGTTCAAGACAAGTGCATGCCTATCCTTCTCCCACCATCTCCACCTATGCTCATCTTGTATGACAAGCATGGGCACACCTCATTTTGTCTTGCTGCCATCACTGCCTAGCATTTCTGCCTGTTCTCATGCAAGACAAGCACAGCCTCACCTCATTTGGTCTTGCCACCACCGCCCACCACCACCACCTCTGCCCATGCTTGTCCTATTAGATGAGTGCACGCCTTCTCTTATACAATGAGTGCATGCCTCCTTTTGTATGATGAGCACATGCCTTCTCTTGTCTTGCTGCCACTGCCACATACCATCTCTGCCCATGTTTGTACAAGACGAGCATGGCCTTATCTCATCTGATCTTGCCATCTACCAACTTGGATCCTCTCGCTGCTGCCGCTGATCCCTGCCCATGCTTGCACAAGACAAGCTCGGGCTTGTCTTCTTTCAATGCCACCTCCCACCTGTGCCCATGCTCATACAAGACAAGTGCAGGCTCATGTGTAATTAGCATCTTTACCATAAGATCACTGGCTTGCATTCTAGTACTTTACAAGTATGCTACTGCCAGTTCTCAATTCCTGTTTATCATTCTGGATAGTTCTGAGTAATGTCTGAGTTCAGAATGCCCAGAGGCAATAGAAGCCCTCAGAACTCTCAGACAGAGATCAGACATCTCAGACCACCTAAGAGATCTGCCAATTTGCTGATGTCTTCTTCAAGAGGCTGGATTTTGCCATTTTCGGATGCTGCGACTTCATGTGAGCATTTTGAATCTCCAAGTAATAACGCACTGACTTGGTAATTTCGATGATTATTCTAGTTTCAATGCGGTTGCAAGGCTCATAGAGAAAGGCTACACGGACGGCGTTGCGAAAAAGGAAAAGAGGCATATTTTTATCCTCTTAAACTTCCGCTACTCCTGTGCCCTCAAAGATGCCGTCGGTACTACAGAGCTCGAATCGGGTTCCAGCATTCGCTATTCTGAGAGCGCTGTGGATCGGGCTGTCTGGCCCCAGGGTTTCATTGCTGCCGTGGACGACCGTGTCAAGTTCAACTAGGATTTTATATGCTTAGTTATGCCTCGACTCTGGTTACGTTCTAAATGTTTGTGGCGTGAAATTTGCGATCATGATGCCGTCAGAAACCCTGTAACATAGTTTGTACTTACTCGCGAATTGTATGAGAATCAGCACTTTTGTTGCTAGCAGCTTGACATTCTATCAAGGTTGTCTCTGAGTCTGAATTAACTGAAGAATATCAAAACGATCAATCTCCTTAGCACCGTCTTCAAGGGCGTAGCATACTGTGCGTCGTCGGGTCATGAGTCGCGAGTCGTGCTGACCGAGTGCGCGAACAGCAGTCATGTTCGCGCTGTTCTGTCTGTCGATGCCGAGCCTGTCGAGCGCGCGCATCGGGCGGTGGCTCGCGATGACGCTGTGGCCGTTCACGCTCGCGACGGCGTGCCTCGGCTTCCAGATCTGGTGGACGGTCACCGCGCTCGTCAGCCACCGCGCGTACCCGGGCGGGCCGGACGCGTGGATCTCGCAGCACGGTGCGGACGCGAAGAACGTGGTGTTGAATGTATTGTGAGTGCCGCATGGTATTCGTGTCCATGCGCGCGCGCCCGCACGGCGGTGCGAAAGCGGAGGCTGGAAGCATCAAGAGCCTCGTTGATTGTAGGTATGTCGTGCTGACGTGAACCGCGGACCTCGTCATTATGAGTCGCCGAGTTTGGGTCGCGAGGAGCGCTGGGAGCTCATTATTGGTTTTGTCAGGACAGACGTATCGCTCGTATGTCATATTCAACCACAAGCCTGCGGTCACCGTCCTGCCCTCTGAGATGTTCGTGGCCACAGTCGGTCAGTCCTCCTTTCCAGAGATGATGAGAAAAAGAGAGGTCGCTCACGACGCGTCCCGCAGTCACAGGCTCGCTGTCTCTCTACAACCTGACGCGCTCGCAGGTCGTCGAGCACGAGATCGCAAACTTTGCGATCACGTACCGGACAGTCTCGCTCTCGCTGAGCGTAATCCTGACCTCCCTGATCACCACGCGGCTTCTCGACATCCGGCGCGAGGTCGGGAAGCTGCTGTCGGAAGACACGGGCGGGCGCGGGCTGCGGTCATACACGTCGGTGGTCGCGATGCTGGTCGGGTCGGCATCGCTCGAGACGGTGACGGCGCTGGTGTACATATGCTTGTTGGGTGTAGGGAGACCGCTGCAGGACGTGTTTCTGCCGGTGCTGGGGCAGGTGCGTTGTCTGGCCAACGAGGGCATCTCATCGAGATGGGGATGCTACCAGGTATGAGTGTGATCTCACCGCTGTTGATCGTGTATCGGGTGTTCCGCGGTCAGACGTGGGAGAGGGAGACGACGCGGACGCTGATACAGCAGACGCACGAGCTTCCCGTGGCATTCAGCCCGAAGTACAAGCCCAAAGATTTCAGCTTCATCTCGCGGCCGGGCAGAGAGACGATCTCGGGAGGGGGGAGGTATGTGCGGTTTCATTGGACCTGGAGCGCACATCGGAGACGCTCCGAGCGGGCTATCCCAGAGAGCGAGCTCGCATCTACTCCGAAGGCTTACCTTACGTTCCACTCGCCACACCCGCCCTGTTCTTTCACCGACGTCGATCTGTGCATGGTCCCGCCTTGGTCGACAGGCCCGCAGCCGTAGTCGATTATTTCCTCGAGACTTCGCCTGTCAAGCCCTCCCACCAGCGCGCTGCAGCGCAACTCTGTGCATCAAGAATGGCAGTTCAGTACGACTTGCCTGGTATTCTGTCGTCGAGCTGATTTTCATACGGTCGTACGTATATGACGATGGGTGCACCTGCAGATATCGTGCACACGCCTAAGTCTCTAAGTTGATACATACGCGGCCCCTAGGCAGTCCCTAGGCGTTCGCCGCCGAACAGCAGGGCCCAGGCGATGAGAAATCATATGATGGCCATTATGTGGGCTCCAAACACTCATTCGCGTGAGTGTTCTCAGAGCAGCTCAAGAAAAGAAATGCAGAAACTGGGGTCGATGGGTGTCTGTGCAAAGTTCGTTTGCTGAGCATAGTGGGGGACCGTGCAAATCTGGCGAGGAAAGGGTGTGACATATCATGACAGTGAGGATGTGGATTATACTCAAAAAATCATGGATACTGACCTTCTCAAGGCAAGAACAGCCGAGGTCACTCATAGGGTGGTCGGGTTGGAAAAAAGAGGTGCATTGTCGTTGAGAGTTGTCGAGCGTCGGGACACGGCAGTGGCCGGTGGAACCAGGGAAGACCGGGGACCTGTCTTCCTTGCAACTCAAATGGCAGCAGCGGGCAGCAGACACTGCAGACAGCTGCAGACACATCCTGACACATCGACAACTCTTCGTCTGCGGCGGTAGACTTGTCGATCTCATCCATCTCCTGATCGTCAATTCCGACCGTGCAATGGAGCGGAGCATCTATGTCAGGCAGATTCACTAGGGTATGTTCCGCAGGAGCGCGACACCGGTCACTATTGTATGTTGCATGATGTACTCCGCAATAATAAAACACTTTGCGGTCTACATCAGAAAAAAGCTGAGCAAGAATGAAGGAGGATGTCTATTTGTGTGTGTTGTGCGACGCGTTGTCCAGCCTGACGCTCGCCGTCACAATCACCAGTTCAAACAGTGAGGATGCATCGACTAGGCGGTGTCGGCCTTGCTGCCTTCGACCGTCAGCAGCAGTCCCAGCGGTCCTTCGCCGCGCTCTCCACCACCCTCTCCCAATCCCAGCTCGACAACCTCCACACCCAGCTCGCCCAGTTCCGCGCCGCGCTCACCCACTTCGCCACGCACCGCCGCGCGGACATCCAGCGCGACCCCCGCTTCCGCCATGCGTTCCAGCAGATGTGCGCGACGATCGGCGTCGACCCCCTCGCGGGCCCGCGGCGCGGCGGCTGGTGGGAGGAGGCACTTGGGCTCGGCGACTGGCAGAGCGAGCTCGGTGTGCAGATCGTCGACGTGTGCGTCAGCACGCGCGAGCGCAACGGCGGCATCATCGAGATGGGTGAGCTCGTCCGCCTCGTAAGTAGGCTGCGCGGCGTCGACGGCGGCGCGGTCTCTGAGGAGGACGTCGTGCGCAGCATCAAGTCGTTGCAGCCGCTCGGCGCGGGATACGAGGTGATCGACTTCGGGGACGGGAGGAAGATGGTGCGGAGTGTAGTCAAGGAGCTCGATGAGGCTCAGATGGTCGTCCTCGCGCTCGCGCAGGAGCACGGTGGGCGGGTAGATGAGGATCTCTTGGTCTTGACGCAGGGATGGACACCGGAGCGTGCCAAGGCGACGTTGAGAAACATGCTTCTTCGAGATGGGACTTGTTGGGTGGATGATCAGGATGGTCCAGATGGAATGGGGCGTTCATACTGGGTTCCGTCCGCGATGCATTGGGATGAATGACACAATTTGCAGTAAGCCGCAGGTCAGTTTGATTCCTTGTTCATGAAGAGGCTGATCAGTATGTTATATTCAGTTCATTGTAGCAGACATGTATTATTGTATCATTAGCCTCCACGCATGCTATACATCAATCATGGGCGATTTCTCTCTATATAGCCCAATTTGCCTATTCAGCAGAGACTAGCAGACTAGAAACTCTGATCAAATCTCTGAAGGTCTGACGAGCTGCGTGGGCTTCGTCATCGAGACGGTGAATGGCTACACACAAAATGCTTCACGTCTCCAATAGCTGCAAGGGTCGGTTCTTCGCCTTGTTATTTTTATGATCTTGTGAACTGTATAACAGTATTCATGACCGACATGATTCCTCTACAAAGGCTACATACTCTCAAGTGAAGTGGGAGGGAGGAGGCGTGAGCGCCCCCGCCGCGCCACTAGGGTCACCAGGGTGAAGTCTGGAGAGAGGGTGCATCGTGGGCGACACCTCAGAGGAGGTAAGAAACTTGCTGCATCGTCTCATACGGCGCGGCAGAATCGTCAACTATTTACTAGGCACGGCATTCGATGACGCAGTCGGAGGGTCCGAGGATTTCAGATGATCTTATAATTAGTTGTGGCGATTCAAGCTTCAGGTGATAAAACGGGGACTTGGGAAGCTAGAGTGAAATTATTCTAGTCGTAAAGGGACCAATGATCACCCTTCAAAGCACACAGAGAATCAGGAAGAGCTGTTCATTTCATAAGTGTGAAGACGAGAACAAAGTAGACGAGTAACTTACCTGTGCTGCTGTCGTTGCTTAGCCTATCAAACTCTATACATGCGAGTTTCATGGCCCACAGTTGCCATGCTTCGGTGTAGTTCAAAGGCTCCTTGTAGCAGCATTGCTAGTTCGTCGCCGTATGAGGGAGTGAGATGGCGAAAAGCAAGGGGAAGGAAGTTGGTCCTCGCATGGTCGACGGAAAAGATTAGCCCGCCGAGCCTATGCGAAAGTTTCCCCAATGAAGGTCACCTATGCAGAGCGAAAGCGGTATGCCGGCCTTCTCCGATAAATTGACCGTCCGTCTATGTCTTCTGTAAGCGAGAAACTAAGGTAATTCATGTGAACACTTGACGTGAAGAGTGAAGAGCACTACTCACAGCATTGATATGCTCCTCAAGGAGGTCGACCGAGCTGTATGTCACGGAGGATATGCAACCCGAGAACATACGGTGCATGATAGGTCCTCCATTAATCGGCCCCGGTGCCGATGTGGGACTGGGGATCTGTTGGAGATGTTTGACGGCTAAGGCAATTTTGGGGAAGTCGTCTCTAGTACAATCTCGATCCCCGACGTGCTGCATCGCAATGTAGCCGACATTGTTGTGATAGAATGCAAGATAAACGATTGGAACTCGCACGTCGCTGTTGTTGCCCTCGTTTACCTGTTTCGCGAGAAAGTCCTGAGTGCGAGCCTCACTCATTCCCACTCCGTGCCCTCACTTGACGACAGCAGCATCGGAGCCATCAGCCTGGTGTATTGTGATGTTCGAGGGGCCTCCCAACCGTGTTTCAAGCATTAGAGTACTATGTTCTCAGGAGAAGGCAGCCATGCAGGAATACTGTCGTTCTTGAGAGATGGCACTATCGACTCTACCATCTGATTTAGAGAAGACAGAAAATTAGCTATACGAACAATGAGATCATAATTTCTAAGACGAACGGCTCCTGGTTTGTACCTAGAGTTTCGTGATGTTGCTGGCGGTATGGCCACGATCCGTGTCGCAACGCCTCAGTCAGGTCGGGGACAAGCGACGCATCTGATTGCAAAGCAGGACGCTCATCGACTTCGCACGAGGATGTCAAAGCCTTCATCGATATGATCATGTGCCAGAACATTCGAAACTTCGCCATGTCATGTCCTTTGCCGCCATCATCGAGTGAACTCACAACTGGGGAATCTCGCTCGGAAAGTCTCGAAGGAAACCTGGATTGCGATCACTGTTAGGACAACGAGCACGGAGACTCGACTAGGTGACACATGATTACGTGCAGGAGCAGCAGGCGCCCAAAGGCGGCGGCGTCGGCCATTCTCCATTCTCTCTGGATATTCGTATCTGGCCTCGACAGAGCTGTATTTTTGATCAATGTGGATGCTGTGTGGAAATCTACTTACGTCGTGGAGTCAATCGAGCCACCATCATCGCGATTGCGTCTCGACAGATGCCCGGGCAACTGGTGTACTCTGAAACACTTGCAGAATCGAAAACCCATCCGATGCTCCGGATTTGCAGGCCTGATCACCGCAGGAACCATCCCTGATTCGTGGAACCATCATTATACCAAGGGCCAGAGTGTGTCGCAGATCAGGCTCACTTCTACAGTGCCTCAATCGCGTTGCGTATAAATCCAGAGCACACTGATCCCGAAGGCCTGCCTGCCTTGGTTCATTGCCTGACCTGCGAGTTGAAGACGTTCGCCTAGGCAGACTTTGACCCGAATACCGTATAACGACGCTGCTCGTGGTCTCCATAGCGGCCCCTCCCTCTGTTCGTCTTCTATCTCCGATGAGATATCTGCATTTTCAGCGCAGGAGTAAGTATGGGCGTTGACAGGTAGCCTACATTCGCGACACACAGCCACCGATCAAGCCACACCCGCTGGCTTGGGCCGATGGATCCTGGGGAGCGAATCTCGAAACCGGAGGCAGCTGGGTTTTGTCGGCCATTTCTGGGCAGAGGAAAGGGTTCGCTCTGCTCTGCCTGACGGGTACAGACCTGACTCGGGAACGTACTCGAGGATGCTATATAACGGATTGCAGCGAGTCACAGCCTGCCTTTGTCGCGTCTCGGGCGTCTATGGATCCTTGGGCGTCCGGATGCGGATCTCATGGACCCCGCTCGCGGCTCAGGTCAACCTATGCCTATATGCTTAGTCCTAGTACACCTGTCCCTGTATGTGTGCCTGTGATTTGTACGGCTTTTCATCGACCCATGCGGCTGCACATATTCCCTCTGGCACACCTGCATTGCGCAGGACACGCGCGTGTGGGTTAACGAGAGGAGGGTCCTGTGCTTTCGTAGGACAGAGAGTACCTGTAGCCGTATTTTGGGGGTAAAAGGCGATGGTGTGCGGGTGGGGAAAGGACACTCTTCCGATCATGTCCAGTACGGGAGATTCTCAGCAGCTCACAAATACTACCAACGACGTATCCCTCGAAACGATCAACCTCCTCGGCACCCTCTTCGCGGGCGTGGCATACGGTGCGTCGTCGGTTGTTGTTTGCTCTCCCCGCGCCCGCGTCCGTCGTGAGTCGTGAGTCGTGCGCCGTGCTGACTGAGTGCGCGAACAGGAGTCGTGTTCGCGCTGTTCTGGCTGTCGATGCCGAGCCTGTCGAGCGCGCGCATCGGGCGGTGGCTCGCGATGACGCTGTGGCCGTTCACGCTCGCGACGGCGTGCCTCGGCTTCCAGATCTGGTGGACGGTCACCGCGCTCGTCGACCACCGCGCGTACCCGGGCGGGCCGGACGCGTGGATCTCGCAGCACGGTGCGGACGCGAAGAACATGGTGCTGAACGTATTGTGAGTACCGCACAGTATTCGTGTCCGCGCGGCGGTGCGAAAGCGGAGGCTGGAGGACTCAGGAGCATCGTTTATTATAGGTATGTCGTGCTGACGTGGACCGCGGACCTCGTCATCGTGAGTGTTTGGGTTTCGGTCGCAAGGAGCGCTGGGGGCTCATTATTGGTTTTGTCGGGACAGATGTATCGCTCGTATGTCATATTCAACCACAAGCTCGCGGTCGTCATACTGCCCTCTATAATGTTCGTGGCCACAGTCGGTCAGTCCTCCTTTCCAGAGATGATGAGAAAAAGAGAGGTCGCTCACGACGCGTCCCGCAGTCACAGGCTCGCTGTCTCTCTACAACCTGACGCGCTCGCAGGCCGCCGAGCACGAGATCGCGGACTTTGCAATCGCGTACCGGACAATCTCGCTCTCGCTGAACGTGATCCTGACCTTCCTGATCATCGCGCGGCTGCTCTACATCCGGCGCGAGGTCAGGAAGCTGCTTTCGGAGACGGCAGGCGGGCGCGGGCTGCGGTCGTACACGTCGGTGGTCGCAATGCTAGTCGAGTCGGCGTCGCTCGAGACGGCGACGGCGCTGGTGTACATATGCTTCGTGGGCGTAGGGAGCCCGCTGCAGGACGTGTTTCTGCCGGTGCTGGGGCAGGTGCAGGTGTGTTTTTCGGCGGCCCAACGAGGGCATCTCATCGGGACGGCGATGCTAAAAAGCATGCGTGTGCGTCCGCAGGTGATCTCGCCGCTGTTGATCGTGTATCGGGTGTTCCGCGGCCAGGCGTGGGAGCGGGAGACGCAGCGGACGTTAACGCAGCAGACGCACGAGCTGCCCGTGGCGTTCAGCCCGAAGTACAAGTCAGACAACCTCAGCTTCATCTCGCGGCCGGGGGGCGAGGGCGACCTCGGGAGCGCTGGCGACGCGAAGCCGCCTGCATCGCGCTCCGCCCGCTCGTCGCGTTCTCACGGGAAGGCCGAGTTTCGCGCGGTTTCGTTGGACCTGAAGCGCAATTCCGACAGCCCCTCCGAGCGGTCTGTGATAGAGAGCGAGCTCGCGACCGCCGTCGGGTCCGCGCCGAATCCGTACCGGACGTTCCACTCGCCGTACTCGTCGTGTTCTCTCACCGACGCCGATCTGTACACGGTCCCGCCGCTGTCGACGAGCCCGCGGCCACAGTCGGTTATTTCCTCGGGACTTCGCCTGTCGCGGCCGCCTAGCGCGCTGCATCGCAACTCTGTGCGCCGGGAATGGGGATTCAGTACGACTTGCCTTGTTTTCCGCCGACAATTGAATGCTAATTAATTTACCGTCGTAGGCCGATGATGGTAGGTGCACCTGGGAATATTGTGCACACACCTGCGGCTCTGGGTCGATACATACGCGGCCCCTAGGCGCTCGCCGCTGGACAGCAGGTCCCAGGCAACGAAGGACGGAGGCGGCACATACGAGGACACTTTTCTACGCGTGTGGTAGGCGATGCTGTACATAGCGCGCACTGTGGGTCCGAATGTGTATGCCGCTTGACGTTGTGGCGAGACGTGGCAGCTTGGAGTCTGGCAGGCGGGTGACCGAAAGCGGAGAGTGAACGACTCAACGCCAGAAATTGAAAGTCCGCGGTGTGTCCAAACTCCTCCGTTGCCTCCGACGGGCTACAGCCGAGCGATGAGCTACTATCCAGAGCACGTCTACTACCAGTCCACCCAGCACGACCCCCTCGCCCCCCTCGCCGCCGTCCCCAACGTCGTCCGCCGCTGCTCCGTCAAGGGCTGCAGCAAGCTCCTCCCAGATGCATACGCCCTCAAGATGTGCGACGCCTGTCGCGGCAGACATCGCATCTATGCGAACACGAAGCGCGCGAAGCGGAAGCAGGAGAAGGCCGCAGTCGGCGCCGCGCAGCCTATCCGTGCGTGCGATCCCCTTATCCGCTCCTTTCTTTGTCTGCACCGCCGTCCAACACCCTCTCTCCCACCCACAGCCTCTGCCCCCGTTTCGGACCTCGCACCCCCGCCGTTGACCCCGCCCTCTTCCACGCCAGAGGTGAGCATCTATGCTGGTCTGTTCGTTCGTCCTGTAAGAACATACCGGAACTCTCGGTGAGACGCCCGTATCGAGGCCCTCGCACAGCCCCCACGCCCACTCGCAGTGAAGGCTAGTAAAAAAAGAAACGCTGTCGCAGCCACAGTGCACATAGTCTGGAATTTGGGCCGGCTGGGTCTGGTAAAACCAGTCGCGTCCCTCGATGGGGTTGCCCATTACCAATTGGCCCACCAGGCATGATATTAGGCACCGATTCTCAAATCTCCCCTGACTCCGCCTCCAAATCTGTCCAAGCTCGCTTTGTGCTGATCACCGTGCTCGAAATAGCCCGCCGCCTCTTCGCGATCGCAGCTGCCCCACCAGCCATTCGAGACCCACGTGTGGTCCCCGGAGATCGACCCTCGTCTCTTCAGCTCCGCCTCCGAGCTCGCAGGCGCGCTCACCCTCCCGCCCCTCCACCCGTCCGCGACCTCCCTCACGGGCACCCTCACCGACATTCGCGGCCCTACGAAAGAAAGCGACGGGTCCACCGCCGCGCAGTCCCCGCTCGCTCTCGAGGCCATCCCGCCCCGCTATTGCTCCATTAAGGGCTGCAAGGCCATCATCGGCGGCGACTACTTTTACAAGATGTGCGTCCCGTGCCGCAGCCGCTACCGCGGGTACGGCACCACCAAGCGATCCAAGTGGAAAAAGGAGCGCGACGCGGCGCTCGCCGAGCTCGCGCATGCCAGGAAGATCGAGGATCAGAGGCGCGCAGACGCTGGACTCGATGTACGTGCTGTCTCCTCCCCCTTTCTTTCCTTTTTTTTTCATCTCGTTTCTTCTTCCTTCCTTTCGGGCGCTCACTCTCGAACGCTCACTGCAGCCGCTTGACGAGCTCCCTGCGTGCGAGCAGCGGGCCTGGGAGAGCAACGTCCTGCACGGCCTACCTCCGCCGGATCCTGCTGAGTACTCGCCCACGTCGCAGCTGCCCGTGCGCATGTGCACCGTGTCGCACTGCCATGCGATCCTGCCCGGCCACTACGAGTTCCGACGGTGCGTGCAGCACCGCCTGCAGAACAGGCACCACAGCAAGCTGAAGCGCGTGCGCGATAAGGAGGTCAAGGCGGTCCCGCTCATGAACGAGGGAGACGCTGGCGGAGAAGGAGAACGTGAGGGTGAGGGTGAAGAGGAGGGAGAGGACGAAGAGGAGGGAGAAGGCGAGAGTGTAGGCAAGAAGAGGAGAGCGGTGGAGCCGCTGTACACGCACGAGCCGCTGGATTTCGATCGCGAGCGGAAACACACACCGGACGAGGTAGGGAGCGCCCGTTTGCGTCGCAGCAGACTGATTTCTGACCATCTCTGCGCTTTTGACAGGCCGAAGGGTCTTCCGCGCACGCGTCGCCCTCGGGCATCCCGCCTCCCGCGCGAGGCATGCGGCGCACGAACCACGTCTGCTGCATCAAGTGGTGCCACAACCTTCTCGACCCGACCGTGCCCTGGAAGATGTGCGAGACCCACAGGGAGAAGGACCGCGTCGCGCGCAAGCGCAAGGCGGACCGCGACAGGGAGAAGAAGCTGTATGACGCGGAGGGCGGCGCGCGTGCGCAGCAGCAGCAGGGGATGATGACTTTCGTGATGGAGAGTGTGAGCGGGCGCGGGCGGGCAAGTGAAGATCAACGGCGGGCGGGGGAGGATACTGAGGAGGGGTCTGTGGGCGTGGGTGTTATGGCTCCGGCAGTGCCTGGCGAGCTGACGTCTGCCTTGTCGTCGTCGTCGTCATCGCCATCATCGTCGTCATTATCGTCGTCGTCGACGCTCTCGATTCAGTCCGCGGCGGACGCCATATTCATGGACCCACTCTTGCCGCCTCCCATCGCACAGCAGCTGAGCACCCAGTCTTCCCTCGCCTCGCCTCGCGAAGGTCCAGTCATCTCTGTCGCCGGGACATCGCCCACGAACGCGGGTGCGGCACCGCCGGAGGCTGTCACTGCTGCTGCCTCTAACGACGCGCAGACCGACGGGCGCGCAACGGACAGGGAGGAGCCACCGAAGAAGCTGCAGTGCGGGCCGTTTGGGCGCCCGCCAAAGGCCCTCAAGTACGCGAAGCTGTATGTGGATACGGTGACGGCGCCGTTGGTGAGTGCAGCGACGCGCAGTGTCGTGCCATCGAAAGATGTGTCTGCCCCAGCATCGTACGCGGCCACTCCTACTCCCATCCCCGCAGCGAACCGCCCCAGCGCGGTCTCCTCCACCACGACAACCACACCATCAGCACCGACACCAGCACCGGCACCGGCACCGGCACCGGCATCAGCACCGGCACCGGCATCAGCACCGGCACCGGCATCAGCACCGGCGCCAGCACCGGCACCAGCACCGGTGCCGACACCGGCACCGACACCGGCACAGGCATACACCCAGCCCCAGCGCCCGCTCGCGTACACGGACACCACGCCTGCCGGCGCCCCGCACATGCAGCCGCAGTTCCAAGTGCCGTACTACATGCCGCCGCCGTACAGCGTACCGTACGGCGTCGGCCAGCCGTCGTACTTCGCGCCCGTGGGGCTCTCGCCCGCGTACGCGGCGTACAGCCCGTTCGCGCCCCCGCCCCCGGCGTACCCAGCATATCAGCCGTCGGCGTTCACGAGCTCACCGTTTACGCGGCCGTACATGTACCCAGGCGCGCCCCCCGCGTCAATGTCAGAGTCGGGCGCGGGATCGGGCGCGGGCGCGGGGACGGCGCAGTGGCAGCCGTACGCGGCGAGCGCGCCGTTCGTGAACATGAACACGGACATGAACATGTACGACCCGACCGGACAGGTGCGTGCCTTTTCCTCCTCTTGTTCGCCGCGCGCGTTGGATTGACGGCGTCGGCGTCGGTGCAGCCGCCGAAGCCTGCGAAGAGAAAGCGGGGGCAGGCATCTGGAAGCTCGACGCCCGCGCCTCGTGGGCTGGCTCAGGACGCCGCGGCGCGAGGTGTGGCTCCAGCTACGGTCGAAGGCCACGTGCACAACACGGCGGTTAGTGTGCATGGTGCGTCTAAGAAAAACGACCTTTCGCCGACAGCCGACGCCGTCGGCGGAGTGGTGCATAAAGACCGGACTCGGACGACGGTAAGCGACCTTTCGCGCAGGGCAGCACACGCGAGATGCTAACGATGGCGACGTGCCCGGACGCAGCTGCGCGCGTGCGCGAGCGAAAGCTGCCGCAGGAAGATACTCGAAGCTGCAGGTGGAGCATTGTGCGAGCGCTGCAAGGCGCGGATCAGGAAGAAGCAGGAGCGGACGCGGCATCGGCTGCGGCTCGAGCCGCGGAAGATCGTGGCTGGGAAGGTGGCATCCTGACGGCAAGGCAGGGTCGAAGGAAGGAGGAAGAGAGAGAACACAACAGGAAAAGGAAGGGAAGGTTGCGCGTCGTCGGCGGGTTGCTGGGATCTGAGAGAAGAATTTATAAGGTCAGGTTATTGGGTTATCCGTCTGTTGTTTGTCCCCTCCCTGTTGTTGCCACGATTATCTCCACGCCCGAGTTTATGCTGTAGCTTTAGTAGTAGAGGTGGCTTGTCCCACCATCTGTCGTGAATGTATGAACTATTCTGACTCTTTCCATGTTGACTAGCATCAGCGCTGAATTTACGGGGCGGCGAGGTTTCAGATCAAGCAAGTCTCATCGTTCAGTAGTGCGTTCGACATCGATACTGTAGTTCTGCACGGCACGCATATGCGCTGCGGAGCATCTGTACTTCTACACTTGAAAAACATAGGTGCGAGACCCTTCTATCGTGATATATATGGAGCCGAAAAAGGTCCCTCACACTACACACGCTCAATCGTCGTCATCCTCCCAGCTTTCCGGCACGTTCGCGTCCACCTCTTTCCCCGCCACGCTCTCGCTCCCGCCGTCGACCACGCCAGCCCCCCCGCGCCCAGCGAGCGGAGCAGGCGCGGGCGGAGGCCCAGCCTTATCAGCCTTGTCTTGCGATGGCGGCGCGGGCGACGTGTGACTGCTGCGCGCCGCGGCGTCCACGCCCTCGGCAGCAGCAGCAGCGGCCAGGGCCCACGGCGTCGTCGAGCGGCTCGGGGTCACAGACGCTGAATGAGCGGGGCGCGCGACGACAGCCGTCCACCCGCGGCTCGCCGCGCCGCCAGACGTACTGGGCGCGCGGGGCTGCGGGGCCGGGCGCTGGGTGGCGGGCGTGCGGAGGTCGGCGAGCTTGCCGAGGGTGGTGGTGGAGAGGAGGGGGCTTGGGAGGCGCGTGTCAAGGCGGCGGATGAGCTGCACGCTGCGGTTGGGTTCTTGGTCGACCATCTGCGTGTCCATACGATAGACGGCTGCGAGCTGTGTGCGGCAGGCGTGGACGAGAGGGTCAGAAAGTGCATAAGGTGGGGGTAGAGAGGGGAGAAGAGAGGGAGAGACGCACGTCACGGACGAATTTCCTGCGGTCAGGAGGCATGCGCGGGAGAACCTGGACTTTCTTATCCGCCGCGACGAACCTGAACCGCGAAACGTCAGCCTCGCGAAACCACGACACCGATTCAAAAACGAAAAGCGACGCACTCCGCGAGCGTCTTCTCGACCAGCGCCACAAACTTCCCATTGGCACCAACGCGCGCAAACGCGACCAACTCCTCGCCATACACAATCTGCCGCTCCCCAATCCCACCACCGCTCCCCCCACCACTCCCTCCACCCCCACTCCCGCCGGCGCCCGCGCGATCCTTCGCCTCGGGCACGATCCCAAGTGCCTCCGCGAGCCGCGCATTGCGCTTCGCGACCGCGCATTCGTTCGTGCACCGGAGCTGCAGCTGCGGGCTCGCCTCGCGCCCCGCGGCGTTTGCAGCGCAGCGCCCGCACGCCACGGGCTGCTGGATACGCCCGCACGGGCACGCAACGGTCACGATCGCGCGGCACGGCTCGGTCTCCTGACACGTCGACGGCGCATGGCACGGCTGCGTGCAGGGATGGTGCGCGGGCGCGCTACACGCACACACGCGGGCAAGCAAACAACCAAAAGAAAAGCAAAGTCGAGTCAAGTCAGCGTCCACACCGCGAGGCGGAAAGACGGAGGGGAGACGCACCACAGCTTGCGCGGCTTCCCGCACACCTGCGCACACGGCCCGCACTCGCCGCCATGGCACAGCCGCTCGCACACATGGAACCCGCAGCCCAACAAACGCCCGCACGCGCCGCCGCAGCCGACGCGCTCGCGCGCCTGTGCGCACCGCACGTTGTCCACGCGACGCTTCCCGCACGCGCACAGCTTCGTCGTCAGGAACGGGCACGGCGGGCACCCGCCCGCGTCGTCCGCGTGGCACGCGTGCGGCGAGCGCGGGTGCCCGCACGCAGGCGGCGGCCGCGCGCACGGGTGCGGGCAGCGCAGGCGCGTGCCGCACGGGATCGGGGGGTCGAGGATCGTGAGGCCGCAGTGGCAGATCATCTATGCATGCGCGAAGCATCTCACCATGAAGCCCAGTCCAGTCTAGTTAGATGACAAGCACGCGACGCACCTCTTCGAACGAGCTCCGCAGACAGGACGGGCACGGGCCCTTGTGGTCCCGCTCCTCGCAGCGGTGGTTCCCGCACGCGAGCGGCTTCCCGCACACGAGGTCGCACTCATGCCAGCCCGCCTCGTCCACGATGTCCTGCGGCCCCGCCGCCCCGCCGCCGCCGCGCTTGCGGCTCTTGCCCTTGGCGGCGCCCGTGCCCGCGAGCGCCGCGAGGGGGCAGCACACGCGCGTGCACTGGTGGCGCCCGCACATGCGCAGCGCGCCGCAGGGCCTGTCGCACAGGATCTCTGGTGCGGGCGCGGTGCTGCCGACGGCGCTGCACGGGACATTGCGCGTCGTCGCGCCGCACCTGCACGGGCGCACGAGCGGGATGGAGCACGGGGGGCACGGGCCGGGGTGGCAGCGCGCGGCGCACGCGTGTGTGCAGCCCGCGAGGGGCTTGAGGCAGAGGGATGTGCAGGTCGGGACGGGGTCGGTGCAGGCTGCGCGGAGGAGGCGGGCTGCGGGGAGAGAGGGGGGGAAGAAGGGCGCAGAGGTGGGGTGGAGGGGGTGTTTACCGCAGGGGCAGTGGGTTGTGAGGGCTGGGGAGAGGGGGCAGGGGGGAGGGATGCGGGAGGGGGGATGGCAGGGCTGGGTGCACTGATGAACGGCGCAGGCGAAGGGTCTAGACAACACAGTTTCGTCGATTAAAGCCGTCCCCACCCGGATACGACGAGGATTCGGGCTGGAGGAAGAACGTACCGATCGCATGAATTGCCGCAATCAAAAGACCCGACCCACTGCTCCTCCTCCTCCTCGCCGTCTCCGCGCACCACCGCGCACGCCTTCTTCTCTCCCTCCCCGCACGCAAGCCTCTTCTCCACCTTCCCACACCAGCACCGCGCCGCCTCGGTCACTGCGCACGGCGGACATGCGCCGGGATGGCACGGCTCTGCACAGACGTGGTTCCCGCAGGCGAGCCGCTTTTCGCACGCGCGGCCGCAGGAGAGGTCCGCTCGCGCGGCGTCGGCGGTCGAAGACAGGGACGGGGACGTGTGTGAGCACCGGAAGGAGACCGTCTGCTTGCCGCAATGGCACGGGCGCTGCGTCGTCACCTGGCAGGGCGGGCACGGGCCCGGATGGCACGCGAGTGCGCAGGGGTGCCCGCACGCGCGCGGGCGCGAGCAGGGGCTCGCGCAGGAGTGAGGCGTCGAGAGGCGCGGGGGCTTTGGGTCCTGGGTGGAGCCGCAGAAGCACCTGCCGGACGCGGGTCAGGGCTATCGTGAGCAGGTTCAGAGAAGGGACCGGGCGCACCAGTAGCAATGCGGGACAGTCTCGCGCTTGAACTGGCATCCGGGGCAGCGCCAGTCACCCTTCCTGCCGCTCTCGCCGCGCGCACGCCAGGCATCCTCGATGTCCTTGACGCTCTTCGCAGCCCACGAGCGGACGCACTTGAGGTGGAAGGTCGTCCAGCAGCACTGCACGCGCTCCTGCTCGTGCTCGTGCTCGTGGCCGGCGGGGGGCGCGGCGTCAGGGTCGTGCGGGACGAAGGCAGGAGAGCAGGACCAGGTCGGCTGGGCGGGGACGATCGCGTTGAAGCAGATGGGGCAGTCGGGGTAGGGCGGGGTGCACAGCGCGCGGGTGAGGTTGGACGTGAGGTCGTCCGGCTCGGGTCTAGCGGGCCTCTTACCGGCGTTATTTGGCTTGCGCGCGCGGTTGGCATGGGCGTTGGGGTTGAGGGTGCGGTTGTGCGCGTGCGCGTGATCGGGGTCGTGGGCGTGGGGCACGCGGTCGCGCCGGGGGGCGACGGCGGAGGGATCTGCGTCTGAGGCTGGGGGCTCTGCGGAGGACGCGGGTAGGGTGAGCCCGGCGTTGAATTTTGCGCGGCGTTTGTTCGTGCGGGGCGCGGGGGGCTGGGGGCCATCGGCACTGGACGAGAGCGCAGTGGAGGCCGTGTCTGTCCCGGGAGACGCGGACGCGGGTGGGGGGCGCTGAGACCGGCCTGCACGCGGGCGTATCGGTCTGTTCAGTTGTCCGGCAGAGGGGACGCGCGCGGGCGGGGCACCGTCGCCAACGGCAGAGGGTGCGGGGGTGCTCGGAGGCTGTCTGTTGGAGTCGCCTCTGTCTCTCGGCCTGATATTGTTATTTCTGCGAGTGTGGTGCCGCTGTTGGAGTGTGTCTGCACCTACGCCAGCATCGCCGGCACTGCGAGGGGCGTCACTATCCCGCCATGAATCGCCGGTAGCAGCAGGCCGGCTGCGTCTGTTGGGATCCGGCAAGCGGTTTGCGGTCGAGTTTTGTGGGAGTTGTTGGGACAATGGCACTAATACGTCTGTCTGGGGTGCAGATTGGGGCTGGAGAGCAGAGGCCATGGAAAGGGGAGGAGGAGGAGGAGAGTGAGCGGGTTTGGAGTGAGCGCAGGGCTGAAATAAGTCGGTCGATGAGTCAGCTGCGTGTGCGAGTCACGGCGGGTCACGGTGAGGGAGCCGTGAGTCACGCCTCCGACGGCTTCAGCCTGCCCTCCTACACCGACTCTCCTCGCAACCAACAGCATCCAACTCGCACACAACCGAGCACTGTGCAGCAGCAGCAAGTCCACGAGGCATCATGGCGACCGCCTACTACGAGTTCTATCGTGGCTCCTCGTGCGTCTCTCTCTCTCTCTCTTCCAGGCACACACACCCCGCCTTGCTCTCCCGATGTGTCCTGCGATCCACGCTTCTCGAATCACTTCTCACTTGCCTCGTCGTCGCGTCGTACTGCAGGATCGGAATGGCCCTGACGGATTCCCTCGACGAGCTCATCACGAGCGGCGCGATCACGCCTCAGCTGGCCATGAAGGTGTTGCAGCAGGTGAGTAATACTGAGTACTTCGGGGTGCTCGATCGGCACGGCATCCTCGTTGGTGCCGTGGTAGCCTCTGCGCTCTGCTGCGGTAATCAGACGGGCGGGCGGGCGAACGAACGACGCTGATTGACTTCCACGCTCCCTCCGTCCGCCTCATCGCCAATCGCCCCGCAGTTTGATAAATCGCTCGCGGACACGATGGTGAAGCAGGTCAAGACGAAGACGACGCTCAAGGTACCGTCCGCCCCGCGTCTCCCGCGCGCCGCTCACCCGTTTCCTTTTCCAACCCTTCTTGTGTCTCCTCTGTCCCTTGCCCGTCCACCGCTCTGTCCGCACGCGCGCAGGGCCACCTGCACACGTACCGGCTGTGCGACGACGTGTGGACGTTCATCGTCAAGGACGCGTCTTTCAAGATGGAGTCCAACGAGATGGTCAGCGCGCCGAAGATCAAGATCATCGCGTGCAAGAACGGGGACGCGATCGAAGCAGGGAAGAAGTAGCGCCGCCGCTGCCGCCGCATGTGCTTTCGACTCGTTTCTGCACTGCGGGAGGGCGCGGGCGCGGGCTGTCGAGCGTCGATATACGATAGTAGAGAGCGCCCAAGCTATAGGATTCGCGCACGGCGGCGGCAGCTGTGTCTCTGGGGCGAGCGCCGAGCTGTGTGCAGTGTGTTTTTGCGGAGCCTCTCGCCGATTGTATTGTATTTCCACGACTGCGTCTAATATATATTCTGCGAGTCGAGTTGGCCTTCAAGCGCTGACAGACATCTGCGAGTTGCTTACGTACTCAAGTGGCCTCTGTCTTCGCACGACGACCACGACGTCGACCTCGACGACGACTACGACGACGACGACAGCCATGCCCGACCCGCCGCCCCTCCCGCTCCCCGAGCCCCCCACAGCCTCCACCCTCGCCTCCGCACGTGCCGACCTCGCAGCCACGCACGCAGCCCTCGCCATACTCACCGCCAAGGTCTCCGCCGCCGAGTCCGACCTCGCCCGCCTCGTCGCCGTCGCTCGCGCCTCCATCGTCGACCTCGACGCCCAGCGCGCCGCTCTCGAGCTCCGCGCCGCCCACGCCCGTGCGTACGTCGCCCCCGTGCGCCGCCTTCCCCAGGAGCTCCTGCGCCAGGTGTTCCTCATGAACTGGGAGGAGTACCCCTGCTGCGGCTGGGTCCTCGCAGCCGTATGCACCACCTGGAGACGCCTTGCACTCTCGATGCCCGTTATTTGGTCGAAGGTGCGTCGACGCTCCCGCGCAGGCTCTTTCCCTCTCGCCGTCCTCGGCTGCAGGCACGCCTTGTCTTTTGCGATTTGCAGTGACGATAGAAAGTTGTATTGCGACACTGGCATCTCACAGGCGTCCAGGAATTCTCTTTTCGTGGGCATACTTGAGGGGTTTTTTGAGCATTTCCAAAGACACTCGCACTCTCGTCGAGTAGCATAGCCCCTGCAGCGTGTTCGGAACATCGGACGGCGCCAGACTCTATATCACCCCGTCTGGGCAGCCTCTCTCCCACGTCTCTTCATACTCGGGTGCACCGCCAGCCCTACAATAGCTCCGAGCCACCCACCTTCCATCTTTAAATACCCACCCTTCTCGAACAGGGGCATCCCCAAACGTGACCCCGCGCAGACACCCACGCTGACGCTGACGTCCCCCGCCCTAGATCCGCCTCGTCACCTCTCCCACCGCCTCCGCCGACACCATCCGCCTCTGGCTCGAACGCGCCGGCCCCCGCGTCCCGCTCGACATCGAGATCTTCCTCCAAGTCTCCCCCGCCACCAGCGCCCTCGCCAACGGCGCCCTCGCGCGCCCGCGCATTCGCGCCGGCTCCCCATGGACTTTCCCCGGCACCACGACCTCCCTCTTCGGCGGCGGCGGCGGCATCGCGGCCGCCACCGCCGCAGCTGCCGCGCAGCTCGTCGCGTCGCTCGCGCCCCCGAACACGGCCGCGTCCATCCAGATCATCCAAGGCGGCGGCCCGGGCACACCGATCTTCCTCCCCGCGCCGCCGCCACCGCCACCGCCCGCTAACGGCACCACGGGCGCGTTTGACCTGTGGGGCCCGCTGCCGGCGGCCGTGTCGGTCTCCGCTGCCCCGCACCCCGCGCACGAGGTCGGGCTGCTTCCCCCGCCGTCTGCGTCCGTCCCGCCGTCTGCATTTGCGTCGACGTCGGCTGCGAGCTCCGCGCAGGTGGCGGCACAGGCAGCGGCACAGGCGGCGGCGGCTGCTCAGGCGCAGCTGGCGCGCGCGAGTACACATTGGGGACACATCGCGATGTTCTATCTCGTTGAGCAGATGGCGCGGTGGGAGCGCTTCGTGTTCCGCTTCGATCGGCAGTTCCAGTCTGCGGCCGCGCTCAAGAGCATCATGGGTGCGTCTCCGTCCCGCATTTTCGGGGCGTCTGCGTCCGTGTTTGGCTGATATCGTGCGTGTGTGCAGGGAACGCGCCGCTGCTGAAAGAGTTTGAGGTCTCGTGCGCGGAGCCGATCTTCTACGGCGACTGGCAGTGGCTCCCGAGCGCAAACCCGCAGGTGCAGCCCGCGCTCCCCGCACTGCAGGCCCTCACGCTCCAATACACCCCCTTCAAATGGACCTCGCCCATGCTCCTCCGCTCCAACCTCCGGCGCCTGCACCTCCGCGCGCTCCCGACACAAACAACGCCGCTCGACCGCGTACTCCACATCGTCGCGCACAACCCGCTCCTGGAGGACCTCACGCTCCACTTCCCAGGCCTCGCCGCGCCCGTGCTCCCGCTCGCGCCGACGCCGCTCCGTGCGCTCACCGCGCTCAGCGTCGGCGGGCACTACCTCATGGCCGCGCTCGTCGACGCGCTCGCGGCGCCCGCGCTGGAGCGCCTCGCGCTCGACATCGACGCGCGCGAGCCGCTCGAGGACTGCATCTCCGGCCTCCTCGCGCGCTCGCAGCACCCGCCGCTGCGCGCGCTCTCGATCGCGTACGGCGGCGCCGGCGGGCTCGGCGGGGGCGGGGGCGGAGGAGGAGGCGGGTTCGGCACGTTGGGCGGCGCCGGCACGGCGTATTTCTACGGCAACGCGAGCGTCGTGAGCTCGTGGGCGTTCCTTGGCGAGCTGAGCCACTTGCGCGCGCTGCACGTCGGCAGCGCGCCGCTCGATCCGCTGCTGAGCGCGCTCGGGGTGCCGGACGACGAGGGCGCGCCGGGCGCCGGTGGCGGTGGCGGAGGAGGAGGCGCGGGTGGAGGAGTGGGAGCGGATGGGGGAGCGGCGGGGGGGTGGGCGTGTCCGTTTTTGGAGCACCTGGCGCTCAAGGCGTGCCCTGCGCACTCGGACGCGGTGGCAAAGCTCGTGCAGATGGTGGAGGGTCGGAACCCCGACGAGGGCGCGCTCGGGTCGGCAGCGGACGGCGGCGGTGCCAATGGTGGTGCTAATGGTGCTAATGGTGGTGGTGGAGGCGGAGGGGGCGCGGTGGCGCGGCTGCGGCGGCTGGAGATGTACGAGTGTGCGGCGGTGGGGCCGGACGTGGTGGAGTGGATGCGGAGGCGGGTGGAAGAGGTGGTGTGCGTCGAGCCGCCGGCAGAGCGGTGTAGCTATCCGGTCGTGTGCGCGTGGCCGTGAGCGTGTGTTCGTGCGCGCGCGTCGGTCTCTCTTTTTTTTTACTGTCGGTCGGCCTGCCCGCTGTCTGTTTCCACTTCGCGTTCGCGTCCTGTCGTCGCTGTCGATTTCCTTTCGTTCGCTTGTCTTGGCCGCACGCGCGTCGCCCGGGCTGTTATGTTGTAACGTACGTACCGCGTATCCTCACCTCTGTTATCTCTGTTGTCCTCGTCGGTCCTCCCTCCGCGCCTCGTGCGTTTTCTTGTGTATTATATAGATGGTCGCTTACTGACTGTGGATAGGACAGGGTTTTTTTTTTTGTTCGAACTTTCCTTTTCTTTCTGCTGGAATGGAGGCTGCGAACGTGCGGCACTACGAGTATGTGGGTCCGTGTGGGCGTGGGCGTGAGACTTGGCCACGAGCGGGTCCCGCGGCCCGGTTTGACCGGCGTTCCTCGCTCGATCCAACCTTGGAGAGACCCACCAGGACCTACCCTGACGTACCCCGCCGTTTCGTCACGAATGATTCACAGTCTATTGAGGATATTTAGCTAGCCTCAACGCAAAACCCCAGGCCTTGAGCTATTGCCAACGCTGCAGCATGCAGCATGCGCCGTGCAGTAGGCCATCCTGGGCGGAATATCCAGCTAGTCATCGACTCATCGCGTCACGTCGGAGGTGCTGAGTCCTGATGCCGCTGCGACGCTTGAATATCGCTCGACGTTCGAGCGCCGTAGGACTATAGTACGCTTGATTGCTTGGGATAGCGTCGGTACGTATGGACGGTATTTTTGGAACGCGTGTAGGCTCACCGGATATGTGCAGGAGCCAGGGCGCGTCGGATACCGTGATGGCGGTTTGGATGTGCGTACCGTGTAGATCGTAGTATATGCTGGTATATGGCGACCTGGCCTGACGTGCCACTTCTTAGTTGACGTCGGTGTGCACTGCGCCCGACAGGCATGAAGAATGACGGATTCGCGGAATCGGATGTTAATTCGCAACCGGATTGGGTTATGGGGTTTTCTATTAGGGCCTGCGGGCGGGCAGGATCTACCAGCGGGTGGGGCGAGAGGTTGTCTGGGATAGCACGTCTGTCAACCTAGATTCGTTGGCATACTACACTGCCAGCGACGGTGTATCCCTCACGATGATATCGCGACTCGTGCTCAACTTCAACGATGCGTCGTCGTCGTTGGCTTCAATTAGTGCGGGACCACAGAGTCAGCCTGCTGCATCCCATACAATGCGAGTTCTCGCAGATTCAGAGATCGTACAATGCGCTGACGGAGTCTATTTTTGCACGCCGTGCATGTTCTGCTCGGAATTCAGCGATCGGCTGAGTGACGTGAACCATTAGCGATGCTAGGCGATGCTGCCTCCCCCATGATCCACAGGGCCATCTCCACGGCCACCTGACTCCGCAACGAAGCGGCCGTTCCGGTGCAAAATGATTGCAATGCCAGTCAGATCCCGGAATGCTGTACAGAGAGGGCTCCGAGCCTAGCTTCGTGAGATCTTCGCGCAGACGCCAGAGGCTCGTGCGTGAGAGGATCGATGCCGTCTTATTGAATGTCGTGCCTCTGCGAGACGGTTCTAAGCACCGAGAAGAGGCGCTGCCTGGTGACTCGGAATTGGTGCCCGTAGCAATTCCGCATGGCGGTACTGTCGATCTTTTCATCTGCGCAGGAAGACCGGCCACGCAGCTTCTGCTCAATCAAATCCGAAAGCTGGCTATCTTATAATGCCTCCAGATTCGGCGTAGCTCGAGGTCTCAAATCTGCTCAAGTCCCATGTCTTTCAGCGCGAACATTCAGGGGGTGTAAGCTCATTCCAGCATTAAAAATTCTTCTGAGGATCAAGCTCAGTGGTTCCGATTCTGCAGCGCTCTCAACGACTATCTGGAACTTGTCGCAGTCGGTAGGCTCCATTCTGAAGCGGAACTTCGAGGCTCGACTTCTGACATGACGCTGTTACCAGTCGTCCTATACTATGACCATATCATCACGCTCTCCATGGAGATCGCGCGCATTTGGTCCCGCCCCCTCTCTAAGCCAGCTCTCTGGTTTTTTTTGAACCGTTACTTGCCCTTCTTTGGGCATATTGTCGTCGTCGTTTTCATCTTGGGAGGAGTCACCCCCGACGACACAAGGTGTGTCCTCGAGTTAACACATGTAAATGTCCAGGTGTATATCGTATTGCTACAGCTGTCAGGCATATGTCTTATTCCACCAGTTCATGCTCATCTTCAATCAGGTGGTGGTAGCCGGTAAGTGCAGTTCGTTATTGTTGCTTTTATATATTGACGATGCACCCTGTTAATGCTCAGTCCTGCTGATCCTGCGCACATATGCATTCTATGGCAAATCGCGCAGCATCCTCGCTGCCCTTTCTTTGATTCTTCTCGCAGCAATAATCCTTGCCTGCGTGCGTTCTTTCTCCTTGAGATATCAACTTGAGTGCATTCTGAAACTCCGGAGCGGGTAGTGGACTTCAATCACACATAATATCAGCATCGTGGTATCTGGAAATCCAATACGTGGGTGTCACAGTGGCCTTTCATATGAAAGGTAGGCTTTCAAGACGGCGGGTGTTTCCGTCTACTAACCTTATCCTTCATTATACAGTGGTGTCTGTGAGTAATTAGTCAGAATGTCTGGTCACTCAGGAATGTCGTTGAGATTTACTGCATGCAGATATCGCGATTGCATGGGAAGCACAGGCTGTGTTCGACGTGGTCGTATTCGCACTCACTCTTTACAAGTCCTACCAACATCAACGGGACCTTGAGTGTTCCCTTGGGTCAAAAGAGGCAGGGTCAGGAAAGGTCGGTTTAGTGGAGCTGTTCATTCGTGACGGTACGTTATATTGCCTCGATCAACTTTGATACCTATTAGCTTACCGTGAATACAGGAGCAGTGTACTTCGGGTAACCCTCGCAACGCCTATACCGTACAGGTTTTTGATGCTGATAGTATTGAATTATACAGGGTGATGGCATTCGTAAACGTCGTCAACGTTTTGACATTCTATGTAAGTGAATTAGACCTTGCTCCTCACAAATCATGCCTGACTGACGACACATGTAGTTAACAGCAGTGCGTTTAACAGTCGCGATTACATCATTGTGAAATCAACCTGTTTGTCACAGGATATATTGCGCGGGTTCTTGTCGACATTTGCCAGCTGGTGAGTATAGTCCTGCGAGAACCGCTAGTAAGATCTACCCACATACTCACAAATCAACCACACCAATAGTATCTCCATCACAATGATGTCGAGACTGATACTGAACTTGCACGATGCCTCCTCGCTCCTGCCCTCTACTCACCGAGCGACGCAATCGATGGCCTTTGCGTCCATACATGGCCCTGTTAACTCTGATATGCTTCCGAGTCTGAGGTCAGCGGATGCGGACGATGATCAGGATGACGATGAGATTCAAGAGGTCGAGCGAAGTCACTCCGAGAGGCCGCCTGCAAATGGACTTGATCAGGCATGACGATCGAATGGCGGTGCGGCTGATAAAATATATGGGGCAAGAGCTTGATTGAGCGAGATCACCAAGAGGCGTGGGCACCTAAAAACAATGTACTTTAGGGACGATTCACATGGACCTTACAGCTTCAAGCTTGAAGCCTGATATCCATAAATTTTTCTTCCTTATTGTTCTACTAATATATGTCTATGACCTATTCAGCCTCCCTGTATCGCGACTTCCCCCATGCGCGAATCGGTCATTGCTTTGCCCTGACACTTATTGCGTGCTTAGAATTGGATATCCATCGAAGTACGACATAAGGCAGCCGAGCGGCAATGAAATAATGGTCATCCTACATGTCGGGGAGATGACACCAATAGCTTCGGCCCACGCTTGAGTTCAATGTACAGTTTTGAATGAATACCTTCTACTCGCACACGTGTTACGGAGGGTTCGCGGCTGTTCATGGAGAGTCCACCCACAAAAAAGCAGTTGCTGTCCGACATTGCTACTCTCCCTCATTTCCCTCTGGCAATTTTTTTCCGAATCTATGGTTATGACCACTTTTCCCTTGCCTGTCGAAGGAATGGCCAACGCCTACAGGCTACACAGACAGCGCGTGCCCTTCGCTCTAGCCTCAGTCGGAGGTAATTGGGGACATTGACCTGTTGAACGGCCGCTGCCGGCGGGGAAACAAATAGCGGCCCGCTGTCTGCCTTCTGGTGCTTTGACACCAGCCTCTTCCAGTCTCCGACGACACCGCCAATGAATCTCATTCTTTTCGCTTCCAGGGAATTCGTTAGCCCTGGTAATCGAGACGTTTAACGCTCATATGGTGGCAATGTTGGGTCTCAAGGATCACGGAAAGAGGCAACTTGTTTTCAGATCTTATCAGCTAGAGCAAACTCAGAAGCAGTCATTATGTGCACGCAGGACACCTTCACTACAGCTCGCTGAAGCACGGTACTGCTCCTTGTACGTCCATATAGACCATGACAGATAGTTGCATAGGAGATAAATTCGAGCCCAAAGAACACCCCAGTATGCTGACTGCATCAATCATCTCCGGCAAATGGAGTGAGCGTGATAGCGCAAAGTATCTCATCTATCTGGCATAATTCGGGCTGACCTCGGCTAATCAGACGAGGAACTTGAGGGGACAGAGAGTCTGATCCTTCTAGATTTCTCTATATTCTTCCGTCAAACCATTCATCATACCTTTGAGACCTCACCGAAGCGTGGTGTTCCGATTCACTTCCGCGCATAGTCCTGCCGACCGTGCAATGATAGAGAAGATCGCACGATCGTAGCCCATGATGATCGTCCCTTTTCCAAGAACTTTACAGGTGCGTTTCGTACTATCGTCCCTTTTCCAAGAACTTTACAGGTGCGTTTCGTACTGCCCTTTTCTGTGGTAGTTGTGCTGAAAACCTGTCTAAACTGCTGTTTATAGTGATCTATGTGTCGCTCATTGAACCATCCTGTAATAGTCGAAACTAGATATAATTTGGGGCGACTGCCTTTACGGTTTACTCTTCCGATGTGCAGGTCTCACAGATCCTCGATTACCATAGCGTCTCAGGTTTTGACATGCTGTTCTCCGCTACTTCCTTCGGCCGGTTCTAACCTTTTGAGACGTGCAGGTCAGTAACTCCTATCTCGGTGCTTGAGGCTGTTTGAATGCGGAGCTGACTCGAGTTGGTACAGCAATGTACTTTGATCACCCGGAGCCACTTTCACAGTGATCCTTTCCGGTGAATTGATTGGATATGATCCCCCTTTTTTTGAGACTGTGTATCAGGCTCTGCATACACAGATCGCTATATCGCGCCTAATTTTTCGCTTCTTTGCTTACTGCCCTCCGCACTTTGCCGAATTTGGAGGCCCGTAAGCTCTTCTCTCGGCTTCCACTTCCATTACATTGCGAGTGTCTGGAGATCCCTTCTAACTGCACATTTGATGGGTCCTCTTTAATAACAGGTCGGAGAGTCTCTCCACTCTTCACACTCCTCTCCTTGCAATCGATGCCTTCAAATTCGGATATCAAGGCCATGTACGCCGCCCTCGTGCCTGCGAGCCTATCGTTATTTTCGAAGAACACATGCTGACTCTATGACTGCACCATCCAGTACGCTCCATGGATACTTGGAGCTTGTCGCCGTCGGCACGTCCTTTCTTGCCCCGTCAACGGTAGGAAGCTAATTTTCAATGGCTCTCACTAGTGATTCTCTACTACGATCACCTCATCACTCTCCCCGCCGAGGTCTCGCGGATATGGTCTCGCGCGCGCTCAAAACCAGCTCTGTGGTTTTTTCTGAACCGTTATGTGCCTTTCCTTGCACACATCATAGTTGTGGTGTTCACGTTAGCGGATATGACGCCTAGCGACAAGGTGACGGCTACTCATCTGCGATGACAGTTTGGTAGGGCTGACAGGTCTATTTCATTTCTTGATTGACAGAGGTACGCCAAGGACTTTTGCTCGCTATATCATCAATAGCTGATGCGATGCATCTAAGCTGTAAAATGTATGGGCTGTTCCACCAGCTTTTGTTGGTCTTCAATCAAACCGTCGTCGCCAGTATGTCCTGCTCATGAAATTCATCTTTTCTTCTCACAAACTTGAGTTAACTCTCAGCTCTGCTTGGACTACGAACCTTTGCATTTTTTGGGAAATCCCTGGTGGTTCTTGCTGTGCTCTGTGCTCTCGGCGCAGCATCGGTGATATTGGGATGCGTACGTGTTCGTTTAATTTAACTTCAGATACATGATCCGCTGATGGTTTGTGTTTGATGTAAACAAGTAGTTATTCTTGATCAAGCAGCATAACACTGTGATTACTGGGGAGCCCCTACATGGCTGCCATACTGGCCTGTCATTTATGAGGTTTGTTCTCTGGGCTACACTTAGGGGCTTCATCTGAATCACGTTTCTCTTGCGACATCTCAACCTTAGCGGCATCCGTATGTTTTCTGTTCTCATCTCATTTGGCACTAGAGCGTTTCATCGACCCTTTCCACATCGATTTAGAGATTGCTGTGCCGTGGGAGGGACAGTTTCTATTCGATGTAACAGTTTTCGGATTGACCGTCTACAAGTCATTCCAACATCGCAGCGAGTCCGAGTGGGCCCGTGGCAAGAGATCGTGGTCAAATCTAGGTTTGATGGAGCTCATCTTTCGGGATGGTGCATCACCTACCTCTGTACACCATTTGTGATTTGCTGACCAGCGGGAACAGGTGCGATATACTTTGGGTAGGTTCTATTGGTTCTCTTCGCGCAAGTCTCATTACAAGCACACACGATATCACAGGGTGATGGCACTGGTGAATCTCGCGAACATATTCACTTTCTACGTATGTCCATTCATCTGCCTTCATTGCTTTATTTTAATAATCTGAAATGTCATGCACCAGTTAACATCGGTACCCCAATCATTTGTCCTAATGCATGCATACTGCGCGCTGATTTGTGCTATTCAGGACCCACTGCGAGGCGTCCTTTCTACCTTCGCCAGCTGGTGAGCCCGCCAATTCCTCAAGACAGATTTCGTTAACCATAAGCCTTGATACCCTTCGTCCTCAATCCTTCTAGCGTTTCTATCACGATGATGTCGCGCCTGATCTTGAATTTGCATGATGCGGCTTCGCTGCTGCCATCCACTCGCGCCACGACAGTCCCGATGGCTTTCGCTCCTCCAAGGAATCTGGCCGCCACCACGACAGGATTTATGGAAGAATCAACATCAGCGGCGGTCGGCACTGGGACTCTGGGCGTAGAGGAGGATGAACGTGCCATCGAAATACAAGAAATAGATCACGGGGAGGGGCCATCGCGACTGGACTGGAACAATCTGCATGCATAGCATTGCTCGCAAATTAAGGACTATAGTCATTATATACATCTGGGGTTCTCGTGGAGTCGTTGCTTGGTTCTCCGTATTCGCATCAACATCTGTCAGGATCAATGCAGCGATTCTGGTCACCGTCTGGTGGGCTCGTGCAGTGAAGCACGCATGAGAACGGCTGAATACACCTTTCTATCTCGAATACGAAATATAACGACCGATACTCCGTCATGAACGATGGGACTCCTGAATCTTGGTGGATATTAGGCTTGTGACAATCCAGATGCGATCCTGCGAGGCCGCCGAGAGGTCGCGAGCACTGACTCAGCGGAGTAGGTCCAGAGGGCTGTTTGCGTTAGTTTGTAGCCGATCAATGCTCCTGCCTTTGCCATGACGCTTTTCGTGCACGACATTTCAACTGAACGTTCTTTCGTGTTTCTGTATTATCTTTAGAACGACCCTGACCGTCTTTTGGCCTCCAAACTTGATGTGTTGAGTTAATCCCTGATTTAGGCTCCCTTTCATCAATCATGTCACCTCGAGAATCACTCACTATCTCGACTCTCGAAACCTCCATCCGCCTTAGATCCTATGCTGGTATATTACATCGACTGCTTGTCGTCAAGATTATTCTCGGAGATACACATTGAAGGATATACTAGGCCCCGGGAAGCTCCACTAGATGTTTCCCCGAAAGTTACTATTTTTAGGGCAAAAATACGACATATTCTTCCCCATTTTTATTATTTTTGAGGTCGGATTTTGCGAAAACGAGCCAAACCTTATCGGGGTTTACTATTTTTGAGGCCTGATCCGGGACTTCCAGGCCCTCTCGCACATGGAATTTTTGAAGATTTTTGAACTATTTTTGACCTTCGGAGAGCTGCGGGCATTCATGTCAAGTCGTCGCCTGTCCTGTCATTACCTCCGAGAGCCTCCGAGCACTTCCGAGCATTGTCTGCCTTCTTCCGCACCATTATACACTCAGTGTCACTCCTGTCTTCTGCCAGCATCTGCTTCCGCACTGCTTTTGCTTCTCTTTCGGCATGTTCCTCAGCGCTGCAGGGCTTGCTAATCTCATGCCAGACAGGCATTCACGACGGATTCGGAATATACACTTCAATGAACTTGATCTTGTCCCAGCATTTTTGTGCAGGGATCGCAAGATTGAACTATACACGCACGTGAAGGCAAGCCACCTTCTCTATCATCTTGGCTCCAAAGCCTTAACAGGTGACCATCGGGATTCCATGCGGCTCACATCAATAGCCGCTTCATGCTGGAAGGCACTTATGAAGCCGAAGGTAAAAGCAGCTCTTACTGTAGCTCAATCTTCGAAAGCGGTCGGTCAAGATGTCAGGATTTGATTTTTTTTGCAAATGTAATGTATTTCATTGATTCTCATGTATCTAAACTACTGCAAGTGCCCGCGACAAATAAGAAATAGGCAGAAATAAGCAGAAACCTGTGGAAACAAGAGCTAGAGAACTAGTGTGACATTGTGTGACAAATCATGACAAATCATGACACACATGATCATCCCTGTCGGAATTACTCTTTTTCTGGGGCAAAAATTGGCAAAAGTTACTAGTTCTTTGGCCGGATTTTGAGGGTTTTGACAGGGAAACATCCAGTGGAGCTTCCCGGGGCCTGATATACTGTGACTTCATGTCCGCAAATTACCTGTTATTGCCGGTGATACGCTAGAGGTGGCTCTAAGTGCCAAGCACAACACCAAAACAACCTCTAATGCGGGGGTGCTGGAGCTAGTATCTGATACACAAGGAATCGTTAGTGAGGACTTTAGAAATCGATGGCGCACTTGAGACGCAGTGAGGAGTGTGATATTATAGCGCCCGAACGGCTTCGGGATTGCACTGAACCCCAACCGAACGTTCGGTCAGTCATGCCAGCAATTCGGTCGATAACAAGGAGGTAGTGTCGCAACCGACAACTACGTGCTTCAAGAGCCACATGGGACTCTGACAATATACGAGGGAGGATGAGGGGTGCAAGTGAAGAGATGAGTACGAATGCGAACAAGGCCGAACGACAAAGATGACAAGTTTTTGGGAGTCGATGAAGACGATTTTGATGGTTGAGACGAGTGCAAATGAGCTCTGAACTGTGGGGTGCGAAAGCTGGTTTATTCCAGAGTTGTATGTAGGGTTTTATAGTAAACAGCACCCCTAAGTAAAATATCAAACACAAAATGAGAGTAGATGTCGAATGGGCGCCAAGCCCCAGCAATCAGAGAAGATAAGAAGGTAGGTAAGATGTCTATATGGGTTCCAAAGGTGATAAGGTAAAAGGTAATCAGTGATGTCAAAATCCCGAACGTTCGGGATCCATTGCCCGAGTGTAGGTGGCCGGAACAGGTGTTGGCAAGCCAATGACAATAAAGAAGAAGTAATGCACGACCAGGGTGGCCAAGTCATGGTGCAAGATCGTGTTTGACCAACCATGTGGAAGTTGGGAAGATAAGTGATAAGGACTGACCAACTCACAGAGCACATCGGCCAACACAGAATACTGGCTCCAATCTTGTAAACACCTATCGTAACACTCCTGTGTGGTCATGGTAAATATGTTAAGTGTGGGCGAACTGACCCAAGTGCTGCCGAACATCCTTTGGAGGGTTGTGGTCGGTTGGGTGGGGACCAACCGTGTTTGGTGCAAGTCGGCATCTTCGGTACTTGTCTACGCTGTTTGGTATCTCCCCAAAGCTTTCCGAATACCTCCCTTAGACCCTAGCGTGGGTGAATGCTCATCATCTCCTCCCTACTGAAATCCTGACTGTCCTCAGTCAGTTGGTCGGCGGCTAGGAGTTGGAGCAGAAAAAATGGTGTGGCAACACTGCACGTGGATCAGGGCGCATGGTATATGGATGTGGGAAAGTGTCGGTAACAAGCAATGGCACGGAAAGAAGTGGGCATGTGGGAGAGATATGGGAAAGCGTCGGCAACAAGTGCTAGCATGGAAAGAATAGCTGTGGCGTGGAACCTGGAGCGGCATGGCAAGTTTTGTGGGAAAAAGATTGGCAATGAGCAGTGGCATGGAAAGGAATGGGTGTATGGGAGAGATGTGGCACAGTGAATAATCGGCAAGGAGATGTCGTAGAAAGGACCAGGTCAGTGCGCAAGAGAGACCAGGGCTGAGTTGGCAAAGTCCTGTGGCGTGGCAACTGGTTAGGTGAGGCAGTGGCTGAGACCTAGAGTGCCCCAACTAGATGCTGGCGTGAGAGTGTGTCGGCAAAGGACGGTGGCACGTATCGTGGTCTCTGCCGAGCACCGTGGCACGGGGCTTTGTCAGGTGACCACAATCACCTGCCGATCATTGATTCTCCAGCGACTAAGTCCCTCATCACCATTCTCCTGCTGCTTTGTCTCCTCGTCCAAATGCCATCCATCCTCCCCATTCTCAAGGCAAAACTTGCTGAATACATGCTCTCCCTCCCGGATGGAGCTGCTGAGTATGAGGATTATGAGCTCTGGGGCCAAGGTTTTGCCCATTGTGTGGTGAGTCGGCCCTCCCTCCTACTCTTACTTGCTGCCAACCACCTCCTTAGGCTCTTCTTGATCGTTTGGCACATGGTAAAGACATTCCTGAACTTGCCGATTTCATCGCCAAAGCTGAGCGGGGGCTCAACCACATGGCTACCGACAACTGGCTGGTATGGAGGGTGCGCGTCCTGCCACAGCGGGTGGCATGCTTTGCTGTGAAGCAGCAGAAAGAAGCCAAAGAACAGGCATTGGCTGAGGAGACTGAGAGGGTAGCTGCCACCAGATGCGAGGCTGAGCAAGCGGGGGTGGCGTAGGCTGCTGCTGCATCGCGGGTGGCCGCAGAAGATTATCAGTGGCGCTGGGACGTTGTGGTAGGTGCCATGTTTGATGGGTCTCTCGATCCTGAAGAAGATGAGCATCAGCTGCCCGAGCTGGATGCCAAAACTGCAGTCCCTCCCCCTCTTTTCTTTCCCTCTCCCTCCCCAGATCCTGCTCCTTCCGCTGACGCCATCCTAGTCTCAACAACTGTGGCTATGAATTGCATGAGTGTGGACCCGACTGCTCTGATCGCTCCAATCGAATCTCAAGGGAAGCGCGCTGCCGCTGTTGTCGTTGAGTTTGCTTGCCAGCGAACTCCATTTCAGGGTTGGGTGATTGTCTCTCTCAGTCCTGGAATGGGTTGCATGTTGACTGTTCAGTCGCCCGTGGAGAGGAACGGTGCCGGGAAGATGATGCAGGATCCCCCTGGTTTGATGCCTGGAGATGTACTTATAAGTCCCCTCCTTTTTGCTGCCTCTCATTGCTTGCTGATTCTCCTTCTTCCAGGCCAACTACGCCTGCCAAAGGTGTGCAACTGAGTTTACCACTGTGGCCTTTTGGTGCTACACGAGGTCTGGCCAAGTTTTGTGTACAAAGTGCTCTAGGGAGCAGAAATGCTACAGCTTCCAACCCAGGTGGATGCCAAACAAGGGAAAGTCCAAGGGGAAAGGGAAGTTGAAAGCAAAGGTGGCTGAAAAGTCAGGGGAGCCAGAACCATCATGCCCGACCAAGAAGCGTAAGGTCAAGGTACTCGTCCCCGAATGATCTGTCAGCGAGAGTATCGTGTGGACAAAAGGTGAGGAATCGGTCGGACATTGCTGGGATGTGAGCTCATCATATTGTCTAGCTGTTTGGGCTTGGAAGCCAGTCTAGCATCTTCCAACCACCACTCGTACCATCCTGGCCACTTCCCATCCCCGCTCCTCTGTTGTCCCCGCTCTGTCTGACTCGGACATGTCTGTGTTGGGCAACTTTGTGCCCGATGTGTAGAATAGTTTCAAGGTGTCTATCATAAAATGTAATATAATAGTGAAAGGGACTGTCCTGGTTTGAATGAGATGCTTGGCAAAGACTAGAGGTGTCATTCAGGAAATCGGTTGGTGAAATGATTGTGTGAACGTACTTGTAAGCAAAGCATTTGGTGGAAATGAAGAAAATAAATTGGAATATTTTAGGGGAAGCCTCAGTATGTTATCACAGGCATAAAACCCTATGGTTTTGCACAAATCGGAGGAAGTCTTCAATGTGACTTGGTACTTGAAGGAGTGATGGGGAAAATAGGTGCTGACTATTCAGTTGGCAATCGGTGGTGGTAAAAGTACTAAGAGATGTGGAAATGATTGTGCGTCAGTCCATGTCTGTGACAAATAAACAAAGATAAGGAATGGGTATATCTGTGAATCATCCTCCCTACTGAAATTGTGACTGTCCCCAGTCACCAACTGAAGAGAGCAAAGGGTGGGAGGGTGGGATTTAGTCAGAGGTCACCGAAGCCACATCATTGTCCTCCGCCGATCGGACTGAGCTGGTGTCAGTATCTTCATCGGCACTATTGTCTTCAGCATTGTCATCACTCAATCAGGAATCTTCCATGGCCTGAAGGCATTCCTGCAAGATGTCAAGGAGGGCTTCAAGGTCGGTGAGCTTCAGAGACCTGCGAGCAAAATAAGGAATAACACACAATGCTGCAACTGGCTGATCAAAGACCAATCCATTGAGTTTGGCCAAAATATACGCTCCTCCCTGGTTCCTAGAAATTACTAGCAAAGGTCCTATATAATGTGGATGCATCTTCTGATTGAGCACCTTTTCTATGGCTGTGTTACGCATCAGGACAAGCGAGCCTTGGTGGAAATTGAAGTCGCAAAGTGTGGCAAAATGCTGTTGTTTGAATCGGATGGCGGCCTTGACACGGGCGCCGACTACTGAGCTGCAAAGGTGGGCGAGGTCCGATCAGCATTTCTGCAAAGCAATGGCATGTTGAGCAATGAGGATGGTGGTGCTAAGGGCCGTGGTCGGTGGTGGTAGAAGATAGGTGGCTTCGGCAATGTCGAGGGGAAGGAGGGGATGGGTTCCGGTCGCTGCAAAGTATGGTGAACAACCCATTCGGCACTGAACAGTAATACAATCAGCCCAGAATACAAAATGAGCTGCACGATTCCACTTGGCCTGGTCTCCATCAATGGCCTTGAACAGAGCTTGCCGAATGTCAAAGTGAGGTCGTTCGGCGATACCGTTGGCACAGGAATTGTAGCCTGAAATGTGAATGTGCCAAACATGGTACTTCTTTGCTAGCTGGTCAAGCACCTTGACGAATGCTAGTCCATTGTCAGAGACAATCTCTACTAGTGTTCCCCATTGGCACAGGATATTCTTGAAGATCCAGCCGGCAAGAGCTGAGCTTGTTTCACGTTGCAGCATCCAGAATTCAGGGTAGTGTGATACCAAACAGTGACCTTGCATGAGATACTTGAAACTGCCGGCGGTTGGCATGTGCATGGTGTCCATATACATCTCTGCAAAGAGTGGTGCAGGTGTAGCGGCAGTTGGGGGAATGAGGATGTTGCGAGTCTGGTGGATCTGGCAAAGGTGACAGGTCCAAACAAACCAGGAAATATCTTGCCTCATGTGCGGCCACCAGAAGTGTTCGGCAATCAAGGCAGTTGTGGCATAGAAACCCTTGTGAGCAACGTCATCGTGGGCAGCAGTGAGAATTGTGATCCGACTAGAGAGGGCTGCAACCATCTTGTGTCAACTGTGCAAGTCTTTTCTCCATAGCTTGTTGGCTGTGATAAAGAACTGAGTACAATATCATAGGAAGGTGGCATATTTGGAGTCGGAGAGAGAAGGGGGCCGAACCAATGTTTGGTGCCAGTCGTGGACCGACCATAGGTGTTCCTCAGCTTCCAAAGCTTTTTGCAATCTTGGGATATCTGAATAGTCGATGGTCAGGCCTTCGTCGTCGGAGTCGGTATCGATCGGGAGGTTGCCTATGAGCAAGGAGGTGAAGATGGCTGTTGTTGAGGTTGAGGTGGAGGTGGCAAACATGTTGTTGATTTGATGGAGGAAGCTGTAAAGATTGTCGATCCAGTCGTCAAAGTTGTCTTCAGGTTTGGGTCAATAGGCGGGTTGTGGTAGTCATCAGGAGAGTCCATCAGGGCCATGAGAGGTGCCAGGGACGTGGACGAGTGTGAAATGGAAGGTGAGGATGGAGATGATCCACCAATTGATGCTGGCGCTGGGTTCGAGATCTGGGGTAGTGAGCATGCCCTTGATGTAGCATGCATCTACTTTGACTATCAGGTTCCGAACGCTGATGAGATACATTTTGAGCAATCGGAGGGTGTGAAAGAGACCATAGAGTTCAAGCTTCGGCTGGGAGAATCGCGATTTGCGGTCGTTAAGGGTGATGGAGCCGAACCAGGCATAGTACCAAACCCACGGATTGTTGAGTGCACATTGGCAGAGGTGGAAGCCAACCACGATTTGTGAGGGATTGATGACGAGGATGACGTTGGCTGCCGACCCATAGTCAATCGGTCGAAGGGCTGGTGATTCAAGAAGCACCGACTGGAGGTCATCCTGGGCAGCTATCTGGTCTGGGCTGAACATGAATGGAAAATCTTTGTGCGTTAACATAGTCAGTGCATGCGCCCTGTGTGCAGAATTTCGAATGAAGATCCGAATGACACCGATCATCCCCAAAAATGCCCAAACATTGGAGAGATCCCTGCAAAGTCCCCACTTCATAATCAATTCTACCCTAGACTCATTGGGTAACCTTCCTTTGTACATGCAGCGATGGCCGACAACTGTGATTTCAGCTGCGCAAAGTGTCGCCTTGTGCCCCGAAAAGGTTCCTCCACTATACTTCATTTGCGGGACCACCCAATTGAGGCCTTGAAAGTGTTCCCACACAAACTATTATATGCTGGGGTTGTCGGGATGCGTCTCGAAGCCTCTATTCGGAAGTTTGTATTGGGTTGGTGGGCCTCAAATTGGAACGTCATCGATGAAAGGAATAGTGGTGTCTGGGATCTCTGGCTGGAGGATGTGAGTGACATCGTCATGGAAGATCGGGACCGAATTTGTCTACCCCATGGGCAGGGTGACAAGTTGGTGGGCACCAAATGGGGTCTGGAATGTGGTGAAGTCGCGAGATGATTTGGCAAGCCCTTGTTTGTCATAGCTGACATAGAGATCCAGAATGCCACCACATCTGGAAAAACACCCCCTTGTATTAGCTCTGGATTATATCTAATAATGTCTAAAAGTATCTAAAAGTGTTAATAGCATCTAAAAGTGTCTAATTTCCTAATAATAAGCAACACATTGTGAGCATTAGATTAGTTTCTAATTTCATGATATTAGCACTAATTCTATACTAAAAAGTCTTTGATTATTAGTAGGAAATAGTAAGTACTACTGCTCTATTAGTGAGAAGGTAAAGATGTGGCACATTCTATACTATTTCAGCATATTACTCTCCTTCATATATGCCTATACCATTATCTTGTAGCTCCTTTGCTGACTTTCCAGCTGCTTTTATAAGGGATATAGAAAGAAAGAAATGTGCATTGATGCCCCCGGCCACATTGTTGGCAGCTGCCACAAGAGGCTATGAAGACCTAGGTACCTTGTCCTTCCACACAAGATCATTAAAGTTGTCATTGTTAGCCAATGCCTGCTACTGGTCATTATAGGACACAACATGTGGGTTGGACTTAGGGATATGCTATATGCAGCCTTATAGACCTTGTCTATTAGTATAGTGGCTAATACTGTCTTGTGCAGCACGCAATTATCATCACTATTGATATTACAATTTTTAGCACTATTTATATTGTTTATTGCCTTGTTATACAGAAGATGCTCAAACTTGGTATTTTCCTCTAGCTATTGGGCTGTGGAAAAGACAGTCATATTGGTATGTGGTGCCAGAATAATATATTTGCCTGCCATATAGGAAATATATGCATTAAGCATATTAAGATCACCTCCAACAATCTTGTGCTTATTTATATATAGGCATGCCATACATATACTCTTGTCCCCACCTCACTAGTGGCTATTTGGAAAACCCCTCTCTTTTATTGGATCTTGATTATTCATAATCATGTTTTTGATCAAATTTGCAAATTCAGGTAGCATTGTCTATACTAGTAGAGTCCCATTGAATATTACACTCAATCATAGTTTTACACATTCTCAGTCCAAATTGTATAAGTGCCATAATTTATTTTTATCCTATATAAAGTGTATTATTGATTTTCCATTGGTTTATTATCTTCTTAGCTGGTGTTTAAACTAAATCCTGAAAGACCTGACTTTTTAGGTATTTATTGACCTATTTATTTATAAGATAGAGGAAAGATAAATGTTAAATAAAATCAGAGATGTTGAGGTTGCCTATATTATGTTTACTTATTTATATTACCAAGTTCATATCTTAGACTTTGTGGCTTAGTGGCTTAGAGCATCTGTCCTGGGTGCTTGCATACATGAGGTTGTTGGTTCAACTCTGGCAGAAGGCAAGTTTGTTATAAGGTATATTCTGTGTTTAGGTATTTAACTAGTGCTTTAATAGACATGACTCTATAAGAAGGCTATGAGAACTGTGATGCTTGATTTATTATGATTTTTCCGAAATTTCAAGTTATAATCAATGCTAATAATTCCTAATTTAGGAAAATTATGTCTAATTAGAATAGGTTTAGAGGGGGGGGTAAGCTAAAAATGTCTAATCCTAATTGTTCTTCATTATGCATAAATAGAACTAATTAGAGCTTAATACAAAGGGGTGGTTTTCCAGATGTCAGGCTCTTGATAAGGATAACAACCAAGAGGTAGCTGTTGCATCACTTGATTTTGAGCTAGAGCATGGTGATTGTGTTGAATGGCAAGATTGTCATCATGAATCTGCTGGGAAAGGTTCAAATGATACTGATGGACTTCTTGTGGCTGGGCATTGTCTTCTTGTTGTTGCTCAAGAATAATCTGCTGCTCTGCCTGTGTTTGTGCTCTATGCTCTATACGTCTCTGCTGGGCCTCTATAAGATATTGGCGGATCTCCTCAAGATGCTGCTCATGAAGGGAAGCTCTATGATAATCAAATTCCTGCTACTCTTGCTAGTATTGTAAAGCCTGCATATTATGCCAAGATAGTAATGGAGGCTGTGGATGATAGACAGGATCAGGAAGAGGAACCACTGTGTCAGGCCTTGCATTCTCTCTATGACGCCGTCTACGCTCTGCATGGCTCTGTTCAAAGTTATTCATCATGCGGCGCTCATAGTTAGGATGACTAGCTGCTACAAGACGCATGCGAGCCTGTCAATCATGATTCCCAATCAAATGGCATGGAAAATTAGGATGGGCAAAAACATTCACAGGCCAATAATGAGATGGTGGTGCAGGCATAGGAGGGGGAGCATAGATAGGATATTGTCCAGGAATTTGATGAGCCATAGCACCATGATAGACAGAGTGTTGGAACATGGGAGCAGGATAAAAGTGGGGAGGAACATATTGAGCAGGATAATATGATGGAGCAGAGGAAGCAGCAACTGCAGAATAGTATGATTGGACAGGAGGAGCAAGTGTGGCAGGCTGGTGAAGCTGAATGGGTGGTGCAAGAGAAATAGGAGGCTGAGCAGGATTAGAAGCAGCAGAATAGGAAGGTCTAGAGAGAATCTCAAAAACAGGCTGACGAATAGAGCCTCGTAATGCAGAACGCTCGCGCCGAAGAGTCAAAGAAGTCATCTGAAGCCTTTCAGCATGCTCTTGCTCCCGCACAGTCTGGCGCTCATGCTTAGGAGTCCTAGGAGGAGTTCTTGTAAATCCCAAAATTAATAAACAAATTTTGTGTGATTTAACAAAAACTGCATACCTTGTCATAGTCACATCCATATGGGTAGCCTCTTCAACAGCCTCTTGGTTTTCAACATGTCTATAGTTTCTTCTTTTTAGCTAATGACCATAAAAAGGTTAAATAAAACCACATACCCATTGATTTTCTCTGGTGGAGGAGTCATATAGAGATCATCCTCATCTTTACTATTATTGGTGTTCTCACTATAGCAAATATAAGTATACACAACCAATAAGCAAAAAGTAAAACACATACTTATGTACAGTCTCAGGTGGAGGTGTCATATAGAGATCATCCTCATCATCATCTCTAAAGAGAATTTTAGCACTGAAACAGTATCTAAGCAAGCCAAAAATACTCACAAAGGTGCCAATGCAGTCATCCAGACTTCCACCACACCCTCATTAGGAGGCCTACAAAAAAAGTTGAGCACAATAGACATGATGCAAGCAACACAGACTTACAAAGGTGGAACACTCATTGTGAAAAGCTAAATAAAAAAAAACCTGAAAACAAAACCAAGAGCCAAGAGTGGTTGCCAAGCTAAGCACTTGCTAAATGCCCCCTCACAGTTCACCTGAAGAAATTGCCACAAGACAGTGCCAGGGGAAGAGAATTCCCAATGCTCTTTGACAACTCAATGTCACCCGTTGTCTGCAAAGCGGGTCGTTGTAACTGTGAGATCGTGGTAAAAGGTACCTGAGCAACTGAAACACCACAGGATGAGAGAGGTCCATGCAGCTGTGAAAAGACTGCTTTTGGCTATAGCAAACTAAGGCCGTGCTGGTAGACTTCACACCCTGTAGGCTTTTTCTAAGCAGAATCTATGCTCAGAGACACCCAGTAGAGCAGAGTAGAGTTTGAGAGAAAAGCCAGTAAGGAATAAAGCAGAGGAGAGCACAGATGAGGGTCTGGGACAGAGATGATAATGGTTAATGGCAGAGATCAGGTATTGCAAGGCTTGCAGCAGCCCTGGGCACGCGTGCGCTGACCAACTCTGTTTCAAGCTCCAACACGCTCCGTTTTGCATCCCGAAGCCTATGGGACAGTGGTCTCGCGTGGTTTCTTACGTGGCCCATGCGAGCATAAGCAAGGACACGCGACGTGAGCCACCGGCCCAGCACCACAATTTTGCAGTGTTGCCCTCTATTTATGGATGGACTAGCTTCTTACCCATCGCATTGCGATGGCACAACCATGCTTAATCTGAGTTCTTATTACAGTGCTTGGTCTGATGTGCCTGTAAAGTCTAGTACCCATAAAGTGCAGTGCCCATAAAGTGCAATGTCCATAAAGTGCAGTGTCCATAAAGTACGGTGCCTGTAAAGTCTAGTGTCCACAAAGTCCAGTGCCCACAAAGTCTAGTACCTATAAAGTCTAGTGCCTGTAAAGTCTAGTGCCTATAAAGTCCAGTGTCCACAAAGTACACTGCCTATAAAGTACAGTGCCTATAAAATACAGTGCTTGTAAAGTACAGTGCCCATAAAGTCCAGTACCCCAATAACCCTATATGGCTCTTTTATGATATCCTATAAGGTCCTTCCTATAATATTCCCATATAAAGCTCCCTATAAGGTCCCATCCATTAGATTCCTCTATGAGATTCTGCCCTATGAGGCTCCCCCATCAGGGTCCCACCCATGAGGCTCCCCCATGAGGTTCTCTGTGAGGTGCTAGGATGCCATTTCAAGCTCCAATGGCTGCAGAAGCATAGCCCATTCCAGTTGTTAGGGTTGCTAGGAGCACCAAGACATGGCTTACTCTGCTCACCCAATTTATCATGGATGCTTGCTTTGCTCACATGGTAACCCATGTGGCCTACATAAGTGTAAGCAAGGACATATGATTTGAGCTATTAGCCCAGTGCCACCATTTCTTATTGTCCCCTTCTATTTATTTTATTTACATATAAAAAATACCTGTAAACAAAACCAAGAGCCCAGAATGGTTGCTAAGCTAAGCACTTGCTAAATGCCCCCTATGTAAGCAAGGACATATAACTTGAGCTATTAGCCTAGATAGGCACTGGACTTCATGGGCACTGGACTTTGTGTACACTAGACTTTATGGGCACTGCACTTTATGGACACTGCACTTTACGGACATTGCACTTTACGGGCACTGCACTTTACCATTGTACTTTACGGGCACTGCACTTTATGGGCACTAGACTTTACAGGCACATCAGACCAAGCACTGTAATAAGAACTCAGATTAAGCATGGTTGCGCCATCGCAACGCAACGGGTGAAAAGCTAGTCCCTAAATAGAGGGCAACACTGCAAAATTGTGGCAAAACTCCACTGGCTAATACCACATGTTGTCGCTTATGCTCACGTGGGCCACGTAAGAAACCACGTGAAACCACTGTCCCATAGGCTTCGGGACGTGAAACGGAGCATGTCAGAGCTTGAAACGGAGTTAGTCAGCACGCGCATGCCCAGAGCTAACCTAAGCATAGGGAATTCTCTTCCCCTGGCACTATCTTGCAGTGATTTCTTCAGGCAAGGGGGCATTCAGCAAGTGCTTAGCTTGGCAACCACTCTGGGCTCTTGGTTTTGTTTGCAGGTATTTTTTTTATGTAAATTAATAATAAATAAAAGGGGACAATAAGAAATGGTGGCACTGGGCTAATAGCTCAAATCATATGTCCTTGCTTACACTTATGTAGGCCACATGGGTTACCATGTGAGCAAAGCAAGTATCCATGATAAATTGGGTGAGCAGAGTAAGCCATGTCTTGGTGCTCCTAGCAACCCTAACAACTGGAATGGGCTATGCTTCTGCAGCCATTGGAGCTTGAAATGGCATCCTAGCACCTCACAGAGAACCTCACGGGGGAGCCTCATGGGTGGGAGCCTCATAGGGCAGAATCTCATCTAATTGGATGGGACCTTATAGGGAGCTTTATATGGAAATCTTACAGGAAGGACCTTATAGGATATCACAGAAGAGCCATATAGAGATATTGGGGCACAAGACTTTATGGGCACTGTACTTTATAGGCACTGGACTTTACGGGCACTGCACTTTATGGGCACTGCACTTTATGGGCACTGCACTTTATGGGCACTGCACTTTATGGGCACTGTACTTTATGGGCACTATACTTTATGGGCACTGCACTTTATGGGCACTGCACTTTATGAGCACTAGACTTTACAGGCACATCAGACCAAGCACTGTAACAAGAACTCAGATTAAGCATGGTTGCGACTAGACTTTATGGGCACTAAAAGTGATATTCTAGCAACCTTATAGAGAAGCTTCACAAGAGAGCCTCACTAGCAAGATCTTATAAAGGAACCTGACAGAGGAACATAATAGGTAAGCATAATGGAGAAACCTACCAGGGGAATATAATAAAGGAACCTATATAGGAGAGCCTTATGTGGGCCATATCTTGGCAGCTGTTGGAGCTTGAAATAGTATCCCAGCACTTTATGGAAAAGCCTTATAGGTATGACCTTATAGAGGAACTAAATAATGCTTGACAAGAGAGTCTTATATAGAGAATATTATGGGCAGGACCTTATAGAATATGATAAGAGAGCTATATTAAGGCAAAATAATTTATGGGCACTGGACTTTATAGGCACTAAAATTTACAGGCACTGGGCTTTACAGGCACTGGACTTTATGGGCACTGGACTTTACAGGCACTGGACTTTACAAGGATTAGACTTTACAGGCACATGAGACCAAGCACTGTAACAAAAACTCAGATTAAGCATGGTTGCGCCGTCGCAACGCAACAGGTGAGAAGCTAGTAAATAGAGGGCGACACTGCAAAATTGTGGCGCTTAAGCGACGGCTATGCTCGCGTGCTCCTCGCTTATGCTCGCATGGGCCACGTAAGAAACCACGCGAGACCACTGTCCCATAGGCTTCGGGACGCGATGGATGGATGGATGGATGGATTAGGGATGGATGGATGCGGCAGAGGCGAGATGAATCATCATTTATTTACTAAACACGGTATCTGATGGCGCAGTTGGAGGGTCTCAAGAGGGTTGTAGATCATCTTATGATCAGCTGCGGTGAATCAAGCTTCAGATATCATAACAGGGACTTGGAAAGCTAGAGTTAAATACACTAGTCGAAAAGGGAATAATCATCACCCTTCAGAGCACGCAGAGAATCAGGAAGAGCTGTTCATTTCATGAGAGTATGATCAGGAGCACAGTGGATGAGTAACTCACCTTCGCTGCTGTCGCTGGTCATATTAAACGCTCCGGATGCGAGTCTCATAGCCCACAGTTGCAATGATTCAGCGCCTTTTACAGGTTCCCACAGCATCTGCGCCAACTCTCTGCCCTCCGCAAGAGAGAGATGGCGAAAGGCGAGGGGAAGAAAGTTGGTCCTCGCATGGTCGATGGAGTAGATCAGACCGCTCGAGTCGATGCGAAAGTTTCCCCAATGAAGGTCGTCGATGCAGAGCGAAAGCGGTATGCCGGCCTTCTCCGCAAAATTCACCCTCCATGGCCATCTTCTGGAGGCGAGAAGCTAGGGTAATTCATGTGAACACTTGGCCTGAAGAGTGCAGAGCACTACTCACAGCATTGATATGCTCCTCAAGGAGGTCGACCGAGCTGTATGGCACGGAGGATATGCAATCCGAGAACAGAGAGTGCATGATAGGTCCTCTGTTGACTGGCCCCGGTGCCGATGTGGGACTAGGGATTTGTTGAAGATGTTTGACGGCTAGGGCAATTTTAGGAAAGTCGTCCCTAGTGCAATCTCGATCCCCGACGTGCTGCATCGCAATGTAGCCCACATTGTTGAGCCGGAACGCAAGATAAATAACCGGAACTCGCACGGCGCTGTTATTGTCCTCGTTTACCTGCTTCGCGAGGAAATCCTGAGTGCGAGCCTCACTCATTCCCACTCCGCGACCCCACTTGACGACAGCAGCATCAGAACCATCAGGCTGGTGTATGGTGATGTTCGAGGGGACACCACCGTGTTTTAAGCATTCGAGTACTAGGTTCTCAGGAGATGGCAGCCATGCCGGAATACTGTCGTTCTCCAGAGCTAACACTATCGACTCCGCCATCTAGTCAAGAAAACACAGAAAATTAGCCATTCGAAATATCAAATAATGAATTGCTGAGACGAACGGTTCCGGGCTTGTACCCTGAGTTTCGTAATGTTGCTAGCGGTGTGCCCACGATCCGTGTCGCAACGCGACGGTCAGGTCGGGGACAAGCGACGCATCTGATTGCAATGCAGGACGCTCATCGACTTCGCACGAGGATGCCAAAGCCTTCATCGATATATGATCATGTGCCAGAACATTCGACACCTCGCCATGTCATGTCCCCTGCCGCCATTATCGATTTGTTGAGTTAATCCCTGATTTAGGCTCCCTTTCATCAATCATGTCACCTCGAGAATCACTCACTATCTCGACTCTCGAAACCTCCATCCGTCTTAGATCCTATGCTGGTATCTTACATCGACTGCTTGTCGTCAAGATTATTCTCGGCGATACACATTGAAGGATATACTGCGACTTCATGTCCGCAAATTACCTGTTATTGCCGGCAAGCGGGCTTACGGCGACGGTGATGAGAACATCAACGTGGGTCCGGAACAAAGTCGCTTTGATCCTTGGACAGAGTGTGTAAGTCCTACTCCAATTAGAAACATTACATCAGTGTGCTACTTGACGCGTGCAAAGTGCATCTCTGTTCACTCGGCGAATGATAACGTCCGAGCGCCTTCATGAATCTCCGATTTCTCTAGTTCACTGAGGAGTAATTAGCCTTTGCTACAGGAGTAAGTTCAGCCTACACTCTCGTCGTGGGCCTGGTCCTGACCTCATGTCGTGCTCGAGACAACACCTGCGTCGTACAGATCTTCTCCCGTGCGTCATTGTCCTACCCATGTGATGATATGTTCAGAGCGCCTTTTATCGCCGCCTGGAGGGACTGCACGCGACTGTGATTCATGCGTATCTTGCCGCCAATTCTGACAGGTATGCTTGCGCCCCCTCTCTCCTGTAGCTTGCAGTTAATGGCTAGCTCTTTTAGGTTCAATGTCTACATGCATTGCTCACATCACAGCCGTCTAGCCATCCCAACATTACAACAATGGTAGAGTGTTACGAGCGCTGGTGCTTTATTTTGGTCTGCCCTTCCCAGAGCACAGGTTCCACATACTCTCAATCTAGTGTCTTCATATGTTGTTGTACCGTCTTCCTCTGCTTGCTGTGGTGTCCAGGCTCCCGTGTCTGTCATCGGCTTCTCCAAATCATCAAGATGTACTAGGTCCAGATTTATTTTCGAATCAGCTACTCGATGCTCAAAGTTAGCCATTTCTTTTCAACGAATAGGTACTTGCCAGATTGATTTGAGGTAGCGTCGACCGAGCTGTTTCCGGCTCACCACAATCTACATATTCATTCTAATGCATCGCTCGGAGGTTCAACTCGAAGGCGTTTCTGTCTAGACCCTGATCGGAGTGCCCTGACCGTTTTGCTTGCAGCATTGCTGTCACAATAATGTCTCGGATACTGCTTAATCTACATGAAGCAGCTTCAAAAACTCTTCAGGAACTCGAGAACACGCAGATGGAGACTGCTATAGACCTCACTACAGTTGTCAGAGATGAACAGTGCGAGCCTTACATAGTAGATGTTACGGACCGCTATTTGCCTACATGAATCTCTATCACGAGTTTCAAGCAAACGGGGCATTTTTTTTTGTGAATGATCATTCTTTTTCAGTTTGAAGATAAATATCGACAGAGGCAAAAAGACGAGAACGAGAAATGTGTGGATCAAATACTGTTCAAAACAATGTCCCAGGGAGGATTCGAGCCTCCGGCTTCACGGATCGTGCGCCAATAGCACCACAACGTGATGATTTAACCACTAATCGACAAGGACCTTATCATGAGATACTAATTGCAAATAACAATCGTAATGGAGGGTTTTGAGACTTCCGGTCCCTGTGTTGTCGCTCCGCCAGCTCTCATTTGCACGATGCAGTCACTCTGTTGTCGAACCCCACTCTGTTGCTCAACCCTTTCTTTCTGAACTTACGTGCCTGTTTCTCTGCTCTTTTATTTTCAGGCTCCCGCTATCGAGTAAGTCGCATTCATCTTTTGTTGACACATAGACTTACCGGTGTCTTCGACTGTGCCGATAATACAACTGATGTATATCATGTTCTTTCGCTCGCAACATCCGCCATTCAATTGAGATTGTCCAACCCTATCATTCTCGCTCTCTACCAGAGAGTGGGTTAGCAATGCAACTTTCGTTCCGATCACAGAGATTGAGGAATGATGTGATGACTGGTGCCTTGCCACGCATCGAAGTCCTTGTCTACTGTTGATACAAGAGCCGCCATCTTCACCTAGGGTAGAGTTGCCTTCATCTGAACTGAGCTTTATATATAGCAACATTCGATCTGAAGCCACCGCGCAGAGCTCCCTGACTCGATCTCGCAGGGATTGAGTCAATGCTCAACTCTGTGATTATCGTCCAAGCTCTCTTCTGCAAGCAAGGTTGAAGAATTGCATTGCATCGGAAGAGACCAGATGAAAGGAGATGCTAGCAGAATGTGGCTAGCGGTTCACGTCTTCATGTCTATACTAGTTGGTCTATCTCGATCAATAGGCAAGGTTCACACACTTGGTCGATCCTAGCAGTATATTGCCATATTGACAGGCATGTGGGTCTCTCTGCGATGTAGAACTTTCGTTGGTCTGTACAATCATGTCTGCTGACGTGCCCACCCAACATGATCTCTAGATACAACTTGTCGCAGTCGGTGAACATTGTCTCTCATCTTTGCGCTATCAAAAAATTTCGAACACTGATTAAGAATTTCGTTATCCTGCAATGTAAACAATCCATCGTGCTGAACGTAGAGGTTGAGCAGATGTAGAAATCTCCTTATCGAGGTCCGCGTCATAGTTCCTTCCGAATTGCTATGTGCTAAACAACCCTGCTGCCATTGCTAGCTTTTCTAGGTTGTCTTGCCACCTGCCAATAATTGCAAATCGAAGCGGCCTTTCCCGTGCGTCTTGAGGTAAAGTTCACTCGTGCCACACATCACCATCACATTTGTATGCGTCCTATAGCTATCCGCGCAAGATCCTTGCTCCTGCTATCCTCTTCTGGCTCACAATGATGAAGTCTGACATATGTCAGTTTGGCAAGTTCTGCCTACACACATATCTAGGCGGTGCTCGCTCTTCGGGCAACATGAAATCCATGAATATGTATAGCTACCATCTTACCATGTTGCATCAACCCATGTCCGTATCTCTCGTCATTTCAGCCTTACTCCTTGGGGTGATCTCATAGTGGGGTCCGTAAACGAAATCAGAATTGTTCTATATAGACTTCTCTCCAAAAAGCTTGTATGGAAATTCGAAATCTGGCCGCTTCGTGGGAGGTTCAACTCGGCCTTCTCATTTTGGCTTCGCCGTTGCCAAGCCACATCAAGACGTGCATTCCGTCGATGGTCGAGCCCCCAGGCAAGGATCATGCCACTCGCATTGTTGAATGGTAATGAAGGGCTTTCCCTGTGATGAAGCTCACACAGGCACTGTGTCTTTTGTGTGATTCAATCTGCCATTCCCTCGTGAAGATAGGCACTGAAATAGACTCTGATCATGATCCAGGATCTTTTTTTCTGGTGAGTCCGTTGAACGTGTGCAATTTCTACGTATATGTCACCCCGGTACTCCGAATGGCCAGTTGCATTCCGATCTGGGTATTTTGTTTTTCCAGCTTGCCTCAGTTTGTTCGGCGGCACCATTCCGGCAGTAAGATAACTTGACATCTGCCCCACTAGCCGCCCTTGAGAGGCGCTCTATCCACATTCTCCACTTAGTAAGTAAAATTTCACGGATCTCAACCCTCTATCATTTTCTGAATCTGCGCCGCTTCCCGAACAGCATCTCGGTGGCGATGATGTCGCGGTCGATACCAATCTCTACGGAGCCACATCTGTATTGTTTTGACCCCGGCAGTAAGCGTTTGCGGCTGCTGAAGTGCCCGTGAGTGCGATCCAGGGCCCTCCATTATCCTGAATGTTCGCGCTAGTGCGGCAGATCCCAGGGTGTGTTCGGCAGCCTTGCATCCTCACGCATCGGTTTCCGTGATACAGTTGCTTTCTAGATTGAGGGCAATTTCGTTGGTGTCTGTGATAGTATATTCACACACTCGGTCACAAGTCTGAATGCCTGACATGAAATCTTCCAACAGAAGATGTCAAAACGCATTCATTCGCAATCCGCTCATCTCTGGCAGAAAGAACAGGTTGAACACCTACTTATCGTTTTCAAACGACCTCCTCAAGTCCACTCCTTCCTCGAAGCCTCCTGAATATCATGCGTGCGTCTTCTTGATGCCCTCCCTGAAGCTTCTAGCTTGACCGAAGGATCATCGTCGAAAGAAAGAGCAGAGTCGTCGAGTGTGCGCGAAGAGAAGTGAATATAAAGCCAATATGGTCGTCTTCGTTCCAGGGACCCATAGATGTAGCATGGAGACGCTGGGAGCGACCCCGTGCGCTTCGGTGGTTCCACCGGCGCGCGCGCTATGCCCCGTCAGCATACCGGCACGCCCTTCAAAGGTAGCATACATGACGCCCGACCCGGCAACGGTTCTCGTCTTCCAGCAATAATGGCTCAATTGTGACGGAAAGCTGCCGCGTCCGTGTTCGTAACAGCAAGCTACAAAAAGAAGTAGATGGGCGTGCGAGCTCGTGTGACATTCATCTACAAACCCTGTGAGTGGCTTTGCCGTACGCTGCCCATTCCTGCCTGTTCCCGTCATCTCCTTCAACTTTCGTATTCGGCTCGATCGACAGGTGGAGCGATCATGATTCTGCTGCTCCGTGTATCATGCGAAAAAGCGCGCCATCAGGATCATCCCGACATGTCCGACAGAACTTGAGCGGCCCGGCATGATGCTCACGAACGTCGAGACATCCAACAAGACTCTCAACGCTGGGTTTCTCATTGAGTTTCATCATTGACAGAGTTTGACCGGGCGCTGGGACGGCCTCACACGCGGAGAAGGTTCCGCGCGTGCGCTCCTCGATCGACGGATCGCTGCGGTGCGCGCAGAGAGGCCCGAGTGCGCCTCGAACGCCGTCATGCCACACAGTACACCCTCAAGAGAGCTGTGGAGGATCGTCACGCACTCTGACCATATCGACGCGATCACATGCCCGTTGCAGCATGGTGCCCTTAATTGGTGCTGGAATCCGGGATTGCGCTCTCCAATTGCGCTATTTTGGCCTCGCCAAGACGGTACGGGAGCGGTGCGAGAGTCAGCAGGACCGTCTTATTTCTGGACGATGAGGTGACGGCGGCCCGTCTCGTCTCGTTTTGTTTCGTTTTGGTTCGTTTCATCCAAATCAGTCTCGGAAATGGAGCAAAGAAAGAGAGTGGGGGTCGGAAATGAAGTAAAGGAGTCCGATGCGGAGTTCTCTATGCCTCAGACGTACGATAATGCTCTGCTTGCCATGATTCTCCAGGGGCATGATGTGTCGTCTCCACGTTGACGTCTGCGGTGTCTAGATTGTGTCAAGCGGCCTGTGCCGCCAAAGGATCTGCGAAGACGGTCTATTTTGGTTTTATCGACGTCGACGGCGATCCGAGGAGCCAACCACGAAGACCGAGACGAGCGAGGCGTCCTGGATCACGGATTGGATAGAGTGCTGGGTCGATTACACTCAGAGTCCGAAGAATACAGGCTATATGATAAGAAATCAGGTGTGACAACAGCAAGGCTTCTCTGGGCTTCTCTTGCTCGGAAGTCATCTGCATCGTGATGTGAGGGTCACAAGACGGATTGATGCACGCTGAGAAGGTTGCTACTCTGTATGCACGGCCTGGGGCAGAACCTCGGAAGCAAAGCTTGAGCTAAAGCATGCTACATGGGACGTTCGCCGTGTTCTCAGTTGGCGCGCGGGAGTCCGGGTGCTGTTGACCCGTCTCTGAAGTCAAGAAGGACATCGGCCCATCATCGGACGCTTCGCCGATGCGCACGACGACAACCATACCACAACCAAAGCATCTCTGCGAAGCAAAGCAAGATATATGAAATAGAGGATAAACATCACTCACTCGATATCGAATGAGTCGGTGAAACGTGACAACAAATCGTACAAAAGCATCTGCCCGTCTTTCCTGCGACTTGGCGGCATCTAGCTCATGTCCACATCAACGCTTTCCCCGCGGACGACTCCTGGTGCCTGTGGGCCAAGATCGATATCGTCTAGATCGCTCAGGCTAAAAATCTCGTCCGCGTGGGCATCCAGCCCTTCCAGCAAGTCACATTCCTCGGCGTAAGCAGCCAGCGCGGTTGCCTCGTCGTCGTCGTCGAAGTCTGGGGGTTCGAGGTCGATGTCAGCTGATGGGAGAGAAGTCAAGCTAGCTTCTGCAGTGCACAGCGCGGCGGAAGGAGCCACAATAGGATGGTGGAACGGTAAACTGAATGATCGATAGTAAGATAGAAGAACGCGTACCACCCGCTCCGATGAGCTCGCGTTCCCATTCTTCGACATCCTCCATGTCCGGATCGAGTGACGAGCCCACGTCGAGCTGGTACGAAACACGGTACTGGTGTCGCTCCTTCCGCTTCGCGCTCGCCATAATCCGCCGGAAAAGCTTCCATTGCGGGAGCAATGGCCAGAATCGAAAATCAGCACGGAATATCCGTACGGAGATCAGCAGAAGCACAAAAAAGTAGACGTACCTCGTCATTTAGCATGAAATCCTCGTCTTCCTCCTCCCCCTCCTCCATTTCGGTATCTCCGTCCGCGTCGCCATCACTGCTTGACCCAGTACCCCAGTTACGACCCTGCTTGATTTTCTGCTCACGCGCGCGGACGGCCCGCTCAATATAGCGCGCCTTGAAACGCTCGCGCAGGAGCGTGTTCCGCTGGGGTTCCTCCTCGACCTCTATTCCGGAAACAAAAAGACGTGTCCGGACGCTAGAGGCGCGTGTTTTGTAAGCGTGCGAAGAGCTCCCTGCCGTTCGACTGTGTGACGACGATGGGGCTGTCGACTTGTACTGAGAACGCCGTCGAGCCTGGGCGGCGGAGACAGGGGACGAGGTGGGCGAGAGTTCAGCCAGAGGCGAGGATTTGTGCGGGGTGTATGGCACATCCTTGGAAGAGGGTGTGCTAGGATATGACAGGCTTGGTCGCGGTGTAACCTCCATTACTGTGGTCGCAGTGGCGCTGGCAGGAGCAAGTTACTAGGAGGAACGTGGCACGTTCCGTCACGGCGTGACATGATTCGCGCGAGTGGCGGTGGCGGCGGCGGCGGCGGATAGTGGCGGGGAGCCACAAATCCGGAGCCGGTCGGCGAGAGCTGTTGTTGCCGGAGCCGCGGACATCTGCGAACGTCGATGGCCTCGAAACGTAACCTGAAATACCTCCAACGAACCGCTTGATTTCCGTCACAACTCTCTACCCAAATGTTCTTCTTTGTTGCATCGCCTGTTCCGGATCTACATTTGCTCATGAGTGTCATGGTTCGAACCGATCTGCCCAATCACATCATACAGAACCTCTTATTTCCTCATGATTCACCTCACCTCGAGCGGTAGAAGTCCATCAAGCTCATTCTTCATGTTGCATCATCATGGACTCCGATGAATGCGGTGAAATTATTACCAGACTGCCTGGTGATCGGCTACGGTGGCGTCGATGGTCGGCAGTGGGGACAGATCGCAGGTATGCAAGATGGGAGAGAGAACTCTGTCTTTTGATTCTAAGCCAATAACGGAGCGGTTCATGTAACCATACGGAAGCAGGCTCAGGCACTGGCCGCCTTCTCGCGCTTTATATCTGTATGGACGGCTGGGAGCATCTGCCATGCACACAGCACGCTTTGCCCTCTGTCACGCTGCTTCCTTTGCCGCTCGTCACCCACATCCCCATGGGCGTGATCCGTGCCTCCGTGCCTTCGCGCCCTCCTGTCGACCGCCGATCTGGCTAGCACCATGACCAGCGACTGTCCCATGGCCTATAAGTACAATGCGCAGCGCACCAGCCAGACGCCTCGCCGTTCCAGACTGTGTGGACAGCCTCTCCCACTTTGGCTCCCACTATGCTGTTTCCCCTCGCCTCCCAGACGCCCGCGCGACGCTGGTACGCTCTTCATAACGTCCTTCATTTCATTCATTGGGCCCCGTAATGAACTCGTCGACGTCTGTTCACAGCGCATCGGCGCAGCGACGCCGCCAGGCAAAGATGGACGCCCTCGCACCCACGTTCGACGCCGCGCTCACGGACGCAGACGCCAAAGTGCACTCGCTGACGCTCGCACAGCTCGTGGACGCTCACCGCGCTGGCTCCGTCTCGACCGCCGACGTGCTATCCGCGTATGGCAAGAAGGCGTTCGCGGCCCAGAAGGCCACCAATTGCCTCGCCGACGTCATGTTATCAGATCTCCTCATTCTTCACCCGAAGCCAGACCCCGCTCCCGCTCACATCGACGACGACGACGGCTTCTGCGACCCTTTCGCGAAGCTCAAATCGGATTCGCATCGACACTCGGACCCGAAGCTGGACGAAGATCGGGGTCGTGCTGGGGTCCATCGTCTGCCCAGGGATGGCCACGCCGTCGGCAACGGTTGGCACGAGGTCGCCGTGACCAAGACCGAGCCCGAACCCGAGGACGATGCGGATTCTCACACAGACACGCACACCGATACAGACACGAGCGCAGACTCGGACGCGGACGACCGCCCGCTATCGGGCGTGCCGATCAGCATCAAGGACTGCATCGACGTCGCGGGCTGCGCGAGCACCCTCGGCTACACGGCCTTCGCGCACACGTCCGTGCGCACGTCGGCGCCCATCGTTCAGCTGCTGCAGCGTGCGGGCGCACTCGTGCATGTCAAGACGACCGTCCCGACGGGCCTGTTCTCGATGGAGACGACTACGTCGCTCTTCGGGCGCACCAGCAACCCATACAACCCTGCGTACTCCCCTGGTGCGTCGACGGGCGGCGGCGCCGCATTGCTTGCGCTCGGTGGGAGCGCGATAGAAATCGGGACGGACGTTGGGGGGAGCGTAAGAATCCCCGCGGCGTTCTGCGGTGTGTATAGCATGAAGGCTACTCATGGGCGGTTTCCTTCGACCGGCGCGCGCACGAGCACGCCCGGACTTGAGAGCGTGCCGACCGTGGTGTCGCCGCTTGCGCGAAAGCTGGAGGACCTGGAGGACTTTTGGAAGCGCGTGATGGGGCTGCGCCCATGGGAGATCGACCATACTGTGCGTGTCTCCTCTTACTTTATCTTTTGCCTTCCTCTCTGTCATGCGCTACACGCAACTTGCGCCTCCCGCCCTTTTCTCCTGTCTGCGCCCAGTCCCAACGTACTGGCGACGAACGACGGCACGAAAGGGGCGCGGTGCGGAAAAGAAACCTACGATCGACTTCCATGCTCATATCCCCCGTCTTGGATATTGCTTTGACAGTGCGTGCCGATGCCCTGGCGTCCGGTCGACTTTGGCGCACGCAAGCTTCGATGGGGCGTCCTCTGGAGCGACGGTGCGCCGATCCTCTCCATCGCTTACTAGCTCCTTATGTTGCACGAACTGACGACAATGTCCGATCGTCGTCACGCGTCTAATGATCGCGCGCAACCGCGTTTTAGGGATGATACCGATGACTCCGGCAGCAGAGCGAGCGCTCCGGATCGTCATCGACGCACTCAAGGCGCAGGGGCACGAGATCGTCGATTTGTGAGCGCAGTCGCGGCCCATCTGCATCCAATTACGCTGCTGACTATCGTGCCTCCCGGCCCAGCGCCCCTCCGACCGTAGAAGTGCTCAAGACCGGCTTCCAGCTCGCGTTCGCCGACGGCGGTACGTCGCGCCTCTTCGTTCCCTCCATCTCCTCTCCTCTCTTTCCCAATTGCTCACTCACTCGCCTGATGTTGTTGGTTCCGCCGGGACACCAGCGGCCCAGGTGTTCGCGCCGCTCGAGCGCAGCGACGCGATCAACCCCGGGATCCGCGCGCTCAAGGCGACGTTCGCGCTCCCGAAGCTCGTGAAGCGCGTGCTCGCGTCGTTCCTGCCCGCGCCCGACGCGGGGCTACTGCGCGCGCTACACCCCAAGTCGGTGCGCGAGGCGCGCGCGCTCGTGGTGGAGCGCGAGGCGTGGAAGCGCGCGTGGCACGAGCGGTGGAGGGAAGAGGGCGTGGATCTCGTGCTGTGTGCGCCGTGCGCGGTGCCTGGGTTGCCGGAGGGCGGGACGGGCGTGGCGGGGCTCGTCGCGGCGAGCTACGCGTTCCTGTTCAGCATCGTGCGTTTCGTTTCGTTTTCGTCTCGTTTCGCCCCCGTCCCACGGGTCCGCGTCGTGCGTGTGTGCGTGTGTGCTGACGGCGTCCGGTCTCGCGCAGCTCGATCTCCCCGCGGGCGTGCTCCCCGTGACGACGGTGTGCGCGAAGCGCGACGCGCTGCCCGCGGACTTCCGCGCGTCCGCGCTCGGGCCGTCCGCGCGCGGCGCGTACGCGTGCTACGACGCGGCGGCGATGCGCGGGCTGCCGGTTGGCGTGCAGGTCGTCGGGCGGCGGTTTGAGGAGGAGAAGGTGCTCGCGGGCATGCGGGTCGTGCGGGGCGCGGTGGGCGCGTTTGAGGGCGCGTTGTGTTAGGCGGTGCGGTGGAGGGCGTGCGGTGGAGCTGGGGCGGGGTGATCGGCGTTGGGCCGTGCGATGGCCGGTGGGATCGTTGCTGCGCGTGCTTTGGGCGGGGGGAGCGCGGGTGGGAGGATGATGGTGGCGATGATGGTGGTGGTGGTGGGTTTCCCGACGGGTTTAGCGTTTGTATTCATTAATTCTCCAAGGCCTCAACTCAGCGGGCCGCGTGGGTCGGTCAGCGCGGTATCTATCATACCGTACAGCATTGGATTGCATTACTAGTATTTGCGGGGCGCCGCCGGTGTAGCTAACGTACTGGCGCCCCTTCCCTCCAGCTTGTACTCTCTATCTATCTATCTATCTATCTACCTACTCTGATATATTATAGGACTTTCTTGTCTTGTTGGGCGGGTTTGAACGTGAACATGAGCCCGTTTTGGGAGGTTCGTGGACGCTTGTGGCGAGGGGTTGTAGTTTGGCTTGGGGCTTATATGCACAGGGAATTGCGGGATTGGGTTCAGGGTTTTGAACGTGGAGGGTGACGGGCACACGGGGGTCAGCTGGCAGTGGCAGCGCGCGGCGGCGTCAGGGTATGTCTGTCTGTCTGTCGTCACGGAGGGGCTTTTGAAGGCCCGTACGTGTCTGGACGCTGGCGATAAAGGGTTTACTAGAATGGGACGGGTTGGTTACGGGAGATTGGGGATGATATCATGGGAAGGCCCGAAGTGGGACCCATAGGCGCTCACTGGTGGTCACGTTCTGTCGGGCGCTGCCAGGAGTGCGCAGCGTTCACGTTGAGTTCGGCAAGCCGTGCTCCGCACTCTGTTTTCGTGTTGTACTGATTAATAGGGTGATTGACTGACATTTCTGGTGCGTTGGACGGACTTGGGCGTGCGCGCATCGTTGTCGGACATGGCTGCACGGCAGCGCCGATGGGATAGGCTGGGGTGACTGGGCGGGGCTATAATTGGACGCGGACGGATAGGGACGGACGCACTGATTGGACGGACGGGTGGGATGGGCGCACGGCGCAGCGGGCTTTGCAGGATTGAATGGAAAGGAGTGGGAGCCGGGTGGGACATTGGGATGGGATGACGCACGCTGGCAGGCGGACGCGTGGTCGAGTTTCGAGATACCGCAACGCGCGAGAGAGAGGGTCGAGGCAGGGATATTCCTGGCGCGAGGCGAGCGTCGTCGGACGGCATAAAGCGCTATAAGAGAGCGTGTGCGGGCGTCAACACGATGATCTTTCCCCGAACACGGACACGGACGCGGACAGAGTGTTTCGCATCCACGCCACGCGGCGGCGCAGCAGCCTAATAGCAGCCTCGCATACGTCCTGACGGTCCTCCGTCGTCCGCCGCCAGCCTCTGCCATGCCCTGCAGCTGGACCTGGTTCTGAAGTTCGTTGAAGACCGGCCTGCCCCAGCGTGTGCAGTCGTGTGCGCGCCGTTGTGTCCAGGTGCGCGCGAACTGCGAGTGAAAAGAGTGTGGCGAGTGGACGTGTGGTAGTGGAGCACCATCGCTGACAGCGTTGACAGCCTGGACGACCACAGCAGTCAGGAGCACTGAACGGTACCTGTCACAGTCGCCGCGTCCCTTCACTCCTCTCCTCCACCTCCATCAACAATGTCCTCCTCGTCCGACGGCTCGCTCCCCGCCCCTCCGCCCCGCACAACCACCGCGCCGTCCCAGTCCCCGCCGTCCTCGTCGCCCTCCCAGTCACGCTCGAGCTCTTCTTCTTCTGTCGGTGCGTCTAACACGGGCACGCCTTCGTCGCAGCTCTCGCCCTCGCCCTCGCCTTCATCTCCCGTGGCATCCAGCACTTCCGCGCGCTCGTCCTCCTTGGCGCCCTCGAACACGCCGACAGCGACCACCTCGCCCTCTGCGTCACGGTCGTCATCGTCGTTGTCCGGCGCGACGGGAAGCGTTTCCACCCCGTGAGTCGCTTCGCCCAGACGGTCTGCGACGCCCTATTAATGACACCCAGTGCTCCCTCTTCTCGTTCTTCCTCCTCCTCCTCGTCGTCACCCTCGTCGTCGTCGCTGTCTTCCACCTCTGTTCAATCCACCTCTGCGCAATCGTCGTCTGCGCTGACGGGCTCCGCGTCCGTCTCTACGACCGCTGTGTCCAATTCCACGTCGGTCGTGTCCTCTCGCGCGTCTCCTTCCCCCGTTCTGACATCCTTTTCGTCCTTGCCCACTTCGTCTCCTACACGCACGATTTCTGACCTCACCTCCCTCTCGCTGCCGTTCTCCTCCACCCCCTTGTCCTTATCTTCGCCTACTACTCTTAATGTCCCGACGTCCTCCCTCCTGCGATTCCCTTTACCCACTTCCGTTTCCTCGTCCGTGGCCGCGTCCGATTTGTCTTCCTCTTCGTCGGCTCCCGTGCTGTTGACGTCGTCCCCGTCCGCCACGCTTTCGTCTTTCTCCATTGACCCTACCTCGTCATTCACGACTGTCGGAAACGCCTCGTTCACGTCGTCTACGAATTTACCCTCCTCCTCATCTTCACTAACATCTATCACCCTTCCTATCTCTACAATCCCTTCAACTAGCCTATCTTCCTCCTCATCCTCCACCCCTTCCACCGACCGTCCCTCCTCGCTGACCTCCCTAACCTCCTCCACCTCCACCAGCTCCTCCTCCCTCCTCCTCCCCCCCTCATCCCCAGCCTCATCCCCAATCTCCTCCCCTCCGCCCGCGTCCCCGTCCACATATCCCTCGTTCTCGCCAAGCGCCGTCCGCTCCTCCGCGCTGCTCCCCGAATCGACGTCCGTCGCGCGGATAACCTCCGCGCGCATCGTTACCTCCACCTTCCTCACCACCGTCATCGTCACGACCACCGGCCCCGGCGGGCGCGTTACTCAGGTCACGACCGCGTTCGCGACGGGCACGATCGTCCCTGCGCCCGGCGGGAACCGCTCTGCGTGAGTTTCCTCCTCTTTTTTCTTTTTGGTAGATGGGTGTCTATTATCATTCTCTCTCGATTCTTTTTATTATTTAAATGACATTCTGCGCTTCGGTTTATCATTTTATACCGGGTTTTTTTTCGTTTTTCGTCGTTTGGGTTTCTGCTCGTGTTCGTCGCGCGGTTCTCGACGAGGAGCCGTCTCAAGTTACATCTTCATTTTCACATCCAGCCCTGCACCTTCCCCCACGCACCCTCTCCTCCCGCCCAGCCATCCCTTCCGTGCGCTGACCCAGACCTCTCCCCCGCTCCGCACAGGCTCTCAAGCAACCCCGGCGCCATCGCCGGCATCGCCGTCGGCGCGGCCGTCGCGGTGCTCGCCGCGCTCCTCTGGGCACTCCTCGCGTGCCGCCGCCGGCGCGTGCGGCGGCTCGAGCGCGTAGTCGCGCGGGGGCTGGTGCCGGCGCGGGCGCCCCTGGTTGATGCGGATGACGTGGCGGGGGAAGGAGAGACGGGTGCGGGTGGGGTGGGGAGCGAGATGGGGGAGAGGGAGAGGGAGATGAGGGTGGGGATGGGGGTGGGGGGTTTTTGGTATCCGGTGGGGTATGACGTGGAGGCGGGTGCGGGAGGCGGTGGAGGCGGCGATGTGGGTGGCGATGGCGATGCGGGCGGCGAAGGAGATGGCGATGGCGTGGGGCTGGCGAGGAGCGGCGAGGGGCTGTTGAGCGCGCCGCGCGCGGCGTCGTCTCCGTTTGGGCTGGAGCCCGGGATGTGGATCGCAAACCGCGTGCTTGGGAACGGGCTTGAGAGCGGGAACGAAGGCGGCGGCGGGCTGGTACCGCGGCCGTCGCTCTCGTACGCGTCTGCGCGCGCGTCGTCGTCTGGGCACAGTCACAGCCATGCGTACGAGCATGGAGGGCTGGCGCGCTCGCGAGAGAGCGGGGAGGAGGGCCGGCCGAAGTCGTCTAGCGCGAACTCGCACTCGCACTCGCACTCGCATTCGCATTCTCACTCGCACTCGCACTCGCATTCGCACTCGCATTCACAGGCGCACTCGGACGAGCGCAGGCTGAGGCAGAGCACGAGCCCGAGTGCGAGCGGGAGCGAGGCGGCGCTCCTCCGCGATCGGGACCGTGAGCGCGACCGGGACCAGGCCCGAACGGGCTCGCCGTCGAAGCGGATCCGCAAGCGCAGGCCGCCGTCCGAGCGCGGTCCGCCCCCCGCCAGCTACCCGTCCACAGCGCGCCCCTCGTCCTCCTCGTCCTCCGTCTCGAAAAGCAAGCGCAAGGGTAAGGACAGGGACAGGGGCGGGGACAAAGAGGGGGCGGCCGCGCGCACGAGCGCGGAGAGCGAGCGCAGCCGCCCGGGCAGCCCCGCCAGCGCGACGGGCACCGCCTTCCTCGCGCGCGGCTTGCGCTGGCGGCTGCGCGGCGGGAACACCGCCACCGCCGGCAGCGCGAGCGGGAGCACGAGCGGGCACGGGACGCGCGCGGCGTCGCCCAGCGATGAGCGGCGAGCGGCGGCTGCGCTGCCTCCGCCCGTGCCTACCTTCTTCGAAGGGCCAGACGCGGCCCTGCGGCGCGTCGCGCGGGCGTCGGCGTCCGCCTTGGGTCCGCTGCCGAGCATCGCGTATCCGCCGCCTTCGCCGCCACCGCCATCACTGCCGTTCACGCCGCCGTTCACTCCACCGTTCGCCCCGCCCCATCCTGCGTTCTCTACCCAGCCGCCGCCGTCGCCCTCCGGGACGGCATCGACGGGGACAGGCGTGGGAGTGGGCGGCGTGGTCACGGAGGGCTTGTTGCATCCCAAGCTTGGGATGCGGTTCGAGGCTGGGACAGCGAGCGTGGGGCAGTTGAGCGAGTTTAGCCTGAGGGACGACGTGGATTATTCGCGGCCTGTGTTTGCGGTGAGTTTGTTTGCGTGTGTGTGGGACGCGGACTGATGTGAATGATTTTTTTTTGGGGGGGGTGCAGAGGATGTATACGTCCGCGACGCTTGATTCGGCGTCTTTGATCGATCGGGACGGGCATTCTACGGATCGGGAGACGATCCTCGAGCGTGACCCCGCGCCGCCGCCATAACCCTTCCACCGATCTTTCGCGCTCCGCAGCATACTCGTACGCCTGCCGTCCTCCGCCCTTATATCTGGGATTTTTTTTCAGACGCTGCCTCTGCCGCGCGCTTAGATGATAAGTTGTGTTCGGTTTGGCTTTTCCTATTCCCCTCGTTTTTTTTTGCATATACCCGCTCCCGCGATCCGGCGGCTCATACCTGTTTTCTCGACTCCAAAACGTCCGCCGTCTCGGCTACTCTGATGGCGGTGCACACGCACCATCTACCTCCTCGATCAGTCCTCGACCGAACTCGACATACACACTTGTTTGTTTGGTCCTCGTCGCACTGGATCTTAATTTGACGCCCGCTAACGAATTCCCCTCCGTCTCGTTCTCGTCCTCGTCCTCGTTCTCATCTTTATTTTCCTTCTACTTCGTTTGATTACTACGCACATCACACGCCGAACGGCTCAGTCATTATCTACACACCTACATGCATACATGTCCTCCATACACGACGAACCCTGCATGCGTCCCGCATTGACCATACTGAACCTTACATATACTTACACCACACACCTGCACACTTACACAACGCGCTTACACATATACATGCACACGCACACTGACGCTGACGCTGACGTTCCCCCTCCCCCACACTCTTATTCATATAATCCATATCACCGTCTGTCTGTCTGTCTATTTATTGAAGACGCGCGCCGCGACCTGCCACCCGGCCCTGATTAATAGAGGTGCGCGGCCCCCTGCTCTTTTTTTTGGCGTTCCTGACGTCGGGCTCGTCCTGCTTTGTGTATTAGATTCTGTCCGGCGGCACGCATGGCCTCGCCCTGCGCCTGCGCCCGCTCGCGAGGATTGGCATTTAGGATGTATACTTATCGGTATCCGTTTTTGTTATCAATCATAGGATGGTTTTCTGTGTTTGCTGCGCACCTGAACGACCGTGATTCGTGACCTGTTGCAAGTGGCGCGATGCGGACGGTGTTTACGTTGACTCAATGACTCCAACCTCGAATGACAGAAAGCTTGTTGGGCGGTGCGATCCGATGTCTTCTGCAAAGGGAATCTCGATTGGACGATTGCGCTCTCTGTACACGAGTGAGGTCTATAAAGTATGAAAAGGCCTACGGAAAGAGGGAAAGGAGAGGAATTAGGAAGGGGCAGTCCTAGGCAAGATGATGGATCTGAAACAAAATTTTGCAAATCTGCATGTCCCCTTTATATGCGGTGAGCCAATTGTTGATTCAGCGGCTGGGATTTGAATGATTCGGCCTCAGGAGGGTGCGGAAAAGCCGACTGCGGGCTTTCCTACACTGACTGAAAAGATAATCGATGGTCGCAGAGCACTGAGATTAGGTGGACTCGCCGCATAACTTTGAAGAAGATCCTTGAACTCGGACTTGAACTCGCTCCGACCTCATGGTATTTGAGAGTCTTCAATCGTTAGGTCTGACCAGGCGATCGCATTGTGCTAACCTGACTCGCCACAAACCAGACCACCACATGGCGGTGCAAAGGATCCAGTGTATTCATTTCTTGATGAGCTCACCAAAGATAGATAGACTGCATGCCCGGGCTGGACGGTCGGGGGCGACTAACCATGCCGTGGCAGGAGCATGATGTAGACATCCAGAGAACAATGAAGCTTGTGATGATTTTCAGGCGATGTAATGCATATTGACAACAGCTGCAAGGCTAATTGAATGTGAGGTTGAAGTTGTGTGAAGAAGACAGTGGCTGAAATTACGAAAGGAGCAGGGCGCGGCGCGGGCGACCGACGCGTGTCTTACTGAGTCCTTACTATCACGACCAGCCACGACTGCCGACGACCGCCATGCTAATGTTCTCATCGCTCACGAATCATCATGACTTGCGCCGGCTATTGAAGCGGGATGAACGAATCATCGTGAAGTGCACCAAGGTGTAACTTTTTCTATTCCTAGGCCCGAACTTGTCAACCCCTCACCGAGGCCGCCGAGACGGGTGGGAAGCTATAGGAAGATTTACTTTTTCACGCAGCGCCTCACCCTTATCTGAAGATAGAGCGCCTAACGTAGTTTCTAATGCACTTCCTCCACATTGTAGCGTAAATTCGGCGATCGAATACCTATCATCAACCCACCACGAATCTGTGTGCTCATTGTTCAACAGACTCATCTCAAGCTATGATGTCCCCTGCCACAGAACGGTGAGTTTCATAGTACTCAAGCATGTTTGTTGACCGGCAGGTTACTAATTCTGCGCCTTTCGACTCATAGCATCTCTGGCCTTCGGTCGAGTACTCACTTGAACATCACAGGTGTGTGTATGCTACTTACTGATGCTGGGTCTCGGTCTCCTCACCCTCTCCATCCTACCAGTTGTTCGTGCCTTCGATCTTCCGAAGATTTCCAAACTTGTCAAAGTCAAGTCTCGGACTGAAGATGGTAGATTCTATGCCATATTATCTGTCGATGGAAAACGAGAGAAAACCAAGATCGCTGACCCAAGCAGTGCTCCGGAGTGGAATGAAATTTTTTTCTTGTGAGTGTCATGCTCTTTGTTGTCTTTCATATTCTTTGTTGATAATTAATGATTATGTCGCTGACTACAGTGATGCGCACCAATTCTCCGTTCTGAAGCTCGACATCTACGCCCGTCGCCTACTGGGAAAGGATATACACATCGGCGGCATCTCTGAATTAATCGCCGGCTTATGTCCGCCGATACTCACCAGTGGGAAATACACTCAGGTCCAGTCATTGCTAGACGTTACCATGGCGATCTCAGAGGAAACACCTGCCCGTGTTGAATTCCGTCTTGCAATCGTAGTCGACAGGCAACAAGCAGAGTCGGCCGATATTCGGAGAGACGCTGAGGCTGCCTTAGTCGACATGCATCCCCTCGCAAAGGGAGCTTCAACATCCGCTCTTGGCCTTGTGAAGGACTTCGTTGATAACTGGACGCCCCTCTTGCGAAAGGTCAAATTATTTTGTGACTTGGTGGACGTTCTCGCTGAAGTACGTCTTGGCCGTACGCATTCGGATGGCGGGATACTCATATGAAACCTTCTGTTAGGTGAACCCTTACGCCAAAATGGCCTGGAACATAGTATCTATACCACAGAAGGTTTTTGTCCATCGACCTTGACAGCTTGGCTCGCGATGCTGACGCAACATCATGAAGATCATGAAAATACAGATGGACCGCGACGACCGGATACAGAAGCTCTTCACGACCATGAACTCCTTTTATGACATAGTGAACGATCTGGAGAAAGAGCTCAAGAGCGTCGATTCTCTGCAAGACCTTCTGCAACGGATAGCTCAACAGACTACAGAATGCTTTTACTTCATCCGTGACTATGCAAAGACCGAGGGTTTCCGTGAGCCTAATCTGATACTGTGCGCTTCTCTTATAACTTTCTTTTTGTTCTAAACAGTGAGTCGAACGGGACGGCACCTATTCTCAGAGGCAGACAACAAGATCAATGAATACTGTGCTGTGTTTGATGAATTCAAAGATGAATTCTACGGGCGAGTGTCAGTAAAGACTCAGATTGTGGTGACTCGTATCCTTGACGAAGTGCAAGATCTGGGTATGCGACACACATCTACCGGTCATTTCTTATCGAATTTCTGATCGCTTATATTAGCCACTGACATCAACTTGGACGACATCCCGTACGCGGATGACGCTACCTTTGACGAGGCAAAGGGGTGTCAAGCGGGAACGCGCGTGGGTATTCTAGACGAAATCACGGAATGGATCAACGCTGAGGACGGTCCTCGTATTTTCTTGCTATCTGGTGCCGCGGGGACTGGCAAATCGGCTATTGCACACACTATTGCTCATCGCTTCAAAAACATGAACCGTCTCGGATCTTCTTTTTGCTTTGTGCGTGGCCGAACAGACCGCGGCCCGGACAAACTTTTCTCAACCGTGGCTCGTGATCTGGCCGATTTCGACGAGGGCATACGGCGCACGCTATACAAGGTTGTCAAGGATAATAAAGCACTGCGGGTCGCGTTAAAGGTTACCCAACAGTTCAACAACCTTATTCTCAAACCAGTCGAGATGCTCACGATCACTGGTCCCGTCGTGATAGTCGTCGATGCTCTGGATGAAAGCGGGGATGCTTTAACGCGCCAAGACCTCCTCCGGGAGTTGGCCAGTAAAATCGAAGCCCTTCCCGCCAATTTCCGTATCCTCCTCACATCTCGCCCCGAACTTGATATCGAACGTTCGTTTCGAACGTGCAGCCATATCGTCATCAAAAGGATGGAGGATCTTTCGTTGTCTTCAACCGATGACGACATCAGATTGTACATTCACAGTCATCTGAGCCACCCTGATCTAGATGACATCGATGACGAATGTATGCGTACGCTTGTGTTGAAATGCGAGGGACTATTCCAGTGGGCATCCGTCGCCTGTGAATTTATCAAAGGCGTGGGCATTCCAGGATCAGCTCCCAGGGAACGATACGACATTCTGATTCAGGGTACAACAAGCGCAGCCTGGTGTCTGGATAATTTGTATAGGACGGTTTTATCTCATTTTTTTCACCCAGCGGTCCCTTTGGTAATGGAGAGATTCAGGCTTGTCATGGCCCTCGTATTAGCGGCGTTCGAACCTCTTTCCATGGAGTCACTGAACGAAGTTCTCTTTGCTGTGAAGGAAGGAAACCCGGGCTTCAAGGCGAACGTCATCTTGGAATACATGGGCTCTCTGTTGAGCGGAGTGACTGGGAACGAGGCTGTCCGTCCATGGCATAATTCATTCCGCGACTTTTTGCTGGATGATGCCCGCAGCTCCGACTTCTACGTAGACACATCAAACACTCACGCAGAGTTCACAGTCGCTGTGTTGTACATCCTGAAGAAGCAGCTGACATTCAATATATGCCACCTGGAATCCTCGTATGCGGCAAACAAGGACATACCTGACCTCGCTAATCGCATAACGAGGTATATACCAGCTCATCTATCGTACTCTTGTCGCTTCTGGGCGAAGCACTTGCAAACCACAGCCGCAAGCTTAGACTCTGATCCTGATCCTAGAGTGCTCAAAGGCGTGGAAGTATTGCTCAAAGACAAGTTTCTATTCTGGCTTGAGGTAATGAGTCTTCTCGGTGCCATACCTATGGCTGCGCAAGCAACGTCTTCTCTCGTGGAGTGGAGTTCGGTAAGTAGCTTTTTCCAGGGTAGAAACATCAAGCTGAGGTTTTTCAATGTTCTGCCATTGCCTAGAGTCTACCTACTGGACAAATATCCGAATTGGCGAGTGGCATGCATGCGTTTGTAAACGCATTCGGGTTACTCACATCACAGTCTACTCCGCACATATATCTATCTGCCCTACCATTCGCTCCGCAAAGTTCGACTGTATTGGAGACCTTTGGTAAACACTTTCCTCACAGATTAAAGGTTTCCGCTGGGGCCAACAGTCATTGGCCAGCTACCCAGCATATCATACAAACACGATCTAGAGTGCTATGCCTCGCATTCTCATCCGATGGGTCGTGGATCGTGTCAGGCTCGGAGGATTCGACAATCCGGGTATGGGATGCGGCAACATTCGCTGCTCTGGGCGAGCCCCTCAAGGGGCACACAAGTTCGGTCTCTTCTGTTGCTTTCTCGCCAGACAGGTCAAAGATCGTGTCAGGCTCGTATGACAACACCGTCCGAGTGTGGGACGTGGCAATGGGTGCTGCAGTGGGCGTTCCGTTCGAGGGACACAAACATTCGGTAACTTGTGTTGCCTTCTCGCTAGACGGGTCGCGAATTGTGTCAGGCTCGGACGACACGACGATCTGGGTGTGGGACTCATCAACGGGTGCTGCTGTGGGAAAGCCACTTGCGGGACACGCCAGCTGGGTCAATGCGGTTGCTTTCTCACCCAATGGGTCGCGGATTGTATCAGGCTCGGACGATAAGACAATCCGGGTGTGGGATGTGGCAACGGGTGACATCGTGGGAAAGCCTTTCGAGGGTCACAGATATTCGGTCTCTTCTGTCGCTTTCTCACCCGATGGGTTGCAGATTGTGTCAGGCTCATACGACAAGACGATCCGGGTGTGGAATGTGACAACAGGTGATGCTGTGGGAGAGCCTCTCGAGGGGCACACAGGTTGGATCAACTCTGTCGCTTTCTCACCAGGCGGGTTAAGAATCGTGTCAGGCTCGGATGACAAAACAATCCGGGTATGGGATGCGGCATCGCGCACTGCTCTTGGTGAGCCTCTCAAGGGACACACAGATTCGGTCCGGTCTGTTGTTTTCTCACCAGATGGGTCTCGTATCGTGTCAGGCTCATGGGACATGACAATCCGGATATGGGATGCAGCAACGGGTGCTGCCGTTGGCGAGCCTCTGGAGGAGCGCATGATTTCCGCCAATTTCGTTGCTTTCTCATCAGATGGGTCACAGATCGTGTCAGGATTGGACGACAAGACAATCCAAGTGTGGGATGCGACAACGGGTGCTGCTGTGGACGACCCCTTCAATGAACACATAAATTGGGTCAACTCTGTTACTTTCTCTCCAGACGGGTCACGGATCGTGTCAGGCTTGTACGACAGCACGATCCGAGTGTGGGACTCGGCAACGAGTGCTGCTTTAGGAGAACCACTTGTAGGACACACTAGCTGTGTCAATGCTGTTGCTTTCTCACCAGATGGGTCACGAATCGCGTCAGGCTCGGATGACAAGACAATCAGGGTGTGGAATATGGTAACGGGTGATGCTGTGGGAGAGCCTTTCGAGGGACACACAAGTTGGGTAAATTCTGTTGCCTTCTCGCCAGATGGGTTGAGGATCGTGTCAGGCTCGGAAGATAAGACAGTCCGCGTGTGGGATGTGGCAACAGGTGCTGCTGTGGGAGAACCTCTCGAGGGACATACAAGCTCGGTCAATTCTGTTGCTTTTTCACCAAACGGGTTGCGTATCGTGTCAGGCTCGCAGGACTCGACTATCAGGATATGGGATGCGGCTATAGTTCAACATGGCCTGAGCTATGTCGATGACCCACAGGCGATGTCACGCTCGGATGCCAATAATCCTTCCGCAAGGCGATCTGATTTTTACGGTATGCGTCCTGGTAAGTTCCTTCGTAGTTGTCTGAGCTGAGACTACCCATTGTCTGACTTGGATATTTTATAGCTTCTATTCTCATCTCATCACGTCCGGAACATGCCATGCGCACAGATAGCCTCTATGATGATCCTTTGACGTCACCTCAAAGCTACCACCGTCTCTCTAAACACCTGAATAACGATGGTTGGATAGTGGGTCCAGCCAGAGAATTGTTATTTTGGGTGCCTGTTGCATACCGCGACAAGCTGTGGTCTGATGCAAGGCTGAGGCAAGTCATAGGGAAGGAATATGTGCAGCTCGATCTTAGTCAATTTGTTCATGGAACCTCTTGGCATGAGTGTTATCAACCTTCGAAGTCGCACTGATTTAAACCAGTCTAGTTTTATGTTTTGGCTATGCACAAAGTTGTTGAGTCGATGTGGCTGTACTTCTTGTGTCTGCAGCAATTATTCTGCCAATTTACGCAGCATGCCCACCGATCACTGAATTCTCGTTCGAGGCGTAGGTTGTATTTCTTACAAGATATCCGCGCAAAGTCGAAGGATATTCACCGAGAGTCGACATCTATATTGGCTGGAGAATCAGCATCAGCCCTGTTTTATAGTAAATCTCACATGGCTTGATCTGCATATCAATATTCAGTGGGGCCAAAAAAATAAAAAAAGGATGAGCAACCAATCACAAAGACAAGCGCTCACCTAGTAACACTGCATTGAAGCGGCCATATGCCTTGAGAACATCCAGCACTCACTTATGAATGATGGGGCACACAGACCTGTTCTCTGCTTCCGTTTATTGGCTCACAGTAAATGACAGCAAGGAGGCCTTTGTTGATTTGACGAAGGAAAGCTCCCGAACGATCTCCTGAGATGATCTCGAGACTAATGAAATATCGTCGACAGCGCACTCAATATGCCATGAACAAGGCTGAACTTCAGCGAGCCTGCTCACTTGAGATAGCCGATCAAAGGGGGAACAGTTGATTCCGTACAATGTCAGACCGTCGCTTGTCTGCTATTGGTAGCCAATCGCAACTCAACCATCGCCAGAATCAGTTTGGTACACGATCATTCCACTCGTCACCTCACTCGTCACCTTGAAATTAATACGTGATCATCTTTCTATGGCTTCAATTGTCAGTATCATCATTCGCAGACATTCACATCCTCCTGTGACAAGTGCTCAAGCCGATGCGACCCAATATCGTGAACCACATCATCGTCTGCATCGTCCGGATGCATCATGGTGTCTCTCCGTGATGCAAACACAATTGATTCTGTCGCTTGGGTGGAAGACGGTAGCCGTGACGAGGTGCCGTGCAGATTGAGAATGAGTCGCGACATCATCGTGACGGAGATGCTGTCATTGGCAGTCAATCGCGGTCAGCAATCTCATCCTGGTTGGTCGCTCACCAGGTGGCGAACGTAGAGAGGGTGCCGCGCAATGGATCCTAAACACGAAGAGTTGATATGAAAATGCTTGCATCACTGCTGGCAAGCGTACTGGTGCAAACTGGGAGAGGGAGAAATGTTAGTGATCAAAGCCTGCTTAACACAGTGCACGTACATAGAAGGTGAAAATATTCGCCAGCTCTGCGAGCCCCATCGCGCTATTGCAACGGGCACGATAAACAGCTTATTCAGCGACGAATGTGGAAGACTTTACCAGAAATACATCGCACCTGCATACCCTAGTGAGTCAAAGTAAAGTCTAAGTGGAACTGACGCACCATCGCGAACAATGAGCTCTGCCAAACCCAACGTACCCGACCACTTTTCACATGTGTCAAGGTGCGCGAGTGAATCCCTCCGATGCTGGCTCCATTTGACGGTGGTAAGGATGAATACAGTCACATCAAACACGATATGCATCTCCCAAGGGGCCGCAAGACCTGATGATGAACAGTGATAATCTAGTTAATCGCTCTGACATTCGATAACAGTTGATCGAGCACTTACGCACTGCACTGAAGACCAGGTTGGTCGTCAGTGCAACAGTACACAATATGCAACGAAGGACAACTTTGGAAACGAGATGTGGTTGTGGCGGTCATGCGCCAGCTCGGCACTCGTTACGGTGTACGCTGTGATTGCACTCCACTGTTCACCCCATGCATTTGATGTGCATCTGTCAGGCTTAGTCGCATATATATGTGGGACAGAGCTCACACAAGTAAGTGATAATACTATGATTAGGAGCAGATATAGCGCTGTCAAGACACGGCGCGAGTTCCCGAAAAACGCATACGTGCGCAGTATCAGCAAGACTGTAGAATCTATTAAAGCGTCATCAGAATATCAATTGCTCACGACTTACTGGCCACGACTGTTTGGTTGGACATAGTCAGGAAGTGATGGAATGCTGTGTATGCCCGGAAACTTGTGGCACATAACAGTAGAGTTAAGTACGACTCGGTGTTTCGACAAGGGAAGACATACCTCTTGAACAAGAGTTCAGTCGGTGTGAATTGTCATGTGGCAAGATATCATACATAAATTGAACTGACCTTGTCACATATAGTAAACCCACCAAATGTATAGACCAGAACTGCTATATGCCCAACCAGCGGCACATAACGATTTAAGAAGAACAGGAGAGACGATCTGGCGCGTGGACGAGACCATATCCATGTGATCTCTTCAGAGAGTGTCATCAGATGGTCATAGTACAGGATGACTAGAAAAGATTAAGACAAAGTTGTCTGGTCACTGGCTGATATGTACAAACAGATAAGGCGTACTGATTGCAATAATTTGTGAATAATTGTATAGTGTGCTGTCACTAGTTGAACGTGGTCAACAAGCTTCGAGACGTGCATATGAGCTTGCACTTACACGGAACGTACTTCTGCATCGATAATCATAATAGCTGAAAGGCGAGTGAGTCATGAAGGGTGTTTATATATGTCACGGCTTAGTCTCCATCAAGGGCGGGCCTGATCACATCCTGTCATCAAAAAAGCTGTATAGATAGCGATCATTCTCCATTAGTCGTATTGACGCGTATCCCATGATATCAGTCGCATTGAAACCCACCTGAACATAGGCGCATATAGCGCTAAGCATCTGCCATAAACCTGTTTAGCATGCTAGCCTGCGCAAATGAGCTCGTTCACCACATGTATACCCTCAGCAACATTCAGACCCGTTATGATCTTAGACAGACGCGCCGCAGTTGATTTTGTCATTATGGTTTCCCTCTAGCTATATGAAACATGCAGCAATTGAATCTACAGCTTGGATAATGAGATTATTAATATTTTCGCCATGAGCCCATGATCTTGGCACTCACAATTTTTTTGAGTGTCCGGACCGATTTGTGTCATAATTACTAGTGTGCTACGCGTCGCCGGCATCGACGGCTGAGCGAGAAGAAGATCGGAAACAAACGGGCCGGCTTCCAAATTGACTTTTGTGTTCACGACCCTAACCCCAGTCCAGGTCTCACGCCCACCTGGACCCACAAAGTCGCGCACGTCCACAATTTCCGCGTATGGCATCCGCGCCGTCGATTGTTGTGGGTCCTCCGAGGTCCTCTGTGTGTCCTCGCGACAAAAACTCTATACCCCCAATCAATTCGCCTTGCTTCCCACCATGATCCCTCTATATAACCCCCAGCGACTCCCCTTCATCATCCGAGCCCCGTCTCGACTTTCAAGTCCTCCGCCAGCTTGACCGATCAGCTCCCCACGTCTTCTCCTGGGCTTCTTCACGTTCTCATCAACCCATCACCTCATCAGCAATGGCATTCTCCTCCATCTGCACCATCTTCGGAACCTGGCGCCATGTCCTGCCCACCGACATAGAGTCTCAGTCCCACCCGCAACCCATCCAGATCACAGGGACATACACTACCACGCCCCTCGCCCTGCCCTCTCGTGCGCTCACCTGCGCCTCCGAGCGCCCGGCCAAGCCCTCCCTCCCCTCCACCGACGCGATCGACGACTTCTTCGGTGCCTCGCGCACCACCCGCACCTCAGACAGCCGCCACGACGAGCGCCCTGTTCCCTCGTCCCCTCAAAAGGACACCGCGCTGCCGCCCGCATACGCGTACCCGCTCCCAACACCCCTTCACGCAGATCCTACATTTGACGAGAGCGAGCTCCCGAGCTACGCCGAGCTCGAGGCGGCCCACGCGCGGCGATCCATCTCTGCGCAGGCCGAGCCAGTCACCCTGGCACAGTACTTCTTCAAATTCGGTTTCTGTGCGTAGCTCTTCCTCCTTGCCCCCACTGGAAGTCGTTCATAAAGTTGACCGGATTTGTTTTTCATTTTCAGTCTTTCCCCCGCTGTGGTTCCTCTCGTTCTTCATATTATTTTCTCCCCTCACCGCCCCCGCGGGGTGGGAATCGACAACGACGGTGGCGGAGCGCGAGGCGCTGCTCGATGCCATGCGCAAGGCTGAGGTTAAGTGGGCGCGCAGGAGTATCGTAGCGGCTGCCATCCTGAGCATACTGATCGTCATTCTCGTCGTCATCGTCGTCTCGGTCTCCCATTCATGAATCTGTGCCCCGCTCGTTCGTTCTTCACGCCTCCAGCGTACTCAAAATTCCTTCGACCCATTTGTGTTCTCTCAAACTGTCCTCGCGCCCGTTACATCCCTTGGCCTCTCAGTTGTTCTTTTCTGCTCTGTCATGTTTATTCTGATGCTGTATCGACCCCATTCCAGTGTATTTATAGACTATTTGACTTCCGTTCTCACTCCTCTCTATCTTATGGTGTTCTTTTTTGTGTACAGATAATTAATGAAATCAAATGAAATCCACATCGTCGTTGCGTGTGAATGTCAGCGTATGGGCGCCCAACGCTCAATAATCAATCTAGGTCTACGAAATGACTGCACAATTAGACTCGAACCTCGCGGCACATTATCGGGAGGAAGATCGTGGGGGCATGCTTCAGTCAGCTCCACGCAAACGCATTCTAGACTGGTGTGCAAGGTATGATCGCATGCGAATTGGGTATCTCGACGTCATCTGGGCGATACAGTAAGGTCCTCACGGACAACAACAAGAAAAGATCTGCAGCCAGCTCAGCCCGCGGGGCTGAGCATCCGAGTAGCACTGCAGCGTGCCCAGCACATACGGTATAAGTAAATATAAGATTCGCCCAGCCCACAAGCAACTCTAGATAGCTCCACGCGGTCATCGCATCGGCTGCGTTCGAGTCATATGGCGGATCTGCGCCCAATCATTTTCGGATGCCATCTCCACAAGTCCGCGACGGGTGAAGATCGCGCTACAGGGCACGCTGATCGTGGACGCGCGCCAGATGAGGCTTCGACTCGATCGGGACCATCTCGATACCTGCAACGAGGACACAGACCGGGACGTCGACCGCGCCGCCGCGTACTATCAGCCACGCGCCGCCGCAGCGCAGAGCCAGCAGAACTCGAACGTACCGTACGTGTCCTCCATCTGACCCGCCGTCATCGTGGCGTCCGCGCGCCTGCGATGCCACCCGCCCGCGTCGTCCGCGGAGCCGAGGAGGCGCCGCGACGGGTCGTACACGCCGACGGTACCGTGCAGGACGGTGGAGAGCGGCGGCGTGGCCATTGTGGTGCTGGCTTCTGTAGGGAGGGTGAGGTGGGAGGTCTTGCTGTGGAGGTTCAGCATGAGGCGAGAAATGAGGGTCGCGGAAAGACTGGGGCGGCGCGGCTGATAGTGTGAGCACGCAAGTTGGCGGTCGAGGAGACGGACGGACGACGTACACGTTGGTGAAGGTCGTCGTAGCGCCTTTGAGAAGTGGCTGCCATCCAGTAAGAAATGCGCTAAAAGACGGCTAGGTCGAGAGAAAAGCTCACAGATGCAAGCTGTGTTAGTTTGAGAGTAGGAGTCAGCGAATTTTGGACGATGCGACCAGTTTGGCGACATACAACGTAGGACAAGATGTTTGAAAGATTGGACAAAGTCAACGCGCTGTGTTGGCTCTAATCAACACGTCTCCTTCAGAGGGGAGAAGGGAAGCGTTCGCACATGAAAAATATCGCCCCTACAAAACACGCTTCAGCTGATAAGCTGTGAAATGAGAAAATCCAGTGATAAAACGCACCATCCCGCAGCAATGTGTTTAGCAGATGCCCCCTTGCGCCCAACCTGAGTGTCTTCCACAACGTCAAGGAAAATACACAGGTATCGAAAACAAGTACACCGCTCCAAGCAACAGCAAGCCCTGTCCCGCCAAGTTTATTAGAAGTCTGTGAAAAGCTACGAATTTTCCAAATACAACTTACGACGACCCCTGGAGGCGAAAACGAGGAATTAGATGCGGATTCGTGAATGTGGGGACGGCCAAAGAGCAAGGACGCACTGGGAATCTGAGAGAAGTGTGTTACAGCCCGGAAATTCTGCGGGGAGCCGGCGCGGGATATCGTCGCTGGGCCCCGAGATTATCGACCACTGCAGGAAGGATGGGGTGAATCAGCCAGTGAGGGAAGTTCCGCGCACAACGGACTCACACAGCCGACGACGACGCTTGCTGCGGCGACAGCGACTAAGAAGCCGAGAATGCGGCGGTCGCGGTCGTAAAGTGCGTACATGCGCATGATACAGAGGACTATCGAGAGACCATCAGCAAGAGTCGAGCCTCTAAGGTGACGTCCGATTCAATTCTGCCAAATTTCTCTCAACAGCGAATCGGAGATCTGAATTGTTTATCGCTTGAAGATGTCAGAGGCACTCACCGCCTACTAAGATCTGTAATATTACAGCGTAGTACTGGTGATATGACTGTAGCTTCAGGCAGCTGCTCAGAAACGGTCAGTCTAGGGTTCAATCATAGTAGACAACATCGACTAGTAGTACTCACTACTGCAATATCATAGCAGGTGATTCGGGTAGCAGGATGAGTCGCGTGGTTTTGGCGATATATTGACAGGCTACTTAATCACCTTGTCCTTATGTACCATAAGAAATGACTGGGCGAAGACCGGGACGTGTCCGACAACTGAGATATAGCGATTAATGAGAAATGTACATGAGGCCCAGCCCAGACGACGCTTGGGAGGCCAAAAGCGCTCAATCTCTGTGGTCAAGGTGAGCGCATAGTCGTAGTACAAAATCGCTGCAGGAGCCGAAAAAAAAACGTAGCGCCGGGAACGGCAACTTTAATTGCAGGGAAGATCTGCACAGGGTGATAGACGCACTGAATGAGACAAGAATACACGCGTAGTTGATATACCTTCCAAAACGAGGCGAATAAATTGAATGAGGTCAAGAGGCTAATGCATCGAAGCAGCCGTTTTAGGGACTCACAGGTCTGTCCCTGTTACACCGAAGCTGTCCAGCGTCGTTTCAACGGCCGACCCCATTCACAGACCATACCCCTGACAGATTCACAACTAGTTTGCTTGATTCTCCACACCTCTTGCAGAGTAGGCGATCAAGCGCGAAGAGAAAGAGGGGGAAAGCGGCTCGGTCACTGAGGCCAGACGAGGAGGGACAGTCTTGGACAGTGGAGGGGCCGAGGGTGATATACCCATCCAGAGACAGCGGGCGATATGTCCGCCGGCTAGCAACATGGGCGCTTTGTGCCTGAGCGACACGCTGACCCGAGCAGATAACTGTTTCAGGCTCCTCGACTGATACTCTGCAGTCCTCTTGAGTCCTCTACATTCCTACCCTGATAGCACCGCACAGCCCAACGTTGTTTGACAAGCGAGCATGTTGAGTTGTAGTGGACTGCTTGCACAGCTGTCTGACGACGTCTAGCAATGTCAAATCCATCCAGAACGTCTGGGAAAATCTCGTCGGCATCGCTTGAGATCGCTTGATGTCAAGGTCTAATTTGGTACTTAGCTGACTCTTTTTGCTCCTAGGGCGTTTCAGCATCCTAAACGATTGGCCGCTTACAAGTCGTTGGTTGTAGAACTTGTGGCACCCTGAAAGCACCCTGGCGCAAGAGTTCTACACTTTGTCCAGGTTATCTACCTGGCTAGGGATAGATCAATTGATTCAAGTCCCCTGATCCAGACTCCAGTAAGTCTCCGTAGCCTATGGTCATGGTATAGAGCTGATGTGATACCATTCATCTCTGATCGCCTTCTGCCATCACAATCTTACAGCGTCCTACTTGACGTATGATCAAATGATCGATGCACCCTGAGTCGATTCGGCACATAGGACCAAATTGCTCTGAAGGATGATCATCTGTCGGCATGAATGTCCGGAGGTCTCCACAGCAGACTCCGTGTAGCGCTCGCATCTGTTTGCGTTTCAGATTGGCAGCTGATGGATCTGATTATTCGGCCCTTGGTTGGACGAGGTCGCATTTCTTGTTGACTAACTCATCGCAATATGGTGCAGGCCATTTTATTACAGGTCAAAAACACAATACTAGGTTTGTTAACATAGTGAGAGCAGGATTCCATAGCTCAAACCGATCTCGACACATCGAACCATCTAATCCAAACGTAAAATCCTTGGTATATCACTGTCCTTGGGCTCGGCCGGAAACAGGTTGGTCCTGCTAAACTGAAGCAGGGGCATGATGCTTCCAGCACTTAACTGCACAACACCAACGAGGAGAATATCGTCCAATCCGAACCTCTTGGAACCATCTCCCTCTGCGAGATATCCGCCTTCATTATCGAGGGCCCACGTAGGATCCTCCTCGTTGAATCTGTCGGGAGGATCCTGGGACCCAGTTCGTGAGTTCACCTACTACAGATGCAGGGTAAGTAGACCTAAATATCACCTTGAGGAACTTCTCCAGATATTTCCAGACGAGGCGTACAAATGCCTTTTTCGAAATATTTTTGCTTAGGGTCATCGAGAATCTTTTCCCCACATATCCTTTCCACTGTGAGCACGTGTCACAGTTCGAGATTGAGTACTACCCAAGGAGGTCAATGATTTACTTACCACGATGTGCAATAGGAGGTCTTTCTTATCCCAGCCCAATGCCTCTTGTCCCATTCGCAGAGATGCGTACCGTCCGTCAATTGCGTCAGCATAGGCAATGCCAACACTGCCGCTCTCTCCAAAAAAGAACAGCGGCGGGTTCAAGATGGCGGTGTTTGGCAGATCCTTGTATCGGATGCAGACTACGGGTCCCGGCCCATCAGTGCTGCTCGTGGGGTCCATGTCCAATAATACGTCGACGCCCTTGTCATTGTCAAAGAAGACGAAGATTTGCCTCGGAGGATCAATGAAGGCGAAATTTTTGATATCGCGGCTCGAGAAGCTCCGGACGTTGTGAAGACCTAGTCCTCGCGGTTCGAGAATGTTGCGGAAGTGGTCATTAGCGCCATTCGCCGACATAGAATACGCGGCATAGGAATCCATGCCAACATCGTTCTGCCACAATGGTGTCAGTGCTATACGCAGTAGGGTCACTTCTTGAGGCTCACCGTAGACGTTGCATCTTCAGTTCGATTGGAACTCATTGTTAGGGACGGAAAGGGTGTAGAAGTAAGTGGGTCGTTTTTATTAAATACCCCTCCCCCCCTCTGAGTTGATCTATCTCCTCCAGCTCTCGACATGCACACAAGTGGAAGGGCGCAAATGTGAGAAACTGCCAAAACACGAGGTCTCGATGGAGCAGAACTTTACGACTGATTTCCGTCAAGCATTGGGACGCTACAGCGTCAGTAACCCCTACAATTCTGTCTCGCAGCGGAGATCAATATAGCCAGTACACATAATTTCAGCGGGCGGCTCACGAGCACGGAAGCTGGTGTCTGCCTCGTGGCTGACCCATCCAGTTGTGGCCATCAGGGCATCTTGTTCGAGGCTGAGAGAGAAAATCTGCAGGTCGGAATATGGCACCAGTAACGCTTTACCAATGATGAAAATTCGCACGCCTAAATGAGCGCAGGCGAGGGGGGCGCCCGGAGCCTAGGATAGCTACAATCCAGGGGGTTGAAAATACGGAGAAGAACCACACTTGATGGAGTTTAATATTATATGGACCTACAACTTGCGATATTGGACTCGTCATGTTACTGCCGCATGTCCAATGATTTGAGAAAGTGACTGCCTCCAGGTGTATGGAGGGCGTTCAATTATGTTGCACAACGCAGAAGATAGTCAGCTATTCCGACTAGTAGCAGATGGGCGTGGATGGGCGGCCACGTTTCCTTCGGGTGCCACGGGCTTCCTCGGCTTCCTCAGATTCGCCGCAAGGGGCTATCCGGCGCTTTGTATGACTCGGGAGGTTCAAGTACTGAAGCTGGGGCGCTGGAGGACGATTACTTCAAAATGGATTCGCAGAAGCGTTGCTGTTGAAACGAAGAGCGTTAAAGCTAGATTTGCGGAGAGCGGACCAAGTTACAATAGCATTACGACTAGCAACGGCCACTTACAGGCCTAGCATATTCCGGCTGATCGTACGTGACCACAGAGAAAGTCTTGAACAAATGTGCACTGCATGAGATCATCAACGGAGACTAGAGAAAACCCTCACTACTCATCGGATCATCACAGCTCCCGGCGTATCAAGAGCCGATCGCTGAACAAGTTCAATCATGATACCGCCTCGGGCGGATTCCCGAAGCATGATTGCGTCTAACGAGACTACACAATTCATTGACAAACGTCCACCGTCAACTATAGACCTCCACTCTACTTGTACACGAGCAAAGCTTCTTCCGATTCTCTCTTTTCTCCCCACATAGTAATAAAAACATCTGCACGGTACAGCCGATACCGATCAAGAAGGTCTGCAAAGCTATTGCAGGCGCGTGCTTAGACGGTGCCAGACTGAGCGATGGTGACCTTGGCCTTGGGCGAGCCAGACTGGGAGCCGAGGCCCTCAATCTTCTTGACCAACTCGAAGCCCTCGAGAACTTCACCTGAATTTTTTTGAAGATAGTCGTTGATTAGATAAGATCAGATATAGATCAGATAGTGTTTGATCCTGAACGCACCGAAGACGACGTGAGCGCCATCGAGCCAGTTGGTCACGACAGTGGTGATGAAGAACTGGGAGCCGTTGGTATTCTTTCCAGCATTGGCCATAGACAGGATGCCGGGCTTGGTGTGCTTCAACTGGAAGTTCTCGTCTGTTGGATGACCGATGAATATCGCACCGAAAAAAAACGCAAGGAAACGTACCAGCAAATTTCTCGCCATAGATAGACTTCCCACCAGTGCCGTTGTGCTTGGTGAAGTCACCACCCTGAAGCATGAAGTTGGGGATGATACGGTGGAAGGAAGACCCCTGATAACCGTATCCGTGCTGGCCAGTGGCGAGTTCGCGGAAGTTTTTCGCGGTTTTGGGGACGACATCGTCGTAAAGCTTGAAGGTGATCCTCCCGGCTGGGGCATCGTTGATGGCGATGTCGAACTATAAAACGTCAGATCGATCAGCAGTTGGCATCGTCACTGCTCCATAGGCCTCTTGATCCCTCAAAGAAAAAAGCGGAAAGGGAAGATTGCGAAATCACGAAAAATGCTCACGTAGACGTTGGACATTCCTGATGATTTGATGTTGGTAGAGGAGGGGGAGGTTGATGATGGTCTAGAGTCTGGAACGTCTGTCTATATGGTCAGCTCGGGTGATACCGAGTCGGAGATTGGGAACTATCATCATGCATTGACGTGCTCCCCGTTCGTCATTTTCACCTCAGCACCGCATGGTTCCATATAGGGGTTCGCCTAACATCAGATGACCTCTGTTTGTCTCTTCAAGAGCTCTTCCACGTCCTTCCGAGCCGTGGATACAAATGAATGGAAGCCGGAGCACCAGTGTCGCGCTTTTTGCGGCAGTTCGTACTCTCACCCTCAAATAATTCGAGTCCTCCATCGATATGATGATGAGCCATCGATATTCGGCGTTACGGCGTTATCCGTTCTTCGATGTCGTCCCCAATCAACTGTGTGATGCTCCATCGTCTCCTAGCGTGTCCCAGTCGTGTCCCGGTCGTGTCCCCGTCTCCATATGGTCCCGACAACATAGATTCTACGAACGATAGCATAGCAGAGTGATACGTCATCGTACTCCTAACCTGGGTATAGGTTTATGGCTAAGGTTTGTAATTTACCACGGTTTGAGAGCGACTCCTGAACGAGGACCTAATTTCGTCGTGATATAGCCTCCGATCGTGTCACATTTGTTCTAAATTGGTATCAAAAACCAGTATCAAAAACTCAACGAAGTAAACATCTTGACTTCCTCGATTCGTGGAACTTCTCATGATGCTGTATCGAGAGCATTTTAAAATATCAACTATCCAGTCGAACACCACTGCCATTCCGATGTCTAGAGAAGATGAACAAAAGTATGTCCCAGGGAGGATTCGAGCCTCCGGCTTCACGGATCGCGTACACCTAACGCCACAACGTGATGATTTAACCACTAATCGACAAGGACCATGAAAAGACGTGCTTATAGGCAATTATATGCAGCCGTGAGGGTGGCCGCACCCGACAGAGCGGTGTTTCCTCGAATCATCAACGTATCAACACAGATTAACGCCCATGTTACAGTAGCTCGACCTCGCAACAAATGGAACATGACGCTATAACAAACAGTACGTGGCTGTAGCAACTGCCTGTTTACATCATAGTGCAGGGAGTCTGACACAGCTTGATACGTTAAGCGATTAATAGACTAATATCGCAAATGATTGCACAAACGAGTAGAACGTTGATGAAACTGAAGGCCAGCTCTGGTTACCATCTTCAGCAAACACTTCATCTACGTTGGCAAAGGTGAAGTATCCAGAGCATCGCATTCAAGCTAAACCATTGCGAAGACTCCGTCCGCCACCTCTGTCTCAAGCGAAGCCACATACCCGAGATCGACATGGTAAGCCTCGTCAATCGCCCCAGTTGACCACAGCCACGGTCAATTGTGCAGGGCCTTGTTGTGTCCCCTTTTGTTTGAATCGCTGATCGAATTTCGTTATTCTATCGGCGCCCAATGTCGCCTCGCTTGGTCTTACCTCGTCGTATAAATATAGGGCAAAGGTCCTCGAGAAATCTTCACCACGGCTCAGAGGCTCGATTCCACCCCCACTCCTGCTTTCCCCACTCCATCTGTTGATTCCCACAGGCAGTTGATAGGCTTGTGAGTGGCCTATACCTCCTTCCATCTATTTTGTTATTGATGTCGAATGAGAAGTTCCTCCTATCCAGAGATCGCGTCCGTCTACACCGCCTACGAGCCACCGCTACCTGTCCAAGGTAACTTCTCTTTCGACAGACTATCATCGTTTATGGGTTCATCGTTCCTTCCGTAGGGCAAGGGTCTCATACCATTTCACGCCTACCCGAACTCTCCAGCTCATATTCCGCCACGCGCACATCCCCATCTGCAAACTCCAACGCCATGTCCTACGTCAACAACCAGCCTCAAGCCACGACCCAGATGCAAGTCCTCCCAGGGGGTAACCGTAATGCTTCCAACAAGTCCTACGGCCCCAACGGCGAGCGCGGATGGTCGCACGGGATTTGTAGCTGCTTTGGAGACTGTGGCACCTGTACGTATCCCCCTTCTTCCTCCTTCCTTCGATACTGACGGCTCGTCCGCGTCGCCCTTGTAGGCTGCCTGTCCTTCTGGTGCCCTTGCATCGCCTACTCGCAGAACAAACACCGCCTCGAGCATCTCGAGCAGCACGGCGCTCCCCACCCTGAAGGAGGCGAGTCCTGCACGGGCGACTGTGCGATCCACACGCTCCTGAACTGTTTCGGCTGTGGATGGGTGCTCCAGGTACGTTGGCATCTCCCTCGCATCCATCACTCCATCTAGGCTTCGCCTTGATCATCAGCGTATCGATCTGACCCGCGCGCGTCTCTTTGTAGATTGGCACGCGTAGCGATGTGCGCAGGCGATACCGCATCCGCGGCAGCACTTGCGGCGATTGCTGCACCGCATTCTGGTGCCAGCCCTGCGAGCTCGTGCAGGACAGCAGGGAGATCGAACTGGAGGAGAAGAGCTTCCAGTACAAGCAGTGAACGATGCCTGCCTCCCATTCTCCTATTTTACGTCTTACCTCTGTGGCCCTGTCGGTGTCAAACCTCCAAATCCTCGCTGCGTCATTGAGTATTGATGGCAAGTTATGTGATGTCGACGTTACGCTCTCCTTCATTCTCCTTGATGTTTCCATGGCTTTTACTGTATGTAGTGTTATTGATGGGCAGTGCTGGTGATTCGCCTTAATTATACATCCTGATCTCGCCCTTGAAGCTCTAAAAACGGATATCGTATATACATCAGTTAACGGTACGCATCCTCCGATCATTTTTGCGAGGAATCCATCTTTCTTGATATGGACGAGCCATTTACTGGAATGGTTCGCGAAACGTAGTAGCGAAGGGATGTATCATGTCTAGGCTCTCAGGATCAACATTGATTGATGATTCCAACCTTCCTTTCAACGATCACACAAGCCACAGCAAGAGAGCAGATGATGCAGATGGATGTTGATGGTGGCGTTTTGATTGCACAGAAAACAGACAACAGGAAACAGGAGGAGCACAAACAGGAACAACAAATGGAACGAACACGGTCGACAACGCTCAGTAATCGTGTCATCTTCACAGGTCTATGGGAGCACGCATGCGCGCCGCGGTAATTATTCTTCTACTATTAGTCCGTCGTCGTCGATTCATTCTCTTTTACCCAAACACCCCACGCTCACGCCATCTTGCCCAGCACGCGCGGCTGCGACAAGTCCGCCATGTTGATGAAGATGTCGTCCGCGGGATGGCGGTACAGCGGCGCGCGCAGGCGCTTCTGGTCGAGGTGGTGCCCGATGAAGCCGATCGAGCGCCCGAGAACGAACAGCCCATTGAGCGTCCCGATCCGGATGTACTCGTCTGCCTCCTCTGGTGTGAACGCGCCCGAGTCGCGTAGCAGGTCGACGAAGCAGACGGCGATGCACCCGTCGACGTTCAGGATGAGCGTGTCCTTCTTCGACGTCGTCACCTTCTCGACCGCAAGCGCGTAGTCGAGCAGCGAGTGCGACGGGAAGTTCTTGACCACGTACTCCTTCACGAGCTCGACACGCAGGTCAGGGTTGTTGACCGACTTGATCTTGTGGCCGATACCAGAGACTGAGAGAAAGGAGTGAGATGGTGAGTGAGGAACGATAACAGCACAGTGAAGTCAAAGACGTACTGAGCTTGTTTGCCTTCCTTGATGCGTCGACAAACTCTCGTGGTGTCAAGCCAGTATCCCGAGCGTTCGAGAACATGGACGCAGCCTCGTCGAGAGCACCACCAAATCGGCTACCAATAGTAAGGAGACCAGAGGCCAGCGACGAGATGAGATCCTTGCCCGCACGTGTCGCAACGATGGTGTTCATTGCACTGCACATTCCAATCAACACCTGTCCAGAAGATACAAACAATGACGCGGTGTCACTCACCCTGATACGGCGGGACCGTGGTCAGCCGTGAGCATGAGGACCATCTCGATGAACTTCGTCGCCCACTGCGGCAAGCGGCGCTTGAACCACAGCAAACTAACAACACCGCCGAGCCCGATATCTTCCTTGAACACATCCGAGATACGCATGCCAGCGTACAGCAGCTCCTGCCCACGCTCGTCCGAGATTGTCGAGATGAATGCGGCGGGCTTGCGAATCAGGCCGAGCTCCTGGGCCCACTTGTAGTCCATGGGAATCACGGGCGGCTCGCGCTCCGCCTGTGGGCGAATGACGCCCTTGCTCACCAGCCCGTCGTATGTCTCTTTGAGCACCTGTGGCAGGTCCTCGAACGTCTCGGGCACGATGAACCCAGCGGCGCGCATTGCCGTGTTCTTGGCATCCGCAGTCTCCATGTCCGAGTTGGCGAGCGAGCCAGCGTGCCCGAACTGGACCTCCGTCGCGAACATCTTCGCACACGTTCCGATGGCCCACGCGACGATCGGCTTCTTGATGATGCCCTTCTTGACCGCCTCGATAACGCGGTACTCTTCAATGCCACCGACCTCGCCAAGCAGGACAAGCATCTTGCACTCAGGATCTTGCTCGTAGCGCAGGAGATGGTCGATGAAGGTCGAACCGGGGTAGCGGTCACCACCAATGGCGATACCCTCATACGTCCCATTGGTGAACAGCGAGAGGATGTTGTTCAATTCGTTCGACATGCCTCCAGACTTGGAAACGTAGCCGACGGAGCCAGGGCGGTACAGCTTGGACGCGATGATGTTGTCCATCATGCCTCCCGAGTTTCCGATCTTGAAGCAGCCGGGCTTGATACCACCGACAGTGGCGGGGCCGATGATCAGGACACCCTTCGACTGAGCCTGGTGGAGGATCTCGCGTGCGTGGCGCTCGGGAACACCTTCGGCGATGATGGCGATCGCCTTGATCTGCGAGAGCTCGAGGATCTCCTGTGTGCTCGAGTAGACGGAACGCGACGAGGCAAAGTTGACGACGACATCGACATCGGGGTGCTTCTTGACGGCCTCCGGGAGGGAGGTGTAGACGGGCAGCAGCGTCTCCTTCGTGCCCCAGTAGAACTTCTGGATGTGGTGGCCGCCGAAGGGGTAGATCATGGCCGCGACGGAAGGAGTTTGACGCCCACACGAGTAGTCAAAGTCGAGCATGCCCTGAATCGCACGGGGCTGAAGACCATACACGAAAGAGCGCGTCGTGGCATCGAAGGGGCGGAAAGAGGGACGCTGGTGACCAGCGCCCGTCTCAAATCGGACGATCTGGTCGTCTGCCTGCGTACGCTCGCCAGACGCATGGATCGAGCCCACCGTGTTCTCGCTCTGTTCCGCAGCGCCACTGGAAGGAGGAGGGGAGGGAGGAGAAGAGGAAGGGATGGAAGGTGCAGTGGACTTTGTCTCCCGCCTGACGCCGAGTGCCAGGGGAACAATTTCGGTGATGTGGGTCTCCGGACCGTAAACCTTGATAGGAACGCCGAGAGACTCGCCAAGCAGACGCATGGCCTTGAGACCCTCCTGGTAGTTGGGTCCACCACGACGGACGTAGATACGGACCTTGTGGTTGGCAAGAGGCGTCTTGTACTCCTTGAGGGCACGAATGATACCCTTGAAAGTAGCAGCGACGTTGGTGAAGTTGGCGATACCACCACCAATGATGAGGATTTTGCCCTCTGGGTGAGGCTTGCCGCGAGTGATCAAGTCGACTGCACGAAAGCGTGAGAATTATGTTCAATCGAATCAACGCGTGTACGTACCGATCGTTTTGGCATACTCGTAAGTCTGACCCTCAGTGGGTGCACCAGAGTACTCGCCGTAGTTGGCAAGCTCGTGAGCAAAGCCATGGGCAGCGATGGCATCGGAGTAAACAACCGAAGCACCACCACCAGCTACCATTGTCCAGACACGACCCTCGGGGTTAAGGACGGTCAGCTTGAGAGAAGCACCAGTGGAAGCATCGAGCTTCTGGATGTACGCCTCCTCTTTGGTCAAGTCACGACCGAAAGGTGCAGGCCAGACCTACGTAACTTATGAGCAATCAAGATCTGCAAGCTATGTGTGCACTATTTTTACCATTGGGGGACCGCGGTCAGCGGAGACCTTGCCCTTGGAAGTGGTTTGGGGCGCGCCGGTCTCGTAGACGGTCACGTCTCGCGCGATCGCCCACTTGGGCCCGCAGATAGAGTCAGCAGTCTGGTCGAGCTTGGCCGCCATATCGAGGTAGTGGATCGTGGGCTGGCCGCCATCGACGGCATCCAGGCAGATCAAGGGGTTGATCTCGAGGTAAGCGAAATGGAGGTCGACATAGACGGAGTAAAGGCGGATGAGGAAGTCCACGAGGGTCTGCTGCTTGGCGGCGGGAACATGCTTGAGCAAGGCCGACGCGAACTCCTCGCGTGAAGGGAACGGCTTGCCGACAGAAATGTCGAGCTTGAGTGCCTTGGCGTCAACATCGCCGATATCGACACCACCTTCGTGGGTGAAGAGGATGGTGTCACCCTCACGCTGGGAGTTGATGCAGACGTAATACTCGGTGTTGGAAGGGTGGGGTAGGAAGGGCTCGAGGATGAAGTTGTTCAGTGTGCCTGTGACAGACTCGACCTGGGAAAAACGAGATTTACGTGTCAGCCTGGATCTCTCTAACTTTGCCAGCCAACGGGCAGGAGCAAGAAGGAACTGAGGTCACGTGCTGGCTTCTGGGAGGCACGCGCACACTTAACCGACCTCCTGCTCGACGCGAGGTGGGCTCGGGACGCATCGACGCAACGCAACAAGTGCGTGCATGCGCGCCATCGAGATAGAACACGGACCGCGATGATGGGATGCGATTAGTGCGACGCGACGGTGATCCAGTCTCAGATTGCAGCATCACAAGACCGGCACCTGGCCGCGCCTTGCACTTTTCCCCCTCCTCCGAAGCGCGACGGCCCCAGAAGAGCGTCATAAAACACGAATCGCAGCGCCCTAGAACCGGCGCTTCGCCGTGCAAGCTCCCCCCAAAGTCTGTCTATCCGCATCTGGGCTTGCGCACGCACCTTTTGGGGCTTGCCCGCACGCTCGGCGATCCAGGGCTTTGCCTCGTCCCAAGTCTTGTTGAGAGCGAGAAGGCCGGCCTTGCCGCGCCGCTTGATGAGCTGATCTGGCTTTGCGACGAGCTTGGTGGTGAAAACCCAGCTAGGGAGCTGAGTGTCGGGGGTGATGGCGCGGGTTGCGGGATCCCAGGAGACCTGGGCTACCTTCGGGGCGGGGTAGACGAAGGGGGTGATGACCTTTGCGGAGGGGACGACTGGGGGTGCACGTTCGAGCCAGTAGGCAAGGAGCAACTTGGCATCGTACTCGCGGATCGCTGTCGATCTTGCTCATCACGCGTCCCGAGGTTGAGAGGAAGGAAGAGCGAGCACGCACCTTTGGAAGACATGGTCGGGGTCTGTTAAGATGTAAAAAAAAGGGGGAGGAGAAAGCGGAGGGGGGAGAGCGGTGGGGAGAGGGAAGAGACGCGAGGAGGAGAAAAGGGTATTTATTGTCGGGGGACGATTAGAGTGGGGACAGCCGAGGCGGAAAGGCTGCCATCCCCCAAAGTTCGCACGGGGGCCTGGATGCAGGATGATGGTGTAGCGCCACATACCGTCCCTTTGCGCGTCTGCCCCGCCCCCATCGTACCATCCCAATCATCCATCCCATATCCCTCGTCGCACTCGCCAATAGCCGCCTTCCTCTCGTATCGTCGAATCAACCTCCGCTCCTGACACATCTCCTGCCCTCTTCGGAACTACGTACTCACTCCCCACCCTCCACATCCTCCTCCTCGCGTCTTTTCTGCCTCCATATTTCCTGTCGTCCGTGTCTCGTTCGCGCCTGTCCCTCGCTCCGTTTTTGTTTCGCTTCCTTCTCGCTACCCGTCCCTTTTTTTTTTCTCGTGCTCAAGCTTGCAGTCTCCACCAGACATTCCGGGGTACTCGGACCCACCTCCATCGGACATTGCGACATAAGCGCATCTCCCGACCATTAAGCAATCTAAGTTAAACCGCAATTCCTGATCCAATTTGCCTTCAACTTTCAAGTGATGATCCTGTCTTCGCGGGGCGCGCTACCCCCTTGGGCCTTGGATCTGAGCGCCCCCGCTTCAAACCTCAGCTATTTGCGTAAGGCTGGCTGCAACACAGGCCGTAATGCGGTGTCATTAAGCAGCGTCGCCTGCCATCGCACGCATACGTCTCCTCGATATCTCGTGTAGTATGATGCGATCTGTGTCAATCAACGCACATCCATTCTGAGGATCTGGTTCTTCGCGTTCGCGATGCAGCACCACGCAAGTCAAGGTGATATCAGATCCGGCACTGCCGCCCTCCGTCGCCCGATATCAGGAAGCACATACGTGTCCTATCAGGTCCTATCCTGCTCGCTCACGAAGCGCCATTGAACGAAGGCAACTAGTTATGAGCGAGCATTCCAGCCGCCTGGCGTATGGCATCACCTCAGCGCTACGCCCCTCGGGCCCGAAACGAACACACGCCTCTCGAAAGTATCTGCTCGCACTCTACTGCCCGCTCTCAACACGCACCTCGTTGCTTCAAACCGCGTCGGCGCAGTGCACGCATGCCTCAGAATGCTCTCTCAAGATCTCAAGCGGGCCACCGTTCCGCCCCAGACAAAACACGCCTCCCCAAACAGGCACCCCCAAGGGGCTTGGGAACCAGCGCGTCGCGCACGCAGTCGTAGAAGGGCGCCGAGCAGAGACCAGACCACCTGGCATCCATGGTCAAATACGTATGTGGGGCCTTGGGCCACTTACCGCTTGCTGATATGTGGTGACCGTTGTATGACGAAGGCTTGACGGGATTCCCCATCGGTCATTGCGGCCCATTGGCAGTTGGCAGGCAGACGCGTGTTGGTGCCCTGGCTTGTGCGCGCCTCCTCGTCCACGTCCACGGCGAGGACCTTGATGGCATAACGGAAGATAACGGACCGACAAGAGCGCTTCATCAGCATCCTCGAATGCCGTAACGTTGACCGTCTAAGGATCAATCAGCGACGTGGATATTGTCGGTCGGTCTTGCGGCGTCCAGAGAGCCTGAGGCGACCCTGCGGGCAGCGCGCCGGCGGAACGCAGGCCTGTCATCCACGACGAGGGCATCTCCTTGGGCGTGTCGCGGTGCTGAACACGTGCCTGCGAGGATGTCGAGGACCCAAGTATATCGCGCGACTCGAGGCAAGCAGATATGAGCACTTGGGCAGCTGGTCGGGTCGATCGCGGAGCACGTGTGTGGAACTGGGTGGCAGGTCGCCTGAGTCGGACAAGGGGCGCCTGTTTGTGTGTGCATGGCCGTGGGTAGCAAGCTAAGCAGCGAGAGAGTGGAAGCCCAACGCCGTCGCGGTTGGCGTTGCGCAGAAACCTGACGAGGTGCCACGACATACGTGTTGAGGCCAGCAAAGACGAATCCGACCCATGTCGTGCGCGCGCGTCGAGTGCGCGCTCTGCAGTCCAGTAGTGCATGCATGTGTCAGCGGGTAGTTGAGGGGAGGGTGAGGACATGCCGCGTGCAATGGCTTCTTCGTAAAATCCGTGCACTCGAGGGCGTTGTACGAGGCCTGGCCTACAGTACGACTCGAAGAGAGAGCGCATTCTGTCGGGGCCAGCTGTCAGAATCCAGGCGAGAGCGACCCAGCCCGCGGCAGTCCACCGTGAGACCCCCATGGCCGAGGCGATACAATGAGCAGGAGCCAACGCAGATGACAGCGAGAGAAGGAGGAGGATGAAGAGAAAGCGGGAGAAGAACAAGGGGAGACAAGGGGCCAGACAAGACGAGTTCATGGAGTGCGGGGAAAGACGGAGCCCCGCGCTGCTTGCCCCCTGCACGAGCCTGCACGCCAGTCGGCCCTCGACCGACCAGCCAATCGCAGAGCGCGATGTGCGCGACGGCTTGCACTGCTAGACGTTTCGGCGCGTTGGATAAGCACGGAGGGCGATTTTTTTAGGGCGGACGTGCAACGGGAGGCGTCAGGCGGAGTGCGGGTGGGTATAGGATGTGGACGTGGCGCCGTGCGCGCTGCGACGCGCCGTGCCGCGGGAGAAACATGAGGAGGCCTTGGTCCACGCGTGCCGAGCGAGGTATGTACTTATTGGCGCGTGGCTGAGATGAAGCTCAAGTTCAAGGCTGTTCAAGGCCCAAGGCCCATAAAAAAACATTATACAATGATATATTGTACCAACAAACCCGAGCCGTTTTTCTGGCGACTGCTAAGTAACTCTACACCAACCTATAACCTATAATAAATCCGTACATTCGATCGAAAACTAGGAGAAAAAGAGATATCTATATACTGACGTTCGAACATCCTTGGCTATAAGCGCATGCGCGCGGGCATCACACCTTCGTTTACTGATCTCGAGTCTCATCGTCGCGCTCGTGGATTAGTCGAGGCCCATGCGGTTCAAGTAAGACTTGCGGATGTAGAAGGAGAGATCGCGCTTCGCGTGAGGGGCGGGAGCGGGAGCGGGCGGAGGAGGGGAAGGAGAGGGCGGGGGCGGGGGCGGAGGCGGCGCCGCGTCACGGGGATGGGGTACTGGCGGAGGCGGAAGGGGAGTGGGCGAGGGTGGGAGAGGGGGAGGGGCTGCGTCACGAGGAAAATGACCTGGAGGAGGCGGGGGAGAGAGCGAAGGCAGGGGAGGCGGGGTCACCGCGTCCCGAGCATGGGGGGCTGGAGCCACCGGCGGGGGCGGGGGCGCGAGCGAAGGTGGAGGAGGCGGCACTGTATCACGGGGTTGGGGAGCTGGAACCGGGGGTGGCGGAGGTGATGGGGATGGTGGGGGCGGGGGAGGTGCCGCATCGCGGGGATGAGGGACTAGCGCCTGCGGGGGTAGAGGCGTAGGCGAAGGCGGGGGTGGTGGAAGTGCGCCCGCCTCACGAGGACGGTGGTCCGGGGGAGGCGGGGGTGAAGGCGAAGGTGGGGGAGGGGGTGGTGCCGCGTCACGAGGGTGAGGAACAGGAACCGGTGGAGGCGGAGAAGGAGAAGGCGGGGGTGGGTGAGGCGCCGCATCACGAGGATGGGGGGCTGGAGCTGGCGGTGGTACAGGCGTAGGAGAAGGCGGAAGAGGAGGAGGAGGGCCTATCGATGCATATTTGAGAATGAATATGCAAGAACGCAAAGGATAATACTCACCCCTCATGATAAGAGAGCCAGTGGCCCCGAAGTCCTCGCGGGCAACATTGGCGCTCTCGACATAAGTCGAGGCGATGTCCCGAGCATGAGCCACTTTGCCATCAAGGGCGAAATCACGCCGAGAGAGAGAATAGTCGAGGGCAGGAGGAGCAGCGTTCGCAAACCCCTGAAGGAGACAAGCGAGAGTGACGAATCGCGTCAACGCGAACATGATGAGATTTCAAGATTTGGTTCGAAGGGAATATGGATACGAGTAGAAGGCTGGAGAGATGAACTTGAAGAGCTGAACCTTTCGAAGGCTGAATAGTATAAGAGAAGGACAAAGTGGTGATGAAGAGAAGGTCAGTGCACGCTTTGGTATTATATACCTTTGAGCCTACCAGTATGTTAGGATATTGGAATCCTCACAGCAGGAAGAGGATACCGTAGTTGGCGCAGCATCGGTGCGGTGCAGCGCAATGTGTATGGCGGTAGTGGTAATCCAGGCCCAGAAAGTAGCATTCTTGATGCCATGCCTACAAGTACCTACATGCATTACTGACTGCGGCGTTGTTTCCGTTTCGTGCAGTAGACGAGAGAAGTTACGAGAATCGTTGTGAGACTCACACCAGCAAGTCATTAAGTCAGAAACATAGGTTTGTAGGATCAAAATAGGGAACCTTGTGGACAACAGAGGATAGAGACTTGACGGAGAGGGCTTGTGAGGTGCTCACATGAGATACTACGTTTGACTCAAGGAAGCCTCAAGGAGCGTATTCGACGAGAATTGATGATGAACTTTTATCTACAATTTCACCTCGCGCAGCAAGAGAAGGCTCAGCATTGTAGCAACTAGCGACAGAGCCAGATGCCAGCTCAAAACGATAATCGGATTTGCGATAACGTACCTGCAAGCTTTCTGACTTCTTCTGATCTCCGCAACCTCGAGCCGCAGCGTCGTGACAGTGTTACCATAGTGGATTGGATCGCGAAGCCTGAGGCCTGAGCGTGCACGACTCAGTACGGGGGGCTACGGGGAGACTGCGACATTGAGTTAAGCCCCGGCGAGAAAGACAGTCGATTCTCAGGACAAGGCATTCTTTGGTCACCCTGAGGAAATCTGAGATCTCAGCGTCGTAAATGAGATAATCGAGTCACTCGAAGCTCTCGTTTGAAGCGCCATGCTGCACCATAGTCAACGCTCAAGCAGAGGGAGAAATACGTGTGTTTGGAGGTGGTGGTAGTCTCCCAAAGGCAGCAACGTACATAGGGGATTTTCCTGCAACCTCCGACCCGAAGTTCCGAAGTTCACTGCCGTCTGCCACAAAGGCTAACTTTACGAATCGGTGCAAGATCGCTACAGCTTTCACTCTATTCTCTCACTCGAACTCTGCGTGTCGCCTCTACGACGACGATACCTCGTCGTTTCCTCCCGTCTCGGCTAGAAGGCATCGAAGGCGTCGAGGACTACCAGCTCGGCGGGTTCCATCTCGTGTCCATTGGGGACTGCTTTGCCCAAAAGCGCTACAGGGTGGTGCATAAACTAGGCTATGGAGGCTCGTCTACCGTCTGGCTCGCACGCGACCAGGAAGGGCCGGAAAGACTCGTTACTCTCAAGGTCATGCGTGCCGACGCTTCGTCCGCACGCACGAGCGAGATCCCCGCGCTGGTCAATTCCAAATACTTCGAGCATCTCTTCTCCCTTCTGTTCATATCCAGATCGTTGATGATCATTTCGTCGACCAAGGTCCGAATGGCACTCGCTTGTTCATTGCCTTTCCATTCGCTGGCCCTAGCGTTCTTGCTATGTCGGACTGTCCAGGACGAACAATCGGGAGCCGGCGGGTGCGTGTGGACTTGGCACGCGAGGTAGCTAAACAGACTGCGACGGCAGTGCATTACACGCACTCTGCAGGCGTTGTTAATGGGGGTGAGAAACAAGCTTCCAGTCTCAGGCTCTCAGCGGTACTTGATGACGGAGACTGACTTCCAGATATCACCACATCGAACATCTCATTCGCCCCTTCGCCCCACGTCCTCAGATGGGCCAGATGCGGACTTGTACGCCGGTTTGGGCGAGCCCGAGACAGAGGAGGACAGAGCTCGTGGCGGCACTCCCTGCCCTCCCAGCGCGCCAGCCGAGCTTCGTCGCACCTATAGATAACTTCATCCTGACGGATGCATCGTTTCTTTAAGAGAGCATCATTCTCGGCGACTTTGGCCAGTCGTACGCCGTCGCGTCTCCGCCCCGAGGCTATAATCCCGCCACCGTGTTCAACTACGTTTCGCCGGAGGCACGCTTCGAGGGACGCGCGGGCTTGGAGGCGGACGTGTGGGCGATCTTCGAGATCCGCACGGGTCGCCCGCTCTTTGAGTCCTTCTTTGGTAGCGACGCGGACATACTCAAGTAGGCTATTGGATTTCTGGGGCGTCTGCCTGACCCGTGGTGGAGCGTATTTGAAGAGCGTGTCGCGTGGTTCGAGGAGGATGGGGAGCCGAAGAGCGTGGAGGATCAGGCACGTGCTGGAGTTTTACTGAAGGCGTCGAAGAGCTCTATTCGAGAGCAGTTGCGCTCAGTAGGTGTGCAGGACGAGGCACCGTCCGTTCACGAGGGACGGATGATCGAGCCGTCTGGCGTGAGACTGCGGGAGGAAGAGGTCGAGCCGTCGGGGGATCTATTGGGGAAGATGCTGAAGTATCGTCGCGAGGAGAGGATTAAGATGGAGGAGGTTATCACACACCCATGGTTCAATTCTACAGATTGAGACACGCAACCTTGTTTCTGGTGGTTCCGACCCGGACAACATGTAACATATTGGCGCTATGGTGTGAAGGTGAGCATATACGTAGGATGCGTTCGACTCTCGATCATGACACGACCGCACTATCCAGTCCCAGTGCCGGAGCATGTGCGCCCATCACTGATTGCGACTCTCAGGGCACCGTCGTACAGTCGGGATGCACCACACTTTGGTTCTTCAATCATGAACTGTTTTGATTGGTGAGCGTGAGTGTGTGCTACACTTCGTCGCTAATTTCCTTTGACAACCGAGATATGTCTTGTATTGCAGCGTCTACAGAGGATGACGATGCGCCAACGTGCGTCACGAGGGAACGCGCTAGGATGATCAACTGAGTCGACCCTGCGTGGCAGATCATTTTACGACTCGACGGTGCTCGAACGTTAGACGACGTCGAGGAAGGAGAACAGGGGTTTCCGATAGTATGACACTGCGCCCCGTGAAGATGTTTTCTGGGGATATTGAAAGACAATGACGATGCCGCGACGACAACTGATTCCGAGTGGGGGCCGCAAAATCTCTGATGATGATCGCTCAAGAAAGTTCTCCATTGACGTCGTACTACTACTATGTTCGCCTAGAGAGCCAGCGACACAACCAACTGTCCTACTCATACACCACCTGTCCCCCGCACCCCTCCACACCCCAGCTCTGAGCGATACCGAGCCGAAAGATACCGACCGCGTCGCCGCGTCAACTTCAGTAGTAATAGTCCTCGACGTAGGTCCTCCGGACGTACAGCGTCTGCTCGTCGCCCCGCGCGTGGGGAGGAAGCGGCGGCGCCGGGGGCGCGGGCGGGGGAGGGGGAGGGGGAGCAGGCGGCGCGGCGTCGCGGGGGCGGGGACCGGTCGCAGGGGGAGGACGCGCCTGGGCAGGCGGGCGAGCCGCTTGGGGGCGCGGCGGGGGTGGGGGCGCAGCGTCACGGGGGTGGGGAGCGGGAGGAGGCGGGAGTGAGCTAGGAGGGGGCGGAGGAGGGGGCGGGGCGGCGTCGCGGGGCCGAGGGCCGCCTGCGGGAGGACGAGCCTGTGCAGCCGGACGAGCCTGAGCAGCGGGGCGGGCTTGAGCCGGAGCTGGAGCCGGAGCTTGGGCCTGGGGGCGAGGAGGGGGTGGGGGCGCGGCGTCGCGGGGGTGGGGGCCGGGGCCGGGCGGCGGGGGTGGGGATTTGGGGGCAGGAGGGGGAGGAGGAGGGGCGGCGTCGCGAGGCTGAGGACCGCCGGCGGGAGCAGGGCGAGCTTGTGCAGCCGGACGGGCTTGGGCAGGGCGAGCCTGAGCCTGAGCCTGAGCCTGAGCCTGGGGGCGAGGCGGGGGCGGGGGCGCGGCGTCGCGGGGGTGAGGACCCGGAGGTGGTGGAGGAGACTGAGGGTGGGGAGGCGGGGGCGGGGGAGCTGCGTCGCGAGGCCGGGGGCCACCCGCGGGGGGACGAGCCTGGGCAGGGGGCCGTGCTTGGGGACGAGGAGGGGGCGGGGGTGCCGCTGTTTTTCGAGAACCGTGAGCACGGGTGCGGCTCGCGACGCGATATTCGGTGCTCACCCTCTCTCTTGTACAGGGACTCGTCGTCCTCGCGGACGACGTTGATCGCCGCGCCGGCGAGCGACGCGGCGAGGTCGCGCGTGAAGACGGAGAGCGCGTCGGGGGTGGGGCCGCGGCGCGCGAGCATGAGCTCCGTAGGAGCCGGGGCGGCGCTCGCGAGGCCTGCCGTGGAGAGCAGACAGGCGAGGGCGACGAACCGCGTCAGTGCGAACATGGCGTCTCGCGAACAAAGAAACAGGAACAGAAAGGTTGGAAAGTAGTGTTGCGAAAAAGAGGACGACGTGCAAGAAGAGGACGAAAGAGGAGAAATAAACGACCTGTCAAAGGCCGAGGGGAACGAAGAGCGGATGGAGGATGGGCATGGTGGAGGGTGTGGTTTTATACGCCGGGATGGGGGTTGGGGCGCGGTGTCTTCGCAGCCCAGGGCGGGGGAGACGGTTGTGCGCGCAGCATCGTGGAGTCGCGCGACGCGCTCGTTCAGGCGTCGAAGGAGGGGAGTTTCTGAATGCCATGCCTACATGAGCTCATCACTGCGGAGAATCGCCTTTCGCGCCCTCAGATGACTTGGCCATGGACAAGCTTCGAGGGCCAGGGGTGCGCCCCCGTGACGTCGCCGTGTGCATGCACCCATCCACACAGAAAGCGACGGCTGGCTGGCTGGCCGCTGCACGCCGCAAACTCCAGCCAGCAGCCCCCAGAGATCGACTCGGAGCGCAGAGCGGCCCCGCACCGAGATCTGAGACCCGACAGACGCAGTCTACCTCAGTCTACTCGCCGGTGCCCCTGGCCCGGCTGCGATCGAGCCCGAGATGCCCAGTCGTACCTAGTCGTACGTGGTAAACGACGCAGCCCCGCACGAGCGAGCGACCGGATTGGCCGCCTCGAGCCGCATTTCATCGTGCGCAGCCGCGAGAAGCGAGCGAGCCGCACCGCGCACTGTCGCATCCTGCCGCAGCGCGCCCCGCGCACCGCGCCAGCGAGCCGAGACCGTGCGCAGGCGCAGGCGCTACCGCCGGACACGAGGGTGCGCAGAACGAAGCCTCGCGTTTCGACGCGGTCGTCGCGGTCGCGTCTAGGAGAGCGCGCTCGACGCGTGGCCGCGCTAGTACGAGGGAGAGGGACGCCAGCATCCCGCCAATGGCGGATGCACGACGCAGGACACCCTCTGTCACTCTTCCTTGCCGCCTTGATCGTCGCACCTAAACATTGGACATCGAACCCTGGTCACGAATTCATGATTCAACCCATCATCGACAAAAAAAAAAGCGAACAAATAAACGAGCAAGCCAAGGCGAGGAGCAAAACACACACACAGAAAAAAAAATAAGCACCGGAGAACTAGGATGGTAGGTATGTAGCGTAGGCGTAGACGTAGCGCAACTGTGCAACCGACGTAGATAGTTAAAAAAAAAATGCAAAAGCAGCAACAACAACAACAACAACGACACCCCATCCGCGCGCGACTCCCGCAGTGCGCACAAGACCGCGTGTGGCGTGCTCGCGCTGGCCGCCGGGAGTGAGAGTGGGTTTGCGATCGCGGTCGGGCGCCGTATCGCGTAGGGCCGTAGGCAGGGCACGCGCAGTGCATCCCGACCCATGAGTCTGAGCCGGAGCTTGCGAACAGGTGACAGACGCCCACTGGCGCGCGACGGGCAATTCCACTCACCCTGCGACCGGACGCGGGACGGGCGGGGAAGCGGGCGCGCACAGACGAAGCGCGGCGCGGCGCGGCGTGCGACTGAACCAGGGAGGCCCGACGCCGAGCCTCGTCCGTCGTCCCCTCTCTCCTCCCTCCTATTCCCTATTCCGTATTCCCTTCTCTGCTCCTTCTCTGCTCTGCTCTGCACCGCGGCGCGGCACGGCACCCGCCCGCGCACTCACCCCCATCACGCCTACCCACGACGCGCTGCCGCCTACCCACGACGCGCCGCCCACCAAACCTCCCTTCGCCTCCCTTCGCCTCCCTTCGCCTCCCTCGCCTCCCTCGCCTCCCTCCCCTGCCTTTCCTCAGCCACCCACCCACCCCATCAACAAACAACACAACAGCACCCCCCGCCCTCCTCCTCCCCCCTCGCGCCCTCCCCCCCGTCCCCATCCCCACCCCGACCGCCCCCGTTTCCCGCGCCTCCGTTCCCCGCGCCAGCGTTCCCGCCGCCGACGCCGAGGAGGCCGGCAGCGCCGCGCGAGCGCCGGCGCTTCTTCTTGAAGGAGGCGTCGTCCGCGGGGGGCGCGATCGCGCGCACGGAGAGGTGCACGATGGTGGGCGGCGGCGGGGCGGGCGCGGGTGCGCCGGTGTGTGCGTGGGCGTGCGTGGGGTTTGGGGTTGGGGGGAAGTTGAGCTCTGGACGGGAGGAGGGGGGGGGGTGAGGAAAACGGGAAGAGGGAAGACGGAGAGAGGGAAGAGGGAAGACGGAGAGAGGGAAGACGGAGGGGGGAGAGGGGGGAGTAGTAGTAGGAGCGCGTACGTCGGAGCGTGTCCTCGTCCTGCAGGATCTTGCCGAGGTGCAGGATGCGGAGGTACGACGGCGCCGGCGGGCGCTCGTCCTGCCACTCTGTCGGCCGGGCGGTGCGATGTGGATGCGAGGCGAAGGGGCGAGGAAGGAAGGACGGGCGGATAAATGGATAAATGGATAAATAGAATAGAGTCAGTACGGTGCTGCTTGCTCAGAGAGACGCGAAAAAAGACGCGAAAAGATGAGACGCGGAGGAGGAAGAAGAAGAAGAGACGAGGGCGTGGACGCAGCGCCCGAGGCGAACGAACGAACGAACGAGCGACCCAAACCCGACGCAAAAAAACACCAACGCAAGCCCAACGCCAACGCCAACGCCAACGCAAGCCCAACGCCAACGCCAACAAACGAGCGCACGCACCGTTCGGCCACGTATTCCACGCGAGCTCCTTCACGCGCCCGACGGTCGTCTCGAGCGCGAACGTCATGCTGCGCCGGCGGCCCGACACGAGCAGGAAGGTGAGCGCCGTCTGCGGCTCCTGCGGCTCCTGCTGCTGCGGCGCCTCGCCCCCTCCGCCATTCCCACCACCATCGTCCTCACCACCACCATCATCGTCCCCACCACCATCACCATCGCCATCGCCATCGCTATCACCATCACCACCCTCTCGACCCGCGTCGGAGTCGCGGTCGCGGTCAGAGTCGTGCGAGGCGCGGGGGACGCCGGTGCCGGGGCGCGTGAGGGCGTCCTCGACGCGGGTGTACGACGTGCGGGTGCTCGCGGGGAGGGCGGTGATCTCGAGCGGGGGGAAGGCGTGCGTGGGGAAGGAGGGGAGGGAGGGCTGGTGGACGGGGTGCGTGTGCGCGTGTGCGTGTGCGTGTGCGTGTGCGTGGGGGTGTGCGTGGGCGTGGGCGTGCGGTTGGGAGGGCGGGTGGGATGGGTGGGTTTGGGACATTGTGGACATTGTGGATGTCGTGGACGTTGTGGGTGGGGTGGGGTGGGTTTTTTTTTGGTGGGTGCAGGGGGGAGTTGTGGGCACGTGGTCAGGTGGTGTGAGCTGGCCTCACACGGAGCCGAGCGCTGTCCGAGCACACACCGAGCGAGCGAACAGGTACGAGTGAGCAAGGGATGGAGGGGCGGAGGGACGGAGATGGATGGGGGCGGGCGTGGGGGGGGCGAATGATCTGGGGAGAGGGCGCACGTCAGAAGCCCAGAAGGCAGGCAGGCAGTCAGGCGAGGCAGGCAGGCGAGGCAGGCGAAGGAGGCGGGGCGAGGCAAGAAGCGACGGCGACAGGGGCGGAGCTGGGCGGAGTGATGGGGCTAGGCTCTCTGTGCGGCCGCTCCGTTCCCGTGCAGTATTTAATATGCTATGATCGGCGAGTGCGGCGAGCGCGGTGTGTGGGTCGGGCGTTGCGATGCGCGCGCGTGGGTGGGTAGGGGAGGAGGGAGGAGGGAGGAGGGCGGGCGTGCGTGTGTGCTGGCGAGGCGAGGGGACGGGGCGCTTGCTTCTGACAGGGGCTGTCGGAGATGGATGACGGACGGCCGGGGGGCACCGACGGGCGCGGCGCGGTGCGATGCGGTGCGAAGCGATTTGATTTGCGGGCGCGAGCGGCGGGGTTGTGGTGCGAGGTGCAGGGTGGTGGTGTAGAGGAATGGCGAACGCCCGAGGTGGGTGGGTGGGTGGATGGGAGAGAGAGAGAGGAGGGGTGGGCACGGGACGCGGGACGCGTGGGGAAACGGGGACGGAGGGCAGGAATAGCAGCTGCTGATGGCGGTGGGGGTGGTGGCGGCGGCTGTGTGCGTGGGAGAGCGTGGGAGCGCTAATCGCAGACGGGGCTTCGCGCGGGGTGGATGCGGGGCAGGCGGGTGGGTGGACGGTAGACGGGGTCAGGTGGGGGGCCACGCGCGCGAGACGGGGTCGCTGCGTGTCGCTGCGTCCGAGTGCTCGCTGCACAGTGGGCTGTTGCGCGAGTGCGAGTGCGAGTGCGAGTGCGGGGACAATAGGCGTATAAGTATAACGAGCGGGGGCTGCACGGTCTGCGGGCGGCGGGCACTCGGACTCGGACCTCGGGTTCCTGGCCGCGGGGTAATAGCGCCGAGTCCTCTCCGGTCGCCCAATCCACGAGCACAGCGAGGTGCTGTACCGCCTGGAGCCTCGACGCCATTCGACATTTCCTCTCGTGTGGCCTTCCGCTGCGCGCTCTCCGTCCATGTATACAGGGCGCGTTCTGCTCCGTTCTGGTGGCTCGGCAGCTCTTCCTCTGCGCGACCCGCATGCACGCTCGCTCACTCGCTGGCGGGCTGGCGGGCTGGCGGGCTGGCGGGCTGGCGGTATGATAGCCTCCCCCCCCACGTACGCGCGACTCGTATACCCATCTAATAGCCGCCTCTTCTCAGCCCGCCTCCCGCCTCCCGCTCCCACGCGTGCTCTCACAGGCTCTCGCTCGCTCTTTCTCTCCATCGCATTTTATATCTCACGGACGGACGGACAGATGTACAAACAGATGTACAGACACGCACACGATCGCGACTCGCGACGTCGCCTCCAGCGCCTGCTCCGCCGTCATCTCGCGCGCCCCACTCCCACCCCACCCGCTGTCTCGGGCTCCATCGTCGTCACGCGCGCACCGCAAACCGCAAACCGCAAACCGCAAACCGCAAACCGCATACCCCATACCCCATACTCTCGCATCGCCGCGCCGTGCGTCGTAGTCAGCGACAAACGGACATGGAGAGCAGGCCCGGAAACCCCGCTCCCCGCTCCCCGCTCCCCGCTCCCCGTCGGCACCGCACCGCCTCTCCCGTGCTCGCGATTGCGCGGGTTGCGCCGCAGCGCGCGCGTCCGTCCCTAGCGCCATCGTTTCTGCCAGGTCGGGTTTATCGGCGTCGTCAGCGTCGTCGTCGTCGTCGTCGTCGTCGTCGTCGTCGTCGGCGCTGCTGTCCGGTCGCGTCCGGTTGCGCTGCGTCGCGTCGCGTCGCGTCGCAGTGCAGTGCAGTGCGAGGCCGCGAAACGATCGGCGGGCCCTCAGTCCGTCTACGCGACGTCGTCCGATTCGGGGGCTGCGAGACCGCGAGGCCGAGAAGGGGCCGGGCCGGGATGGGGATCGGGATCGGGATGGGGATGGGGATGGGGCGCTGGATGGACGCCCGGCTGCCTCTCGTCCGTCCCGCCGTACGTCGTTCGTCGTTCGTCGTTCTGCGTTCGTCGTTCGGCGTTCGTCGTTCGGCGGGTGCTCGTAGGTTCCCGTCATGGGACGAGGGGCGCGCGCGCGCGTGCGTGCGCGCGTATGTGTCGTCCCAGACGGCTGCGGTTCACGGCCGCGGCGGGCGTCGTGCGCAGCGGGAGCAGAGGTGCGTGAACGCCGGCGTCGGGCGGAACGGCACCGCTAGCTTTTCCCTGCCCTCGTGCGGAGCTGCGAGACGGGACGGGACCGGCTTTGAGCGCGCGCGGCACCCGCCTCGAGGCGCTCGTTCGCAGATGCTCGGCGCGCCCGGCCCACGTTCTCTCTATCCTGGCACGGCGCTGCCCTGCCCTGCGCTGCCCTGCCCTGCGTTGCCCTGCGCGGGCTGCCGCGCGCAGGCGAGGTCGACGTGCGGGCGGCGTTTGTGCTGCGCTCGCTCGCGGGCGTCGCGGGCGCGTCTGGGTCTGTGGGGCGCGTCCCTGGTCGGAGCTAGGAGCTCGGAGCTCGGAGCTCGGTGGTTTTATTTTTCCGTCTCCCGTTTTCTTCACCTCGGAGCTCGGTGTGGTGTCGTTGGGAGCGCACTTGGGGGTTAGGTCGAGGTCGAGGTCCAGCGTCGCGGGCGTCGCTGGCTCCGTCTCCGTGTCCGTGTCTGCTCGTGCTGCCGTGCGTGTTGAGGCGAGGACCTGTCGGCCTTCGTATTCTCTCTAGGCTCGTGCTCGCGCCGGGGACATCCGCAGCTCGGACGCCGGCGCCAATTTTGCGCTCGTTTGCGCGCTGTTGGCTGGATGGCTGGCTGGCTGGATGCGTGGATGCGTGGACGCGTGGCCGCCGTCGGGCTTGGCTCGATTGTGGTTGAATGCTCGGCGAGAGGGGCGAGGGGCGCGCGCGAGTCGCTCGCTGCCGTTGCCGCTGCGCTCCGTAATACGCGCGAAATTCGCGGACGGCCAGGCGCGGAGGGCTGCGCGGCAGCGTAGCACGCGGATCTGGCGCCGTCGTGCTCGTGCGCGCGCGCGCGGGGCCATGCTCTTTGAGGACCTCGGACGCGATCTCGTCGTCTCTTTCAGGCGCGCGGAGGCGCACGCGCGCGATTCGCGCCTCCTGCGTTCGATCGTGGTCGCGACGGGCGGCGTCGGGGTCGGATTCGTCCATGTGCCGGCGTGAGTTTTGCGCGGGTGGATGCTTCCAGTACCGTCCAGTGCTGAGGGGCGCGATGGCGTCAGCGACTCGACCCGGCAACACGGTTTGGACTCTGTCTGCCCATCCCCGCGGATGACTGGATTTGTATATGGTCTGTGGAGCGTCTTTCGCGGAGACATACGTGCTGCTTCGTGCGTTCCGATCCGATCAAATAAATGACGGGACCAAATCCACTTGTCTAACACGATACATCGGCATTGCACAACAGGGACACGGATACAACAATTTTGGGGTGCTATGTACTATGTACTCAAGTCACAGCCTGGAGCGCGTACCCAGAATAAATAGCCGAAAAGTCTCGAACAAAAAGAAAAAATCGGTCTCGAGGAGGAGGGATGACAGCAGAGTGGGGATCGGGACACCCCGTCGCGCGTCTACGCAACGGTCACTTTGGCCGCGACCGGTTTGAGGTACTCGTCCGTGATGGATGCCGGGGTGCCAGCTGTGCGTTCGCGCTGCACGCCTAGTTCCTGGGATGGGAGCCGCATTGTGAGTGGCGCGTCGAGCTAAAGCACGGATCGCAGCTGCGAAGCTCACGATTATGGACCCGGTTCGAAGCGGTGTCGGGATCTTGATTTTCTGGCCGTCGACCCAGGTACCGTGCGCCGAGCCGAGGTCGTCGATGTACACCTGGTCCACGAACGCGATCGCCGCGCGGCGATCATATGCGGGGCTCGTGAGCTTTGTCGAATGGGGAAAGCAGCGACGGGCCCCACGCACCTGTCCGTTGTGCGTGTAGAGCTGCGCGTGGGCCTCGCTCACGGGGAGATCGCTGGACGGAGCCCCGCCGAGGGCGAACATTCCATTCGTGTGCGTCGCGCCGTCAGTCGCGTGCGTCCTACCAAGGACGACTGCCGCCGCGCCGAGCGGGATGTATTTTGTCGTAAAGGGCGCGCTGTCGCTCGTGGGCGCGAGGGAAACGGTCTTGCCGACCATGATGCTGAACATTTTCGAAATTCGCGGAGGGGGGAGGAAGCAAGTGAGAGAGAAGGTAGACTTGAAGGGTGCGGGTGCGGGTGCGGGTGCGGGAGGAAAGACTGGAGGTATGTGTGTTCTAGAGAGGCCGGTGCCTTGGATATCAAATCGGGGATAGAGGACAGCGAGCCCCCGTGAGGTTTATATAGGCGTCCCTTGCGTCGATGGATCGTCAATGGAAGGCCGGAGGCTCTTGACAGGCCGAGTCGGTGCCCTGGGGAAATCCAGGGACCTATCCCAGATATCTATCGCCAACGGTGGCGTAGCAGCGTGGTGTCCCCAATCGACAGCCGAGTCCGCCCACGCCGTAAGATGGGCGGCCAGAAATTGCGTGTGCCGGGATTCGAGGCCTTCTGAACGTGCTTCCGCGAGCCATAAGAGTCCGGCGGAAGCGCTTTGCGATGTCGACGCGACGGGCGCCTGTGTTGCCATGCGTCGGTGCTCGAGTCTGCGAGTGCGACTGGCTTGTTCTCGCTTTGTGACTGGCCGCGGTGCATGTATCCCGGCAAATTTCGGAACGTCATCGAAATTAGGCCGAGGTACTGCGCGCCCCCTTCTACGACTTCTTTCGCCGCTGCAAAATTGGCACTAGGAGGTACAGCGAATGGGAGCTTGTATGCTGGCAAGGCGGGCGACCCGTCAGAACGGCCCGATGCGGTTCATCAAGAGGGGCGGAAGGGTCTAGGTACGCCCACGCAACATGCGCACCTTGGCGCGTAAGTGTGCAGAGCCAACGCGTACGAGATCTGGCGAACAGATCCCGCCTCGTCTGATGTGCCATTGTCTGCTTTTGGTCGGTTTCGATCCGAGACAAGGCTGGCCGCGCACGGTTGGATAATAGGCACGTAGCAGTCCGTGGACCTACAACTCTTTACGTTTTTCGCGCCCACTTCTCGCAACGACGGGGACATGGGCGTTGTGTTGCCTGCACGTATCGTGTGGATGTTCTTGGCGTGTATGGAGGAACTGTCGTCATCGGGTGGCGAGGACGACTTCAAGGGGCTGGCCAATAGTATCCGCAGCGCCCCAGATCGTCGCCTCCAGCATCACATGTTGAAATTCCCTATGCACTCTCCCTGCAAGTTGGCTGGATCCCCATTTTGGCCTGACCTGCGCCGGTATATCTTCTGAACAGTATCCGTAACAGATGGCGGTGAGCATTGTTTCGAGCTTCTCAAAGTAACACTAATGTCAAGGTATGGGAGATTACTGGTCACCGTTCTAGACCGTTTCCACGAGACACGCAGTCCCGCCTCCCTCAGTTAGACCGGTCTTGGACATAGGTTCGAACCTACAAAACTGCGCTGCTGTAATCTTTCCCATCACACGCACTGCAGGCCGATCTTCATCGTTCTTCTTGCTTCTTGATCACTGCAAAGGGCCTATCTGGACAATGCCCGATGTCAAGTGATGCACTGGTGATGCATACAGCAAGCGACACGTTCAAGACGCCGCGGAAATCGTGCTGAAGCGAGCGATCGCGTGCGGCGCGAAGCTTGGAGGCTCACGTCGTATGCAGGTTCGCCGCTCCGCTATTGTGGATCCCTTGTTTTGTTTTTTGCCTATGTGAGGCTTTCGTGTATCTCACAGCCTTGTCGATCCCGCCGGTGTAGGATTTATTTAGGCCTATCTGGGTCCAGAGATCCAGTCAGAAGGATTCGAACTTTCTTTCGCCCTCTAGATACCCGACACGCGTTGAAAGGGACGTCACAATGGTCTTTACAGGCATACCTCCGGTGACAATTTCCCTTGTTTCTCGGACATCGCGCGCTTCTCTTGCCGGGCTGGCGGTACGTCGACAGTTGGTAAAAAAAAATGCAACCGTAATGGCCTGATTCTCCGAACGATGGCGAGACGCCCCTCAGTCACCCGGTCGATCCTCGCCGATTGCCTCTTTCGATTCTCAGACAGAATCGTTTGGGAGTGACAAAACAACCATCAGACGCTTGCTTGGTAAGGATGCGTTCTGCGAAGTTCACACAGCCGTTCGACACAACTCAGCCCTGTTCCATGATGACGGTTGCCTTTGGTTGGAAGCCCCCATTTGGCGATGCCTATCGCGTTGCAGAAGAATCTAGCCTCCCATGCGATGGATGTATGGCCTCAGAGCGGCCGTGCAGATTGCATCTGAGACATTCGAACGAGTATCTAGACTGGTGAGCAGCAGGAACGTGGTGATGGGTTCGAGCCTACATTTCGGCACTCTTCCGGACATCTCTGTGTTCGTAATTTGGCTTGCAGTGTTGACGCAACATAGCACCTAACACCGAGGACCAGTGCTTCGCGTTATGAGGCCAGCTCGTCTAGGAGCAAGGGCTCAGACGAGGCGCAAATGAGATCAAGACATCAATGGAACGCACCAACTGGGGGATCGATAAGGCGATCACCAAATGCGACAATAAGCCAACCAATTGCCAGTCGGTTGGGGCTGAACATCTGCACAGTGCACAGACGATCACAACGGCGGTTGAAACTAGAAGTGAGAAGGCGTGTGGAAATATCAGCTTGATGTCAACGAGTTATTGTACGATCTTGGCATCGCGTTCTCGAGTGCATCGCTCTGCATCGATGTGGCGAAATTGCAGCCTGGGTCGAGAAGTCAGCAGATAGACTGGAAGCCCATAATGAGGCATATCGGTAGCACACCATTGCACGATCTTGCTATTGTTCTAATTATATCGGACAAAGATTCTATTTGTCTTATAGAATCCCAGAGGGGATGGCAAAGGAAAATTGAAACCTACTGATTGATTAACGCTTCGTGCATTGTCCCACGATGGGCATGGCGCCGAAGATTTTGAGATTACTCCGTATGAAGCTCTCTAGAAAGCCAGATAATCTGCTGGTTCAACCATACAACCGTTCTGCTGATTGATTCATGTGGAGACTCGCATGTGACATCGACATTTGGTGATTTACGACAAGCATCTTCAGTATCAGCAATGGAGGTCTATAACCTTGTCTGAGCAGTGACATCTGCTTGCATCCAGAATGCACATATGTCAACTTCAAATTGGGAGATACGCTCGAGGGCCGATTGCGTAGAGTCGTTGTTCCCTAGCATGAGAGCCATGCGAGACCGAGACGCCTCCCCGGAGCCAGTAAAGCTCCCCCAGAAGGGCGACCCGGACAATTTGTGGCTCGATGGGTTGCCCGTAGAGACGAATGACACCCAATAAGCTATAGCTTCTCTGTTGAGAACAGCCTCGGACTATGTAGCTAGACAGTTAGAACACACCATAAAAAGGCCAAAAGCAGAGCGATGTATCAACATACCTGGTTGAACGGCGTGAATGTGAACCCTGCATTTGGCCCAGAACTGTTGGGAATCATTCAGACAAATCAACTCGGCGCACTTGCGACACACGTACTTGACACCTGGAGGATGTGAGTTCAATCCAAAGCGGATCCAGTTACAGGGATGCTTACCATCGAATAAGAAGTACAAATCAGACGTGTGCATCACGCCGAGATATGGACTGGCAGCCAAAAGTACCGGATCGGGAACATTCCACCTGCGAAGCGATGAGATATTGATGTTAGGCGTGTTCTATAGAGCCCACCGGAATGTATAAACACTCTTCGCTCCCTTCGCGAGCATCCGATCGGCCATGTACTGGTCCCTGGTACGCATGATGAGCGCCAGTGAGGTGGGAAATTGGTGATATAACAGCAGGGGGCGTACATGCAAGTGAACACGACATCTCCCGCAATCGTCCCAGCTAGGTCATATTCGGTGGAGAATGGGCTGCCTGACGCATTGACCTTTGGGTAAAGGTCGAACACCGCGTCCAAAGTTCGATTCGTCTGCAATAAAATAACGCTCATCTCGTCAGTGTTTCCAGGTGAAAGTCTTGAGTCTTACAAGAAATGGATAGGTGGACAACGTGAGAGCAGTAATATCCGCATCAGTGACGAACTGAGAAGGTTGGCCGCCGGCGAAAGTGCGCCCGTCGTTGGTGCAGTGTCCCGCGAGAAGGTCTACAGTGTTGAAGCGCCCATCACGAAGCAAACGCGAAGGCAGGTCCGGGATGAAAGTGCCGTCAACTGTAGGTCCGATACGACCGACCCCTATGGCATTGATTCCGGTAACAATAGACTCTACGCGTAAGGAGTGGTGAGCGCTCTTCGGCAGAAGAAATGATAGGACTCATGACCTACCGAGCGATGCGGTCCTCAAGCATCCTAGAGTATCAGCCGTTGCGTTTGAACAGCCTACAGCGAAAGTAAAGTTTTCTAACGAAGTACTCAATGAAATGATCAGCATCAATAAGCGAGCATAATCACTATATAGTTCCTCGGCAAGAGGTGAAAGAGGATCCAGCATTGAGCCATAGCCGATGGAATGAGGTATGGCCTGTTTGAAAGGCACCGGCTTCGTGCCTTTCTCGCCGACACCGATTGTAAATATATTGACGAGGAAGGTTAAAATCCGCATGGACAGCTTACCTCCATATGCAACTGTCTGCATGACTACACTGGCGCCTCCGGCACTCTCACCCATGATTGTGACACGTTCAGGATCACCTCCAAATTGATTGATATGACGCTGCACCCATTCTAGAGCCGCGCGTTGATCAAGAAGGCCAGTGTTCAAATCACCATCAGCGGCGACCACTGAGCCAGCCAAAAAGCCAAGCACATTCAGACGATAGGCGATTCCCACTCCCACGATATTCGGATGCTGCGCAACCCAATCGTACAGCGGATATCCTTCAGGGCCCTGAGATTGATGAAAACGTTAAATCAGAACGAACAAGGTCTATCTAATCGTACCCTGACGTCGAATCCCCCTCCATGGATATAAACAATGACGGGAAGCTTGGATTGTGCAGTCGCATTGGCCGGCTTCCATATGTTTAAGTGTAAACAATCTAGAAAAAACATCCTGAGCAGATAAGAAGAAATCCTATCATGTACGCACCTTCTGAGCCGACACCAACTTCCGCGGGCTGCTGGACGCAGGGTGGAGCGAAATTTCTCGCATCGACAACGGTAACATTCATGTTACGATCCACAGTCTCATCCAGTGTTTGAGGAGCACGAAAGCGTAGATCTCCCAGAGGAGGTTGCGCATACGGTATGCCACCAAAAAACACTACACTGCCGTTCAACGTACCTGCAGGGGAAGTCGAATTTCCTGCGTAGGCAGCATAGCCCAGATCAACTACAGGACCGAGAGGAGACGTTACCGAAAGCGTAGAAGCTGCCCTGGCTCCAGAGACAGTTGGAAGAACACAAGCCAAAATCAATGATACGCGATCAAAAGCTATAGCTAAATGATTGCCCTTCATCTTCCGCACCTACGAGACGATGCTTCAAGGTCCAGGAGATACGCAAGGCCTTATAAATGCATCGTCAGACAAGTCAGCAGGGTTCGGTTTTCTCATTTCGAAATTCCGCTAGGGTCTTCTGACGACAGATTAAAATAGCTAGAGATGTCGAGGAGAGTGTATATCCAGACGCGGTCCGTCAAAAGTTCACAGCAGCATAAAAGAGCATCGGGGTCGAAGGCAGAAGGCACGGTCCGCGGCTATGAACTTCAGCCGGCGTCTTCATTTCCGCCTGACCTCGACCTCGTCTCACTCTCTACCTCTCTCCATATGAAGTTGGCAGCGTCAAGGCTGTTCTGGACGGACAATTTGACTATAAAATTCCCCACCTCGTACATCATAAATGCAGCTCACAGAAGGCACTTACACCTCCCACACAATTTGGAATCGACTTCGTCCATAGAAAGACGAAAATACCCAAGGCGAGGAGGTCAAAATCTCTCCGACCGATTTCGCAGACTAGAAAAGACTCTTCGGGAGAAGGAATTGCTTTCAAATCTCCTAGATCATTCTGCCGGACGTGCGCTCACGCCACTGCCTGTTGCCGTACACGATTCGATGCGACAAGCCAGTGAGGGGACGTTCAGAAGTCTTGTGATACCAGTAGAACCCAAACCTCCCGAATCAGATGGTGCGTTCTCTTTATAAAGCTCACGTACACGGATGGCTGCTAACCAACATGTCGCTCGATCTCCTTGTGAAGAGTGTTGTATGTCAGGTTGCGCGGTGTGCGTATATGATCTATACGAGGAGTCTATGGGACTATACAGACAGTCGTTGAAAAACTTTCGCGAAGCATTGATTGCTATGGACGTTCCACAAAGCGAGTGGCCTCTGCACACGTGTTATGTGGTGAAAGAGACTCCCTTTGCGAGGCCTCCCTCGAGTGTCTCTCTATCCGCATTCGATGAGTTGGAACGTCGTCTCCAAGAGAAAAGAGAGAGGGCGGCAGCAGAAAGCCGCAGTTAAGTGCCGAGCTGTTCTCTGACGGCTGAAGGGTTCTCTGATCGACGCTGGATGATGCGGTAGATGCTGGCAGTATTGCTTTGCGTAATCTTCCAAGGAGAACGGGCAGGGTCACCAGCATGGATTGGCGTAGCTTGTACGAAGGAATACGGTGGATTTTGTACAGCAGTCGCTGAAGTAACCTTCTTCATTTACCCACATTTTGTTCTTCTGATCTCTTTGTCAAGCCCAGAAATCGAATCTCAACTCCGTTTCTTTGTATAATCTCACTCGCAAATGCGCAACTATTCATGTGGTGTACTAGGACGAGTATATAACAATCCTAGGTATCTCGCCTATTGATCTTCGACAAATCGACGGCAGGGAGGGGATATGTGGAAACCTTCTTATCTCGAATACACCACCTTTTTATTTACCGATACTATCGGCAGCGTTGGTCTTGAAACTTGACTGGATTTGCTTGAGATCACTGCAGCTGCAACAAAAGTGCACCGATCGACATATCTGAGTCGCACGTGCTGACCACCGCCCGCGTCATTCTCTAAGGCTACTTCAGCCATCATCTGATCAATACCTGTCTTGTTCGTCTCTGTCCACCCATGGCATCGTCAAATATAGCGTTGAAGACGTTCTCGCTCGCAAACGATATTCAAGAAATCTCACCACAAGATCAGATTTACGCCTTCGATGTGGAGGCTGATAAACAGATCAATCGAGACTCCCCTTGGGCCAAGGAGTTGAGTGACTTGCACACTCTCTATGAAATGTGGCTCAATGTGTTCTATTACACAGCCCACATTACTTTAAATCGTGCAAGATCTCTGCTGTTGCATTGATCAAGATGGTGCGTTTGGGTTACGATCATCTTTCTGTGGTAGGTTCAGAATTGCTTGATCATTGTGCACGGCTAGGTTATCCATGCAAGATCAGGGGTACCACACGAAATCATGGGAATAATGCAAGGGAAGGTCATGGGAGATTCGCTCGTTATAGTGGATTCGTTCGCATTGCCTGTACAAGGTACAGAGACACGAGTCAACGCGGCAAGTGAAGCAAACGAATACATGGTGCAATATGTCTCGGGCAGTGAGAAGGTTAGCCCTTCGACAGTTCACATTCGGACTACTGACACAGCGCAACTTGGATACAGGCCAAGAGGCTGGAGAATGCGATCGGATGGTATCATTCACATCCAGGGTATGGGTGCTGGTTATCAGGCATAGACGTCGATACCCAAATGAACAATCAGAAATTCCAAGATCCCTTTGTTGCCGTTGTAGTGTGTACCTCTTCTTTACTTTCTCTCATGTGTTCACATCAAAAACCTTCGCGAGTCCTAGATTGACCCAAACCGCACAATTTCTGCTGGGCGCGTTGATATCGGTGCATTCCGGACGTACCCAGAGAACTACACGCCACCAAATGCCTCAGCGTCAGAGTATCAAAGCATTCCCTTGAGCAAGATCGAGGATTTTGGTGTGCACGCGAACCAGTATTACCCGTTGGAGGTGCAGGTATTCAAATCAAGCTTGGATACGGAGCTGCTTGCTCTTTTATGGAACAAATATTGGGTGAACACCCTTAGCCAAAGCCCACTGATCTCTGTAAGTTGCTTATTGTATAAGTTCAAACACAATACTCATTTTGGCACTCAGAATCGCGCATATGCCGCGTCTCAATTGGTTGACCTGCATCAGAAGCTGGCGAAGGCAGCAAGTAACGTGCCGCACACGAAGCCTGTTCCCCCAACGACGAAAGATGAGATACTACTTACAACCTCCAAGGTTTGTTCGAATCTTTATGCTACGCCATACATAATCTCAAGCTCGTCATGCAGAGGAGCGAGAAGAAGGAAGACGAGAACCAGCTCGCAAAAAATGTCACAGATAGGTGCGCTCCTTGACAAAGACGCATGTCGATAAACTCATGACAATTGGTACAGCATAAATATCGCAATCGAAGCGCAGCATGGCCTTATTGCACAAGTCATCAAAGATGTAATATTTTCCGGTCGTCCAGGCCAGTCCACAGCAGCGGAGGTGAGAGATGCGGTAGATTCAGCAATGATGATCGGTTGAAGGTCTTAGTGTCATCCTTATTCTTGCTTTCATTTCTGTTGGATGGTATCGCAGTCTGTATGTTTAGATTTCAAAGTACAGTCGCATGTCCAGTGTATTATTTATCGAGACGCCAGAAACTCGATATTTGAAGCTCCGCTAAGGCAATTTCCAGAGTCACAACAAACCCAAACATATTGACAAAATCCCGTCGAGCTCATCGTCGTCGGCAACCTCAACACCTCAAGATCCTCGCTAACTGCAACTGTGAGCGTTTCTCTATACTGTTCATCTCTGTTGTATACTCTGTGTCTGAGATTATTGCTTCATCAACCTTCGCGACACGAGATGGATTGCTTTCCATCTGTTAGGATGACAATGCTAATTTTCTGTGCGTTGATATAGATGGGCCTTACCGAGTACCAAGTCGTGGGTCGCCACCTGCCCACCGAGTCCGAGCCGACTCCCAAGATTTACCGTATGCGCATCTTTGCGCCCAATGAGGTCGTCGCCAAGTCGCGTTTCTGGTACTTCCTGAGGTGCGTGCAGTCATTGCACTTTTGTCTATTCCGTGCATATGCACTTCCTTCCACCCTCCACTTCTCGAAATAATCTGGTTGCTGATTCATGGGACAGAAAATTGAAGAAGGTCAAGAAGGCCAATGGCGAGATCATCGGCGTCAATGTTGTCAGTATCATCATGTGTTATCCCTAGCAGCCCTCAATAGGCAGGCGGATGGGAGCTAACCACCCTACCCTACCCTTCATGGGCCCCATTCTACGGGTTATTGGGTTTTTTATTCTATCTAGATCCACGAGAAGAAGCCTCTCAAAGTGAAGAACTTCGGTATCTGGATTCGCTACGACTCTCGCTCGGGAACCCACAACGTCTACAAGGAGTTCCGTGAACTCTCGCGTGCCGATGCTGTCAAGTCTCTGTACCAGGACATGGCTGCTCGCCACCGCGCTCGCTTCCGGTCTATCCACGTGCGTGCAGTCCATTCCTGATGGCCTATAAAGCCAAGACATTCTTATACTTCACCCTATATGTACAGATCCTCCGTGTTGTTGAGATCGAGAAGACCGATGACGTTCGCCGGCCGTACATCAAGCAGCTCCTCCAGCCCAACCTCAGATTCCCCCTCCCTCATCGCGTCTCCAAGGCTCGCTCCACCTTCGCCGCGCACCGTCCCGTCACTTTCTAAGTATCCTCACCCATTGTGCTGCGGAGTCATCATCGAGGTGTATAGGGTTGATGACAAAATTCACGCGGGAACTTACTCCCCGCGTTATATGTGCGCTTTTGTAGTTGCATGTTCGCATGATTATGATATGAGCTCAACATGTCCATTCTTGCGAAGTGGAGCTTTCGTGAATATCGGAGCGAATGTCAGACCCAATGTGCTTTTTGAGGACTCCAGTTTTTGACATCGATCGCCCCGGAGTTAACTATACTTGTGGGGTGGTCATCTCCCGCTATCACAATTGGATGCGTCCCCGACCTCCGAACGACGATGATGCTGGGGCCACGCAAGTCCTCGAAAACGAAGTCGGACGCGTGAAGAACATCTACGGCCTCCACATCTGCCTTCACCTCGTTTGAGAATGAGACTTCAACTACAGGCGGCAAGTCTGCACCTTGGGGATAAGGCTTACCGAAGCGACAGAACATATCTTGCTGTCGACGCGATTCATGCCGATCATGGCTAGCCAGGCTACGCGTACCTCGATGGCAATATACTCCTTCGGCACGAGGGGGGCATCCTAGTCTGCAGGCAGTTTGTGTGCTTGACCATTGAATGCTTCACAGAACTCGATCACCATGTCTTGACCGCGCGGCTTGCCCAAGGAGAAGGGGTCGCCAACATTCACCGAGAAGCTTACCCAGTCTGGCTGCTGCCTTGTAGAGAACTATTGCCAAATACGAAGCGGTCAGAATGGTGCTCGGGTGGAATGCTTTCGCCTCTGGCGGGCTAGAATGAGATGTTAAAGCTCTTCCGCACTTTTACACAAGATGGCTGGAGTGATAGTGGTATCAAGTGAGTCGTCATGTTGAGAACTAGCGCGATATACTTGTATCTCCCTGTTGAGGTCAGCTGAAAAGGAATTGAAGACCTGATTATCCGAAGAGTGAGATGCCCCTTGCCTAATAATAATAAAAAAACGGCAAACAGGAATACTGGATCTGTGTATCGTGGCCAGATGAAACGAGACAAGTGTGGAGATGGGTTGACGCGTGATGTGCGAAGTGAGGCGTATGTTCTGAGATGTGGGAGGATAGTCGAGACATCCAGAGCGATGGATGTGCATGATGAATGAAGAAGAGAATCATATGCGAGCCGATTTATCGAACTCCCATTCAAAATACGCACTGGAAATGTATCACTGTGGCATGATTTTCGCGTCTACTCCGAGTGCGTCTTGCATTCGACCTATTAATGACAGAATAACGATGAACATCATCAGTTTAGCTCCTAATGCCGTGAAGGTGAAGATGTGACAAACGAGTATGGTCATCTGTAGGCAGCTCGAGATTCTTGCAAGACTTGATGGATAAATTGTCGAGCATACACAAAAGAAAAGGAGTTCCGGGTGCGTTCAGCACACTCTCCACGTATACCGGCCAGCCGATCGTCTCAGACAAGCATTTCGCAGCCGATAGTTTGACCTTGTGGCTGACGACACCGAGCTGGGTGATGATTCGAATATCTGGGTCGCATGACCTAGCCAATGAAATTACCTTTTCCAGAGACAAAGGAAAGCCGTAGAATAGATTCGGTGGAGTTCTACCAAGTCTGGGTAGAAGAACTTGAGGAAGATGGCGCATAGGCGGGACCATTGCCACTTCATCTGAAAGATATTGGCGAGGGTAAAGCTGTTGCGGTACCCCTCTGAAAGCTTGTGCCATCCTCTCAGACGCAGAGAGGGATGCTGATGCCTGGTGTAGGCTCCTTCGGTACGTGACGAGTCATTGGAGTGATGGTAGAATCAGAATCGTATTGAGTCGCCATATTGATAGTAGAGAAAAGAGGGTGGAGCGACCTTGCCAGGACGGTCGATTGGCCTAGATTGGCCTCTGCTGTGGTTCACGTGATTGTGCAACATATATTTCCACTATTGCAACTATCGATGTCGCTGTCGGCGACGATGTGTGGTGCGCTACTTCGGATCATGATATAGTCAGTCCTTACCCTTGAAAGGATTGTGAGTGCTCAGATCGAAACCTGGGTGGGAGACGTTTGGCGCTATATGCGCCTATATTCAGGTGGGCCTCCTGTCTCATCTGAAACGGCTCATCAAAGGGCTGATTTTGCCACTCTAAGTTTCGCTCAGAAATGTCACACTATACGACGGTGAAGTTGCTCCCACAAGCATTGAAGTGCATCAATCTCTCTCAGTCACACCCCTGCCATCAATACTCTTGCGTGGTCGTTGTTTCGTCAAGTGTGCCGTGCGCCTTTCGTATAATACAGAGAATGCGACTGATCCTGCGGGCAAGCATCAATACGGCTGATGGAGCATGGTCGCTATTCATACAGCTTTTGGACGATAAGATGCAGATGCGATCAGGCCGGCCCTTGTGAGAGACTGAGCCGCTGCACTCTGTAACATATAAATGCCCTACATGACTCGCTGACCTTTCAGTTATGATTTCCGATGCAGAAGTGCGTTCCGTGTAAGGCAAGCTCATATACATGTCTTGAAGTTTGTTGATTACATTCAACTTTTGACGGCACGATATATAATTATTCAGTAATCGTCGCAATCGGTACGCCTCGTCTGTTTGTACCAGTATTAGCCAGTAACTAAATAACATTGTCTGGATCATATCTAGTCATCTTGTACTACGACTACCTGGTAACTCTCTCTGATGAGATCTCGCGAATATGGTCTCGTCCATGCGCCAGATCGTCTCTCTGGTTCTTCTTGAACCGTTATGTACCGCTGGTTGGGCATATAGTTCTGGTCTTCACATTTGGGGTTTTTTCCATAAGTGATAAGGTGAGTTCAGCTTATGTATGGTTATTTGTGTGCCACAAAATCTATATTTTCAATGAACTCTTACCCTGTTCAAGAGGTATGTCTTCCGTGATCAAACTCCAGAGTACTAAAATCTACTTCTCGTATTATAAGTTGCCGGGCTTACACATTATTACATCAGTTGCTGATTATGTTCAACCAAGCGGTCGTGACCGGTACGTCAGCCTCTAATGTAATGATAATGTTTCACTGAATTCAACAGTCCTGCTGTTGTTGCGCACGTATGGGTTTTTCAGGAACTCGCGCCTCATCTTTACAGTATTATTTCTGATCCTGATCATGGCGGTATCCCTCACTTGTGTGAGCTATGTTTCACATATATATTCAACCAGGTCTAATCCTAATCCGTCGAATGTATGGGAACGAGCAGTGGATTGCAACCACAACGCACATGATAATGAGTGGCCAGCCGGTGTATGGCTGCCACACTAGTATGTCTTTTGAAAGGTTGTCCATTGGTTGCATCTGTTCGTAGTGTGCCGTTGCACTGACAACCGACTGGTCTTCAGCGCAGTGCGTAAGTGGTCGATCAACTGCTGTATAATATCAGAGTGACTAACTAGATGATCCTTATTCGCCACTGCATCAGGCCTCGCAATTCCTTGGGAGACGCAGATCGTGTTCAATGTGACTGTATTCGTTCTTACTATCATCAGATCGTTTCAGCACCGGAGGGAGTCACTCGTGCACTTTCACACACTTTCGAAGCAGTCGGGTACATTGGGCTTGGCAGAGATCATTGTTTGCGATGGTGTGTCAAATCGTCCTATTTATACTTTATCTAAACTCACTAGGGTATGTAGGTACGATGTATTTCGGGTCAGTCTTCTACACTGACCGCTTAACAAGCTGTCCGTTGCAATAGCGTGATGGGGCTCGCAGAGCTGGCAAATGTCCTCACCCTTTATGTACGTGCACTGATTGTGCGCGGGCTTCATCAATTGATGGCTCTCACAGTTTTCACCGGTACGCTCACCAGCAGCAATGCGAGGGGTTTCTTGCGCGGCACCCTATCTACGTTCGCCAGCTGGTGAGCATTCAACCAGAATAAATTGCAGACTTCGACCTACGGCTAATGATAGTATCTCCATTACTATGATGTCACGACTCATCCTTAATCTGCACGACACCTCGTCGCTGCTGCCGTCTACCACCCAAGTGGCAAGACCGATTGTTTTTGCGTCCATGAGAGACACTACAATGCGTCCAAAGGATGCAGACGATGATGTGGTTCACGATGTCGGATCGCACTGGCCTGAGCACTCGTCACAGGAGGATGTGAATGTCCGCGAATGATGATATAATCACAGTTGGAACAATGGTGAGATGACCGCGTATCAGATTGCCTAAGGTGGTTAGTGGGATGATTATGTACTAACGTGGCCCTGTATTTCACTGCGGCAAGCATTTTCTCGAGACTTTCACCTTTCCAGGCAAAGTCATGTAACCTCCAAGAATCCTCGCGGACAACCATGGTCTTGATCCGGCCTGAATATCGAGATCATATCGAGACATGTCTTGATCAAAAGACACCGCGTAGGCTGGACCTGAAATAAGGCTGGCAATCAACCGTCAATATGGAAAGTAGGCCAGCCTGTTTACTTACAACTCTCTTCTCGCTGAAGCCGTCATCTTTGTGAGTGCCAAACTCATAAGCCCTTGGCAACAATACCATTGATCCTATCAATGATTCTCAGTTAGTTGTGTCTGATGTAGATCCACTTTGCTACATGTCTTACATAGCAAGCTAATGATGAGATCACTTCTCAACCTGTGACCAAATTAACTGCAACCCGCCTCTCTATAACAATTACAGGCTTGGCTCACAATTAGACAATTCTGGGGGAAGGTATACGAAGAAGGATGCGTGGACAAGCACATTTGCGCATGCGGGCACGTTTAAGACTTGTATGACAGACACTTGGCACTGTGTGCGTATATACTGTACAGGTAGGTCTCCCGGTTCTATCTCACCTGAAACGGCAGTGAATTTAGCATTGAGATGCATCAATATCTGAACCACATTATTGACACAAACACGCTTGCAGGGTCATTGTTTCATCAGTTGCGTGGCGCCGCTCTTGCATGTGGAAAGAACACGACAGGCTGATCTCGTAGACAAGCGTCAACACCTCTGATCGAGGGTACTCTATATATATATGTATGTATATACAGTTCATTCGAGCGACAGGGTGTGATTGCGATCAGGCCGGCCCAGATTGAGGCGCCGCGCTCGACGACATTTTATAGCTACTATACTCGACTATACTCGACCCACTCACTTTCCGGTCATGATTTCCGAAGCAGAAGTGCGTCCCTTGTAAGTGCGATCTCATATGCACGTCCTGAAGTTTGCTGATGCACGTTCAACCTCGGTAGCATGATATACAACAACTTGCTTGTTGTTGCAGTCGGTACGCCTTGTATCTACCAGTATCAGACTGAGGACAGTACCCTTAACACCGTCTTGATCATATCCAGCCATCCTTTACTACGACTACTTCATGACTCTCTCCGAGGAAATCTCGAGGATATGGTCTCGTCCACGCGCCAGATCATCGCTTTTGTTCTTTATACACCGTTATGTGCCGCTGGTTGGGTATATAGCAGTTCTGGTCTATACATTTGGAAAATTTCCCATAAGTGATCAGGTGAGTGCAACTATCTATGTTTGTCCGCGACATTGCGTAATTGATTCTTTTTGAACTCTTGCCCTATTCAAGAGGTATGCCGTCCATTATGAGTCGAATCACAGATTCTCCCTGAATCTGCGCTACAAGTTGCCAGAAATACACGTTATTCCATGATTTTCTGACTATGTTCAATCAAACGATCGTGGCCGGTAAGTTGGTACATTCTGATATACTGATGACGCTTCAGTGAATATTACAGTGCTTCTGTTGTTGCGCACGTATGCGTTTTTCGGGAAGTCGCGCCGCATCTTGACAGTGCTATCTCTGATACTGATCATGGCACTATCCTCTGCTTTTGTGAGTTATGTCCGAGATATACACCCGACCAGGCCTAATATGGCGAATATTTTGGGACAAACAGTGGAATGCAATCACAGCACAATTCATACGCAGTGGTCAGCGAGTGCATGGCTGCCACAGTAGCATATCGTTTGAAAGGTTTATCTGTCATTGCACCCATCCGTTGTGTAGTCTCGCACTGACGACTGACCTGGTCTTTAGTGCAGTGCGTAAGTGGTCGGTGGCCGTATTAAATACTACAGCATCTAACTAGGTGATACCTATTCATCAGTAGGCCATGCTATCCCTTGGGAGACGCAGATTGCGTTCAATATGACTGTATTCATTCTTACTACCGTCAGATCGTACCAGTATCGGAGGGACTTCCGCCCGCTTGAGAGGTGGTCGGGTACATTGGGCTTGGCAGAGCTCATTGTTCGCGATGGTGCGTCAGATCTCATCTGTGCTTTATTTGGGCTCACAAAGGTATGCAGGTGCGATGTATTTTGGGTACGTATTCTACATTTGCTGCTGAACAAGTTGTTGATCATGCTCGATGTGACAGTGTGATGGGGCTCGCAGAGCTGGCGAATGTCTTCACCCTTTATGTACGTGCACTAATTGTATGCGGGTTTCATTCATTAATGGTTCTCCCAGTTTGCATCGGTATGCTCACCAGCAGTGATGCAAGCATCTTCATATCGACACTTCGTATTTAGGATCCAATGCGCAGCACCCTCTCTACGTTCGCTAGCTGGTGAGAGACCGACCAGGATAAATTGAAAACTTCGACTGACGGCTAATGATAGTATCTCCATCACGATGATGTCACGACTCATCCTCAATCTGCACGACACCTCGTCGCTGCTGCCGTCTACCATTCAAGTATCAAGGCCGATTGTTTTTGCGTCCATGGGAAACAATCTGATGCAGACGAACAATGCAGACGATGATGTGGTTCACGAGATCGAGTTGCATCGGTTTGAGCATTCGCCACAGGAGGACACGAATGTCTGTGAATAATGGTACTTTGGATCAATATGTGGTCACCTCATTATGGTTTCAATCATAAGGTGGCTAGTAGAATGAGCGTGCACAAACCTGGTTTATACCATGAACAAGAAACGAGCGATGGCCTAACACCGTGCAGAGTCGACGGCTCCTGCTCGGCTTGGCCGTCTCGAGTGAATACGCTCATCTTATGTATCCCCTCAAGCCTCAGAACTTGAGGAGGAATCTCGGTGCGTAAGATCTGAGAAGCCGCCAGAAAGCAGGGATGCCTTAGACATACATACAAGAAGGTACCGAATTAGCAGAGCCGACATGCATGAGTAGTCCACAGCAAGAAACACGCAGCTCAGCTTGCCAGGCAGAGACTACGTGGCGCCTCTGGACAACAGGCCTGCTAATAACTGGGCAAGGGCATTTAGTTGATCGTGATGATTGGCCAAAGGAGGAGCCGGCGCGAGACTTTTTGGCTGCGAAGAGGCATGGTTTCCGAACTTCCTCAAAACAGGTCCCTTGCTGGCAATAGGCTTGAAGCTTCGATGAGGACATGGAGAAGGAACTCATGACTACCCTCGAAAGTGACAGGATCTGTTACAGTCCCGCGCTCCGCGGACCACTTGGACCATGGCTTCTTCAAGGACGGGAAAACTCGTGAAGCAGCGGGTGAAAATCGACAACCATCTGCTTGAGGGCACCTGAAGCCGTTTCAGCGCCGGCTCTAGTAGACTCAGCAACGGAGAATGGAAATATGCGACGGAGATGCGACTCATGCTTCGGATTTTAGGCACTCGCGTCTGTTTGGATAATTAGCGCCCAAGGGTATCTCACTTTGGATTCTGAATCATGAAGCAGCTTGTACTTGAAGGACTGCTGATTATCACCGAAAGGATAGCTCACATATGCAACTTCGATGGCTATGAAAGCGGAAGTTCCTGGGTAGTGTCGATATTAACATGAAGCAGTCATCATGAAGACGCGACGACGCACAGTGTGGGTATCAGGTACTATAAAGTCTAGAGAAGTCTCTTGGTGTGTTTGAAATCGGAGACGCTCCGATCAAAGAGAATGTTGGCTAGGCTGACATTGCAGATTATGCACGACTGTAGCTTTAATCATCGCGAAGCTGGCACAAGTGGTTGATTAGAAGGAAAGCCGATGCGATCGTGATCATATACCCCCTCTTAGACCAAGTCATGTAAAGCCGACATTTTGAACTTGAGGCTGACGACACCGAGTGGGATATTTTGAATATCTAGGTAGCACAACCTGTCCAATGAAACCACCTTTTGCAGAGTCAAAGGAAGGCTGTGAAATAAATTGGTCGAGTTACCAGGTCTGGGTAGGAACACTTGAGGAAGATGATGCTTACGCAGACCGGGAAGTATGGGTGAGGAGAGATAGAGCTGCTGCGGTAACTATCTAGTAGTAGAAAGAGGTGAGATCAAGCACAAAAGGCCGGGGGTATTGTCGATTTCTATATCATACTACATCCTCCGCGTTCACGTGATTGCGCCTAGACGGCAGCTTGCGAGGATCTCCGACCCTTCTCAGCCTTTATGGGCGCACAATGCCATCTCAACCTTTCGACATTCGTAACGCTGGTAGGGGTATCAGCTTCTCTGCAACACAACGTGGCGCTGCTTGACGCGCTCTCCTACCGTCACTGTGAGAGCACTTTTTCTTGATTCGGAATTGCACCTCGTCGTTTCGTCATGCTGACCGAGGGATCAACGTATTCCTATTCACTGGAGGGAAATCCTCTTGCCGAGAAAGACGATGTTCCAACGAAGCGTGATGTGGGACGATGGTAGATGCTCACGCAAATTTTGTGATTCATCTCAGTCGATCTGTATATCTCAGGGATCGTGACTCTCGGCATGTAAGCGCGCTCTGCAGGAGGTTGCATCCGCGCTGGAGGCCGGCGGTCAGGAATTACTGATATGTGTGCTTTTTTACAGTTCTTGACCAATCCACAGTCCACGATCATGCTTGCCCTCCCCGGTGAGCCCGAGCCCTTTGAGAGCACTCGAGATCGGCTTTCAACTTCTAGCCAACGCTTGTAAGTCAGCCAACGCCCTTTCAAGTACATCACTTCACCAAGCTGTAACCGTCTCCTCCCACATTCAGTTACGCGAAGCTAACGATCTGGGCGTGGCGCTCGACACTCGCGCCCTCCGCGTCCCCTTCACAAGCTCCCTCGCGCGCTTTCATGCGCTCTCCCATCGTGTTCCCCTCCTCCACTTCCACCCGACGACCCACTCAATGCTCCTCTCGTCGAGGATGACACGTCTATTTCGGTCAGGAGCATTACACAGCCGTTGGTGCACGCGACGCGTACTGGCGGGGTGGTTCGATGACTGGAAGGCGCAGGACCTGGACTTCGTGCTGACGTGCCGAACGCGTTGCTGGTCGTGCGGCACGGCGGGAACAAGGGAGTGGAAGGCGTGTGAATATACGTTATTGCTCAACATCGTGAGTTTCGCACTTGCTATTTTTCTGTTGTTTGGTGCAAATGCGAAATCCTGATTTGCTAAATCAAGGCTCGACTACGCCGTTGGCGTCCTTCCCATCACGCACGTCGACTGGGCGCTAGACGCCCTCCTCTTCACCAGTAAGTCCTCTTCGAACTGCAGTGCCATTGAGAGAGGCGTACATCGCGGCCCGCGTGCGTACGACGCAGACGCGATGCACGGGCTGTCCATGGGCGTGTAGATCGTTGGGCAGCAACTGGAGGAGGAAGAGGTGCTCGCGGGGATACAGATCATCGAGGGCCTGTTGAACAGGGTACGGACGGCTGCCAGTTCACGTGGACGCGTGATCGTGCTGTAGGATTGAAATGGATCGAGCATGTGTAAGTGATATCTGTCACTGTATAGTTCCCTTGTCTGTCGGATTTGTCTTTTATGGGTGTAAGTGATATCTGTCACTGTATAGTCTTGTCTGTCGGATTTGTCTTTTATGGGACCTACTATCGTGTTTCGAGTGTCTGACAGTTGGTGAGTTGTTGAGCACTTCTCATTTGTGTCTTCGACTGGTCGCCTCTACGCAGTTCGTTGCGACAGTACCTCATTCACGACAATATCTAGGCTCATGATCCATCTACCCAATCTTATGGGTTGAAACGTCGCGCTGTTTCAGCTGCAGGTGGGACTTTGTTCAGCCGCATTGCTTTGGACGTTCCTTTCCGAGAAATCCATCTGATATCTCCTATCAGGCACACTCACAAGTTCAAGACATATCCATCCATAGACCAAGCTTGACATATCTATCACATCGAAAAGATTGAAGCGTTAGGGTTACGTCACCTCAGGGATGAAGGGGCCCTCGAACTGAGTTATGGATATGGACCTCTGGCCGAGGCATTGCCAACGAACGTGTCGGGTGTAGTTCTCATCTTGTTGGTTGCTTCCCACATAATTCGTGAGATCGCCTCGCACATCCCAAACAACCACCTGTTTACAAGTGTCTCATCATGTGCTACTCTGCTACTCTGATATATACTTAAGCCCAGCAATGCCTGTCTTCCAGCATTGGCGCCTTTTCCACAGCATCATCGCAATTGGAATACCTTTGTCGGTTCCTCTCGAAATTAGAACGCCATCGTACTGAACCTTTTTATCCAAATCTTAGTACACTGTAAATGGGGGACATCTTGTAGGTCTTTTGCCGTGCGCAAATGAACGGACAATCATCGTCCGGTTTGCAGCTCTCTCCACGATTGTCTTGAACTCTTGTCTATCAGTGAGGATACCCCTGTGCTATTGACCATTGGATACTGACTTTTCATGTATTGATCAACCTGCAGCTATCCTTTACTACGATCATATCATCACCTTGCCAGAGGAGCTTCAGTATATATGGAAACGACCTCTCTCCATGGCGTCAACGTGGTTCTTCGTGAACCGTTACATACCGTTCTTGGGGACCGCTTTTGTGCTGGGTCTCCAGTTCGATAGTACTGAAAACGAGGTGAGGGCACTTTCGTGATGGGAAGTTGAACCGACCGTTATTCATTCAATCCGTCTGCGTCACTGGGCTACTGCTGGTCAGAGGTATGCTTTATGTGGCTTCTGGAGATGTGAACCGAAGTATTGAAACTATGGTAGCTGCAGGATCGCCATATTTTCCCGCCAACTGCTTCTGGTCGTGAGCCAATTCATCATCCGCAGTGCGTTGCACCAGTGCACTATGCTCCATCATCTCGATCACCCATATCCATCGTCTTCTAGCGATATCAACCATACGCACATACGCCCTTTACGGTTGCTCGAGAAGAATTCTTGTCCTGATCTTTACCATTGGGCTGGGAGGAATGTCCGTTGTCTGCGTACGTTGGTCGTGATGCCAAACAGAACGAATATAGCTCAGTCGTTTGCAGTGGTCATTGGTGAAGGAGCATGGAACCATCAATGTACTTGATGGAGGTAAGTGTCACGATGTCATGGCCTACACAACGTACGTCCTCCGCATAATCTAACTTGGCTGTCTCGCATGCCGACCTCCCATGCGTCTTCAGGGCAGTCCGTGAGGATTATCTGTGCGCTCCGCGTCGATGCATCTTATCTGAATGCGATTTCGCTTGCAGACTTGGCGGCCGCGTGGGAGGCAGGACTTGTGTTCGACCTGCTCATCTTCGCGCTGATTGTCCTCAAATCATATCAGACCAGAGTAGTGCGCGAATGGTCAAATGCAGTCAGGCTTGCGAATGTAGGACTGATGCAGATATTGTTGCAAGACGGTGAGTATTAGCACTATTCACGTTCATGCTGTTTCTGAACGTGTGCACCGGCAGGCGCTCTGTACTTTGGGTGAGCGCTTTCATCCATTTCACGTCCAAAGGATACACATGTTCATCTGACCGACGTGGATCGAACTCTCAGGGTCATCTCGCTGGCCAACCTAGCAAACGTGCTCACGTTTTATGTACGTGTCAATCTCAAAGACGTTCTCCCTAGACGCACAGATAACGAAGTTCACAGCTCGCTCCGGTACGTCCGCGCAACGTAGATCCATTCGAGCTAACACAGTTCTCTCTCGCATGGCATGCGATCCGTTAGCTTGCGCTAAGAGGCACCCTGTCCACGTTTTCCAACTGGCAAGTCTTACCGCCGCTCTGCTGTCAGCTGATCATTCAATCATAATTTCCTCAGCATGTCGACGACAATGATGTCACGGCTGATGCTGCACATCCACGAAGTGATCGCTCCCCCGCCGTTGAGCGATACAACCATAAGCGACTTCGAAGCTCTGGAATCAGATGCTGCTCAGGTGGCGGAGCATAGTGCGAACGCTAGACAAAGCATCCCACAAGTCGGCAGCCGCGATGTCCGTCAGCACTTTGTAATGGAGGCTCGACGCTCCATGCAGGAGACCGTTGAGTAGAAGTGAAGTGAAGATGGGGTACATCGGCTGGCTCTCAGCATCGGGGGAGAGACTAAGAAGTCGGTGAAAATGTGTCAGTCCTTTTGTTCGTACAATCGACGTGGGCATCTGGAACATGTTGGCCATATTTACGTGGTCAGGAGTCTTCACGTGAGGCTTAGATCCGACATTGATGCGAAACAGAATGCAGGAATGCGAGCATACCCTGGACAAACCACTACAAAATAGGTGATGTGATCGCTGCGCTTCTTATTGCAATGAAGCCTGTCTCTGTACAGAAAGGGCACTAGTGTGGCATATTTCTGAACTTCAAAGAGACAGTGTGACAAAATCTCACCTCAACGTTGGAGGCGAGGGGATCTCCGATGATAGATGTTACCAGAGTATGCCCGCATTCTGATTACTGCAGACGATGTTCCTCTCCGAGTGATCCATCTGATATTCTTTGCCGAAAATACAATCACAATCACTGTGCAAAAGATGTCGTCTGAGCTTGATGCACGCATTTCAAAGCAGTCCCCGCGAACAAAAATACCTTCTAACAGATGAAGGGGTCTTTCTGTGTGGCAAGTTCGGATCTTCTGATGATCGTCTATTTCACCCATTGGCGAACTTTGGCGCATGTCTCAACTTGTTGGTTGCTGGCCAACACGATTCGTGGGATATCACCAGTCGGTCTCTCCTATATATCTCAAGCACAGCGATATCCGTCGGTCAGTGCAGATTCCATATCCCACCCCACCCGAGTCACTTGGTCGTCCTTCGTCTCCCCATCACTTCGCTGAATCTCTACATCATCGAAGCTTGCGTATAGGTCAAAATGGACATGGAATATTCCACGTAGGTCGCTCGCGATGCGCAGAGGAACGCGCAATATTTATTAGCATCTTGATTTGCAGCGCTCTCCACGATTATCTCGAGCTCTTCTCTATCAGTGAGGCGTACCCTTTGGGATCATCCGATGGATGTTGATATTTCGTGTGTCGATGATCTTGCAGCCATCCTTTACTACGACCATCTCATCACCTTCTCCGAAGAGCTGCGGTATATATGGAAACGGTCTTTCTCTATGGCGTCGGCGTGGTTTCTCGTGAACCGCTACATACCGTTCCTGGGTAACGTCGTGGTTCTGGTCGTCCGGTTTGATAGCTTTGGAAACGAGGTGAGGACACCTTTGCGACGGGACCTCAATCGGTGCTCATGCATACCGTGCGCGTCAATGCGCTATTACCGATCAGAGGTAAGTTCGGCCTTGTGTAGGGGGAACTGAGATGTTGAAATGATCGCAGCTGCAAAGTAAACGCGTTCGCCCGTCAAGTGCTTCTCGTCGCGAGCCAGCTCGTCATCTGCAGTCCGTCCCGTCAGCCAACTGTCTTCTCACAGTTCATCACACCCATCGTCTTCTAGCGATATCGACCATACGCACATACGCACTTTACAATCGTTCGAAAAGGATCCTTGCCCTGATCCTTACCATCGGGCTTGCGGGAGCATCCGTCGTCTTCGTGCGTTCGTACCGCTCTCGATTGAAACGAATATGGCTCAGCTGTTTGTAGTGGTCACTGGTGGGCGAACATGGCAGAGGCATAATACATGACGGAGAGAAGTGTGAGATGGCCATGACGCATACCACGTACGTCCTCCACGCTCACTTGTTTGATTCCTCGCCCGTTCATCTTGCACCATGTCTATAGGGCAGTTCGTGAGGACGCTCCATTCAATGCACGCGGATTCACTCCACCTGAAAGGGCTAATTTAACCTGCAGACTTGGCGGCCGCGTGGGAGGCGGGATTCGCGTTCGACCTGCTCATCTTCGTGCTGATCGTCATCAAGTCGTACCAGGACCGAGTCGTGCGCGGATGGTCGCGCGCGGTGCCGCTCGCGAACGTAGGGCTGATGCAGATGCTATTTCTGGACGGTGAGCGCCAATAGCCGAAACCAGTCGCGAAACACTTCTCAATCGTGGACGGACAGGCGCTCTGTTCTTCGGGTGAGGCGCTCTTGTCCGTGTCGCTCTCGACGGATCCACACATGTTGATCTGGTCGACATCTGATCGGAGACACAGGATCATCTCGCTGGCCAACCTGGCGAACGTGCTCACATTTTATGTAAGTTCCATAGATCCACAGGCGTTCACCCTGGACTCGCGACTGACGAAGTTCACAGCTCGCTTCGGTACGCCCGCACAGCGCAAATGAGTCCAGTCCGAGCTGACGACCTTCGCCCCGGCATTCGGTCCACAAGCCCATGCTGAGAGGGGCACTGTCTACGTTTTCGAACTGGTGAGCCCCATCGATGATTCTGTGAGGCGGTGGCCCGCTGATTCAAGTTGAGTAGCATCTCGACGACGATGATGTCGCGGTTGATGCTGCACGTCCACAAAGCGACTGCTGCACCGTTGTTGGGCGATGCGATGACGCACAACGGCCACGACTACGACCTAGCCTTCCCAGAATTCAACGCTGCCGAGTGCGCGGCGCGTGCTGTGTAAAGTATGCCAGAAGCTACCGGTCGCGACGTGGTTCCGCATTCTTTCTTTCTTGGAGAGTTGACTATATGGACGGGGCTCAGAAGAGAAGGGATGATATAGAGTAGGCTACTGCTTTTTAGCCACAGACAATGCCCGAAGAAGCCGCCGCGCGAGATTCGTCGAGAGAAAAATCGTCTACGGTAGATCCAATATGCCGATTTGAACATCTGCTCCGCAGAAGCAGATCACGAGATAAGGGGCTACGTAGCAGCATTGGCTCGGATCTCACAAAGCAAGAGAGCATTTCTACGCGCCGGTTCCGCGTGTCGCGCGATGTCCGGCGATGCCGCAAGCGGGTCTGCGTGCCGCAATGTTGAGTCAAATAAAAGGGGCATGCTTGCGCCACTTCAGAGCCAGATCAGCGCTCTGGCCGGGAAGCAAAATGCGCTGCGTTGTTCCACGTCCCTCGAGAGCCCGAATAAGCGAGTAAGACGCCGTCGACGACATCTCGATCTCGAGGCGAATCGCGCACTGAACGGATCCAGACGCGTCCCGCGCGGACAAGGAAGAGAACGAACGAACAAAGATCGCCGCAGGGGGAGAGGCTACGAAGAAAGGGCGGCGTGCCTGTGCCGCTCCCAGCCAGCTCCGCGATCCGACCAGGACGCCAAAGGGCACCGCTGCACCGTCTGTATCCCGTCGATGAGAACGCTTACGCAGCCAGCAAGCCTGCCTGCCGTGATGCAGCCCACCGCAACGCGCGTCGCAGACAAGGGAGAGAACAAGGTCCGTTCATCAGTCTCTCATGGAGGGCGCGCCAGGACCGCCCGCAAGTCAAGAACGACGCCAGAGTGCGGCGCACAGCGATGCATTGTCCGCATCGCGCAAGGGACACAGAACGCGCAAACGAGCCAAGCAGCCGTCGCCGAGATCAAACGACCACAAAGCAGAAGCCAAAACCCCGCGTCGGCGCTCCGCGCATCGGTTAAGAGAGCCCGAAAACGTGAGCTCGGTCCCCACGACCGCAGCGCAACCGCGCGCTTCCCGGTATTCGAGCACCCACCACTAGCGTCCTTGACCTACCTACGAACTCACGCACCAGCCCTCGGCGACCCGACGCCCGGTGAGCGAGCTCTGTCCTCTTCCTCCACCACCACCTCCTGCGTCCTCTTCCTCCACCACCACCTCCTGCCCGTCTCGTCTCGTCTCCCGACAAGCAGCTCGCCGCTCGTTTCTTCCTCCATTGACGGATCCGTCGCCCAATGCAGGCGGGCGCAGCTCCGGCGGGTGTAGGCCAGACGGCGGCGCGGCGGCGCGAGGCGTGCGTTCTCCGCGGCCGTTACTCCGTCGCACGCACGGCGCGGCTGGCCCCGTCCGCGTCCTCGTGCGCGTCGTCTGTACGCCGCTGCCAACACCCACCAAAGAGGCCCCCCGCCGGAGCCGCGCGAGGGCTCGCCGACACATGGTGAGGACGGGCACATGTGGGACCTCCGCGGGGGCGGTACGCGGTCGTGTGGGAGCCTTTCGCGGACGCTTCTGATAGTCTGGCTTTACTACGGCGCTCGTGCGGCCGCTTTAGGTCGCTGAGCAGCGAGCGACGAGACGCAGCGGGGGGCGGTAGCGGCGGTGGACGAGAGACAGAGCCGTGCATGGTGCGTCTGCAGCGCGCTGTTGACGGGGGCGCGGCCAGAGCGCTGCGTGCACGCGCGCGCGGTCCAACCTGGTCTGGATGTGGACGGCGGCGTGTGAGGGCGGAAGGGCGCGCGGAGACGCGGAGTGTTTTTCTCCCCCTCCTTTCGTTTTTTGGGATGTTAGTTGTGTCTGAACGAGGGAGGGAAGGAAGGAGGGGATGGTGCGGTTTGCGGGTTGCGGGTTGCGGAATGTGCGGATTGGTTCATGGTGATGGACTACCGTATGGCATCAGGCCTGCGTTCTCCATGGCCGCTACGCGTCGCGCAATGCAGACGCTAAGAAGAGACAGGGGAAGGGGCACCGCGCGAGGCACGCATCCTCCCGCCGCCGTTACCGCGTCTTCGTCTTTGACCTCGTCGTCTCTACACGAGAGCGCCCGCGTCCGCGCCGCGCCGACACACGGCGACAGGGCACACCTAGCGGCCTCTCGCAGCGCGCGCGCGCACCGTCCTGCGGGGCCTGCTCGCGGTCGCGAGCGCTTCACATAGACCTAGCGCAGCGTTACTGCTGTATGGCGCCCGTGCGGCCGCGCGAGCGACGAGGCAGGGATTGGAAACACGATATCGCGCTGCCACGGAGCGCGCCACGGAGCGCGGATCTGGGCGGTCTCGCGCGGGTTTTCGTGTGGGGGCGTGTCGGGGCGGTTTCGGGGGTCTAGCGTTCCTACGGCGCTCGTGCGGTCGCTTTAGGTCGCCGAGCAGCGAGCGACGGGGCGCGGCGGGAGGCGGCGGCGGTGGCGGTGGGCGAGAGACATGGCCGTGCATGATCAGATGCGTCTGCAGCGCGCGCGCGGTCCGACCTGGTCTGGTCTGGATGTGGACGGCGGGGTGTGAGGGTGGAGGGGCGCGGGGAGGTCCGAAGTGGTTTTGGTTTTGTTTCCTATCGTCGGTGGGTGGGTGGGTGGGTGGGTTTGTGTTTGTTTGCGAGTTGCGGCTGAGCGAGTCGGGCGAGGGAGGTGCGGGGTTCGTTCGTGGTCACGATGGGGCCGTTCACCGCCCGCCCCCACAGATCACGCACCTTTTCACAGAAGAAGGGGCCCGGCACCTCTCAAGCCGATCCAAGCGCAGGCTCGGGGCTCTAAAACCGCCTTGTCGAGAATCCTCTGCGAATTTTGCCCGTGATCTGGAGATGGTACGCGGCGCGTGAGCAAGGTTGAACGGGCAGACTCGCAGGTCCATTCCCATCACGAGTCTTTCGTCGACGCGGACGCGGACGCGGGGGCCTCGCTTCCCTTCCCTCACGCGATATCCCTAGGCGTCTGGCTGGTTGTGCATGCGAGGAGGGGGCGCGGAGAGACGTGGGGAATGTTTAATTTTATTTCGATGGGTTGGGTTTTCTTTGTCGTACGTGATTCGGTGGCTGGGGGGATCGTGGTTGCGTAGATGCAGATGTGACAGTAAATAGCTGCACTACACGCCGCTGCGCATATACCGCGACAGGCTCTGGCGCTCCGCACATGGTGGACGCGTCGTGCTTGGAAGAGCTTGGGAGGACAGATGTGCGAACGGGAGACGTCGAGGCGGGGAGATAGAGCGGCGCGGAAAGCCGACGGAGGGGCGCGCCAAGACGGTCCGCGTCCGCGCTATAAGCCGTCTCGCGAGTCACGGCACGAGCCCCTCTCTCTCGTTCGTGTTCGCGCTGCAGGCACCCTCCGAGCATGGCCCCCGCCGACCCCGCCCCCTCCCCCGGGAAAGACGCCGACGCCGACGCCCTCCCGCGCCCCACCTCCGCCACCACCGCCTCCGACCGCTCCCTCGCCCGCAGGCTCCTCCCCCCGGCCGTGTACGACCACCTCATGGCCGACGTCGACCCCGCGCAGTCCACCACGCCCCTCGCCGCCTTTTGCTTCATGACGGGCTACATGTCAGTCTCTCCCGCCCTCGCCCGCCCGCACGCTCGCTCCTGACCCCGCCCCGCCCACCCAGCGACGTCATCTCCTTCTCCGCCATCTTCGTCTGGTGCGGCTTCCAAACCGGCAACTCCGTCCAGGTGCGGCTTCCCCCTCCCCCTCCCTCTGCCCACCACCTCACAGCCCGCACCCGCACCCGCACCCGCACCCGCACCCGCACCCGCAGCTCGCCCTCGCCCTCGCCCGCCTCTTCCAAAACACGCCCACAGGCCACGACACCTCCTTCCGCCTCCCCGACCAACAAGCCCTCACCTCCGTCCTCGCCTTCATCCTCGGCGCCTCCCTCGGCCGCATCGGCGACCGCCTCGGCCCACGCACCCGCGCCTGGCTCGCACTCGGCACCTTCGTCCAGGCGCTGCTCACCATGGCCGCCGCCCTCGCGCTGTGGAAGAGCGGCCAGGGCAGCGTCGCGAACGCGCGCGACGACCCCGCGTGGACGGACGTGCGGACGTTTGTGTGTCTGGCGTTCATCAGCGCTAGTTTGGGCCTGCAGGGCATCATGGGCAAGCGCGTCAACACCCAGTTTGCAACCACCAGTGCGTCCCCGCTGCCCCCGCCGCCCCCGCTGCCGCCGCCTCTCCTTTTTCACTCCTCCAACGCAGCGCTGACCTGACCCCTCCCAGTCGTCCTCACCACCGTCTGGTGCGAGCTCATGGCCGACCCGCAGCTCCTCCAGCTCCGCCGCCGCATCATCAGCCGCGACCACAAGCTGCTCGCCATCCTCGCGCTCTTCCTCGGCGGCTTCGTCGGCCGCGCGATCCTCCAGTCCGCGGGCTCCCCCGCCGCGCTCGGCATCGGCGCGGGCGTGCGCGTCGTCCTCGCGGTCGGGTGGCTCTTCGTGCCGGCGAAGGGGAAGGCGGGCGGGGGGAAGCGGTAGCAGTGATAGTTGTTGTTGTGGGTTGGGTTTGGGTTTAGGTTTGGTTGTAGACGGCGTCGCGTATAATACATCGGTCGAACGAGACGCGCAGCGATTTTTTTTTTTTTGGATTAAAAGAAATAGATCAGAGAACGAAGACGAAGACGACACGACAGACACCCCCAACGAAGCAAACACGTCGTCGTCGCCACCGCCGTCGTCTTCTCCACCACCATCACCACCACCATCGCCTCCATCGTCGTCGTATGTAGCGTCTCTGGTAAGGAACAACCGCCCCACCCGGCCCAGTTCTCCCAAGCCGGCTCCACACGGAGGGAGCGCGCTCCAGCTGAGACGCTAGCCGTTGGTCTGGGACGTGCAGTAGGCCCCTGCGCGATGCGAGCTGCGCGCGGGGGGACAATAAGGCGCGTCCCGTGAAATGAGTTGGGGGACGGGAGGGTGCGGGGCGGGCGGGTTTTTATAGCGTGCGAGGGGCACGTGATGCGTGATGCGTGATGCGCGCGTGGGATTGGAGAGGGCAGGCGTGGGGCGAGGCGGCGCGCTCGGGTGAGGTTCATCGATCTGGGTGTGAGGACGTCGACGTCGACGTTGCTTTTGAGGTGAGCGCTCGACCGCGCTGTTGGCGATGACGACTCGCGATCGCTGATCTGGCGCGGCCTTTGTAGCGTGCATAGCGCGGCATCTACTGCTACGACGGCGCTGGCTGGACCTATGTGAGTAGCGGCGAGCGCGCGCTCCCTCGTCCGACGCGCCTGAGTTTTGACCGCGCGCGGCGCGCATTTTAGTGGAGACTTGTTGTATCGGTCGATTCAGAGCGGCATCATGACCGAGCACGACGCGTTCCGCCTGCCCATCGACCTCGCCGACGAGGTAAGCCCGAGCCCGCTCTTACCCTCCTCCTCTCTCTCCTCCCCCTCCCCCTCCCCCTCCCCCCCCTTTTGCCTCGCCTCGCGCCCCAACTCACGACGCCCCGCACACACAGGAAAGGACAGCGCACCTCACACGCGCGCTCTCCTCCGCTGCGCACGACCCCCGCCCCGCACACACGCTCGCGCAGATCGGCGCCGCGCTCGTCGCGCGCGAGGACTCGGACCTGCGTGCATTCCTCGTGCGTGGCCGCTGCCGTCTTCCCTCTCTCTCTCTCCCTCTCTCTCCCTCTCTCTCTCCCTCCTTCCTTCCTTCCATGCTTTTCCTTCTCTCGCCGTTTGCCCCACTTCCGCGAGCGCTGCGTGCTGACCATGGCGCTCGTGCGCGCGCCAACAGGACCCGCTCGCTGTTCTTCCGGATGTTTTGGCGTCGGCGAGGGCAGGCGCGGAGGGCGTGTTGGTGGTGCTTGGGGACGCTGCGTCTGCGAAGGAGGTGGTTATGGGCGCGCAGGAGATCGTGGAGCGGCTGGAAGCCGAGGAGGAAGGGGACGAGGATGACAACGGTGGAGCGGATAAAGAACCATCTGCAAAGGCGTCGCTCGCGACACAGGTCGCGCGGCTGATGGCGCTATATGCGCGCGGTGCGTCCCCCGCCCCCGCCCCCCTTCCTCTCCTCCGCTCCTCGCACGTGTATGCTTTCTGACGCGCCCACAGTCGTGCCCCGCCTGAACCAGCGCAGGCCGGCGCTCGACACCCTGCAGTCGATCGCGCCCGACCTAGAGCCCCTCGTCTACCGCGCCGCCGCGCGCGCCACCGCCACAGAAAGCCGCGCACTCGTCGTCGCCGCGTCGGGCCTCGCGATGTCCGCGCGCGCGTGGGCGCAGGCGCAGACCAAGGCCGGAGACGACGCCGACGCGCTCGCGCTCGCGCGATGCACGGTGCGTGGCTCCGCTGTGCACTCGCGGTGCCGAACACAGGCGGCCTGACCGCGCGCGTGGTCCCATCGCAGGTGCTGCTTGCGTCCGTCCTGGACGCGACGCTCGAGGCGTGTGCGGGCAGGGTGGCGTGCTCGCGCGCCCAGCGCGCGTTCGAGGCGCGCTTCCCGCGCCTCGTCGTGCGCTCGGCGGTGCGGAGCGGCTGGGAGGCGGGCGAGGACGCGATGTCCGCTGCCGTGGTTCGTCTTGCAGCCCACCCCGTCCATTCCTCTGCCCCTTTTCGCTGATGCCGCCTTCGCCAGGCGGCCTCGAAGGCCCTCGGGCGCACGTCTGCGTCGCTGCTGTCGAACCCGAGCATCGCCGCGCTGATCCTCCTCGCGCACGCTTCGCCACCCGAGCCGCTCACCCCCGCCGCGCTGACGCCGCTCCTCCCCGTCCTGCTAAGCGCACTCGACATCGGCATCGCAGACGAGCCCCTCTACCTCCTCCTCGTCGCCCTTCTCCCCTCGCCCGCCTCCAGCCACACACCAACAAGCACGGGCACAGGCGCAGAGCTGCCCCCGGACCTCGTCCTCCCGCTCACGCCCGTCCTCGCGTCCCTCTGCAGCGCCCACCCGGACCCGCCCACGCGGCACCTCGCCTTCCGCCTCCTGTCCCTCGCCCTGCGCGCCACCCCCGCCCCGCTGCGCCTCCAGGTCCTGCGCGACCTCACGGACCCCGCCGAGGACGCGCACCCGCCGCAGATGCGCGCCGCCGCCGTCGGGCTCGTCAAGGAATCCGTGCTCGCCGCGCTCGCCGCCACGGAGCCCGGAGCGCCGGCGGGGTCGGCGGACGCGGGCGTGGACGTGTTCGCGTCGCCGGCGCTGCTGGGCGCGCTCGGCGCACACGTGTTTCGCGCGCACCCGCCTGATCTGTTCGTGGCCGAGTCTACGCCGGCGGACGCGTTCATGCGCTCGGCGGAGCCCGCGCGCCTCGCGGAGTGCCTCGCGCTGTATTACGTGCTGCTGCGGCGCGATGTCCAGAACAGGGTGAGTCTATCGTTTGGTCTCGCCCTCGTCTCTCTTTTCGTTTTTTTCTTCGTATGGTATCTGCGAGCTCTCGCCGTGGCACTGACGCCCGCCCGCCCGCCCGCCCGCTCGCTCGCTTTTGTCTGAGCAGACGGGGATCCGCGACCTCGATACGATCCGCAACATCGAACAGACATTCGTGGGGCCCATGCGCGCGGCCGTCGCGCGGTGGCTCGCGGCCTTAGGAGGTGAGTTCCCGCCCCCGCCCGCTCCTGTCTCCTTCCGGATTGTTTGTGGAGCGCTCACGCGGCGCGCCGCTGGTGTTTGCGCGGGACAGACGAGCTGCATGCGGTGATGCCCCTGGCGGCGCTGCAGACGAACATCGAGCGCGTCGACGCGGCCGTGGGCGCGCTCGCGCTCGCGCCTGCGGAGTAGCGGGTCGGCGAGCGGGTGGGGGTGGGGGCGGGACCGAGGGACGAACTGTTACGGTGGGCTGTACTAGTCGCAGATGTAGGTTATTGCGCTTCCAGCGCATGCTTGAATTCGAGGCACGAGGGTTGTGTGTTCGCTCGGCGCCGGACGCCCGGACGGGGCTCGCCTGTCGTGGTCGTATAGGCGGAATGCCACGGTGGACGCGGTTTGGTAGATCTTGCTTTCGCATTGCCGTCCTGCTGTCTTGGACTTGATACGGTGTTCTCGAGGTTATGCGCCTGGGAGGCGACCAGTCCCAGCGAGCGAAGCATCCGAGATAAACGTCTCGCACTGGCCCCGTCTTGCGCTCCGAACCATCGTTTGAAGAGGTTCTATAAAGGCGTCCGACTTATCGTTCTCGGGAGGCTGCCCCATCTACTAAACGTCCCCTATAGGATTCTTCGCTCGCCGGAAAAGAATAACGGTGGCGGACGTGTGCTGTCCTTCTCTTCGCGTCCCTCAGCATCCGGTACGGTACTCATTGCTCGTTACAGATTATCTTCGTTGGTGATCATATCTACGCTCCAGGATTCCCCCGCCCCCAATTCGTGTCCATGAATGACTCTACACATCCCGAAATTCTTACCTCTCTCCCTCTCCCTCTCCCTTCCTCGCCCGACCCCACTCAGTTACAAATAAACAGCGGACCGCTTAAGAAGAGAACACCAAAGTCTCCCTGTGCTCCTACCCCTGGCGTCCTCGAACCCGAACAATCCACCACCTTATTTCCAGTCCCTCGCGTCGCAGAAGCGTGCACATCTGCGCTCCCGCACGCCTCGTCGGTCACTCTGCGACCAAGCCGCGGTAGAAGGCTATCGGGAGTGTCTGAGAAATTCCCAAATAGGCCCAAACAGCCCTCGCGCGCGCGGACACTATCACTCAGAGCCAGCATCGCGTGCGTGCAGAGCTGGCTCTGGCACCGTGCCTTTGACAGTACCCACAGTGAAGAGCGCCCCGTTCCGTGGCATCTTCAACCCCAGACGATCAGACGCCCTGTTTCCGGTCCCTTCGCGCCCCTGTTGACCTTGCCCCGCACGAGTAAGCGTGCATATCTATGTCCACTGCCCACCGCGGGCCTCGTCACTCTCTCGGCGACCTAAAGCGGCTCAGTCAGTCTATCGGGAGTGTCCGCGAAAGTCCCTGCAGGGAAGCGCACCAAAATGCACCCGCATCGCCCTCGCGCCTGTGCGCAGGGGGGAGATTGCCAGGTGTGCTCTGTCGGCATGTCTCGACGCGGCGCGGCGTGGGCCTTCGCTTGTGTCTTGTGAAGCATCGGTGGAGAGACCTACGTGAGGATGGGACGAAACCGGTGACAGCTGCGCCGCACGGTAACGGCCACGGAGAACGCACGCCTCACGCGATGCCACCCCCCCCCCCCCCCTCCCTGTCTGGCGTCTGCCCCGCCCGAAGCGGTAACGGCCACGGAGGATGCACGCCTCGCGCCGCCGCGCCGCCGACTGGCCTACACCCGCCGGAGCCGCGGCCTCCCTCCCGCCTTTGTCGATCTTTCGGGGAACCAAATAACAATGATAGCTTGTCGGCCGACGAGATGAGATGAGATGAGATGAGACGAGGAAGACGGGGAGCATGAGGACGGAGCCTGCTCACTGGATGGGCCGCTGAGGGCAGGTGCTTCACTTTGTAGGTAGGTCAAGGATGCTAGTAGGTGTTCAGATGTTGGGCAGCGCGCGGTTGCCCTGCAACCGTGGAGATTGAGCTCTCTCTTTCGGGCCCTTTTATGCGCCGTTGCGCGCGGGTCTGGCTTCTGCTTTGTTGTTGTTTGATCTCACTCCACGCTTGATCATTCCTAATCTTTCACGGATGCGGACAATGCATGATGCATAATGCAGCGGCGCACTCTGGTTTCCCTCGTAGGCACCGCAGGCACGCCCTCCTTCATAAACGCCCTTTGTTCTCTCCCTTGTCTACGGCGTGCGCGCCAGCACGACAGGCCCGCTGGCGTCATACTGGGGCTATGGAGGTGCTCGTCCAGGACTCTGGTCCATGCGCGACTTGTGGAGCCTTCTGGAACCGTTCGATGTGATTCCCTTATTCTGGGCCTTAAAGGACGCAGACGACACGCGCATCGCACCTTGCCTTCTTCGCCGGGTCGATAGTCCGGCTCTCAAGTACACCCTCTACTTATCGCGGTAGGCAGGCCCACTCGTGACGACACTGATTATCGTGCGAGCATGTGGAACCGGCGCGCTCAAATACATTCTTGCTTTGTGAGATCCAGACCGCTGCTGCAGACCCTTTGTGTTGCTGTTTGCTTCTGCGAGGCAGGGATGCTCAATATGGCATATCAACTCTGCTCACACATGAACAAAGCGCGAGGGACATATCTAGCCAACCGTGTGCGTCGACTTTTTCGCGGATAAATGTCTCGACTCTGCAGCTACAACTGTTTCAACACTTCGGCTCACCCTCCCAGAAACCAAGCATACCTCTGACCAAACAGCCCAATAACGCGGATGGATTGAATAAGCGCCGTTCGGTTCACAAGCCCATCACAAAAGTACCCTCACCTCATTTTCAAAGCCACCAAATTGGAGACCCAGCACCAAGGTGGTTCCCAAGAACGATATGTAACGGTTCACGAAGAACCACGCTGACGCTATGGTGAGGGGTCGTTTCCATATATACTGTAGTTCCTCTGGAAAGGTGATAGTATGGTTATAGTAAGGATAGCTGCGTGTTCATCGATACATGAGAGTCAGTGTCCAATAAACAATAGCATGAGATACACCTTACTGATAGACAAGAACTCCAAGTAATTGTGGAGAGCACTGCAGAACATATGATAATTGCTATTGTACGTTTTAATTTCGAGGGGAATAGCCGACCAGGTTATTCCGGTCCCAATGATGTTGTGGAAAAAGGCACCAACACTAGGAGACAGACATTGCTGGGCTTAAGTATATCAAATGTGTGTCCTGATTTGGAAGCAAATCTGTGTTTGGAATCTGCGAGACGATCCCATGTATGGTGTGGGAAGCAACCAACAAGATGAGAACTGCACCGGAGCATGTTTGTCGATATTGTCTCACTAAGAAGTACATACCTGACTCGGCTGGCAAGCCCCTTCATCTGTGAGAAGTTGTTTTGATGCTTCAATCATTGCGACACACGAATGCATGGAGGTCGACGAATACATATCTCTTGCACTTGTGGTTGTTCCTGGAAAACAGATCAGACATATCGGTCGGCAACAAATATTCAAAGCAACGTTAATTACTGCGAGCAAACAAAGCACCACCTCCATCAATCAGAATGCGGGCCGAGTTCAGTACCTTCCATCATCAGAAAGCCTCCGAGCGAAAAGGTCGACGTCGGAAAGAAGTTGAGCTCATTTTTTGGCTCGAGTATCCAGATAGGCAACGATGCTGCTATCCATCCCGGACAGGGAAAGAGATATGAGTGTATTGTGAAAACGTGGTACTATTCGGCACCGGTTACATACCCCGGACATCGACTTAGTGTTGTTTAGCGGCACTCTGCTACACGAGATGCTAACATTCTGAATGAAACTTCACTCGCACGCTGAGACAGCTCGATGTTTCAACGTATGCTACATTGAGCACGTTGATCATCAGCATGGACATTGCCGTGATAGAGGTACTGATGTCCGAACGAAAAGCACAGAAGGGGTAAGTGGAAAATCCAATCGAAAGCCCTCAACAACTCACCAGTTATTACACATTTGGAAAAACACGAAAGTGCACCAAAAGACGAACCCGACAAACCCAACAAGCGAGACGGTACAGTGACAGGACTTTGATCCACTTACACACACTCGATCCATCTTGAACTTACAGCCACGCAGACACGATCACACGTCCACGTTCACTGACAGCCCCTCGTACCCCTTTCCTGCTTTTTTCAACAGGCCCTCGATGATCTGCATCCCCGCGAGTACCTTTTCCTCTTCCAGTCGCTTCCCAACGATCTGCACGCCCACGGGCAGCCCATGCATCGCGTCCGCATCGTACGCACGCGGGCCGCGGTAGACGCCTGCCTCAACGGCGTTGCGGTACGAAGAGAGCTTACTGGTGGAGGCGATGGCGTCGAGCGCCCGGTCGACGTGCGTAATAGGAAGCACGCCGGCAGCGTAGTCCAGCTTTGACGTAGCGGATCAGGACATCGCATGGGGATATGCACGAAACAGAAATAGCAAGTGCGATACTCACGACGTTGAACAAGAACGTATAGCCGCATGCCTTCCACCCCTCCTTATTCCCGCCGTGCCGCATGGCCGGCAAGGCGTTCGGCACTGTCAGCACGAAGTCCAGGTCCTGCGCCTTCCAGAAGTCGAACCACTCCTGCCGGTACGCGTCGCGCGCACCAACGGCTGCGTAGTGCTCCTGGCCGGAATGAACGTGCCATCCCTCGACGAGGGAAGCATAGAGTGGATCGACGGGCTGGAAGGGGTGGAAGCGGAGGAGGGGAATACGGTAGGAGAGCGCGTGGAGGCGCGCGAGGGAGCGTGCGAAGGGAACGCGGAGGGCGCGGGTGCCAAGCGCCACGCCCGGATCGTTGGCTTCATGTGGCTGAATGTAAGAGGAGGCGGTGAGGCCTTGAAAAAGCCGAGTGAGGAGTTATATTTGATAGGGCGTTGGCTGGCTCACAAGCGTTAGCTAGAAGCTGAGAGCCGATCTTGAGTGCTTTTAGAGGGCTCGGGGGGTTACTGGAGACGGCACGCACGAGTCGCAAGCTGTGAGTTGATCAAGGATTGCAAGCGAGGAAGCATACATGTCGACGACTTCGTGACCGTCGGCCTCTAGCGCGGATACGACTTCCTGCAGGGCGCGCTTACATGCCGGAGAGGGCATCACGATTCCTGCGAAGTACAGGTGAATGACAAAATGCTGCGCGAGACCGCCTAGCGCACAGACCATCATCCCATATTACGCCCCATTTCAACGTTTTCTTTCCAGGCAAGTCGATTTCCCTCCAAGGAATAGGAATACACTGATCCCTCGGTCAGCATGACGAAATAACGGGTTGAAATTCCGAAACAAGGCAATGCGCTCTCACAGATGGATCATATTCCCAAGGTTTCATGCTCACGACAGCCTTCCAAAATGTCTCGAGGTCTTCTAGCGTTCGCGTCATGGGCGAGTATACGGCAGGGATGCCCTCCTGGCCCACCATTCCCGACGCGTTGCCCACCTTAGGGAATCGTCCCGAGGACGCCTTGATCGTGTAAACCCCACTGTAGTGTGCCGGCACGCGTACGGACCCCGCGACGTCCGTGCCGAGCCCAAGGCGTGAGCCACCAAGAGCGAGAAGCGCGCCCTCCCCGCCCGAAGAGCCTCCAGGGGAGAACCCTTTTGAGTGCGGGTTCGTCGTGCGGCCGAAGACGTCTGAGTTCGACTCGAAGGAGAGTAGCGTGATGGGGACGTTGGTCTTGACGAATGGGAGGGCACCCGCATCGCGAAGGAGGGCGACGACGGGTGCGTCTTTGGAAAAAGGCTTATGAACCCACTTCGAGTACCCGATACATGCATCGAATCCGGCGACGCCGACACTGTCTTTGAGGCTGATGGGCATGCCGGCCAGCGGTCCCTGCTTCGTCTTGGGCTCTAAAGCCCACGATTCGGCTTTGGGGATGATAATCTCGGTGAGGCAGTTGGTATCGGCGTGCGCGAGTAGGGCTTTCTTGCCATAGGCTACGAGGACCTCCTTGGGCGAAAGGGCTCCAGATTGAACGCGCGAGACGATGGCGGAGGCGGGTTGGCGGAGGATGTCGACATCCTGTGCGGTCAGCGGAGCGCGGTATTCAGCGGGTAACGCGGCGATACTATCTTTGCGCTCTTGCTGCTTCTCACGACTTTCAAATGCGTTTGATCATCTTCAATAGGATGTTTGAGCTGTGCATGTCTGTGAGTGAGCACTCACCAGGCGCGACGGTGTGCGTTGAAATAAGTGAACATGGTGGTGCTAAGCAACCTTGTCGATTCACGACATGTCGAATCGATAGAATATATCGCTCTGCATAACAAGGTTTGACGAGAAGTTGACGAGTGAGGGATCTCTTTCGCAGGAGCAGCTGCGGTACGTTATTCGTAGCCTCACATGACGGCAAGCAGTCAAGCCTGTGGTCACAGTCAGCAGATAACGACTCACTACAATCTGAGTTTGAAATATTGGTAGCACTCGTTAGCCGTCTAGGATAGCCCGGATTGAGAACCATTACGAAGTGCTTAGCACGTCGCGTTCCGCAAAGCTAAACAACCTCAGAGCAACCATGACTGCAGTTGTCCAGAGGCCCTTGAAAGGTTCCAGGAGGTCCCATTTTTACCCAGACAAGTCGCTCCCATCGCTCTCGTCTCTCGACAGCGCGTTCCAGCTTCAGGAATACATTTCGCTCCTGATTCGATTGGACGTTCATGACGTCGAGGCCATCGTCTCTGTACCAGACACCAGCAGTGGGAAGGAAGGCGCCGAAGTGAAGGAGAACGGCGATGAGAAGGAGGGCGAGAAGGAATCAAAGAACGACTTCGCCGTTGACAAGGCGTGCTGGATCTACGAACAGTTGCGGTGCGTGTCTCCGAGTTCGTGTCACGCAGTGGTGGCATGCTGACTTGTGTCGGCTTTCGTTCGCGTGTAGGCGACTCGCGCAGGATCTCTCATATCCGCTCATTACGCTGCTTCAGCAAGAATGCACGCGGACGACATGTCCAGAAATGAAAGCAGGCGAGTGGCAGTACCTCTGCGTAGCCCATGGCACCGATGGCGCCATGGAGGTGAGTTGTTCTTGATAACATGGTATCAACTTGACACAGAGTTCTTATAACATAGCAATGCTGTGCCATCGACTATATCCTACACACCATAGACAGCGCGACCGGGCTCCTCAATTCACCGAGGGCATTCCCGTCTCGGTTCGTTCGTCCAGCTGCTATCCTTGAGCGCTCAACTCTGACCCCGCGTCCTTCAATAGAATCTCCATCCCCTCGGCCTCGCACCGCCACTTCAACTCCCTCGCGCGGCGCCTCAGCCGCATCTTCGCACACGCCTATTTTCACCACCGCGAGGTTTTCGAGCAGGCCGAGGCCGACTCGTCACTCTACGCCCGCTTTCTTGCACTCATCGACAAATTCGACCTCGTCCCGCGCGAGTTCCTAGTCATTCCTACTCCTGTGCTCGAGCCCGAGCCCGAGCACGAACCCCCGCGTATTCTCGCCGCCGCCGCCACACAGCACGCGTATACGCAGCAGGAGCAGGAAGAAGACCACACGGGAGGGGATCGTGGGCGCGGCACGGAGGACCCATTTGAGTCTAGCACGAGCCCGACCGAGAGCGGGTTCGGGCACGGGGCACCCCTTGCAGAGGCGTCGCCGCAGCGCAATCCAAGCCCATGGAAGGGCCGGAGCCGGACGGATACGATGGTGCACAGCGAGGCGTTCATCCTGGCCGAGGAGCTGGCCAAGAACGAGGATGCGGAGGAGCCCAGGTCACTGGTAGGCAGTTCGGACTCTGGTTCTGGTTCTGGCTCTGAGGACGGGCAGCCCCAGGAAATCGACATTCTTCCCTCGCCCGAATTCTCTCCTCTGGCTGTCGAGGAAGCTTCGCCAGTAGTAGAAATGCAGGGTCAGGAAGAAGGTGAAAAGGAGCATGTGGTCGAACAGGTGCAGGAGGAGGCGGCGAAAGAGACAGATGAGGCAGAGAGGAGAGGGACAGAGGCTGATTCACCGGTTGACGAATTTTCGTCTGTGGATCCTGCTCTCGCCCGTGAATCCGAGGAGGTGCCATCTGATCCTCCAAGCGCGCAACCTGAGGCTCTGGACGTTCCCAATGTAGCAGAAGAGGTGGATGCACACACGTCCGCGTCCGAGCCCGAGCCCAGTCCAGCCGAGCCTCTCGCCATTCCTACTCCTTCTACATCTACACAACCTGAGGACGATATCATTCCTGCACCCCAAGAACCTGTGGCTTTGGATGAGGCATCCATAGAAACTACGAAAGAGCCTGCACCGGAGCCCGTCGAGGGCGTCATCTCGGAAACACCGGGTCAGTCAGTCGATTCTGTTGAAGAGCCGACCGCTGCAGAAGACCCCCCGACAGCAACGAGTGAGAAGATATTTCTGCCACCCCAAGCAGGCGAGTCAGAGGATGCAACAGGAGACGTTGCAGAAGCGGAGGTAGGAGCAGAGCCGGAGCCAGAGCCAGAGTCATCATCCGAAGACATCAAAGATCTTGAAGAAGTGGACCTCAATGACGTGGATACAAAACATGATGAGGGGCAGGCCGAGGAACAGGTCGTTGAGGATCCTGGAGTGAATGAGAACGTCGACGTCGCAGAGCTGGCGCACGCAGAGCTGGCCCGCGCAGAGCATGCGCAGGAGACTGAAATCAGGACTGAAGAACCCCTCGAGAAAACAGAGTCGGTGGTTTTGGTGGGTGAGACGACGGTAGAGCTGGATGAGAGCGAGGTCTCTTTTATCTTAAAGGATCAAGACGAGGACGAGGTGCACGCTGAGGCTGAGAATGCACTGTCATGATCGGCATATGTAAATAGTCTTCATCGTCGAGTCCTGTTTTCCCTGTCATACACAGCTTCTTGTAACGGATCGTAATCTGATTGGCGTGTTCTCCACCAAATTACTTTTTGATATCATTCAGCAAGTGATGCTCAGAACAACGTTACTTTCGTCGCCCCGTCTGCAAGGCTGGCGTGTCCTCTATCACATTCTTCACACCCTGCTTCCACGCCGCCAGCTCTCTTTCCACTCGCACGATCATTTCTCTTACCTCCTTCCCTACCTCCCCGCCTTCGTTCTGTTCTCCGAACCCGACCATCAGCTCGGCTCTGGCCTTGACCAGTGTCTCATAAGCCAAATTAAGGCGCGGCGCGCCGGACGGCGGGAACGCGCCTGCGGGCGAGGGAGTCGTGGCAGGAGAAGGCTCGTCGACTGCAAGGAGCTTTCCGAGCTCCGCGATAGCCAGCGCACGGATGGGGTGCCCCGGGCGAAGAATTGTGCAGAGGCCGGCCAAGGACGAAGAGGCAGCGCGGATGACGGTGTCGAGGGCGTCTTGGGTGAGTGTCGGCGGGAAGGACGCGAGGAGCAGAGATTGGTGGAGACGGGTTAGCGAGAGGAGGGGATGTGAAGCGGGAGTGAGGTTCGCGGAAGTGAGGATGGGGACAATGTTGGTTGTTAGTTGGAGGGCTTTGGGGAGGTCTAATGGGAGGATTGAGGCGAAGGTTGAGTCGTGCGATGCGGTGAAGGCAAAGGGGGAGTGTGAGCTATACCGGAGAATTGCAGCGCGTTGGCCTTGTCTAGGGCTTCTTGGCCGATGCGGGCCGCGTCAAGGACAGCATCAGTATCAATCACAACGGCCTTACACTTCCTGCAGCGAGTCAGTGGATCCTCTAATAGAGATGAAACAGGATCTATCTCAATCGTGGGACTTCATTGGATTTTCTATGATGCCGTACCTTCAGTGGGAAGAGGGCATGCTCCCCCGCACTTCTTCGGACACCAAACGCTCTCTCTTAAATCTGTATCTGCAACTTCCGAGCAGAGGGTACATTTACACTTGAAACTATATGTCGATTCTAGCGCCATTTGCCTCTGCAATTTTGGCAGAGTCGTGTCGATATACGCGGTAAAAACCTAGTTTACATATAAATCAGCGTAGGAAAGTGACCGTGAAAGTAGCGTTTCTTCACTTGTTCTCCTGGAGCGATGTCACGTATAGCAACGACCTGCATGCAGGGTTCTTGAGTAGATGGGTTACTCGACGAGCGAGGGAATACAACGACAGCATTTGGGTCACAAGAGTGATTTATCAGTGCAACGACAGGCGAAACTGAAACGCCCAATGGATTCAACGACGGCGACGTTAGTGTGAAAGAATTTGTTGTAAACTGCGAGCATGGAGAATCAGCCTGAACTCGAATCTCTCATGAAAAAAATGAAAGTATCATACCCTCGATATAACATCGACAATGTCAGCTGCATTTGCGATGCCAAAGGCTCCTAATTCTCCAGGAGCATTCAGTCCAAGGTAACGGATCACAGCATGAGCCAGGTGTGTATGAGATTCCGTTGCTAATGGAGGTAGGGATTTCCGTACTACAAAACAGCGAGATCGCGACGCATCAGCGCATTCAGAGAATTAAAACTTAGAGCGGAACATACGCGATTGCATTTGGTCAACTTCCCTAGCCTGTGTGATCAAAGTCAGCGTTGTCCAGATGACAAGTGATGATCGAAATACACCCAAATGCTCTTCAGGCCTTGTTTTTGCTTTCTCCAGAGAAGTCGACCGAGAGCTCTGATAGGCTCCGCGGGTATCGCGACGTCGGGCGAGGGCGCCCCTGCAGCCCATCGTTGCATTGCAGAGCACTCGGCCTTGTGCGTCACCCAGTCATTGTTTTGACAAGTCTACAACATGTCATGGGCATATTCAACGTGTGCAAGAGGTATCGGTTTCGAGACGAGAACGTACGGCGCTGCAGTACCAGACGACGCGGCAACGTGTGCATCGTTTCAAGCCTGATTCTGGAGTGGGGGCAATACATGCCGAGCAGAAGTATTCTAAGTTTTTGGTGGATAGGACATGGATATGGGGCTTCACAGACAGCAAGGCGGCTCCTGCGAGGACGATGCGTGAGCACAAGGATGGCGCGGAAGCTGCGAGACACTGCGAACCGCGTTTGATTCCTTGTTTTGTCCAGATTCCTCGCCCATCCTCCGAGGTTGTACGGACTTCCAGAAACCCCGGGATGGTGCTGTATAACAATTCAGCAATCGAAGACGCTGAGTCTGACGCTGGAGAAAGAACCGCTTTTGTAGGTACGAGTGTTGTGGATTCCTCTTTTGCCGCACTGGGGGCATTGACAAAAGATTTGGATTCCTTTGATTGTCTTCCAGCTCGTAGACTCGAGAAAGACATGGCAAGTCTTGTCAGACTTCAGGGTCGTTGAGGCTGGCGGCGGCCACGGGACGGATCAATGACGCAGACCGCCGGCATGTTGCGCTCCCACTTCCCTCCCTGCAGCTCTTTGCGCGCTTGACTAGCCTCCCTGACGCCGTACTACTGCTTATAAGATGCGCTCTATCTTAGTCCTCCATTATCAACCCACCGTGCTCAGCACACTCCTTCGGGCCCACCACACCACTAATCGTTGTCGACTTCCGCACCAACGCCTATGGCATCCTTAGCTGCGTCTATGAATCTTACAACCGCCGCGAAGTTGACGAACCCTGTCGCTGTATTCGTTGGTGGAACATCTGGGATCGGACAGGGCATGGCCGAGGCATTTAATCGTCACACGAAGGGCAACGCGCATATTATACTCGTAGGCCGCAACCGCGAGGCGGCGGAGGGTATCATATCGAAAATGAGATCAGCCGCTGGGGAATCCAGGTAAGGTGCCTCTCACAGACCTGGAGACCAAGATGACTCGCATATGTGTCTCTTTTCTCCTACGATCAGCGGTGTAATGAACATGCATCTGTAGAACTGGCTCGTACGAATTTGTACCCTGCGACATCTCTCTCATCTCCAACGTCAAGACCGCAACCGCCGACATTTTTGCCAAACATCCCAAGGTCAACTTCCTTGTTCTTTCTGCTGGAAACTTATCCATCTCGCGCCCCGAGACGGAGGAGGGTCTCGACAAGAAACTGGCCGTGCAGTATTACAGTCGGTGGTCGTTCATCCACGGACTCCTCCCAGCAATGCGGGCCGCAAGAGACGCGAACGAAGATGCGAAAGTCATGTCCATTTTCGCTGCCGGGTACGGAGGGCCCATCGACGTCGACGATCTCGGGCTCAAGAAGCGGTTTAACCCCGCCATTTCAGGGCCATGCTCGACATACAACGACCTCATGTGCGAGGTCAGCCCCACCCTCTCAACTGCAAACACGCACGCTTTGCTCGTTGATACTGTGATTGGAGGCTTATACCTTGTGCTTTTAAAAGGAATATGCGCTGCGCAATCCCGGAATCGCGTTCGCGCACGCCTTCCCAGGATTTGTGCGCACTAATTTCCTCAAGGCATCTGAGTCAATCCTTTTCCGCGCAAGCAACATACTCCTCCCTCTTTTCTACCTCTTCACTGTTTCCCAGGATGAGTGTGGGGAGTATCTCTGGAAGGGACTTTATCGTAGCGCCGCGCGGGCTGCCGGCTCCGCGGGCGTATTGGGCGCATACCGCATCGGGAGCAACGGTGATAATTTGGGGACGAAGAAGTACTTTGGAACGCCCGAGCAGCGCAAGGCGCTGTGGGAGCATACTTGCAAGGAGACGAATACCGTTGACGCGTAGTGAACGTTACCAGACTTCTGATCCCCTCTGTTGATTCTTGATGGTTCGTCTTTCAAGATAACCAGACCTTGCTTTCTCGAAAAGTTCATTCATTCGAACTTTATCGTATTCCATTGCTGTACAACAAGCCATTTTCCGTTCTCCACATTGCTTTCCGAATACACTAACGTACTGAAGACCGAATTCGTGTCCATAGAGGGGAAATAATTTCATCATGCAGCGATGCTCATCAAGCTTCCGACGAAGGTCAAGATCTGGAAGCCATAGGTCAGCAGCCGGTAAAATCAAAATCACAATGTATGGACAGGCGGGCATACCAGGCGCGGGCGGACGTCGACGATATCCTCTGGGACCAAGAAGATCAGAGCGTTCATCTTTCTGGCGATTGAAATGGCCAATTTCGCTGCAAGAGAGTAAAGGATGAGAAGCTGCATCTCGCGCACGCGGGCCCAGCCAATGCTTACCGTTCTGCCGCCGATCCTCGTAGTCCCCGCTCTCGCTCACGTTAATCACCAAGGTGGGATCGACGATTCCCGGCTGGATGGCATCGAGTAGGTCGAGGAAAAACAAGCCAGTCGTAATGGACGGATCCTTGAATGACCTGATCGGCTTGACGCCTGGCTTCGCCTTTTGTGCCGTCGTGTTTGCCCACTTGAGCATCTCCGTGTCGCTGATCGGCCGGCCCTTTCCTGAGAGCGACGTGAGCGTCTTTGTGATGTTCATTCTACACATGACGAAGACAACGGAGCCAATAAGAGTGAGTGGGAGCAAGGGCACCGGTATACACAAGAGCTGACCGCATGAGTTGCCAGACTAGGCCGAGAACAAGCGTCTTGTTCGCGTCAACGATATCTGACCCTTGAATACCAACCAGATGCATGCCGTTCTGTTTACCGAGCTCGACCACGTAGTTCGTGTTTTCGACCTGCTTGAACTTCGATAACTTGCTCTGATTAGGTGTCACGCCAATATCCTCTTCTTCCTCTGCGCCCTCTTCCGAGAAGGACCGCCTCGTCGGCGAGGTAACCCCAGCCTTCGGCTTCGACACGCGCCTCCACACAACGGAGCCCGGCAGAATCTTGTCGAATGCCTGCAGGATGACGAGCCCGTCCCGGATGTTCTCAAACAAGTTGAACACGGCGGGCTCGACGCCGAGTGAGTTTAACCAGAGCGTGAACACGCGCGCCTCGCGCTCGCCCTCCGCGTCGAAGTCCTCGACTGCACCGTAGTCCTTCGCCTCCTCTTCGTCGAACGGCGCAAGCCCCGGGTGCGTGTTGAATAGGTTCGCGACGAACGCCAGATTCAGGCGCGGGTTGCCCGCGAGGAGTGATGCCGGCGTGAGATACTTGCGACATCCGATGTTCGCCGCGTTTTGCAAGACTTGTTCCGCGCGCTGACGCAGGTCGCGCGTTTGCAGCGGCGCGCGAGAACATTCTTCGGGCTTTAGTTGGTTCAGGAGGACCGTGTAGTTCTCTCCGTCGGACACGTCCTTGCTGAAGTTCTTCACCCTGTACAAGATAGAAATCATGTTGATGAGTATCACGACAAGTGCGCAACTGTGGTGCCGTGCTCACCGTCTCTCCCAGCCAGCTTGCTTGAGATGATAATTGAACCATCGGAGCAGGATCTGGTCTGGCGTCAGCCGCAGGAGATCGTCGATCGTCTCACCCTCCTCGCACAACCGGTACAACTCTGGGTGAATCTTGATATCCACCTGGCTGAGCAGGCCGCGTCGGATGATCTGCCAGACCAACCCGAGGATCAAGTGCTCAGTACCCTCCGCGATGTCAGACGAGCCAATATTGACAACGGAGCACCCTATGGCCTTCGCGGACGTGATCACGATGTTGTTATTCTCAGTGATCTGGAAGGCGTTTAGAGGCTTCCGCTGCTTCGGCTTGTTGAGCACACGCATATCGATTGTGTCGGGTACAGAGTCGTTTATCAGTTTGCAAAGAATCAGGCCGTCGCGACATTCGTCGAACAGCTGCATAGTCTCGGTAGGGATTGGGATGCGGGTCCCGACATCTTGATCTCCTTCGAGGATCTGCAAGTACGATATACAAGCGATCACGATGACCAGGTGAGACGAGAAATTCATGAAGGAATGGGAAACATACCCCATTAATATGGTTTGTGAATTCTCGTCGCTCGTCCTCGTTGATGGTATGACTGACATTTGCGTTCGAGCCTTGCACTGTAACCTTGCCCGCCTTGGTCGATATGGAAGATGTTTGGGATCTCAATTTGACATTGAGCTGTAAGCGACAAGTCAGTTCAAGTACTGATCACCGATGATGTATCTGCGAGGTCGTTGCACTCTGTCGCAGCTCTCGGGAGACGCCACAGCTCAAGATATGATGTGGCCTACAACAATGCTTTGTCAAAGAGGCCAAAAGTTTAAAATTAGAGGAATGTCAGGTCGTGGAACTGAGTGCGTGTGTGAACAACGCGGAGCCCAAGGGGGAAGCAGGGTAACGCTGACCATCCCAGAGTACTCCTACATCTCATCTCAGACAGCATCGGGGAAGAAACAGCTCACCTCGACCCAGTCCTCCAATTCTACCTTTCCGCTAGCATCCACACTGACATGTTTGAGCGTCTCTCGTACGCGATCGTAAGATTCTCCTCGTGACTGAAGAGCGTGCAGGACAGAGGCCTTGTCAATGCGCCCGGTGCTATCGACGTCGATCGTGCTGTTCCGTACAGATGTTTCAGCATTGCATGCAAACACGGGGAGACGTGTAAAATTGGAAGACAAGTCAGCCAACGGCAAACGGTCAAGAGAAGCCTGCAGTGCTTCTGCAGAGACCCCTGAACAGGAACGAAGTAATGACGCACTTGAAACGGTTGATCAACTCAAACATCTCATCTTGAGTGACCTCAGGATATTTCTTTTGCAGCCGTATCGCCTGCATCGTTGCGTGAAGCGGAAAGTTGGAGGATGGGAGTAAGGGTGGAAGGAGTGAAAGTGGGGTGGAGAAGGACAGCGCGAGTTCTGAGTTTGAGACACGATGACGCCGCGCGCGCCACCGGCCAAGTCTGCGCAAAGCTGTTCGTTTTCCGCAGCAACCTCCACTGGCTTTGTCGGACTCGGCGACAATGACAATGTAATCCACGATATCAGAGGCGCTCGCGGTACCAGGCATGGTTCTCTAGGAAGTCAAGACCATGGGCCGGCTCCTATGATACCACTTTAGTCTTTATCGGCTCATATGTTTGCTCTGCTCTGCTGCAGAGGTGTTTCGTGCCACGGAAGCGTCAATACACTGAGGTCAGCCTTGCAGCTTGCAGACTACGATGCCTGATTCACTCGCTTGCTTCCCCCCTGTTTGGTGACAAATCTTTTGCAGTGTTCGGTATCACGGTCAGGTGCGAAGCAGTGACTCCAGTCCTTGGAAACATCCTTTTTTTCAATATGCATGGCGATCTTACTGTAGGATCGTAACTGATACCTTAGAACTCTATAAACCGAGCATATGTGCGACCAATCTGCCCCTCATCGTTTTACTCCGTCAAACTCACCATGAGGTCCGAACGGAAAATATCTTTCTCGTAACGGAACCACTTTCCCGATGCTCACGCGATAAACAAAGTGGCTGCTCTCAGCGAATATCATGAAGGCCTTCACTCGACAAATCATTTGGCGCTTGGCACACTCACAGAACGAGCGCAGTCATAGTGCTCTGATGGCTTTTCTTTCATCTGCCTTGGTCATTCCAGTACACCTTGGGCTCGCCATCTCAACGATGGAGATGGCGCATGCTGAAGTTTTGGCATCCTCGCCGAACATATATGAGATCATCTCGTTCATCCGTTCCCAAGCGATTCTATACTACATGCCTCGCGGAAATACGAATTCCCTCTGCTATATGAATGTAGAGGTGAAACTAGTATGAGGATCAGTGAGTGTCACGTTCTTTGGTGATTCTGGCTAATTACGCATCTCGCAAAATCTTTCTGGGCACCTCATGTTGCCAATTCATTTCGTTCAGAGTCTCTCGACACCTCGAAGTCGCCACTGGAAAGGTATGGGCTCCTCGAAACAGTCATCCGCAAGCGCAGTGTCCTTTCGAATGCGGAAGTCCTCATAAACCTTTACTCGCTCTGTGTTCGCACTGGATATGTCAAAGTAGGTATTCTTTCAGGATTTGCTCGCAGCCTTGCATACAAAGACTCAATCTGTAGGTCTTTCCGGGCTGGTCTCCGACGGGAACATATGGGCTTCGAATCAAGTCTGGGATGCACTTTATTAGATTGGTCCATTTACTCAAAAAATAGTGATAGACAAAGCAGATAAATCCGTCTGTGGCGCAGTCTTATCAGAAGGCTTGAGACATACTTTGGTAGCTGGTGCACGATGATGGCGCATCAGGTAGAACATGAAGACAAGTTTGTAAATGCTCAGCTGACCATGTCGTATGCCACGATAGCATTCTAAATGTTAACGGGCGGGCTAATCTCTGAGGTGACAGTAGGCAGGCGAGGGAGGTCATTAGCTCCTTGAGCTCCGTTCACTTAATGAATTTTGCTTTGGAAGTGAAGGTCTTGTATGGAACATCTAAAGATTGCTTGAACCCAGCGAACAATACATGAAAACAGACTACTTCTCAGTGCAACACAACACAAATACATAGGCATACAAGGCATAGAGGCATGATTTACTGATTGTCCATTTCTCGCATCAGCTGGGTCAAAAGTCTAGCCACAACTCCCGCGGCGTCCTGCACGGCAGCCTTCTCCTGAGGGTAGATATAACATAGTACATTGGAGTCGAATTTGTCGGAATGCCACCGAAGCAGTTCCTTGCGTAGAATAGACTTCTTCGAAAAGGTCTGTAAGCCTTGCCTCAACGGATGGAATAGGAACTTGCGAACGTTGTCGAGAGTGATTTGATCTGATGCGCCTATGGGGGGGATGTCGAAAAGGGGAAATGGCATATCGGCCCAACCAAAGCATATGGTGTCTCCCTTCTCTCTCTCCCCGATGATAGCCCATTTTTTGTCGTACACCTCAAGAATTTGCCGCAAGGGGTTGATGGCCTGTTTTGTACGAGCATTCGCCTCCGCAGTTTCCTTCAACGCCTCCCTGAGCGCCTCCCGCCTGAGTGCCTCCCGCCTGAGCGCCTCCTGCCTGAGCGCCTCCCGCCTGAGCGCCTCCTGCCTGAGCGCCTCCTGCCTGAGCGTCTCCCGCCTGAGAGCCTCCTGCCTGAGAGCCTCCTGCCTGAGAGCCTCCTGCCTGAGAGCCTCCTGCCTGAGAGCCTCCTGCCTGAGAGCCTCTTGCCTTAGCTCCTCTTGCCTGAGCGTCTCCTGCGTGAGAGCCTCTTGCCTTAGCGCCTCCTGCCTGAGCGCCTCCTGCTTGAGCGCCTCCTGCCTGAGTGCCTCCTCGAGCGCCTCCTGCCTTAGCTCCTCATCCAACTCCTCCCGTAACTCCTGTAGCCTCAAACCCGCTTGCCTTGTTAGCTTTTCCTTAGTAGCCTTTAGTCTCGCTTCATCCTCCTCTCGTCTCTTGACTTTGACTCGCATGAAGTGTTCCTGGGTGTACTTCGAACTGTACGGGTGGTTCCACCTCATTCGTCGGAAGTCCAAGTTTCCCTGCTGGAATTCAGCGTTTTCGCGCTCGACGCGATTCTGAAACTCTATCTCCTGTTGTCGCAACACCTCCCATCGGCCCCGGAGAAGGTCTTGCTTCTCCTGCTCCTCACGGATGGACTGATTGACCAGTTCAGCCATTGCAGCGTCATGGAGCCGCCTCTCTTGCTCCCTCTGCATCTCAGCTTCTTCCACCTGCCGCTTCGCTTCCTCCTCCGCCGGCTGGTGCATAGCTTTGAGCAGGCGTGCATCCCGGCGCGCGAATTCGGCTATACGTTTGGCTATGGCCTGTCCCTCCTGAGCGCGCATAATTTTCTCTCGCTCCTTGAAGATGCCCCGGATGAACTGGTTTCGGAATCGCAACCTAGCCTGAATTTTCTGGTCAGTCTGGCTCGCGGAGGGGAAGATTCCCTTGGGGGCGTTTAAGGACTCCTCGAAGGTGCCGCTGCTTGATCCCTCGCGGGAAACATCACTTGATCCCTCGCGAGGACCGTCACTTTCTCCACTGCCCGAACCCTCGCTGACAATGCTACTGGTACCTGTGGGAAAAGTCTGACTCCAAGTGGCGAAGTGCGCGCTCCCTTCGAAGAACTGTTCCGCGAGCACACTTGCACCACCAGACCTGAACAAGGGAGTCTGGTGGCGAGATTGATCCCCTAGAGATATTGCGTGAGGGAAAGGAAGCGAGGCCCTTCCGTCGAGGAAAGATTTGTAAGATTTATTGGAACGGACCCGTGAGTCCACCTGTCCCGTGGGCGCCGCGAACCACCTCCAGATGGCAGGCAGAATCGGGAGAGGGTTTTTGACCAAGCGTTTCAGGTCACTGAAATAGAACTTGTTGGAGGAAGGTGCTTGTTGTGGCCCCCTTCTTTTTGAAAAGGTTCGCGATCGTTGGGGGCGATGGACAACCATAGTGCGACGAAGGATTGCAGAGCCGGGATTGTGATGAAGGCGAGAGGACACCCGTGATAAAGGGGAAAATAACCCAATAAGCTAGCTTGATAACAGTGGAAACGAGAGTGGCAAGCGTTGAAGAGGATGCGATGAACGTCTTGGCCGCCAGAGAGGGGAGGTGGGAGAGGGATGGAACTCTTGCTGCAGGACGACCCAAGTTGGATGTCGATACGAAGCTATTTATCAGGAGGTGGAGCAGGGTGGCATTCTGATACACGCCACAAACATCTGCCAAGAGAAGCGCACAAGCGATGCTGGTGGCAAGTGTACGCGCTGTCCAAAGGATGTCCAAGATCCAGTGGCGCGCGGAGGTTCTCCCATGTAACGCTACGTGCCCTGTTCTGCCACATCAAAGCCACATGCCGGTCTCACAATGACAAGGTCTCGGCCGGTCGCATTGTGGGTCAATGCGACGGGCAAAGACACGTACCAATGACAATCTTGGCACGGCCAAAGCCATGATTGACCTGCAAGGCCACAGCGTTCATTCGCCGATCAGTAAGGCGGGGGTCAAAACACAAGTGGTATATATGAAGGCTCGTGCAGCACTCAGCGACTCCACCATTCCTTAATCCAGAACGACGTAGCCTCGCATCCCACCCACATTTGAAAGTCAACTTTGGTTACTGTTCTACCGCGACTACTTCTCCGTGATTTTTGATCTCGCTCTGCCACCATGGTTGATACCCGTAGCAAAGGCCCAGCACGCAACTACGGTTCTCTTCCAACCCGTAGCGGCCGCAAATCGCAGGGTGGACAAGATACTGTGCAGGCAGCAGCCGATGCAGATATGGACATGAATGTCGACCAAGACGCGGAGGTTCCCGATAGTACTGGCGAGCCCGATAATGCGTGGCAGAGTGGCATCGCTGTGCACTCGTCGATTGCTTCCCTAGCGAGTTGCGCCACGACCGAGGTCGATGATGCAAGAACCGAGCTCAATTATACCCCGACCGAGCTCAACGTCAGCATCAATGGCAGGCCTGACTCTGAAGCCTTGGAGACGCCCAGGGCACCGAGACCACTCCAGCCGGAAGCCAGGGTGGGTGCATGGGGAGTCAACTTTTCGGAGGTTTACAGGTACGAAGCTGTGCCACAGGGTAGGGTTAAGTTTCAGGAAGGGGAGAAGGAAAAGGTGCTAGCGTTGGTGGACAGGATGAAGCGGGCGAGAGGTGAGGCTGTTGCGAACGCGAGTGGAGATCCCGCCAAGCCCTCGAGCGCTGGACTCTCCAATCCCGAATCCTCAGCCGTTCGACCCTTGGGAACGACACCTCCGAATGCGGAATCTTCAAACGAAGAACAAGAGTTCTATGCTCAGCGGGGTGTTACGGATCCCATTCTATTGCGTGTCCTCAAGAAATACTGGAAGAACATCAGTGCAGATTATATCAGAGCGGAAAGCAAGGCAGCCATCGACGGCCGGATGGTTCTGCTTCGAGATGCATTGGACAAGCAGAGGGAGCAGAAGGGTGTCATCGAATGGGCTCCTGGCAGGGATCCTATACTGAGACCTTCAGGCTACTGACGCCACACCGCCTAGCGACACGTAGACCATGTTGGGGCCTTATAGAGGATATGAGCGAGGCGATGCTGACGTGAACGCCGCTAAGAAGGCAATACGAGCAAGGAAGTGGTTGAGAAGGGAGCAGTAAGAGTTACCAGCTTGTACCTGTCGAGGAGCCTCTGTAGTATGTCACCCTATTTTACGGTTATGCGGTATGTTAGCCGCAATGAAATCCACAAACGTATTGCGACTGTTTGACGTTGTTAGGCCATGGCCAGCCAATGCGGGGGCTGGGTACGTCGATCACGTTCCGTCTTATCCATGGCATAGCATGGCGACAATCGTCACCCGGTAGCATCTGCCCCCAGATTTCATTTTTCTCTGAAAAACGACCGTACCTTGTGGGTTGGCCAGCAACCACAAGATGAAGCGGCGAGCAATCCGCGAAACAGTAAAAGAGGAAAAGTTAGCCTCCTAGAGATCCTCAGAGTGAGGGCAGAGACAGAGGGATTTACGAACATTTGGTTCTATCGGTTGGGTGAATTCTCGAGATGTCTAAAACCCTCAAGGCTCCGCCATCGAACGAATATTCACTGACTATATGCATGCTCGACACATCTCCATGGTCATTAAGGATTTGGAAAAACTCCATAGCCAATGGTATTTGTCGATTGACCCCGAGAAGCCGCCGTAATTGACCGCACAAGACCTGCATTTACGCACCTTTGTACATTGCGAGATAGGCAGCTTGCACATATTGAGTTGCCGATAGACAGTATCCTTATATCGTTCACCAGTTGAACTTGGTGTGGACTGAATTGTCTCCTATCAACGGAGGTATGGTTCGCACTTGAAACGACGAGACCCTCAAGAACGTCAGAGTCAGATTTTCTCCTCCACAGGGTCAACTACGAGGGCTCATTGATCTGCTTACCCAGGGCGGAACAGCCATCGCATGGACAAAGGCACAAAGGTGGCGCCCCGTTCGTGCTCCAAGCCACCTATGATCAGAGTTGAGACCCCGAGACATGAAGGCCACGATCACGGTCGTGAACAAAGGCGGTCGCTCCTGAGTGACACGCGAGCGCAAATGTGGGCAAGGCCACCCTGGACAGAAAGGCAATCGCCAGAGGCTTTGACATCTGCCACAAACCCGACGGTGAAAAGCGGACCCGCGCGAGAGATATAAAGGGTCAGGCAGAGCGAGTTGATTTCCCCATACAAGGAACGAGATACAGGTCGCGAGCCAAGCATCAAGATACTCGTTTCAACGTTCGAAAAATCCACTCGCATATACCCCTACCCTGTCATTCCATCTCCTTCAACCATGGCTTACGCACTCCGTAGCAGAGGCGGCGCTCCTTCGGCCGAGGTGATAACTGGGATCCAGAAAGCCCTCGACATGTACGGTGCCGACCGCGTCACCGTTAGCCAGAGCGAGACTGGCCAGGGAGTCCGCATTGTGTTCAACGATGAGGACTTCGAACCGATCGCGCACCAGGCCGCCAGTGACGCGCGTCAGGGCAGCAGTGTCGGGTCGTCCGACGACGACATGGATGATGAAGACGAGTACGCAGCCACGGAGGTCGAGTACGCAGCCACGGAGGTCGAGTATGCCGCCACAGAGATCAACGACGACGTTGACATGGAGCTGGATCCAGTTGCCGGGCCCAGCAGGATCAAGGGACACGCCATCAACGGCGCTTCCATCGCCTCCAGGGCCAACGCATCAGACAGGGCGGAGATGGGGGAGGGAGGATCGTCAGCGACGCTGGCGCCGCCTGCGCCGCTGGACAAGGAGAGGGAGCGGCGGGAATGGGCGCGGCACTGGGCTGCGCTGCAAGAGAGGATGGTGCGCGCTTTGGTGGGGCAGGCGATGGCAGCGGCGGCACGCGGGGACAAGACTGGTGCTCCTCTTCCTCAACAGCCCACTCACCAGGCCCTGGTCATGCAGGAGGTGATAAATGACTATCTTCCCGCCATCGAGGAAGACTTCCAGCAGCGCCTGCAGGCGGCGAGGACGTACGATCCGAGCCAGAAGGGCAAAGCTAAGGCCATCGACCTGAAGCGGGTGGAAGAGATCAGGGCAATGGTAGGGACTCCTGGCCATGAGACGACGACCGTCGTCCGTAGAACTCGGTTCAAAAACGCACTCGCCCCGTCTGGCACGTTGATCATGGACCATGATACCGGGCTGCCGAAACAGAAGGCGGTCGGTTTGTGCACCGTCAGGAGAACACAGCGATTCGAAGTGATCGAGCCACCCCCGGAAGTAAACAACTATGATCGGCGCACGGACAGGAGGGACAAGCGCGGAGCGCCCATCATCGAGAAGCTCAAGCGGATAGACAAGACGACAATCGTGAAGGAGGTGGTCGAGGAGGTCGAGATAGACACGGAATGAACTGAGGCGTCCTACTAATAGAACTTGTTCCGCCGTATAATCTATGTATGAGATGTAATCAGTGTGCGCCTGGATAAAGAGAAGCGATATAACTTATACATACAACCGTTAACCAAGTGATGATGAGGAAAGAAAGGGACATAAGGCCTGGAGCCTCATCGGCAACCAGGACCTGTCGGCATAGAGAGACATAATTGAACGCACTCGGTCTTGTACTGGCGGGTATCTGTGAGGGGGCGCGACTTCCAGCGTCTCCACAAAGCCCCCGCCTGGCAGACAAACAGAAGGTGCGCTGAGAGGCAGAAGCTTGCGCGGTCTATTATTTATGCCCCTCGAGTACAAGGCGTGTGCTGAGTACAAAGGATGATAAGCTCCCAACCAAATCGATGACCAGTAAAAGACACGTGTGAGGGGGGCGATATGGCTCACATTTGTTCTCCTATCTCATTTTTAAGCCTCTAGAACAAAGTGCCATGATCATGTGGTGTTTCGGAGAATGGCATGCCGTCGCCGACGCGTCGAGCGCGGAACGAGGAAGTCGAGGGCAGACTCGTTGGAGTGAAGCGGCGTGGGCGTCCAATCGGCACCGGCCAAGCTGAGGTTGCCGACGCCTGTCACGCCCCCTTCCTCACTCGCTCCCACCGTCCTCTCCTCCTCCATCTCGATGGTGTCCCCTCCGAAACCTTGGGAGCGCAATGGCGCACTAGCAGCAGCCTCTTCCATGCCAACACCCGCAACATCCGCACCCCCACTCGCATCGGCGCCCACAACGGCGACATCACTGCCGAACCCCGCGCCCCTCGCATCCTCTTCAACAACACCTGCCGTCCCCGCGCGCCCCGCCGCATTCGCCTCACCAAGTATGACGGCTCCTGCCGCCGCCTCCCCGTTCAGCTCTCCTTACAATTCCGTGTCCCCCTACAACCGCTTCGGCACATCCTATTCGCCGTACAGCTCCAGCATGGGAATGTACGGCAGCGGCATGGGAATGGGCTACGGTGGGTACGGCGGCGGGTACGGCGGCATGAGCGGCATGAGCGGCATGTACGGCGGAATGGGCGGCATGTCGCCGTACGGGGGCATGGGCGGCATGGGCGGCATGGGCGGCATGGGGATGTACGACCCCGCGCAGATGCAGCAGAACCCGAGCATGACGCAGGCGCTCGAGTCGACGACGCAGGCGACCTTCGCGCTGCTGCACGGTGTCGTGCAGACGTTCACCTCGCTCGCGCAGATGCTCGAGTCCACCTTCTTCGCCACTCACTCCTCCTTCTTCGCGCTCGCGGGCGTCGTCGACCAGTTCGCGCAGCTCCGCAACGCGCTCGGCGGCGTCCTCGGCCTCTTCGGCCTTGTGCGCTGGATGCGCGACTTGCTGCTCGGGCGCGCCGGCGGCGGCGGCGGCGCGGCGGGCGGCATGGCGGGCGAGTTCCGGGAGTTTGTGAACGGCCGCCCGGTGCAGGGCCCAGCGCCCCACGCCCCGCGGCCCAGCCGCAAGCCGCTCGTCATCTTCTTCCTCGCGATCGTCGGCATCCCGTATGCGATGCACAGGCTCCTCAGGCTCCTCTCTCTCCGCGCGCAACAGCAGCAGCAGGAATTACAGGGCGGCCAGCTCCTCGGCGCGGGCGCGCTGCCGCCGCTCGACCCATCGCAGCTGACGTTCGCGCGCGCTGTGTACCCATTCGCGGCGAGCGGCCCCGCGGAGCTCAGTCTGAAGGAGAACGAGATCGTGGCGGTTATGGGGAAGATGGACGCCGCGCGGGGGGTGGAGGTCGACCCGCGGATCGAGGTGGAGAGCGAGTGGTGGAGGGGGAGGACGCGCGAGGGCAGGGAGGGGTGGTTTCCGCGCAAATGGGTCGAGACGCTGGAGAGGAAGGTCGAGGTGGGCAAGGCGGGTGACCCTGTGCCGAAGACGGTCGAGTGATGTGCATATTCCGCTCGTTTTTTTCGTATCTTGTGTCTGTCCACCTACTTCGTTGTTGGCATTATATGTGCCGTTTTTTGTATCTCTGACTCGCCCGTTCGTACTATCGATTTATTGCTGGATTATTTGGAACGCAAGCAGAAGAGTGAAGGCCTCGATCCAAAATACAATGCGTATTGCACAAAGAAAAACATAGGGGTACAACAAGCATTCGTGAAAGCACGAGTCCGTGGGTCTAACATGATACTTGGAGGGACGACCGGGCGTCTAACGTCACATTGCTCCTTCACTCTTGGAAATGATATACCTGGGACAAGGAGGGTGAGTGTGCACGAAGGAAGATATACCGAGGAGCTTAGCGAACCAAGCGTGCAGCACGCCAGGGATCCAACCCAGGATCCATAGCAGGATGTTAATTAGAAGATCTAGAGAACGGAGCATTGTCGTTGTAGTGACATGGGTATCTTGGCAAGCTACTCACCAGCTCCACACGCGCGTTCTGACAAGAGGTGCGGCGTATGAGAGTCTATCTTATCGCACGTTTTCTATCTCAAGAGACTCACTCATGAAGACTGGAATTGGCGGTATAAATCTGCATACACGAAAACACGTTGACTGGTCAGCGGTCAGGAAGACGTACTTCCAGAAGACGCACATGGCGAGGAAGTAGAGTATGACGTCGCTCGTCGACGAAACTTGCGAAGGCATCTTGTTAGTTCGACTTCGTCGCTTTGATTGTGGTGACGAGGAGAAGGGTATGCTGCCGTGCGCGAAGGTGGTGGGGGGGGGCTAAAAGGTGACTGCGGCGTCCACGACTCTTGGAGTCATGCTTGTCGTCACGCACGCTCTGCACGGCAGTAATGTTCACAGCGGTGACGTCATCTGCTTCGGTCCGATGTTCCTTCCACCTTGCGACCTTTCGCTCACGAGGCATCCGAGACAGGAAGAAATGGACAGTGAATTGCATGCTGTCTAGCCCATACATGCGTGCACGGCAACATACATAAAATACGGACCCAAGATGCAGAGCCTGAGTGCAATGTGTCGCCGACGAAGAGCGAATAGGTTCGTTGTGTCAATTATGGAATCTGTACGCACCGCCTGGTCATGACCATGCCAGCGACGTTATCCTTGTTCAATGTTGACGGGGAGAGGTGCCTCCCACAAGACCGGGTCTCAAGTCGATACGCTGAGCGGGGAGGGCGTCAATTTTTGAAGAGTGTGTAAACTTGGAGATCTCAAGGCGGCACCAAATCACAGAGCGAAAAGATCCTGTAATGAAGTAAGACGAACTCATGAGAATAGTCTCTGTGAACGCACCCACGGCGCAAAGGACTCACCTGAATCACCGACGAGGCAAGAGCGGCGGATGCATATCTATCCCACTAAACCGCCAAGTCGAGAAAGTTTGGACATCGGTACTGACTGACATCGAGCTCCAACAGCAGTCTAGCCACAAGGGGTTTGAAGACTTTTTTGTTATGCAAATCGATAGTCTGAATGGCTGTCTCCAGCCTGGCTACTGTTCCTCCTTTCAGAAAGGATGGGTGGCCAGGCCCTTGCAGATGCACCGTGTACCGACTCTTCTGAAAATCGCCGCTCGCAAGTGCCATTCGACATGGATTGGCTGTCTAGGGTTCAAAATACGATTGAATAGCCATTGACTCACTGGAATTCCCGACGTCCAGAAGAGAAAGGCAAGCACCGGAGCGCGTAGAGTTGCTGCCCATGGCGTACTGCGGCGATAGCAATCAGCGTGGAAAGAGAACCATTTTGCTCGAAATCCCGCTGGGGGTTCTGGGTGTTTTGGCGCTGGAGACTGAGAGATGGGAGAAGCCAGGGAGAAGCGCAGCCACCGTGGCAGATCTCGATGTGGCAACACATCTGTCGTCCTCATTGGACAGCGCGTGGCATGCGGTGGCTGAGGTCCCGAAGAGTCCGGTCCTCTTCGCAGCACGTGTTCGTGTCGCGTTCTTGGGGCGATTGCAAATTTAAATCCAGCAAGACGCCACTACGACGGTTCGCTCGTTAATTCACTTCAAATTGCCAGACCTGACACCATTCTGCCTGGTTGATCACGGGAGGAAGACGCCTTTACGAGCTACTGGATCTAGGTGTCGACTCAGAGGCAGGGGATCTTCCGTTGTACATAGCACTTGCGGGTGCGGCGCTACCAGTCCTACCACCCTCGCTTGGGTCCTGCTCCCGATGCCTCCCTTCCGTAACCGCCTCGTTTGATACTTGCCAAACAAACACGGCACTGTGCCCCGAAAGAACCGCGGAAGAATAAAGGAGCGGGTGGGCATGCCTCCTTGCCGCTCGCCACCCTACCCTGATTGGGCAATCGGTTGTAGGTCCACCGCACTGATGTCCTTATCCTTGCCACACGCCGCCATCACATGCCGATATTGTCCGGCTGAGTGTGAATTTGCATCGGAGGTTTGTGATGACCCAGAGGCGTGACCGCCATGGCATCCTGTATATAAACCCCTGCCCTGCAGCGGTTGCACTCCATCCCCTCAACCACCACAGTCTCTTCGGTACGCTTGTGGCTTTGCTACTCGCTTTTCACCGTCTCACATCATCCACCACCAGCGGCCTCACCGGAGGCAGGCTTCATAGTGAACGCCCCCGTCAATGGCGTGTGGCCCACCCACGACGTACGTATTCCATCCACCCTCTCATCGCTGACGGTGCATAGGATAAATCTGCATTGCTAGAAGCAAGGTTCAGTATGAACACCCGTCAATGGCGCGTGGCCCACCTTCGGTGTACGTATTCTACCCACCCTTGCATCACTGACGGTGTATAAAATATGCCAGTGGCCTCGTTGGAGGCACGATACAATGTGAACAACCCGTCTATGGCGTGTGGCCCACCTACAGCGTGCGTATTCCACCCAGCCTCTCATCGCTGATGGTGCATAGAATACACATTACGGCCTTGCTGGGTGCAAGTATTGATATGAACGCCCCGACAATGGCGTGTGGCCCACCTACGTTGTGCGTATCCCACCCACCATCTCCTCGCTGATGGTGCATTAGAATATATAACATCGCCGGCAAGTCCACAACCCTGTGGCATGGATCAACGATAATAGCCATGATCAACACTCACATTGGCATGGCTCGCCCGTTAGCAAGGGTCATGAAACCGTACGTTCCTCGTTATCACCGAAAGCGCTGTCTTTCATGATGCTTCTTCATCAGACCCTACGCAGATATACATACAATATAATATCGAGGTACGTCGGTCTCCCTCTTCTCGCGGACTCTGCGCTCATCAGCGCGCGCACGGCTTGCAGATCGGATAAAGAAGCCAATAAAGAAGGATAAAGGGAAATGTATGTCGCTTTCTCCTCATGCTTAGACTTGGTGCTCACCCGCGACCGTGTCCTTGTAGCCGCCTGCCTCCAAAAGGGAGATGACGCAAGATAATAGTGAGTCCACCGTGCTCTGACACCACGCCGACATTCTTACTGACCCATCGCTTCTTCCAGATGCTATCCGGTGGCTTTCAAGCCTGTCCGTCAGGACAGCCCGCGTTGCACAGAGGAGGCACAGCTCTCGCATCGGGTCGCTTCGGCGTCCGTGTAAGAGTCTCTCCGCTTGCAGGGTGCACCGAGCCCCACCGTCCCAAGGCAAGATGAAGGCGGGTGGAGAGGGAGCCGGCACCTTCGGGGCCGCGTGACCGCCCCCGGTGGACCCTCCTTGGTCGACGGGTGAGCTATGGAGAGCCGAGAGTCTGTCCTCCAGGTGGCGGCAACGGCATCGGTGGTTAGCAGCGTTGCAGGCCCAACGACCTCTCGCTGTGTCCCGGGCGGAAGTTCGTGCCTTAGCTGCTACAACGAGCTGGGTGGGCACCAGTCTTTGGGCGGGCACGCAGCCTTTTTCTTTTTCTTTCTTTTTCTAGCAGATCATGTCCTGGGGGACTGTAAGTCGCTCCATCTATACGCACGGGTGGGATCCGAAGGCGGATGGACTCGCTGTCCCCAGATGCCACATTGTGGCACTAGAATTTTTTCCTCCCCCTTGCCTTCAGGCAAGTTTTCTTCCCTTGTAGATCTGTGGAGCCATTCCGGCAATCCCCTACGTCAGCTTGCTTGTCGCGAGCGAGCACGTAGATCGACGGACGCAGGCGCCGAGTCGCCTGCGCTGGTGCGCCGTAGATTTTTCTCATGTGACTGCGTGCTGATGATTCTGGGCTTTCCATCCGGCGAGCCCCCCGTGAGTGTTCGGTCTTACTTGCTCGCTGCTCTGATTTCGGGCGCTAACCCTTCTACACTCTGCGCAGGTCGTGTTGGCTGAGGGGGGTGGGCGTCGACCGGGCTCGTTACATACTTCATCTGTATGGTATCTACATAAATCAATCTTCTTCATATTCTTCGTATCACATAGTGAGAGCGCCTGTCAATAGTTAGACGTGAAACACAACCGAAGATGAAGAAAAAAAAAACTGGCACTGACAACTTGATCGTCACCTCACTTCGACGGAGACCCCCGTTCCCGGCATCTGGTGATCCGGTGACCCTCTCGGCTTCGGATGGGCCCGCAAATCGCTGGCGTTGTGCGTTCAGAGAATGTCCGACGGCTTCGAGCCCCATCACGGAGGGACAAGCTCACCAGACTCGTCAACTTCTGCATTGTTGCTCTGATCGAGAGCCGAAGAAGTCTTCGACCGTCACGCACTGGGCAGGGCTCTACTAGATAGGGCACCGAGGATGGCCGATCTTCCAAAGGGAACAAAACAAACCGGGCGATGGCATCATCACTGCTCTGATTTGGAGAAGCCAGGGGCGTGCTGTGCCATTTAGGAAGCAGGCGAGAATGAGGCTTCTGTAATGACCGATAACGACACAGCTCAATTATGGACGTTGTTTTCGTCCCCGATGGGCATCTGAGGAAATCGAGAGCTGTTCTGCTTGTGCCGAGCGCAGGGCACTGCCAAAAGACCTATTTACGGCGAGCATCAGGCGATCGACGGCGACCGTCGTGCTTGCTGTGATGTCGATGAGCCGCGAGAGAGCAGGCGATGAAGACGATATGGTCACGAGAGATGCTGGAGGAGAGGCAGAGGCCGATAAAGCTGGCGTGGGAAAGCTGGCGTCCAGGCGTTGTGGTCAGATCCTGGTCCCTCGATTACGGCGCGGTGATGGGCAGCACCTAGGGCCGCAGAACAAGCTCTGCGAGCGCTATAAAGGCCTGGTGCCGCTCTCTCTCTTCTCCCCTCTCTCACTTTCGCAGCAGCCGACGAAGGCTCAGACTGCAACGCACCGCCTGCATCGCTGATCAAGATTTCATTATTACGATCTGCGTCTAAACAGGTAAGCTGTAAGTCATAGCTCGGCCTAGTCCCTCTCACTTCTCAACGCGTGTCCTCACCATGAGGCCGATCGCTTCACCCAGGGCCCACCGGTCAACCTTTCATCACATCTTCCACGAACGGCACGTCTCTCTCCGTCCTTCCTCCTTCGACCCCATTCCCCTCATCCATCTGCTTATCCCGCTCCGATTGGGCCTCGTCCTACTCTGTCCTACCAACGACCCTGCTCCTTCGTCCTGCGCTCGCTGCCACTTGCTAATCCATCGCGATGGCTACTGCGACAGCGCAGCCGGATCTCTCCGCGAACCCGAAGCCGCTGGTGGATATCGAGCCTGATGAAGTGTGGAAAACTCAGGCGAGGAAGCGCATCGAGGAGGGTCTCAAGGAGATGGTCAAGGAGGCTGCCAAAGTCCGCGATACCGCATTGGCGACCGCACAGACCGAGACGGATACTGTGCGAGTACAGGCCGATTGGGAGGAGCGGATGAATACCATCCGCAATATGGCGCAGACCGAGTACAATCGACAGTTGCGGACAGAGAAGGCGGAACGGCAGTGGGTCATGAACCAGATGCTGAACTCTAGTCAGTCCGAGCAGGTAGCGAAGGAACAGCAAGCGATTCTTGATATCATCAAGAGAGAAGAGGGAGGGAATGAGCAGACCACAAACCCTGTCAGTCATCCTTCAGTTCTGCTCGTGAATATCAGCCATCTCACATTCCGTCTCACATCATAAAGGAACGGCAAGACCAGGGCCCATCGTCTAGCGCCTCGGAAGGAGATGACTTTGCGGGCAGCACAGAGATAGATGGCGATGACGACGACAACGCGAGCGAAGAGGAAGATGACGGGGAAGAGGAAGGCCCTGATGAATCTCGAGGTAGCGCTCCTCCGCCTCCGCCTCCGCCGCCCCCATTACCACCTCTAAGCCGCATGAATACTTTCAATCGCCTCAGTCACTCCACTATGCCTTCGACCCGGAGGCCTGTCGAACAAGATGAAGAGGGCGCCGACGATGAGGAGGAAGAGGAGGAAGAGGAAGTTCGGATGCAACGTCGCCCCAGCCTGTCATACGCAGGCGGACCAGGCACAAACCCTCTTCGTCGTTCGAGTTCGAGCTCGATAACTCGGCCTTCCGAGGGTCTGTGGCGTCCTCCAATCCGAACCGGCGAGCCTTCCAATATCTCACGCACGTTCGCGCTCGCCAGCGGTCAGAACTATTCTTCTTCCCCGACTCGTCGCCTCAGTGGAGCCAGCTCGTCAAACGGAAACGGCGCGGGCCTGCACCGCTCGGGATCTACCAGCTCCAATTATGGTCTTGTCGAGCGCGAGCGTGCCGGGGTAAATGCAGCGGAACAACAATGGGCTGGGATCAATCGGGCGCGGGAGAAAGGGAGGATGGGATTTGTCGGAGCAGGAGATCGGGGGACATCCGCGAGCCCATCATCGATACCAGGTGCTTCCCCTACCTTCATGCCAGATTCATCGTCAAACAAGGCGGGTGTTCAAGCGGTTTATGGCCCGCCACCACCTCCTGGACGCCCGATTCCCGGCCCTCCCCGTTCGTACGCGCTCGATGACGTGACACGCCCAATATCCAACAGCCCTGGCTCGCGTCCGTATTATGGGCCACAACGATCGCCGGATGACACCAGGTCAGGCATGCCTATCCCTCGATCTCCATACACGCCAGACGAGAGTCGCGCATCCTGGAACGCGTCGAGCTTGCGCTCGCGGTCTTCGTATCAGGACTTTGGCCAACATCGGGACGGCGGTTGGTACGGGAGACCGTTGATTCCGACTTACGACGGGTCTGATGACGAATTGGACGAGGATTGGGTCGGGGAGCTGGACGATCGGAGGAGCGTGCGCAGTGTTCGAAGCAACAGGAGCATGAGGAGCGCTGAATTGGAGCAGCTCGCTGTTCGACGAGAGGCAGAGGCGAAGAAGATGCAAGAGGAGGCTATAAGGCTCGAAGAAGAGGCCAGGAGGAAGGAGGAGGAGGCGACCAAGCTGGAGGCGGCGGCTAGACAGTTGGAAGCCGTAGTCAAGCGGAAGGAGGCAGAAGCCAAGAGGAAGGAGGCGGAAATTAGCCGCAAGGAGGAGGATGCGAAGAACAAGGAAGCAGAGCTGAATCGGAAGGAGCTCGAGACGAGACAGAAAGAGGCCGAAGTCAAGCGCAAGGAGGATGAGGCCAAGAGGAAAGAGGCTGAGGTAAAGAGAAAAGAGCTGGAGGTCAAAAGAAAGGAGGAGGAGGCTAAGAAGAGGGATGAGCAGGCCAGGAAGAGAGATGAAGAGGCGTGGAAGAGAGAGGAGGAGGTAAGGAAGAGGGATCGGGAGATGTGGTTGAAGGAAGAGGAAGGAAGGCGGAAAGAGGAGGCCCTGCGAGAGCTAGAGGCAGAGGCGAAGCGAAGGGAGGAGGAGATAATGGTCAAGGAGGCTGACTTCCATCGGAGAGAGAAGGAGTTGCTTCGCAGAGAGACTGAGTCGAAGCAGAGGGAGGAAGAAAGGCTGAAAGCTCAGGAGGAAGAGGATGAGAGGAAGGCGGCTGAGCAGCAGCAGAGATTGAACAATATCGCAGAAAAAAAACAGAAGGCGGAAATTCAGAAACAGAAAAAACTGCAGCGTAAAGCAGAGAAGGAAGAGCGGGAGAGAGCGGAGAAGCCAGTAGCTGAGCAGGCGGAACGCCAGCGAGTGCAGGAAGAGCAAGAGCAGGAGGAGCAACGAGCCCAAGAGGATATTCGCTTGCAAGCAGATGAGCAGCAGAAGCGAGAGCTTGACGCAAAGAAGCAAGAGCTTGACGCGAAGGCCCGAGAGCGAGAGCTTGAGGAGGAGCGGCAAGCGATCGAGAGCGTCAGGCAGTTCGAGCTTGGGGAGGAACGAAGACAAGCCATCGAGGCCCAGAAACAAAAGGCGTTGGAGGAGCAAATTCAGAAGAGGCGTGCCGAGGAACTGGCACGCAAAGCTGCTGAGGAGGAACGTCAAGCTGCTGAGAGCAGGCGAAAGGAAGAGCAGAGACTTCTGGAGGAGCAGCGCCAACGCGAAGAGTTTCGGAAGTCTCAAGAGGAATGGAATCGGCGTGCAGCTCCAGGTAGTTCGTGGGGCGCCCATCAACGCAGTGGGTCAGGCACCAGCGCCTCGGCTGGTGACCGTAACAGCACAACGTCGAGCAAGAGCTCGACGACCGGATCTAACTGGTCGGGCAACTGGTCGAATGGAACTACCAGTTCACAGACGTCAAACGGTTCCCGCGCTGGTCCTGCGCCTACTGCTACGCCCAAAGGTACGCCAATGGCCTCGAGACCGTCTGGTGCTCCCGGAACATCGCCACATCCAAGTACGTTCAGTGCAGAGGATTGGACACGTCGCCAGGAGAGGTTCTATGAGGAGCAGCAGAAGAAGTTCCAAGAGCAGCAATTGAAGGAGGAGCGCGAGAAAGAGGCCAAGGCGTCGAAAATTTTATCTGCAGACGACGTAGTCCATCTATTCGAGGCGCACGATCGCAAGTGGAGAGAGCTGAAGGCCAGTGAAAACCTTGTGTGGAACAGCTTTCCGTGGCCAGTCTTCAAGCGACCTTCGGAACCAGAGGACATCACGACCATTAGCGTCAGCGCATACGTCTTGTCACGGCATTCGCCCTCCGAGAAGAGCTCAAAGGATCGCATTAAGGACCACATCAAGAGGTGGCATCCAGACAGATTTGAGACGAAGGTGCTTCCCAAAGTCGTGGAGGAGGAGAGAGAGAAAGTCAAGGAGGGTGCAGGGGTCGTTGTGCGTTGTTTGAACGAACTGTTGAACCGGGATTACGACGATTGAATGTAGAAGTAAGTCGTGCATGTGCATAGAGTCTCCTCGGTTGCTTACCTTGTGGACTTTATCTGCAGTTAACGCGCGAATTAGCGAACTAACACATGTACTATGATACCCACTACATCATTTGTATGAATATCATCTGGAGCCCGTGTCCACTGTTGACAATCTGCCTTGTATAATTTGGATGTTTTTTCTTTTTGGGCAATAAAAATGTGAACGTCATCGTATCCTGTCAGAGCTTCCAGTGGAAAGGGTTTCAGAAAATCATCGTTTACCATAGAGAGCTGTCGAGCTATATCTTCGAAGATAAGAAAAACAAACAAAAAGGTGGATATATGCGCTCTGCGGTACGGCGTGGAAGCTTGACAAGCGAGAGCGTTAGCTTTGAGTAGTACCACCCTACTAAAGTGGATCACAAGAATGCCGCAGTGGGATCAAAAAGGGGCTGATCCGTTTTTGGCCATGCAGTAGGATAATTCCCAACGCTGTCGTGTGAGCAGATATGAAGCTGAATGAAACGAAAGGTCAAGAGAGGACGAGTCATTTCCGAAGGACCTGAAAAGACTGGGTTGTGGGCTTTCATGATGGATTCCGATATCTTATCTTATCTGATACGTACTTAATGAGCATCTCGATCCTCTGTCACTTTCGCACGACTCCCTGATTCCCATCAACAGGCTTCAACAGGCCAACGACTTGATCACAATCTCTATGAATGATTATAGGAAACGATGAATATCGCAATATCGCATTCAACGAGTGTCACTCTCACAGCCGTTGCCAGAGGATCCAGAAGCTGTTCGTCGTGTTTCGCTTTCGTCACTGATGAACCCATCCTCTCTTAGCAGCTCTCAGCACGATATTGCACAGGGTGCCATGAAAAAATTCTAGCTTCGTACCCGTCCTCACCCCTCCTTTCAACCAGGCACCTTCATAAATTAAATGTGGTATTGACCTTGAGGGCTCAATTGAACCCTTTTGAACCAGATGATTGAGGTTTCCATATCTTTGATGAAATCTTCATCCACCTCGGTCTTTGACGCCCTTGACCCATAGTGTCTTACTCTCGAACTCGAAGCGCACGATCCTGTCATGTGTGAGTACTCGTGCAAATAAATGCCAAAAAGAAACAGAAAAATCATGTATTCTAACGAGACCATACCCGCAGAATCTCATGACATGCACTGATCTTACACATCACCGAACGCCATTCAATCACACAGAGGCAACCATCAAAGGTTCAAGTCATACTGGCAAGGTTTACCGAGACTCGGGTGCTTGCTGCCTGCCCCTGGGACCGGTAACTTTGGGCTTGTGTTGCATGGCTACACATGCGCTCAGCGTAGTCCTACTACACCTGGGTATAGATTATGTGGCGCTCTCACAAACCTTTCTATCTTCGCCGCATGCTCTCCGCAATCATCAGACGAGCGTCTTGTAGACATCGGCGCTCAGTGATGAAAATTGCGATGGGCATAGAAGTCATGTCAACACGTGATCATGATTGTGTAGGACCTTGTCATGGTGGAAGGAACTCCAAATAGTTTGCTGATTTCCCTCTTAAATAGGGCGCCATAACCTTGTTTCCACAAATTTAGCCCATCCTCAACATTGCCTACTAGCGCCCAAGACTACCGGATGTTCGTACGGTTTGTAAGTCAAGACGTTCACTGGTTCTCCGTAGTGCACTACTCATACGAGAGACAGAATGACAGAGATCGAGACAGTGCACGAACTGTATTGCACATTTTGAGGGCAAATAAGCGGAAGTCAGGTAGCTTGAGCAGTTGAGGGATCTATGCCCATTGGTGACTCTCGAACTGGTAAGATGACATTAGGTCTGTTCGTGCTCTTTCACCGATAGGTCGATCCTAATCTGGTGTTGTCAGTGCCAAATGAGCCCCCCAAATGTGCTTTTCATTACATCTTGTGATCCGGCTCACTGTCCATTGAACTTCGGCGAAACAGCATTTGCAACGACCAAACACTCAACTACTCAATCTTGATGTCAGTGATGTAATAGCAGTTATTGTACCAGGGATCAAGATCTGACCGAGGGGGTATAATTGATATGGACAAGGTCGGTGTGTCCGTAGCTGATTTGAACTCAATTTCTTCTGACTCAACCGGTGTGGATGTGTAGGAAAGGAGGCAATATATTCGACGCCTTTGTCACTAGCTGTAAGCCATGTTGCCATCACAAGTTGCTAGAGGATAGGCCTCCCACAGAGCGCTTCTGTTTTTGCGCATGACTTCGGCCCCGAGCAAGTCCGTGATGACCTGCTAGGACTTGCTTGCTTCCTCCATTCTCCGCTGATCGCCTTTGGTTCAAAACGCGAGGTCATCTAAGCTCTCACGTCAAGCACCAAGCAACCGTATCAGCCGAAACATCCTTGGTCAGTGCGATGATTCACACTGGTTGTCTATGGCAGACGCCACTATCTGAATTGTCCCAATGGCTCTGAGGCGGAGTTGCTCTCGTGCGAGTTATCACCGCAGTGTCCGTACCAGTGTTGATGTTATGGACCACCTCATGTGATTCGTCTTCCATATGGACCGAGATCGTCGATATCTTCACACAACGAAACGCTCACAAAAGCCTGGGCGATTCGTGCGGTATCTTCTTTCCTTGTTCAGTCTGTCCTTTCAAGATCCCGTAACGAGCAAGGGGTACCTCGCGATTCATATATATAGAGCGCCTATGACGCATTTGCAGGTCCGCTGACGTTGAGCCTGCGTAGATATGCATCATCTGGAGCACATCTGCATGACTCAGAAACGAACAAGGAATAAACGAACAAGGTTAGGAGCACGTGTGCTACCCCTTCCAGAGCACTTGCTTATTCAGTGGGGAGCGGTTAATTTCATAGGTCTCGAGACTCTACCAAGGAGCTATGCCTTGAAAGCTGATCTACGTGTCTCTATATATACGAACAGGTTTTGACCGCGTAGGTTGAACGATTCTTGAAGCATCTTCAAAGGAGGCGATGCAATGAATCGATGCGAAAATCTGTTCACGGACTAGCTTCTTTGAAGCGGCTCAGAGATCCCCCATAACTTAAAATCTACAGCGCGTACTCGCAGAAATCCAGGCTCATGGTGTACTGGAGCTGACGATTCCCCTTCGTCGCCTTTGGAGCAGGCGGAAGCTCACACAGCCCATATAAGTGTGAGAGGCCGCAAGAACACTGGACAGCCTTGCACAGTGGAAAAATGCAATCAAGGCATTGAGCAACCCTATTGCGGTGACATCTCAGCGGTCTTCATATCGCTTTCCCGCGAGAAATTCGCATCCGGTATCTCGTTAGGGTGATGTAACTTTTCATCTTACGTAGTTATATGAGCGCGCGAGGTCTTGGTCCAGAGGGGACTCCTAGGTATCCTCGGACATAACGAGACGTGCTGGACCCTGCTGGACCATATCAAATGGTATCTGCGTCTTTAAGCCCCTTCCCCCAGTAGGATTGGGAGGATCGGGGAAGCGACGAGTCACCTAGACCCTGAGGCCTTCAGGCCGTCAGGCCATTGTGCTGGCAGATATGACTTCAAAAATCTTCTTGCCACCGGCAAACATGTCCAGAGAATATAAACTAGAAGAGATATGAAGAAAGTCACACCCTGGCTCAATATACATGTGCGCCTCTGTTATGTGCGTCTCTGCCGATATAAGATTCATTCAATGATATGCGGAGAATGGATCCATGGTCCAGACAAAGAACATACGTGAAATCTCGCACACTATCGAGTCCCTTCTCGTTCTCGACTGCTTCATCCTACAACTGCTGAAAATTTACAACACTCTAGATCTCACCAAAGACGCATCGAAGCGTGAGGAGGCGTCCCAATTCGGTTCTGTAGAGGGATCGAACATACCACGACCGGTAACAGTGAGCGGAGCGAAGAGGGAACCTGAACCATGGATGAGAACATATCTCAGCTGACGAGGCGAAATCTATTCACCCGAGGCGTCGAGCGTCGGTACTCACGCTCCTCATTGACAGGCAGGGTCCAGGCCTAGATTAAATTCGTACAAGCTTGACCCGTTGTGCGTTACGCTTATCCGCGCTGACTCGTGCTCATGCCAGTATCTGCCCTTGCATCAGAGTCTTAGGACAGGGTGAAGAGGTTGGTGAACAACGAGAGCCGCGGCGTTTGGCATCCTGATAAGGACATGCGTGAGCACGCGGCACCCGATGCACCAATTGTGTCGCCTGAAAGAGAAGGCGAAGTATCAAGGCTGGGCTTCTCGAAGTGTCCGCGCGATCTACCTCTGTCAACTGGTATAGACGCAGATGATCAGGTCTGAAGGAAAATGCAACTGTCGCAAAGGCAGTCTCGAACGGATTTTCCAGTGAAAAATCTGTTGCACAGCATAGTATGACACATAGCAAGACCAAAACGCTCGTGATTGAATTTTTTGTAAGGCATTGTTTATTTCTTTTTTCCCTCTGCAGCGGCAGCGCCGGAAGAAGTATGCCCGTCAGTGGCATCGGACGCCCCACAAAATCGGGCACGAATATTTCGTAAAGGCATCGCAAACCTAACACTGACGGACAGACCCACGGACCACGTTCTATTACGTCCGACAGATGAGCTAGAGACTGTGGGATGTGTCGAATTGATCTGAGAGGCGGATGAGAAAAAACACGCAGCTAGGAAGAGTGGGATCAATTGCAGCGAAGTGCGTGCACCATAGAACGGTGATGCTTATAAGGGACCATGCCGGACAAAAATCAGTCAAAATGGCCTTTCTTGATGATAAATTAGTGATTTTTGAGCCAAAGGCAGCTATTTTGAACAATTGTTAGAAATTGTCAGGAATTGTCAGGAATTGTTATCATAAGTCAACAAATCCCAGCCGACACAAACATCTCTCATTATGTATTCCCTCAGATTGTTGGCAATTGTTGGCATTTCTCAAATAATGCTGTATTTCCTCTGTGTTATTTTCACTTGTTCAGAGCTCAACTGTTTGAAATTGTTGGCAATTGTTCACAATTGTTAGCAATCCACATATAAAAATGATTGCTAGCAACTGTTGTCAATTGACAACTTGAATGAGGACAGGAATTGTCAACAAATCTAGCAATTGCCGACAAATCACAACAATTGCCAACAATTGCCAGCTATAGCCAACTAGGCCTATGTTTTGATAATTTTTGTCCGAGAAAACCCTTTATATATGCTCTGATGGTTCTGATGATGCGATGTGGCTGAGTCGCTGGTCACTGTACCTCCAAAGCGACCTTCGAGGTCGCCGTGTACCATGTTGCTTCGCACCGACTGGCAAGGAGCCTCCGCTAACGCGGCGCACACATAGGAGGCCGTGAGAGGCAGCTGGCATCGGACATTCTGGCGCGCGCTGGCGGGGGCTATGGCAAATGCAGAACGGGATATGCTCTTGTCGAATCCAGGTCACTCTGTGTTTGCAGGCCTGGGCGCGGCGGAAATCGAGATCCCTTTTGAGGAAGCGCGGAGTTCTTCAAAGACACGGTCAGCGGACGTGCCGTGGTGGCGCTTAGCGAGCCGGGAGCCGCCCTCCATCCCACACTGAGCTAGCGAGTGCGCGAAGGCTCTCCATGTCGGCATCTCCATCTCCATTCAGGGTCTCCCGGGGGTGCGAGTTTGCTCGCTCTGGCGGAGGGGTTCACACGCGAATGTCGCCGGGCGGGAACGTTTGGTTGCCGAACGTGCGACAGTGGACTTTTGGATGTCGTTGATCTTCGTCGAGTTGGAATCAAAGTTCAGACTTCAGTGTTCAAAGTTTAGAATCCAGCAGGTTTGCCCGTCGGGCTTCAATGATTGGTCGAGTAGAAAAGAGACCGCGATTCGAGTTCCCCACCATGCAAGCGAGACCACGGAGAATAGAATGGATGTCCATAGCTGATACGCTGAGCAAGCACTGAGTACTGAGAGACGACGGACTTGAGGATTCCTAGGCACCGCCACGTCCAAGTGGACGATGGACAAGTCATCCTTCTGCGCCAAAAGCCGAGGTAACGAGTGAGCGTGCGACCTGTTAGAATGCTAGTAGTGTACTACAGCCAGCGTGCATCGCTTGAAGCCTCGAGCAGAAGCCGAGGAGAGGCTACCCATGTGCTAAAAAGGCTATTTAGCTCCACGGGGTCAGGTAGTCAGTGAAGCTCTTTTCCAGTGCTTGATCCCATTGTGAACAACAGTGTTGCGGCATGTGGGAACCTTATCGCTTGAGTCAACAGAACTGAGGACCAAAGATACAGGCGGTCACCGCACGTACCGTCCACCATGTTTTTCCGCGTCAAGGGAGCGCTCAAGGTGTCTCGATGAAACTGCTGGCAATGTTTAAAGAATTTCCAAACATGACGATCTGCGTATGAAGGTGGCAAAGCTGGATTGGGACGGCCAATGAACGCTGGCACAGATAGACTAGTCGGTGAATGGCATCAATGTATCCGCATTCGCAGTACATAGTGCGCCACCTTGGACAAGTCTATTAGACCGGGCTCGAAAGGGGATGGGAGATACTTTTCAAAATCTGGAGACGCCGACAGCGCTGGACTGCAAGAGGTAAGCACACGAACGCGGTATAGCCGCAGACCTGTTCGACTCCAAATCTGTACACAGCGAGCAGTCAAGGGATAGGATCGAGCGCCAGGCGGGAAGAGGCTAAGCTCAAAGGACGGGAGGAAAGGGGGGCAATGGCAATTGCACTCCTGTCCACCTGGGAGGCTCGTTATAAGAGCTCCACTTTCTCGAATGTCGAAAGGAACGGCAGGATATATATGTCCAGAGTGAGGCAGGAGGACGAGGAGAGGGCTTCCCTGTCTCCGCGGCCTGATACTGTCCCAAACTGTGAAGACCATACAAATGTAACAGCATTCATTTGTCGAGCACTTAACTAGACGCAGAAATGAGTGAGTTCGTTCGCTCCAACAGCACTATTATAGCAGCTACTTGGGAAAGAGAAGAGGCATAATGAATAATAAGCAAGGATGGAAGTAGGACCAAGGATTCACCTTTCGTCTATCGACGGGAAGAGAGCGCCCGAGCGAAGGCAGATGTACACTCGACTCTATCAAATGGTCAACGATGACGAACATCCTATATCAGTATGGGCGCCAATTATGTGTTCCAAGCATTCCGATTTCAAAATTGTCAACCGACAGGTTCTCGCTGGTTCTCATCGATTTCATCTTTCGATGGAGGATAACCTCCATCTCCTGTCCCCGCATCGATTCCGAGCGCGCGTACGGGTACAATTACAATTGAGCACCATCGGGTGAAGGGAAGAAGGCGCTTGCAGTTCAAAGTCTCCGCCCTCGGGGGACGCTCGGGGATTGCGAAGTCACGGAATCAAAAGTCGAAGGGTTCGTGCTCCAAGGGTGTAGGGGCCGGCAGTGGGCGAGACAAGGAATATCATATAATGCAATGCAATGGACTGGGATGCGCTGGACCATTGACGAGCGCTCTTGTCCCATTCGGGGCGTCATTACTTGCTTCGTGTCAGGCCTTCTCTACTGCGTACGCGTAAAGAGATGAAGCAAGTTCGTCGGTATTGCGGGCAAGGTTTGTAAATAGTGATCACAGCTGGAACGGCGCCACAGATGCCGAGATGTACCTGCTCATCTGCATCCATTCCGTCGAGGCGATGCTGTGAGGTGATAGACGAAGATAGACGTGGATACGACGGGCTTTCGGTCTGAAGCCCGGGGCGCTTTCCGGAGGAGCATCAGGGTGCCCAGACCGTGGGTGCCGCATCCAGGTGCGCCACCGGATCATCAGTGTGCGGAGGATCTGATTTGGACGTGCCTCATACCGTACACGCTTGCGGCCAGCGTCGACCACGGCTTGTCAAGCGTGTGTTCTAGTCGAAAGCAAGGTCTTCAAGAGTCCAGGGATTGTTCGAGATGGAGCACGACAGATAGACCACGCGCCTCTTCGAGGCGTGAATCGGGGGCGGAGGCAAGGCGCAACGTCCAGAGAAAGCCGGGCTCCCCGGTAAGAAGATGTCACCGTCAACGTTGACGCCCCGATGAAAGTTCCCGTCCGAGCACCAGAGAAGCCAAAGAAATAGTGGAAAGGGGCAAGGGGGCGACTAGGTTGTAGGTTAATAGACGAGATGCATGGAAGTGTGCACGGCGTGCCGTCGCTGTCAGAGTCGGTCTCTGGCAAATGTGCTGTACCATGAGTCCCCGATGTAACACCGGGCTGTGTGTCGCACGGTGTCGCGCGTGAAAGGGAATAGTTATTGATAGGACCGAGACGAATGATCTCGAGTTTCGGAGGAGAGCGTCGGTGCGCGGGACACTCTGATGTGCAGGGTGGCTGTGTCATGTGCGAGCCTGAGTGTGAGTGTGGGCGTGTGAGTATTTCGGGGATCCTCGACGAGGCACAAGTAGAGGCAAAACCCAAAGCTTAAGGGAGAGGCCGGGTGCGCGACGCCGATCGAACGGAGCTGAGTTGGAGGCCGCCATAGCGAGTACGAAAGCCGGACCTCGACCCCAGGCAAGATTGACGAGTACGAATGCGCGCATCCTAGAATCGCCCATAAGGATATAGTGAAGTGAAGCGGGCACGTGCACCGCCCATAGTGGAACGCAAGGAGCCAGAAAGCGCGCTCTGCACTCTAACCCTCACCATCATATACGATACCGAACAGGACCATGTGATACCATTCAATACCGTATCGAAACACATGTTGACCACTCGACCGCCAGCAAGTCAAGATCGAAGCAGCCTTACGGCGTCACCCGATCCTTGCATACGTGCGTGCTTCAACTGCAGCACATTCGTACACGATCTGCGTAGAGTTGATCCATGGTGAGTAGAGACGATCGTGCGCGCATGCCTGTAGCGAGAGGCAGCGAATCCCCGACTACATACCCTGATTTTGGAGGATGCCCGTTCTCTCAAGCCTGACACAGTGAAATGCAAGTAAGCAAGCGCACTCCCCGATAGTGCTCGAGGGTCAAGGAGGCCCTGCCATATCGGCATCTTACCAATTTAGAATCCCGCGATCGGGACTGGCAGGCGACAGCAGTGAAGGTGTACATGGCCAACACTTGAAGGCCAAGATGTCGGGATCAGCGCGAAGGACTAGCGCGATGACACGATGACGGCCGGAATGAGGACTGCGATAGACGGTTTGAGTTTTTGGGTCGTCTGTGCGGGTGTCTGTGCTTGACTCGGACGTGTGTGCTTGTGGGCCGCGCGATGTATGGATGTAGACGTCGGTCCACGAAAGAGTCTCTGACGTCTTGCCAGAGAAGTCCTTGGGCGTGAGCATGATCAACGTACCTGAGGTCGCGGATCGTCGAGTGTTCAGAACGTTCAAACACGGCCATCCGTGCGCTGGCAGGGCGCGCCGCGGCGCAAGAGCACAATGAACCGCAATCCATAATGATGATTGGTACTCACATTCAACTCGTCGGTGCGGGGATGTGCGGAGATAAGTTGCAAGAAACAACGCTCGTCTTGGAGGGTTCGTGCGTCGGCGTCGGCGTCCTCAGCAAGAGCCTAGATGAGCGACGGACGATTACTAGGCACCGCATGCTGCCAGGCAGTGATTGGACAGCAGGGCGGACTGGGCTCGGCATGCGCCGCCTTGGGCGACCAACCCTGAGGCTCGGAGCGGCTCGGGGCGGCTGAGGCGACAGAAGTGGGGCGCCGGACGCACGTGGCGGTACCGATTCGGCTGCTTGGCGGCATCAGCGAGAGCCGACTGGAAGCGACCAGGGTGAGGCGACTGGTGGCAATCTCCGATAATTTTTTGCAGGAGGCTGCGGGTTGCTACAGTAGGGGCTAGTAGGGGCAGGTCAACGAAAAGAAGCGACGACGCGAGCCCTGGCAAGCCCGACGGCGCGGAAGACAAATTTTGAGATGTGTATCGAGGGCGATCGAGGATCGAAAAGCCCTCGACTTCGAAAAAAAAACGCAGTCGGAAGTTGGCCATCAGACATTCGAGGGCCTGGCGTGCTGCATTGCGTCAGCTTCTGTTGGGTGGCAAATCGTGCGGCGGGCAGACTAATTGGTTGATTGGCGGATTGGCTGATTGGATTGGCTGGCTGGTTGGCTGTTTGGAGGCGGTTGGCTCATGTCTATTTTTCTTTTCGAATTCGTGGAGGACCAGAGGCTAGGCCCTCAGACCTGTAGACGGTGTACGTATGTACATGTGTGTAGATCGCACATCATCGTAATACTGGCTCGAGCAGGACTTGTGCCGTGGCGAACACTGAACTGGAAGCAGCAGACGGTGCTCAGAGGATGTGTGCATAGGCGCAGGCGTGCGCTGCCCGCTGAGTGCGCGACCACGTGTTTTCGTGAGGGCTGTTTACTGGTTGCTTGCGACGGACTCTTGCTCGGACTCTGCGCGGGGCACGGAGGCCTACGGAGGCAGCTGAGCAACTCTAAAACCGCACATGTGTCATACGCCACACACCGTCGCGAAGCCGACCTCGGAGTACAAGTGTTCAGCCACGGTCGACCAGGCGGCCGACCCTACTCCAGTGCGCGATATCCATGGCCGGAAACGTACGCGGACGTACGCCCGTACCAAAGCAGACGCGCCGTTGAAAATGCGAGCACGCGTCGACGCGATCAGTCCGATAACTCCACGATCGTAGAGCGGCCCACACGAGCTCTGCGCCGAGTCGGCAGGCCGGGACGCGCTCGGGGTCAGGCCTGCAGACCTGGGGAGGTCGCGTGCGCGCAGCAGCTGACTCGTTCAGAGGCAGTCAGAGGCTCGGGCGACCTGCGGAGGCGGGGTTTCACGTGTGTCGGGATGTCTCAAAGCACCAGTGGGGGTCATAAAGTGCGGGGTGGTGGCTCGTTCGGGAATGCGAGCCTCATGGCGCCGGGACCGACTTTGGGGAGATCGGAGGATGGGGAAATGTACGGTAGTCCGGTGGACGGTCGAGATCTTGAGGACCTGGTCGTCGCCATGCCAGTGCACTATGTCTATGTTAGGGCTGCGGGTCATCGGTCTGTGATTGTATAGAGAGCGTGTTATGTGCGCATGTGCTGGTCCGTGGCACTGCCGGCACAAGCCCACTCGAGGAATCGTGGACGCGTTATGATACGGAGAGCAGAGCGACACCCGCTCGCTCGCTCACTTTGTTTTCCCAGTGGTCGGCAGTCGACCAAAACGGAGGACGCGGAAGACGTCAGCAGTACTGATACAACTGATGGGAGTAAGGAGGCGGTAAGTGAAGATATGATATTTGTGTTCCGGAGTGGCAGACAAGCAGGGTGCTTACGACGAGGGCGCTCGATGGCGTCGGAGGCGTCCGTTGCTAGCTGTCGTTATAGGTGGGAATGCTTAGGCTCGGATTCAAGGGTGAGCTTGATGTGTTGATGTGGACTGGCGGAGGCAGCCGAGGCCATTGATGCACATCAATAAACCCCGCAGACGATCGCCATGAGAATAGAGCAGAGCATAGATCGAGCGTAGTCGGACACCATCGGCACTTCCTTTCGTGTTTGATGCGCGCCATCGGCAGTCTGAAACGGAGGCAAAGGCGAAGGCCCACGTGACTGCGAGTCTCGATGTGAACGACAGGACAAGAGCACGCATAGTAAGAAACCAGAATTGAAGATGTCAAGAGGTGGACGCTGAGTATGGAATGGTTTGCAGCTGGGAGCAAACCTCTGCTTTTGAAACGAAGACTAGAATGGGTTGACAGTCGGAAACAATTGAACAGCGGAGAGCAGTGCAGTACAAGTTTGGTTGCGTGGATAGGCAGGCGGGATGGAAGACATAAGTGTATATCGGGGCAAACGCGTGAGGACGAGGATGGCTAGGGCCAGAGCTAGAGCCAGAGCCAAAGCAAGAACTACAGCAAGGTTGAGGTTGATGAAAGGCGCGAGGCGCCACGGCGCTCGACATTGAAATGAAATGCAGCAGACGCGCTTAACCCAAGAAGGATGGAATGAAGAAAGTGAGATAGAAGTGAGATGGACAGAAGGCAGCGAAGAAAGAAAGAAAGGTTCGGAGATGAGATGCGGAGAAGGCGGAAGGACGTGCAGGCGCTGTGAGAAATGAAAGAAGGGACCGCCCGGGTGCATTGCACTCGTGCACGCGTACGTAACGTGCTTGGACTTGGGCGATGGCAAGCAAAACGTGGGCATCGGCTGGGGTTGGTTGAGAATGCAGTCGTGAGATGTATACATGAGACTCATATTGTACAATGCAGGGCAGAGGTGGATGGAATTGAACGTCCAATGTGGCACATGCACGCGTCGAACTGGACATGGATGCTCGTTCGGACGGAAGGATGGCTCGGAAAGGACCAGAGCTCGAGCGCCAAGCTGGAGTGCGGACGGTGAAATGGCGCGGATGGATCGGGGGGAGAGGTGGTGCGAACGCGGATGCACATAGCGAGGTGGAGAGATGGAGTTGGCAGGGAGATGCGAGGGAGTGCGGCGGGTGGGAGGAGAGCGCTGCCAAGGCTCTCGCGGGCCAGGACAATGGGCCGTCGACAATGGGCGACCGGCAATGCGGCGGAGTCCGCGGCCCATTGTGCATGGACGCCGGGCAGTTGCGAGGGTTGGGGTTACGTCAAAGAACGCGCTGCCCCGATTTGGGATATACATAAACCAGTCGCCCGTCTGCCCTGCCCTCCTCCGCTGCGTCCCACCATGCCTCCCTCCATCGCGCACTCCCTCAACGACCCCGACCCCGACGACGTTGTCGACGACTTCCTCCTCTCCCACTCAGACGCACGCGTCCATCGCTGGCTCGCATCCCAGTACCACCTCTCCCCCCTCCGTCCCGACGCCGCCGCAGAACATCTCGCACACGCCTATGCTCACCACGCACCCCTCCGCGACTCCAAAATCCTCCCCGACGACAACCTCGACGACCCCTTCTCTCTCCCACATTCCCGCGAGAACCTCTCCCACGACATCGCGTGTGACCCATACGCTTTCTTCGCCCCTCCCGTCGCCCCGCTCCCCCAGGAGCTCGACGACCCGCTCTCGGACGCCGAACATGACGCTCTCGACGATCTTGTTCGCGAGATGAACAGCTGGCGTGTCCCTGCCTCTCCGAACCCTCATCTCGTTCCCGCCACGCGCTCTCGAGCGCCGTCTACCTCGGTCCAATCTGACCGTGACAAGGTTTGTGTGTTCGTCTGCACCCCGCCCACGATCAATCACCTCTTTTCTCGACAGCCGTTACCCGCCGTACCCTCCCTTCCGCCGGGAGCCCTGTCCACCGCGTACACGTCCTCTGTCCCGTCCTCCCCCACTTCCGCACTCTTCTCCTCTCCGCCGTCATCCCCTCACGCTCGCACACCAGCTCTCCCCCTCCCGCCTTCTCCCCCTCTTGCCCGTCGGCCTTCTCTTCAGAGACCCGACCATGACAGCCCCGCCGCATCCCCGCGCCGCCCTACACTCACCCTTACACCCGCCGCGTCGTACGCTTCTCTGCGCTCGCGCGCGCGTTCTTCCCGTTTTCCCTCCATCTCCACAACCTTGTCCATCCCTATCGGCTCTGACAACTCACCTCCGCACGCGACGACCCCAGGTCTCTCGCACGCTGCGTCCAACGCGAGCATTCGTCACGCGATCTACATTCCGGACCCCACAACCGTGACCCCCGTGACCCCGACGACCCCGACCCCGACGATCAGCGACAGGACCCCGCCTCTTACCAATGCCTCCTCCTTCGCGTCCTCTGTCGACGCGCCCAATCCGCTTGCGCTCGGCTCGCAGTTGCACCTCGCGCCTTATCCTCTCGAGGCGAGAGAGGGGAACAGGCTGAGCGTATATCCCAGCGGAGGCGCTGGCGCATTCGAGGCGTCTAGATGGAGCATTGCAACTTCCGCGAACGGCGGAGCGGCCGGAGGAGGTTCGAGCGCTGCGGACCCGCCGAAGAGTCCGTCGATACGGAAGCGAATTCTATCCTCCCTTGGCCTCGGCCCTGGCGTCAAGTCCACGGCATCTTCGACGACGTTGGGCGACTCACTTGCGTCGCCGAGGAAAAGCGAGAGCGGGGGCAGGACCAGGAAGGTCAGCGAGAGTGGCAGTTGGCGCGAGAGCGAGAAGGAGAGGGAAAGCCGAAGTCCCACACAGCGCTCGAAGAAGCGCAGCTCGGCGTGGTCCAGACGGCGCGCGTCGCCGCCCCCGCCGCTGCCGACGACCCCGATGTCGTCCACCATGTCAGTCCCGATGTCGCCCATGTCGATGATCACGTCGATGCCCAGTCCTGGGTTGTCCGCCACGTACTCTGGCAACTACGCGGGCTCCTATGTGAGCTCGTACGCGTATTCCGGCTCTTTTGGCGGCTCGCCGACGCCATCGACGCTACTATCGCCGTTGCCTTCCATTCGGGAGCCTATTACGCCGACCTTGACGCCCACCCCGAGCCCGAGCGCTATGGAGCTCGAGTTTGGGGTGTTGGTGGAAGCTCCGGAGGGACATCCGAATGACAATCGGAACGGGGAGGGGCAAGACACGGTGACGAGGCTTTCGTACGAGAAGCAGAAAGCAGCCGAGAAGGAGAGAGAGCGGGCCAAGGATGCGCTCCCTGACGTGAGCGTCACGTCGACGCCGAGGAAGCGAAACCGCCTATCTTGGGTTCCCCCTCGACGCTCCAACGCAGGGTCGACCACGGGGAGCACCGCAGGCACAGGCACTGCATTGTCGAACCTCCATCTTGGTGCTGGTCTCGGAAGCCTCACGCTGTCGAGCCTCGCAGGAGGGCGAAACAAAGGTGCGCGCGCACGCTCAAACTCCGGTTCTGCCACTGGCTCTGTATGGAGCGCTGGGCGGAGTAGTATCGGGCTTGGGAGAAGTAAAGTTCGTGGTATTGGAGGGAGCAGTGGGAAGAGGTTGGTGGTCAACGGACTGGGGAAGGATGATGCGCGGGGGGAGGCGGCGGTGAAGGCATGGTGTGAAAGTTTTGGGGAGGTGAGGGGCGTTGAAAGGCGTGAGGCAGATGGAGCGCTCGTTGTGAGATGGCGCAGCGATAGCGTGGCTGATTCGGTGCGTATCTGGATAGGGCGTTGTAGTGATGGAGATATGGCAGCTGACTTTGCTCGTGTTTTTCTTTTCTGCGCATAGGTGTGTCGATTGCACGCGCAGGTGTATATACAGGGCGTTGGTAGCGTTGCATTGTCGTGGATCGACGGCAAGCGCAAGTACTGAGCGTGTGCTTGCGTAACCTGAGCGCACTTTGCAGCACTCGCTGAGGCCGACGGGTCCCGGTTCCGGGTGACTCTACTCGGTACCTTCCAGCTTTCCTTGCGCCCTGCGGCCCGTCGACTCGACTTGGCCCCCGATCTCGATCAAGTCGCTCGCTCTACCCTGTGCAGTGCCGCTAGCGCGCTCTATCGCCGCCCCGCCTCGCCTCATATCACATCGTCCACCTGCCCCATATTTCGACTCTGCCCTCGCGCACACGTACATACGATGCACATACTCGCACGACCTCCGCCTATCTATTCGATCGGCGACCTTTGTACAAACAGACTAGCCCCCTTGGGTCCTGCGCTCAGCGCCTCAGCCGTCTAGGAATGGACGGGACCCCCTTGTCCATAGTGTACTTCATGTCCTCCCCATCCCGTCACGACCCACCCACGCCCAGCATTCCTAGACCTCACTTCAAACCCAGCACCCCCGCGCGTCGCGGGATTATGCATTCATTGTACACGCCCCGGAGCCCTCTCTCTGAAGGGCTGTTCTTAGAGTTTCTCGCACCTTGTTGTTTTGGCCCTCTGTTTCCGTCCTCTGTTCTGGATGTGTACTATCGCTGACGGCAGCGGCGGCGGCGGCTAACGAGTCGTCGCCATCTAGCCCGAAGCCTAATCCCCAGCCGATCCAATTCGGTGTCCCTTCATTTTCCCGCCTGCTCTCGCCTCCTCAGGCGTGTTCTTGCGCGCGCGTCCGCGTCCCTCCTATCTGTGCTTCCGTTGCGATCCCGCTCGCAATGCCCGCGTCGTCGTGTATGTGACTGTATGTGTCTATCTCTGTAATCTCTGTCTCCCCACCCCCTTTGGCGTGTGTATCTCGGACTGTGTCTGTATCTTTGTGTTGGGATGCTCGCGCTCTTTTCGTGTGGTTATCTTGTTCTGCATATTCTGCATTTGTATATCACACCCCATTTGTCGCATCCCATCGCACCCCACCATCGCATTGTGTAACCCCGTATCATACTGTCGCATCCAACTCGCACGCACGCTCGCTACTCGACACTCGTTGCCTTTTCTTTTTTTGCCCTTCTCTCCTTCCACTCTTACCTTTGGTAAATTGTGGGCCTGGACTTGGACTTGGACTTGCCATATTTCCCCCTCGTCGCTCGTTCTGGTCTGGATCGTTTCGCACTGAACTCTTCACACTCTTTTTCTGTTTTTACTGTCTCTGTCTCTGTCGCATTCGTCGCATCCACCACACTCCGCATCCCCACTGTCTTCTACATACATGCAGCACACATGGCTCAATCAACATACGGCGCGTGCGGACATCATTCCCGGCGCCATCCCTTCGACCTATTCTTCTTCCTTGGGCCTTCGCGAGCACTCCCTCATCTATTCTTCACGGACGCATACACACTCGTCGGGTGACGTGGCGACCCTTCTCCGGACAGGCCACCCTTACCCTTCTACTTCCAAAATTTCGGCCTGAGCGCCCATCGGGACACCTTCCACACCTCCGTTCGAGGTGCCGAATCGTCTTCCCTATTTCGACACTCCTACATAGGATCATCCCCACAAAAAGTATTCACGCTCAAAAGACGCGCCCCGCGCGCAGGTTCATCGCGCGTGCCCCGCGTCGATCACGCTTCGGCTCTATTTTCTCGAAGACCAGCTCTCCTTTTTCTTTCTTTTCGTTGACCTCGCGGTGATCGTGACGTCGACGTCGTGGTGGGATTCTGGTTTTTAGGATTCGGGTGTGGTGTGGTCTTTTTCTTTATTGTAGCTAATTGTATACGTAGTTTATGTTCGGCGTATGTCTTGGTTGAAATATATAGATTTCTGTTTTTCTGTCCATCAGCGCGAGTTGGGATCTCTGCCAAACACCTTAAAAGCGGGAACGGAATGAGGACGGCAAATGCCGCTTTGACCTCGCTTGCTCTCCGTCATGACCGGATATCAGCCTGTGCTTGATATCAGCGGGTATCCCTACTTTCCTGCATTCCGAGACAAACGTTTCAGGCATTGTGGTAGAGAGGATCGAGGCAAATCGAATCAGAAATGGCTTCCTTTCGAGGGTTGATACCGCCACGCCCGTTGTGTATGGGTGATGATCCATAGTGACAAGTACGTATGGGGTTTTGCAGTGCTCAGCTCTCAGCGGATACCTGACCTCTATGCATGCTTGCTTCCGTCGAGAATCGAGTCCATTGCTCGAAAAATTACAAATTAGCTTGTACCGGTGCGTCTCCTTGATTATTCGGCCTGTAACGTCGATACTCACCAAAGCCCCAGTGAACACATTCTTTACAATTGAATGAACTCGCTTTTCGACGGCTTCCATGTCAAATTATGCCTGGTCTGAACCCCCCCTTTGTGCCGGTTTGCTATCGTCGCGATGTGAGTCGTGTTTCTCGAGAGAACGAGCAAGCCACACGCACACGCCGATTCCTGGAATACGAAGCATACGGCTGGGTCGCGCGACCGTCGCTCGCTATGTATTCCTCTGCAGGATACATACCACGTCGGCTCGACCTGAATTCCGCATAATTCAGGAACGCACGGAACCGCAAGGAACTTTGGAAGACGCCCGGGGGGGCTGACGAGCCTTCTGTCATTATGTTTAAACTTTGATCCTTTCTGGTGAACGATGAACGTCGAGCGCGGACCTTCTCGGTTCTTCTTCTATGGCAGGACTTAGACCGTGTGGTGTCTTGTGGACCGTGTCTCACGGCTGCTTGAAACATGATATATTTGGATGCCAAAGCCCTACTCTTGAAGATATTTCTGTTCATTTGTGGTGGTCTGGCCTGTGCCAGGCTATATGGTTGTCTCTCTAATCACATTCCACCAGTGTGGTTTGCGTAGGTCTGTGTGGATGCGGACAGAGGATCGGTATGGATTTCCCTCTTCTGGTGGTGTCTCATGGCCCATATTGCGTTCACATGTCACCAACAGCCTAGGCAGGTCAAGACAGATCACTGCTCTCTTTGGGCATCATCACTTGTCCACTAAATAGCACCTGTCGATTGTTTTCGCATTCGAAACACGACGTTTCCGGGTCCGCATGACATGTGCCGTATGCCCGCTACAAGTCAATCGTTCTCACCCTCCCCACGAGAACAGAACCACGTTTTCGGTTCGACTTCCCTGCCTGGGCCGTTCCCAGCCACGCAACCCCCGTGCGCGGGCCTCCGTTCTCCCACTGCTTCTCACCAGGGGGAAGGGGCCTGGTCGTCACAATACCATCGGGAGGACAGCCGTCCCTATGCAAGAAGGCTATGGCCCCACATCGACAGGCCACGCGGTGCGATGTCTTTAGCATGTTTCTCCCCAGCTATCTTCTCATGCCAGGCGCAGGCCCCTCCATTTGTTGCCATCAGTATCAAACAGGCTATGAACTTGCAACTCGCGCGGATTTGGGGTCAAGCGTTCTCAAGATACCGGCATATTGTATCTTGGGCGTTCGACGGAAACAGTCATTCAAAAATAGCGTGATCGCATTGTCACCTTGGCTGGACCACAATAATCACATATCGTCCACTCGTAGGCAATGGGTTTTCCGTCTCACTAGTATGCACCCACTGATGTACACATTGCATAGAACCTGCTTCAGGACTTGGACAGTGTGCGTCGTGATTCTGTCTTTTCGCCCAAATGGGAAACAGATTTTATTGTATGTCCATACGCTTCTCTCATAACTGCTCCTCCGGCTTTCTCGCATAATTCAATCGTCGACGCGCTATGGCCTTCTTAGATATGGTGATATATAGCTGCTGTAGGCTTGCTGCGCGCTGAGATTCCGCGATGCGTAGGCTCAATTCAGCCTGTTGACCTACACTCTGCGCACCACAATAAAAGAACTCACGTTACGGGTCTTCTGATAGGGTGCTCGTCAGCTGTCCGTTGGTGGCGGGAAGCGATCAGCATTTGGTAAGATCGCTAATTGAAAGACGCTCAAAGGCCTGTTCAAAATATATTAATCTACTCCGGCGTTGCAGCCATGACATCCTGCAACTCAGTTTGGCTAGCGATTTGAGGCGCACTGAAGAACGCCCTGACGGTGGTAAGGTGAGCAATGTATCATGGTGCCCCGCATGTCCTGAGTGTATTTGATCACTCATTGAGTCCGAAGGGATCAGCAGGTTGTGCAACTCCTTTTCGCACAATTTTTCTTGCGCCCAACTATGTCATGTGTGGCATGATAATCCTTCGGTACCGCTTTTTAACCATCCACTAGTTTCCGCCTGAAAGCGAATATGGTGGGTTTCCTCACAGCTATCTCCCCTGATGTTTTCAAAAAGGCTAGAACTCGAGTAAAGTGAGAATTAGGAGTGATTTGACGGAAACCGATGCGGGTAACTATTGGGGTCGGCGGAGTCCCCGCATCGTGAGGATATATGCGAAATGGTACATTCTTATTTCTATTGACCTCATCAGACGAATCCTGTATGGCGGTATATGGAGAACCCAAATCACATCTCCATGCGTTAATTGCCCAATTCCTTGCAGATGCACCATCTTATCCAGGCATTTCAATATTCTTTATCACCGTAACGTCAAGGGTCAGTCGGACGAACTCCCACTGCCATATCTTTTCGACTCGACGCTTGTTTGGAAACGGTGTGCTCTCCCATTCGCTCTGCTGATCATTTACCGGCAGAGTCACACATTGCGACCAACCCACCGATTACCGCTCGCTTCAGGCCGACAATCTCGCTTTATTATGCCTTGCCTGGAAAGAACAGTTGGAGGTCCGGTATTTACGATTACATGGCCAGAACAAGCAATCGTCGAGGATCGTCGGGCATCGACGTGCTCGTTGGAATCCGGGGGAAACCATCGCAAAACCTAACCCCGTAAGTACCGTAGGAGTCTACGAGACTATGCACAATGGAAGTATTTTGTTAGCTCCTATATCCGATGGTCTGGAATTTTGGACAGGGCTGGGGTACGGAGCGCTCAGTGAGTCTATGTTATGCCCGACGAGTCCTGCTTCTTTACCGATTGGGTTCTGTAAGGGCTTCACAGTGCAATACTTTGAAGAAATAGGAATTCATAGAACTTCATGATGCACAGTGTGCAGTTAGGAAGTTCGCAGGGCTTGCTTAGTAGGCGAGGATCTTAGCTGATGGCACCTATATGGCAACTTCTATGCAGATTTGCCATGGCCTTGCCCTCGTGAGATCATGTTGCAACTTGCTCGGAGTTGTCGAAGGTCAACGTAACAGCTCAGAGCCTGTCATCGGTGGTAATTGGGTCGACATATCCAAGAGCCTTCATGGATCATCATGTTGTGATAGGTAGGCGGGTATTAGTCCTTTTGATCGAATGATTCCCTTTGACGCTCATTATCTCAGGTCTTCTAATTTGAAGCATCTCTACATAGCGTGACTCACTGTCCACTAGGAAGCCAATAAGACTATTGGGATGCTCACAAACCCTTCTCAGGCGGAGATAACGACGCCATGCTCAAATCTTTGCTATGTGCTAGGCGCCTCAGAGCGTGGGGTATAAGAGCGTCGCAAAATGCGTCTTGTGGCTCCTCAGCACCATGAGCGTGTTATCTCTGTCCTCGTCTTTCCTCAGAGAGCTCCAGCGCAATAAGTCTCTGTATGCTATTCTGCTTTTAGGCTTAACTGCGTATTCGGTTGTTCGCTACATCAGAAGCCCCTATCGCAAGCTTCCTCCAGGACCCAAGGGCTATCCCATCATCGGCAATTTCCTGAATATTGGTGAGAAACAATGGCACGTATTCACTGAGTGGAAGAAAGTCTATGGTGAGACCATTGTATTGTTTCGCTGCTATCTAGATGCTGAGATTTTGTCTAGGCGACTTTGTGTATTTCAAGGCTCTTGGCCAGCCGATGCTTGTTTTGAATACTCAGAAGGCAGCAGCCGATCTTCTTGATAGGCGCGCCGCAAACTATTCGGATAGGCCCCCACACATAGTTGCTTGCGAAATCCTAACGGGAGGTCTTATTCTTGGTTTCACGCGTTTCGGAGATCTGTGAGTTTGACATCAACCTTAAAGATACCAATATCCGCTGACCGTAATCTGACCCTGCTTAGTTGGCGCCGCATGCGCAAGGCTGGCAATGAGGGACTTCACAAGGGCGCTGTGCCCAGATACTACCACAAGCAGACTATCGAGTCTATTACCCTCGCTCTTGGCATGGTTACCGAGCCTCGCCTGTGGGATCGACATGTGCGCCGCACTTCGGCCTCTACTACGCTGGGCATCGTCTACGACGCTCCTACGATCGCTTCGGAGCATGACCCCCATGTTAGACGCATTAACGAGTTTGTGGCACGCTTGACGCGGGCTGCTCTTCCTGGCGCTCATTTCGTAGACTTCTTCCCGTTCATGAAGTATATTCCGAGCAGGTGCGTTCAAGGTTTGCTAGAACTTTCAGTCAAAGATTGATAGATCAACAGGTTTGCCAAATGGAAGCGCGAGGCAGAGGAGTGGTGCGTACGCGACTCAGCCATGTTCGAAAGTCTACTCAGCGGTGTACGCTCTCGGATGGTAAGGCAACACTCACACCATTCCCATAAGATTATTAACAAGAAATCATTCAGGAAAAGGAGGGAGGATTGGTTAGCCTAAGTGCTACGTTGATTAAAGACCAAGCGCGGGTCAATTTGAGTGAGCATCAGAACGCCTGGGTTGCTGGAAGTGTCTAGTGAGTGTCAAAGTCGACTGAGCCAAAAAATGACATACAAACCCATCATAGTTCTGCGGGAACGGAGACAACAGCCAGCACCATGGCCTGGTGGATGCTTGCCATGGCCACGAACCCCGACGCTCAGAAGCGCGCGCAGGCTGAAATTGATACTGTCGTCGGTCGCTCTCGTCTCCCAAGCTTCGCCGACTTCGAGCACCTTCCGTATACTCGTGCCATGGTTAAAGAAGTCTTGCGTTGGAGGCCTGTCGTCCCTGTTGGCTCGCCGCATCGATCGATCAAAGACGATTGGTACGAAGGCCACTTCATTCCCGCAGGCACAGTTTGCATCACGAACGTTTGGGCTATCAATCACGACACGACGATCTATGGCGAAGATGCGGCGCTGTACAATCCTTCTCGCCATCTTGATGAACATGGCCGTTTGGCGCCGAGTCCCCCTGACACAAAGGAGCAGAGCCATGCGACTTACGGATTTGGTCGCAGGATATGTCTCGGCATGCACGTTGCGAACAACGCCTTGTTCATGTACATCGCCATGGTGGTGTGGGCTATGAATATTGAACCGATCACAGGTGCCAACGGGAAGCCGCAGGATTTGGACGTCTACGCTGATATCGATGATGGACTTGTGGTGTACGTCTAAGGTTCTTATCCCTTTCTGTTAACTTACTCACTTGACGAACACAGGAAACCTCCGCCATACGAGTACAAGATCACGCCACGCTTCCCTGATGCTGCGGCGATGTTGGAGCAAGCTAAAGAGACGATGGGTAATTGACCCATGCGGCTTAGAGTTCATGGGCTCGTCATATGCTCCCTTTTTGTAAGATAGATGCAGTAGGTTCACAGAGAACGACGATGTGTTTAAGCATGTCCCTATGCAGAAAGTGTGTCTCAAAATCGTCTCGGATTGCATGTTGATGCAATGCTAGCTGCAAGTGCGTTGGCCAATCTTGAGATTCTTGTCGCTAGGAGTGAGCGAGGCCAGATGCGATGCACTTAATCCACAGCCGAGGTATTGATCAGTGTATGTTTCATGCGAGCGCCTTTGTGAATGTTGTGATGCAGCCGCATGTATCCCGCATTTGACGTGAATACCATATGTACGGTAGAAATACATCGATTGCGATCGAATCAGATCCGGGAGTCTGGAAGAATAGCTTTTACACAAAGAACAGTTGTACAAGGTCAGCCACGGGGACTAAGAGAACGCGTAAGCGTTGGACATTGTCTGAAAGATCACTTGAAGGCGAGCTGTTTGGGACCAACTGCAAGGCTAAATAGTAACGTGAGATTGGAGCTAATTCATTTATCTGTACATATTAGTATATAATCAACGAGGTACCATGCAGCTCGTCTGTGTGAGATTTCCTCATGGCCATCATGATGTTCCGCTGCTGTGCGATGTGGCGGAATTCAATGGCAATGCGTTGAAATGTACCGCTGCGATGCAAGCGCCTAACAGAAGTAGGACTGCATTCCGAAGAACAATAGCCACCTTGGTGAGGCCTTGAGATGTCCATTGTGCGTGAGCGCCCTGGATAAATAGGCGGTCCATCTGATCGCTGTAAGAGAAACACTTTGCTTGCCCTTCGCTTGTGAATAGCATTGTTCGCCTTGACAAGCCCTCCCGGAGGAACCCACATGCATGTCCCACTCTGTATTGTCAATACATCGCACAGCATCAGCTGCAAATGGATACAATTTGAAGCCTGGATCTTCCATGAACGCGACCTCGCAAAAAATTCGAAGGCTGCACAGAGAAGCATTGAGGCATGCTCATCGCCTCCCACAATTTCATTGGACACAGGATTGCAAGATACGGCCACGAGGGCTCACAGCATTCCGGGACCTCGTAGGGTTACGCGGAGCGCACAATTGCAAGATCCTGTGGTTCGTGCGAATGACTGGGTCAATGTTACGATATCGGGAGTTGTAGAGTGCATGCCCAACCATCCAGAGAGGACAGCTCCTGCGCCACCCCAAAGGATAAAGGTTAGTCAAACAGATCTCTATTTGGGAGAATATCATTGACATTGTTGCGCAGAGAAAGCCCGTACCTTCAATAGGCGATTATCAGGCTGAGCCCGTCCATAGAATTACCTCTATGGGCGCTGCAGTTCTCGACTGTGAGCAGTTTTGAACAACATCGCTGTCACATAACTGATCTGGGTCAGCGCATCAGCTCAAATACTTATCGAGCCGAGCCAAGGCTGTCCCGATGTTCCCCTGCAGGTTTGTACTAGAGAAATTGCTTCGTCGCACAAAGACAGCGGACCGATCGTGATGCAAACGCAAACATCTATAAGGTCGAAGCTGAGGCCTAGCCGAGCCGATTTAGAGACATCTCTCAATGTGAAACATGATCACAAGTCACACACCTCAGGAAAGACGTCGCAGTATTTAGTCACAGGTTCACTGGGAAATGATACGCAGGGCATAGGCCATGGACTGAGCCACCGTGCTGAAGAGACGACGGACAAGGTGACAGAAGATCGTGACGAGGGCCATTATATCGAGGAACTTCGAAAAAAATGGGGTTGGACCGAAGAAGATCTGGAGAGGATGGTCCGACGATCGCACGTTCCTAGAGGAAAAGGAAGGATCAAAAGATAATCGTTGAGGATATGAATTCTGTCGCCGTATATCTTGTTCTCTTGAACAAGTTTCGGGCGGGGGCCGGCCCACTCTATTCAGTTGTGTACATAACATGACTTTCGTTGCTGCATGAATATGATTTTTAGTAGTTGCTCACCAGTCCAGAATCACCGAAAGCAACTAAGGTAGGCCGCAAGCAAACACGACTACATCACGTGGCGTTACATTTACATGACATTGAGTGACCATGGAGTGACAAATTGAGTAGTTAATAAGTAGTATTTGTTGACAATAAGTGAGCAGGGGGATAGGAGAGACAGAAAGTGGGCGAGGAGTGTAATGAAAGTGATACTGCATAAGTATCTTACTCTATGTGATGTTCATCTAGCTGCTCCAAAATTGAGTCCGGAAGCCTGCGATGTCCGTGGTATCTTTTTGCTGTCCAAGATGCCAATAAACTTATGATTAAAAATATATATTCCACTTCCGGTCATAGCAACACTCAAAAATATTCAAAATGTATCTTCTCTTTAACTGAGTCCAAAATGGAAAAAGCGGCACGGAGCAAATGTCAATAAAACCGATACGAAGGATCGCTCCGTGCCCGATTTCTCAATTTCTTCTCGGTGAGTGAGAAGATAGCGTTTTCTTGCGAATGTAACGCCTTCCCCCGCCAAATGTGACATCTGAGCATCACGTGATGTAGTCGCGTTTGCTTGCGAGAACTTGCGACATGTGACCGGAAGAAACGTTTTGCATAGGCCACATTAGTCACCTCACTAGGCCGCGGCCGCATACTCACCGCATACTTCACAAAGCTCTCAAAATCGCATTCCCTTCTAAAACTAAACTTAGGTCCCCCAAGTCTGATGATTTTCACCGGATTCCTCGCTTTGAGTCCACGCAATCTCTGATTCATATGAGAGCCAGGCACCGGCGCCGAAATCTCAATCTACTCAGGAAGACGGTCCGAAGTATAAATTTTCGAATGCATTGACACGGTTCTTGCGAGCGAAATCCATGGTGTCGAATGCCTTCTCCTGCCTCGTGTCGAAGTACTTTCAATAGCGAACACATACAAGGGCGATAATTAACCGGGCAGGCAGGTCATGCTAATCGCCTTCTTTGCAATCTAGCAACTGTTATATGCAGGTGCGGGTGAAGTTCTGGTATGGGCAACCCTCTCAGCACTGCCAGCATGCTATCAACATCACTAGCTTTTTTCTTCACGTTCATCCTCTACGCCTCTCTTGCCCGCACGACCCAGGCCTTAAGTGTTCGCTCCTCTGTTCTAAGCAACAGCAGCAAGAGTCTCATTGTCGAGACGACTTCGGGCAAAGCCCGTGGATTCTTGGATAATATTACCACATCCATCTCACTAAAGAAATGCTTTGGTATTCGGTATGCGCAAGACACATCGGGGCATAACAGGTGGCGCCCACCCCAACCATATCGCTACAATGATACAATATTCAATGCAACAGCTTTTGGACCGGCTTGTTTACAAGGTCGAACGGACGGCGGGAGTGGTACATCTGTGCAAAGCGAGGATTGTCTGAGGATTAACGTCATAGCGCCAGTGGGGGCTAAGGAGTTGCCGATATACCTATACTCTTAGTAAGTACTCTGTGTTTATGGCTCCTCACACAGTTTTTAGAAACTACAGGACAGTGGTGGCGGTTTCGACAGCGGCGCCTCCTCCGATCCTAAGATCGATGGCTCTTTCATGGCAGCAAAAGGCATAGTTTTTGCCAGCTACAATTACCGTCTGTCGTTATGGGCTTGGCCGCATGCGACTGAGATTGCGCAGGCAAATCAAACCCAGAACTTCGGTCTTCTTGACACTCGTGCTGCCATTCGGTGGATTCAGGCCAATGCAGATGTGTTTGGTGGGGATCCCGCAAAGATTACACTAGGCGGTGCGTCTGAAGACAAAATTGGCATGATTCAAGCGTTGACCGAGTCGCAATATCACAGGTGAATCTGTAGGTGCCGGTGCGTACGCGCTTACCATCAGATGGTCAGCGACTGAAATCGCGGGCCAGAAATGACGAACTTTTACCTCTCGGCGTGGCCTGACGATCCTATCATTCGAGGAGCTATAATGCAGAGCTCAGACAGTGCGTTTAATTCATCTTTATTGATGGTGTTCCTTTAACGATGGACTGTTCAGCTTCTCAACCGCAATGGGTACTCGGAAATCAGCTCGAAGCTATATCAAAAAATCAATCATGTCCAACAGGCAACGGTCAGCTGGATTGTTTGAGGGGAAAAGATGGCTTTGCTCTCCAATCCATCTTGCTGGAGACCGGTAACCAATTTCAACCTGTCATCGACAACATCACTGTCTTCAAGAATTATGTGAAACAAACAAGAGAGAACAGAATTGCGAATGTACCTTTGCTTATTGGGACAAATAAGGTATTTTTGTCTCGAGACATAATACGCGAGTAATATATCTATAATTATGAAGGGACACTTATCGTGAATGGAGAGCCAACGGCATATACAAACGAAGCGGCTTATATGTGAGTGCCTTCTAGTGCGGCTTGGTTGGTACGCGAGAGATGTTTCTATGTTCATTCCTTTGTGTCATGCAGCAAAAGCAACAATTTTAACTTCCCATTTGCGAATACAACCGACGTGCTGAAATTATACCCGACGTCTTCCACTCTCTACCCATCTGTTTATAATGCGACTTCTGCTATGTGGAGGGATGCTCATATGCTCTGCCTTGCTCACAACCTTGGAAAATGGCGAACGGAGGCACTGGGGCTTCCTGTTTGGCGGTACAGGTTCGACTTAGTTGCTAACAACCTTAATTCGTTGGGTGCGTCCATTGGGACATTTCATGGTAAGCTTGTTTTCTTTGTGCCTTTTGAAAGTCTCCTTAAGATAAATACAGGAGAGGACATTCAATTTGTCATGGGGTGCGGAGTGTTAGACACTGTCATCGGAACACAACCGACAGTTATACCCAATTAGTACGACCAGCCTCATCGCCCTCAGTCCGCCGTTCATTCCCGTGACGCCATTTGAGCAAGAGGTTTCGGATTACATGCTCGCAGCCTGGACCAACTTCATCAAAGGCGATTTTTTGCTTCTACCTTCTCCACCTGTGTTTGAACGAGCCCTGCGTAGATCCTCTCAAGGGTCCGCAGATATCTGGATGGGACAAATACGACCCAAAAAACTCTAGCACACTCGCTATCTTGGGAATCTCCGACTCCGCTGCTATTGCTGGAGACCATTTCGCTGTAGATGCTGTCTGCGAATACTGGAATAGAATTCTGCCAATATATCCTCTGGTGAATTTCATCAGCTTTCATGACGATCTGTGCATTTACATTAGATTGATTGTGTAGACGTTCCCGGCATGCGGGAGTTGGACGTGCTTAAACTGAATAGATACTTCGACAAACAAAGATGTCTCCTCGATACTCATGCAGAACGCACTCTTAAGGCAAATATGTATGCGCTTGGGGACTGGTATTGAGACTTTGCCATTGGACGAAAGACAAATCATATAGTCATGCATACACACACACGGAGCAATGCAAAGACAGACGCTAAAACACATCTTCCGGGAGACACCCCACGAAAAACCAGACATGTTTGTCATTATTTAGCCTCCTCTGCTTTCAAGGTAGAGGTTGGCCAGAGTTGATCGCATTCGCAACCTGACTCGTGTTCGGACGGTTATATGCATACCTGCAGCATGGAACAAAAGATTGAATGTAGCAGCGAGCCTTCGGCCATCTTATGCTTACCTCTCATAACTATCCAAATACAGCTGCTCAGTGCTGCAGGTGCTCTTGAATGCGGGATGTTCGAAGATACGATGAAGCCACGCGGCGAATCGAGGTCCTACAGGAAGATCGAAAGCCCGGTAGTGCTTGAGCACGTTGATCGTGCGGAACAACCCTGATTACCAAAACGTTACTATGTTCAAAATGATGTCACTAAGAGTAAGAGGACATACATGGTTGGCCATGACATCCGTCCAGTTAAGTGTCCCTCCTTCCTTCCAGAGACCTGATCCGGCCTCTGTCTCCCTATCTGCGCGCTCCAAGAGAGACACAAGCTCCTCAAGAGTCGCATGGAGTTTCTTGCTCGTCTCAATTTGAGTGGCAGTGTCCTGAGCTTGTAGGAAGCGATAGAATGTCGGTACCAGGGCTCGATTGACATGGTCGGCCTGGAGCCGGACCAGAGCACGAGCATAGGGGTCCGTGAGGGGCGGAAGGAGGGTGGAAGACGCGGTGCGAGCGGAGAGACTAAAAACGAAGGTAGGCTCGGTGAAGTACGAGAGCAGGATGTTGAGATACAAGCTCTTCGAGATCTTCCATGATTACCGTACTTTCGTTGAGGGCTCTCGGCGGATTGCATGTGTTGAATTTCAAGCCGGGTACTAGGCCCTTCGGGGACACTTCAAGGAGATCCCGGGGCTTCTTATAAGGATCGGCTTCGTCTGACGAGAACGTACGTGCAATTGAGTGATCAAACGTGACGCTTCGTATAAAATACTCAACAGTACTGTAACAACATAAGATCGTGAGGAATGTCTCCTAGGGAGATTTCAAGATAACACTCACCTGGTACGGAATGCTGAGGAACTCAAAAGAGACCCAAACTCGCTGGACAAACGGGCAAAAACAGCTCCCAAAAAGTGTGATGTCCTCCTTGGCGCTGTGTTTCTTGACAGTGTCCAACGCGAGGCCCGTGCATTCCAGATGATATTGTTTACCAGAATCGCTTGCAACAGACATGGTAGTGAGAGAGCAAAGGCAATGGAAGAGCACAGTTAGAAGATATATGTCGACATTGTCACAGGATACTACTTTTGGACTCGACTTGACGGCGGTTCACTCAGGTATCATTTCGCATGGTACATTCGCACTGAGCACACTTGCTAAGGAGATTTTGCTCGAATTGGTCCGACAGACACACCAATGATGCAGAACAACCTGACTTTATTGGCTGGACTAGAAATGATCGCGTGGGGCCTCACATTGGCGAGGACAAATATAACTAGCCACGAAGAGCTCAGATTGCTCGCAATGCACCAATCTTGAATCACCCATCAGCTGTAAGCCTCTGATAGGATATGTAGCACCCACCAATCGGATATCTTCACGATGTCCTACGGAGATATTCTGTCCAGAGAGAATCTACGAACACTGTGTCCGTCTAGGAGTTGTACCACAGTCGCGCTTAGAAATTGTGTCAACGACAAAGAGGAACCAGGACTCACATGAATCATGGTCAAGATTTCCCGCACAAAGTTCACCTTCCCCAGCTCAGTCTGAACTGCTTTGCCATTGACCGCAGTTAGGATCGCCTCTCTCGCGGTGTCATGATCAACTGTTCCGTTCACAGACACACTGGTGCCGTTCACAGCCGTCCTTTCTTTGCCCTTGCCCTTACCGTTCTCCTTCACTCCGTTCGCACGGCTCTCGGGTACGAATTCAGGCGTAGGAAGAGGAACGGGCGTGGTATTGACCCCCCCTGGAACGTCCCAGCTCCTTTCAATCTCAGCCCGCTCTCGCTCGTTGTCACGTTCCCGCTCTTTCCTGCCCTTTCGCTTTCCCTTTCCTCTTCCATTGGCTCCCCTTTCCTTCTGGCGCCGATCAAATACATCCATATCGCTCAGAGCGCTTGTATCCGCGAAATCGAGCTCCACGACGTCCCCGTCATCTGAGCCTTCCCGATCGTCGAGCGGTGCACGAGTATAAGGCCACAAAGCGGAGTCAGACTGGAAGGGAATGAGTGGATGCGGAGTAGGTTTGGCACCATTGCCATTGCCATTGACGTTCGCATTCATGTTTGAGACGGAGGGGTTGCTGGACGAAGAGGTAGGGGGGCGGGCAGAGACGCCCACAACTGTCGAGTTAGAGCTTGAAGCTGCAATGGAAGAAGGCGGGGAAAATTGACCCGAGCGCGGCGATGCCGCTCGTTCGGCAAGAGGCGTCGCGTCACCACCGCCTATGCGGATGAGATTGGGGCGCGGAGTAACGTCTCCAAGGACATGCCCGGACTCATTGTGATGTCCATTGGGAAGTGAGAGGGAAGGTCGGCCATCTTCACTATTGAACACGGTACTGGACTCGGAGTATTCCGCACCAGACGCATTGGATTGTACGTCGTCACTGCTCTCTATATCACCTTCATAGCGATTTTGGGAACCAGAGTGACGGGAAGAAGTGGCAGATGATGTGCGAGAAGTAGGGGATTGCTGCATGGGGAGGCCGAGGAGGGAGGAGATAACGTCTTGAGTGAGAATCTGGGGTAAGGCACTACTCGTCGGCTTGGGTGAGTGGATTTCGTACTGCGCAGGCAGGGATTGACCACGAGAAGACTCGGGAGGGTAGTGTGATTGAAATTGTGCTTCCGCGTAAGATAGTTTGGTCGAGGGAGGTGCCGAAGGAGGAGCGGGGAAGGGGGATGCTGAAGAGTCGTGGACAGGTTGCTGGGATGCGGAGGCAAATATAGAGTCCAGAAGGGCAAGTCCTTTCGTGGACGATGTGGAGATGGATGGAGGGGGCGATGTGTTCGAAGACTGTGTTGCGGGTGTGGGAAGTGGAGAAGCAGATGCAAAAAGATCAGAGAGTGTCACTTTACCAGATGGTGCGGGAGTGGTGGGGGTAAGGGAAGAGGATATCGATGCGGAGGAAGGGACCAGTTTGGAAAACAGCTTATCAACCTCTGACATGTTGTTGCCAAAGGCGGGCCCGTTCGCGCTAGGTTCGCCAATAGGGGCTGTAAGAGGCTGAGTTGAGGTGGCGAAAGCGGAAGATGAAAATTTTGCGCGTTCGCTGCCCGTTCCCGAGGTGGTTGAGGAGCCGCCATTTGACCTAGAATCGGGCGGTGGTGGCCGATCAGGCCCGTACCTAAATTCCTCCGGGTATGAGTCCATCTTGCGGATGTACAGATGCAATCTAATTCAGATTGAGCTTGGACCAGTGATTTGAAGTGCATTGGATGAGATGAGGTATTTACCGCTTCATGACTTCCTTCATCGGTTCGCGTGAGCCGGTCACAAACATCCATAGCCCAACGGTTTCCGTTCGGCCCTTATCAGGATTTTTAGCCAGGAGGACTTGCCAATTTGTGAGTATATCGGTGGGAGAAGGCTCGCGGCCATGTGCATCTGCATAGTCTGAGGGTGTGCTAGTAGGTCGTGCGGTCATTGAACTCGTAGATGGTGCAGCAATTTCTGGGGAGCTGTTCGATGATGGAAGAGAGGCAGGGTGGGGACGCGCCATAGCTTGACGCTTGGTAGTGAAATCGGGATAGGAGCGATACATAAGGTATTCACTGTGTGTTTCAACATCGTCCTCCGGATACATAAGATGAACATAGTCTTCCATGCCCATACGATTTAGGATATAGAAGCCATAGGGTGGGTAGGCATTTCTAAGGACATAAAGTTTGAGCATGGAAGGAGTAATGGACATTGACGAGATGATATCAAGGTTCAGAGAGAAGCCGTGGCCCTGCGACCGGATCATGCAGATGACCAAGGAAAATGAAGGGATAGAATTGGGTGAACAAGATCGCAAGGGAAGAGACGCACCGTTCAAAGAGGAACATACTACCCTCATAGCCTTTTTTCTCCCACTTTGTGCCATTGTGATGATACAAGCATACATGACTGAATTGATCAAAGATAGAGACAATGGATGGATCGTGACGACGAAGGACCTTGAGATTCTGTTGATATCTTAATGCGGGTGACATGCCCACCGCAGGCGAGGGTTTGGAGGTCACGACTGATGATGCGGGTTGTGGACTGTGATTGAAGGGTTGGACAGGGGGAAGAGATCGTTGCGACCTTGGTTTATTATGGACAGCGACATTGTTAGTGATATTGGACGACTTTGCGATGGAGGAGGAGCGCGAGCGGCGGGATTTGTTCATCGTGGTCAAGCACAAAGGGCGATGAGCGCAGCGCTGAGGCGTGACGCTATTGTGACTTGCCATAAGTCACACGTGTGACCGCCGACGGGACTTGCAGAAATTGAGTCTTGCGCACGAATTCTGCGTAGATGCCAGTCTGCGGCCGGAGCGGTGCAGAAATAACAAAGTCCTCATAGTCGCTAGGTAGGACGGCAACGAGACTACCTATCTCGCGGCCTATGCAGAAGTGGGAACATCCGACGAGGCCCCATCTCGTGCCCGCTGCAGCGTCCGCATCCATCTGACATCCCTCCCAACCTTGCCCTCTCGTGCACGCTGCCTTCGTCGGTTCAGGTGATCCCAATCCTCGCCTACTCCGACTTCCTTTCCATATACTTCTTTCTTTTCGACCTCCTGCTCCTTCTCCGTGGGCTTGTGCGCCTTGATTTGCCATAGCCAGGTGTCCATCGTGGATGTGAGCGAGTTGCTCGTGGCGTGGGCGCGCTGCGCCTTGGTCATGGACGCGAGTCGTTGTTCAACCTCTTCGGAGGACAACTCACGCAAAGTGTGGATCTTTTCGACCTCTTTCAGCTTGACAAGGTCTGGAAGAATAGTCCGCTTCAGAAATCTGCATGATGAATTGTGTCACGCATTGGTTTTCAGGACAGAGGAGTGAGACATACCTCATAGAGCGTATTGGATGCTCAGGGTGGGGAGGCTGAGGAATTCTCATGTCTTTGAGGATCCCCGTAGTGCTCTCCGCGTCGGCCACCTTCTGCTGTATGGCCTGGTTGTAGATGTCCTGCGTGGCCATGGGTTTGGAATTGGAGCGGAGGACGTTCCGGACAACATCAAGGGCCACTCTTGTCGAATGTCGCGTCCATGGGTACAGATTAAGGACCATGATGAAGGTCGCGTGGAAGAGTAGATAGTCGTTACAGTGCACGCTTGGGTTTCTGAGGAAATATTATGTAAAGCTTTTCAATTCTTACATGTTTGTTAGATAAGTGGTAACACATTGGGTGAAATGCTTGTCCTTTTCTAACGTCCGTCGGTAGGATCTTCATGGAAAACCCCAAGCGCAGTGTTAATATAATTTGGTCGATACCTGCTGGCTTCTGTCACTAGAAAACCCATTGTTTTAAGAGTCAAAAGAGTCGCTTCCAAAGTTTGCAATTTATTTTATGTGCCATTCATCATCCAGACTAACGGAGAACAATGCTGATTCTCTGCAACCAGGGGACACTAAGTACAATCGCACACCTTTGTGTCAAAAGAACTCATCATCTGGCTTCCAATTCTTCGCCATATCCCAGTAGCCCGCCATTTTCATGCCTAGCGCCTCTCTAGCCGCTCCATCCGTTGGACAGCTCTTCGGTCTGAAGTTTGTGAATGCTCGGTCACGCAACTGCCCCTCCCATACCATATCGCAACGGTTGTCTTCAAGAGACACCTCCCCGATCTGTGTCCCATCGTCTGCCTTGCTCTTTCCTTTGCCAGCGTTCTCGACAGTGTCAGGTATTTGTCCCTCTGAAATGTCGAGAACAACATCTTCTTCGCCTCGCGCACGGGCAGCTTCCGTCCATGCGATGCGGTGGAGCATTAGCCGCTGATACATCCGAATGAACTTTGCTGCACCCTCGACGTATACTAACGAGAACGAGGGATTGAAGATCGCGATACCCGTGAGGTTCATTTGCTCTGCATTCTTGCGTACTTTGAAGCGATGTGCTGGATCCGAGAGTGTCTTTATCCTATATGACGTATATTGTGCACGGTCCAGGCATGACAATGAAAGGAAGGGGAAAGGACGCACTTGAATACAGCAGCATAAATACCCTTCTTCTCTTCCTCGACCTTCTTCGTCTCAATCTTCTCGCGCCGCTGATCATCAGTCAGCTTGCGCTCCGCATTCATTTTTTCGTGTCCATGCTTTCGTATTGCAACCTCACGTCTCACCCGCGCCTCGACACGGGTTGGATCTTGCACAGCATCTGAGGTGAGGACCTTCATCAGATTCGCAAGGCGAACTGTGTAGATATGTCAGGAATGGCGTGAAAGATGCAGTAGGGGGCTGACAGACCTTTGGGTGGGTCAGGAGGAATGAGACCCATGCGGATGCGGTCCCGCTTATCTTGTAGTTCGGCTTGACGGCGTTGCTTGCGCATCTTCTTTTGCTCCTGAAATTTTTGAAAGAGTACGAATGAGATATGGAAATAACAATATGATAAAACGAGATAAACCTTCTTCGTCAACATGAGTGGCTTCACCGCAGGTGTATTCTTCTCGCTCGGAGCGACGATAGGGATGGGATGCTGAATGTATATATTGATGGGTGAATGCTGGTTCCGTATGTTCAACAGTGAAGGGCCCAAATTGACGAGGTCCTCGTAGGTCTTGTTGGGTAAAAGAGCAACATCCCACCATTCTGCATCGGGCGGAGGCTCACGCTGCAAATGGGGTCAAAGAGGTGCGTACATTCCAGACAAGAGACGGCGTACGCGAATGTGCTTCTCCAACGTGTCGAATTCAGAATCTAGACCTGCCTTGCGCGCGCTCTGTGCAATTCGTTGCTTGAGTGCTTCTAGCTGTGCTTCTTGCCTTTGTTGATTCGCCAGTGCGACGTACTTGCCCTTAGGATTAAACTTCATCGATCGTCCTACGCGTTCACGCGGCGCGCCCTCGAATCCGCTATCCCCCGCCGACGAGGCTGCAACAGCATAAGGATTCTCTTTGGGAGGAGGGGTAGGGGCGACGGGAGGGGGTGTCGGCACGTTGCGCGTATTGGCTTTCATCGATGGGAACTTGGGTTGCATAGGCTTGTACCTGTCCTTTTTGGACTGCGGCACGGTTGGGGTAACGTCGAGGAGAAGCGGATGAGCGGTCATTTTGAGGCCGGCTCCTTGTTGTGCGGGTTCAACGAGTTTGTTCTTCTTTCCTGTCTGAGGCATTGACTGCGGACGTGAGCAAGGCCCAAGCCATTTAGACGAGTTATATCTGGGAAGGGAAGCAGGTACGCACCATGTAAGGGTTGTCCTTGATGGCAAGTTTGCTCTGCGCTTCGGCAACCTTCCTTCGAGCCTCCGCAACCTTTCTTGCTAAATCATCTGTGACAGAGGGCGACGGCGATTGACTGGTTGATGCTGCCGGTCGTGGGGTTGGCATGGCAGATGCGGATGTGACAGAGGGAGTGGGAGTTTTCAGAACAGACCCCGCAGCTTTTTTTTGCATGGCGGCAAGCTTAGCTTGAACCTCCGCCTTCTTCTGCGTGATCAAGGCGGCTTGGGATAGCTGCCGGTCGTCTTAGAATTCATGTTGAACACAAGGAACATCCTGGAGAAAGACTCACTTCTGCCGTAGAATTTGTTTCGTGACTGGGCGTCTAGGAATGAAAAAGGTTATAGAGACAAGTCAGAAGAATTGTGGGGGGCTATTCACCTTCAACGCGAAAGGAATGTACTCACTGCAACATTACTGGAGGGAGGAGTGAGTGGAATATAGCCACCGCTAATATGATGAAGACACATACCTTCGAGTCCGTTTAGCTGCGGAAACATCTGAACCGCCTTCTAGAGGCCGTTTCCTATCGCTCATGGTGCAGTCGTCGTCGTCACTGTTGTCGGTAGCAAGTGCTCGCTACAAGGAGCGGAGATCGAACCTCATGAACAAAGAGCGGCAGTGATGACATAAGCACTGTTCCGGTATGTTCTCCCTTTCCTCTCCTCGCGCTCTACTTTCCGCTTGCAGACCTCTCCTCAGCACTGTTGGCCTCAGGCTCCAGGCGCCTGGCCTGACTTGCGTTAATCATTCTTTTGCTCGTTTCCGATCCCAACTGGCACCGCGACGCGTCACACATATCAAGCGGCACAAGGGTACAATTCCCATCCCTATCGGAGGATCGACGAAAGGAACGACGCTAGCATATGGAGACTGGGGGATAAGAATTAAGGGACAAGGAGTTAGAATTACCGCGAAGCAGTTGACCACGGCGGAAGAGGTGATCAAAAGGAAGATCAAACTTGTCAAGGGTTCCAAGGTGTACATGCGAGTGTTCCCGGATATTCCAGTGTGCATCAAGGTATGAACGCATTAGACGCTCGTATAGATGAGTCTTGGTCTTGCTTATGCTTATGTCTGTAGGGAAATGAAACTCGTATGGGAAAAGGTAAAGGCACATTCGAGTTCTGGGCAACCCGGTGCGTTGGACACGCAGATATGCTGTTTCTAATAGACTGACGTGCCAATAGTGTTCCAACTGGCCGTGTCCTCTTTGAGATCGGAGGCGCACCTGTTCGTGAAGAGTTGGCCCGTGACGGTATGTGCTCCAGGATATTCCCTCGTGCCTAGCTCTCAAATGGATCCTTCGCTAGCTCTTCGCCAGGCTGCCAACAAGCTTCCTACCTTGATGGAATTCATCGACCGGAGTGCACTACCCCGGCTAGGTAATCTTCTCATTACTCCAGAAAATACAGCGGTGGAAGAATCGCCTGCAGGAGCTAAGACCGTTGATGTAGCATAATTCTGTTAGACTGCACACGCATATCCATAGTCCAATAACTCAGCTACTTGATGAGATACACATACACTCTTTTCATCATCTGCAGCCTTTCTATTTGGTAAATTGTTTTATTTTTCGACTTCGGACTATAAGAACTGTTTATCGCCGATGATTTGAATAATATGTGATTCGCAAGTTGCTTACTTTGTTTTATTTTTCAAAGTAAGCTGCTCGACTGCTAGTTGGGCATTGAATATTGAATGTTGAACAATTATCTTCATGGATATTTGGAGAGGAATTTTGACTCTGTACAGCAAGGGTAGGGTTCCATAAGTAATTCCCCGAGAGTTTCTAACATTTATTAATAACATGCTTGAGTGCTCTGAGCCTTTATTAACATATGTTAATAACAAATTAATAACATTTGTAAATAAAAGATTAATAAGATGTAAGAAATTGAATTATTTACATGTGAGAAAAGAAAGTTGTGTTAATAATCCAAAATCACCAACTCCAGTCAATCTAGGGGTTAGAAATGAAATGGGGAATTGCAGTGGGAGAAGGAGTAGCTAAGGGCAAATGCTTTGGAGTGAGAGCAAATAAACCATAGATGGTTATAGGTGCTCAATACTTTAGTTTGACCAATGAATATGCAAAACTAACAATCAAAGGACAATTACTTTTCTAGCACTGATTACATCTGTAGTGTAACCTTTGTCCAAACTTGCTTCTTATCTCAACCATATTAAAATAAATATTGTAATAGTGAGGATCAAACTAGTGAATAGCTAGCAACCAAAGATCACATGATCAAAAGATGTCACCTTAGCCACTATACTACCAACACTACACATAAGTTAGTACTAGCATATATATATCTACTTTGTGCAAAAGTCAGTGCTATAAATCTTTTGGATAAGAATAAAAGGCTCTGCTACCTTTGTGACACATAATCTTTTTTCTACCAATGTGAGCCTTCATATATATGTGCTCTGTTTTGTTTTTTGTATAGAGTGTTTGTCTTAAAATGATTTAATATTTTTTTATATTACTAGCATCATTAACATAGGTTTTATAACCTTGATAAGGGACCATGTTAATAATATTGTTTATCAACATGTAAGTAATTTTGGCATTACTTATGGGAACCTTAGGCAAGGGATATATATAATGATTCCATTTTTTAGTTATGAGAATCTTTTCCCTATATTGTATCAAACACATGTACTTACAGGGTCTTGTATAATTTTTGAGAGAGTTATGCTAGGACTTCTATTAGCTACCTATAAGGTATGTTCTAGGCATACCACTCAACTCCCAAATTTTTGAAGGCAGTTTGAGCCTTCGAAATCCCTGATTTTGGGGAAAGACATCCTCCTTAGTTAGTCAAACCTTCAAAGATATAACATACCTCTAAAAATCTGTAAAATTATAGAAAAATATATTATAGTGTTTTAATGTTCTTTGTGTGCCAAATAAATAATTCAAAGCTCTAGAATGATATTGAAAGATGTTAGTTCCACTAAATATAAAAAAGCTACTACTGTGGTGTAGTAAGGAAAATTTTGTAAGCAAGAAAAAGATAAAATATGGATGGGGCAAGTGCAGCTGTATTTTGATAATGAGTAAAGAAAGGCGAGATTTTGTCAGTATAAATACTGAGCTTGATATAGATATTATCAGACATACCATAGCAAAGCCATCTAGAAAACCCCTCCCTTATATTAGATCCAAATTATACCTAATTATTAATAATACTCATCTAAGATAATTAGGATGTATTATAAATAATTATCCATAATTATCTTTATAATCAAATCTGCAATAAACACTATGTTGATTATAATTCTAAAGTTGACTCAAAATCTACAAATCAAGTATAATAATACAGACTCTAAATCCAAATTACATAAGTACCAGAATTTTTTTTACTCTACATAAAGTGTATTCTTCATTTTTATTTAGTATATTATATCCTCATTTAATACATGAATTAAAATTATAAAGCCCTGACTTTTGAATATTTATTGATTAAAACAAAAATGAGTGAGTAATAAGATCAGAAATGTTGAGATTGCCTAAATTATGTTAACATATTTGAATTACCAAGATATTAGTTTAGACCTTATAGCTTAGTAGCTTAGAGTATCTGTTTAGAGTATATATAGTTATGAGATTGTAGGTTTAACTTTGGCCAAGGGCAAGTTCTTTATAAGATAAGACTTTAGGTTTAGATATTCAAGTAGTGGCCTTTATAGATATTTCTAGGTTATAAATTATAGTAATGGCAAGAAATAATGACACTATAATAGATTGTATTTTTCTAAAAATCTACCTGACTGATTAGCTTTAATTAGCTCTAATCAGCTATAATTAGCTCTAAAATAAAGAGGGGATAAGCAAAAAAAATACTAATGCTATGTAAGTAAAATTTTATAAAATTATCAATAATTAGAGCTTAATACAAGAGGGGCATTTCCTAGATATGCTTTATATGTTCAGCATAAAATTAGCTAATATATGGTAATTATATAGCTAACCTATCTAGAAATAGAAAGTTAGCTATATAAGTGGTTCATGATAATGTAGTGGCACTAGTTAGTATTAGCTAGAGCCTACTAGCTGAACTCTAAATCCCTAATTTTGAGAATAAACCTTGGCTCTAGCATCCAAAACCCTTACAAAAAAAAACAGACTTTGGATCCAAATCTGCTCCTTAAACCCCTAGAATCTCTATAGACCTAGGTGCTAATGCACTGCCCAAACCCCTAAACTAGGGACATTGGAGTGGGCAGGGATCATCAGTGGTATTGCTCTATCTCATCAATGTCCCTCTACTGTACATCCTGTGGCTACTATAGGGGATGTTGCTGACTAATGTTTACAGCATCTCCTGCTCCTGTTCTCTCCATTCTCCACTATCTGCCACTCTCTGCCTGTCTGCTCCTCTTCTCTCTGTTTCCCTACTCTATGTGCCCCTACCAAAATTTGCACACTATCCTCAGTGTGCGCATGTAATCTATGTATCTATGTATGGGGTTCCTCTGTTCTCTGCTATCAATCTATGCCCAAAGTTCTAGATGCTGGTCTAAGCTATGATACATAAAGGTGAAATACCAGTTTTTGTTTAAGCAAATATGTAAATGATGAGTATCGTGGGGATGGATGTCAGAAGGGAAACATTATGGAGCAGTGTGGCAAGTTCCATGGGAAAAAGATCAGCTATGAGCGGTGGCGTGGAAAGGAGTGGGTGCGTGGGAGAGATGTGGCACAGGTGAATAATTGGCAAGGAGATGTCATAGAACAGACCGGGTTGGTGTGCAAGAGAGACCGGGGCTGCGTCGGCAAAGTCTTGTGGCGTGGCAACTGATTAGGTGAGGGAGGGAGTGGCTGAAGCCTAGAGTGTCCTAACTAGATGCTGGCATAAGAGCATGTCAGCAAGGAGCGGTGATGCGTATCGTGGTTTCTGCCAAACATAGTGGCGCGTGGCTTAGTCAGGTGACCACAATCACCTGATGATCGTTGATTCTCCAGTGACTAAGTCCCTCATCACCCTCTTTCTGTCACTTCGTCTCCTCGTCTGACTCCTTTTGACCTTTTCACCATGTCTTCCATCCTCTCTGTCCTCAAAGCCAAGCTTGGGGAGTACATGCTCGCCCTTCCCGGCGGTGTTGCCGAGTATGAAGATTACAAGGCCTGGGCGCAGGGGTTTGCCAAATGGGTAGTGAGTCAGTCCTTCCTCTTCTGCTGGCTGCTGATGCCCGACAGGCTGTTTTTGACCATTCAGTGTGTGGGCAAGACATGTCCGAACTCGCCAACTTTATCGCCGAGGCCGAATGTAGTCTCGATCCGATGGCTACCGATGACTGGCTAGTATAGGGAGCATGAATCCTGCTGCAGCGGGCAGCGTGCGTCGCGTTGCAGCAACAACAGGCAGCCGAGGAACAGGCCCTAGTGGAGGAGAGGGAGCATGTTGCCGTTGCTAAATAGGAGGCTGCCAAAGCTGAGGCGGCTCGGGCTGCTGCGGCTCAGGAGTCGGCTAAAGTGGATTGTGAACGGCACCGGGAGGTACTGGTGGACACAATGTTTGATGGATTGCTTGATCCTGAAGAGGGTGAGTGTCAGTTGGCTGAGCTTGAGGCCGAGTCTGTCATTCCTCTCCCTCTCTTCCTTTTTTCCCCTTCTCCCGATATGGCTGCCTCGTCCTATCATCCCAACCCTTCCACCGCTGATTTGGTGCTTGCGTTCGCTACCGACGCCCTGGATCGAATGAGCATGGGTTTGGTTGCCACCGCTGCCCCGACCAACTTGAAGGGCAAACAGTCAGCCACAGCTGTTGTTGTCAAGTTCGCTCATCAACCGACACCACCTCTTGGGCGCGTCGTCCTTCCTCTCGGCCCTGGAACAGGCCGAATGTTGATGGTTAGGTCCCCTGTGGAGCGGAATGGTGCCGGTAAGATGCTCGAAGATCCTCCAGAGTTGTTACCTGGTGATGTACTGGTAAGTTCCCTTCCTCTTGCCACCGCTTCCTCTTGCTAACCATCCTTCTTCTAGGCTGACTACATGTGCCATTGCTGTGCGACCACCTTCCAGACCAAGGCGTTCCGGTGCTACCAGTGACCTGGGCATGTGTCGTGCACTAAGTGTGTCAGGGAGTCAAAGGGCTGTAGCTTTCAGCCTGGGTGGGTGACAACGGAGAAGGGGAAGGGGAAGGGGAAGTTGAAGGGGAAGTTGAAGGGGAAGTTGAAGGGGAAGTTGAAGGGGAAGGGGAAGGGGAAGGGGAAGAGGAAGGGGAAGGGGAAGTCAAAGGGGAAGTCAAAGGGGAAGGGGAAGGGGAAGGGGAAGGGGAAGGGGAAGGGGAAGGGGAAGGGGAAGGGGAAGGGGAAGGGGAAGGGGAAGGGGAAGGGGAAGGGGAAGGGGAAGTCGAAGTCGAAGGAACAGTCGGCACCAAAGTCGGAGGAGAAGGAGCGCCCCTTGAAGTGTCGCAAGGTAGAGGTGGTTGTCCCCGCATGGTCAGTCGGGGATAGCATTGCTCAAACAAAAGGTAAGTTGTCTTTTGGTTGAATTGGAGATGGGAGCTCATCGTTTGGTATCGTTCGGCGCAGCTGCTCACACCAGAAAGCCGGTCCAGCAGCTTTCTACCACTGCTAGGGCCGCCCTCATGCCTACCCACCCTTCACGCGCTCATTTGGATGCCTTCCCCACTTCCACCGACTCTTCTCGCCTCTCACCCATTGTTGCCCAAGGCATCACATCTAAGCTTCGGTACCGTATCGCGGTGGCTGAAGGTATACATGCTTCATTGGCACATTCGGTCGTGATGTGGCAGGCTGAGCTCAAGTCGCTCGAGGTGCGGGCGGGTCCGTCCCCATCCTCCAATGTTGTCTTGGTCGAGGACTCGTCAGAGGCAGACAATTTGGAAATGTCTGTGTCGGATGATGAGTAGGATGGCTTCGGGGGTTGTATAGTATAGTAAATTGTATCATATAAAAGAAGAGGACTGTCCTGAGTTAAATAAGATGTTCAGTGAAGCCTAGAAGCGTTTATTCGGGAAATCAGTTGGCGAAATGACTGTGTGTGAAGGATGTATTCGGAAGGACTGAAGAAAATAAATTAGAATATTAGGGGAAGCCTCAGTATGTCATCACAGGCATAAAACCCTATGGTTTTGTGCAAATTGGAAGAAGTCTTCAATGCAGCTTGGTACTTGCAGGAGTGATGTGGAAAATGAGTGCCGACTATTCGGTCGGTGGTCGGTCGGTGGTAAAAGTACTAAAAGGTGTGGAAATGATTGGGCGTCAGTCCATGTCTGTGACGAATTAAATAAAGATAAGGAATGGGTATATTCGTTGACTCCTCCTTCCTACTGAAATCATGACTGTCCCCAGTCACTGACTGAAGAGAGCGAAGGGTGGGAGGGTGGGATCTAGTCGGAGGTCACCGAAGCCGCATCATTGTCTTCCGCCAACCGGACTGAGCTGGTATCGGTATCTTCATCGGCACTATTGTTTTCGGCATTGTCGTTGCTCAATCAGGAATCTTCCATGGCCCGAAGGCATTCCTCCAAGATGTCAAGGAGGGCTTCAAGTTTGGTGAGCTTCAGAGACCTGCGAGCAAAGTAAGGAATAACATGGAATGCTGCAATTGGCCGATCAAAGACCGATCTATCGAGTTCAGCCAGAATATACGCTCTTCCCCAATTCCTAGAAATTACTAGCAAAGGCCCTAAATACCGTGGACGCATCTTCCAATTGAGCGCCTTTTCTATAGCTGTGTTGCGCATCAGGACAAGCGAGCCTCGGTGGAAATTGAAGTTGCAAAGTGTGGTCAAATGCTGTTGTTCGAATTGGATGGCGGCCTGGACACGGGCGTCAACAACTGAGCTGCGAAGGTGGGCGAGGTCCGATTAGCGTTTCTGCAAAGCGATGGCACGTCGAGCAATGAGGTCGGTGGTGCTGAGGGTTGTGGTCAGTGGTGGTAGAAGATAAGTGGCTTTGGCGATGTCAAGGGGGAGGAGGGGATGGGTTCCAGTCACTGCAAAGTATGGTGGGCAACCCATTCAGCGCTGAACAGTAATGCAATCAGCCCAGAATACAAAATGAGCTGCACAATTCCACTTGGCCTGATCTCCATCAACAGCCTTGAACAGAGCCTGCCGAACATCGAAGTGAGGTTGTTCAGTGATGCCGTTGGCGCGGGAATTATAGCCCGAAATACGGATGTGCCAAACGTGGTACTTTTTCGCTAACTGGTCGAGCGCCTTGATGAATGCTGGTCCATTGTTGGAGACGATCTCTACCAATGTTCCCCATCAGCACAGGATATCCTCAAATATCCAGTCAGCAAGAGCTGAGCTTGTTTTGTGCCGGAGCATTCGGAATTCGGGGTAGTGTGATACCAAACAGCGGCCTTGAACGAGATACTTGAAACCACCAGTGGTCAGCATGTGCATGGTATCCATATACATCTTCGCGAAGAGTGGTGCGGGCATGGCAACGGTTGGGGGAATGAGGATATTGCGAGTCTGGCGAATCTGGCAAAGGTAACATGTCCAAACAAACCAAGAAATATCTTGCCTCATGTGCGGCCACCAGAAGCGTTCGGCGATCAAGGCGGTCATAGCATAGAATCCCCTGTGAGCAATGTTGTTGTGGGCGGCAGTGAGAATTGTGATCTGACTAGAGGGGGCTGCAACAATCTTGTGTCGACCGTGCGAGTCTTTTCTCCAAAGCTTGTCAGCTGTGATAAAGAACTCAGTGCAATATCACAGAAACATCGTATATTTGGAGTCGGAGAGAGAAGGGGGCCAAACCAATGTTCGATGCCAGTCGCAGACCAACCATAGGTGTTCTTTGGCTTCCAAAGCTTTTTGCAATCTTAGGATATCTGAATAGTCGATGGTCGGGCCTTCATCATCGGACTCGGTATTGGTCGGGAGGTCGCCTATGAGCGAGGAGGTGAAGATGGCGGTTGTTGAGGTTGAGATGGAGGTAGGGAACATGTTGTTGATCTGATGGAGGAAGCCATAGAGATTGTCGATCCAGTCGTCAAAGTCGTCTTTGGGTTCAGGTCGATCAGAGGGTTGTGGTAGTTGTCGGGAGAGGCTATCGGGGCCGTGAGAGGTGCCGGGGACATGGACAAGTGTGAAATGGAAGGTGAGGATGGAGACAATCCACCAATTAATGCTAGCGCTAGGTTCAAGATCCGGGTTAGTGAGCATGCCCTTTGACTATCAGGTTCCGAATGCCGATGAGGTACATTTTGAGTGATCGGAGGGCACGGAAGAGTCCGTAGAGTTCGAGCTTGGGCTGGGAGAATCACGATTCGCGGTTGTTAAGGGTGATGGAGCCAAATCAGGCATAGTACCAAATCTGCAGATTGTTGAGTGCACATTGACAGAGGTGGAAGCCGACTGCAATTTGTGAGGTATTGACGGCGAGGATGACATTGGCTGCCAAACTATAGTCAATTGGCCAAAGGGCTGGCAATTCAAGAAGTGCCAACCAGAGGTTGTCCTGGGCCGCTATCTGGTCTGGGCCAAACACAAATGGGCAATCTTTGCGTGTTAACATTGTCAGTGCGTGCGCTCTGTGTGCAAAATTCCGAATGAAGATCTGAACGACACCGATTGTCCCCAAAAATGCCTGAACATCTGAGAGATCCCAGTAAGGTCCCCACTTCATAATTGACTCTACCCTAGACTCGTCAGGCAATCCTCCTTCGTACATGCAGTGATGGCTGACCACTGTGATTTCGGCTGTGCAGAGTGTTGCCTTGTGTCCTGAAAATGTTCCTCCACTATACTTTATCCACTGAAACACCCAATTGAGGCCTTGAAAGTGCTCCCATACAAACTGTTGTATGCTGGGGTTGTTGGGATGCATTTCAAAACCTCTGTTTGGAAGTTCATATTGGGTCAGTGGGCCCCGAATTGGGACATTGTCGATGAAAGGAATGGTCATGTCTGGGATCTCTGGCTGGAGGATGTGGGTGACGTCATCGTGGAAGATCAGGACCGAATTTGTCCATCCCATGGGTAGGGTGATGAGTCAGTGGGCACCAAATGGGGTCTGGAATGTGGTGAAGTTGCGAGATGATTCGGCAAGCCCTTGTTTGTTGTATCCGACATAGAGATTCAGAATGCCGCCACAAGCGCAAGCTGCAAACTGTTCAGCGATTTGATTGGTATATGGGGGCACACCTGAATGCTGGATGGTGATGGCGTTCAGGGGTTCGAGGCTGTGAACGATTCGGAGTTTGGTGCCAGTGAAGGTGCTGTTACGACTGCTCGTCGGTAACCCCAAGAGTAGGAGGTTCTTCCCTAGGTCACTCGTGGAGGATGTGTGGAACGGTGGTCTCAACTGTACGTGTAGCACAGGAGCCAGAAGTGTATTGCGTTATAGCAATGAAAGGTACTGTAGGAAGACAGTACTGAACGAAGGTTCCTGTATGTGGAGATACAGGAGAACGAAGAGAATAGACTGAAGATCGTCAGCCTATTCTATGGGCCTTTTATACTACTTTGGGAAGTAGGGCGTGGGAATACCGAATATGTATCTGTAGGTATTCTCTAAGTCGTCTCTCTCAATAACGACTACTCTTGTGCTTCTCCGTTGGTCCCCTTCCGGCCAGGAGAGACTAGGAGGTTCATGCCCTGCGTGTGAGTAATTTATAAGGCGGCGTTCCATGCCCGCTAATACAATAGGCCCGTGATACTCGACCAACGATAAGGTGATCCGTTGGGAGTGGATGACCAAGGTTAATATCTGTACCTTGGTGTACGCCTCAACCTGTGAGGCCGCGTGATATTTGTGATGATCGTATCGGAATAGACCGCCGTGTAGGCCCGATAGAACGTGATCATAACAATACCCCCTTTCTACGTCCTATTCGCCTGGTAGGACCACGCCTTGCGTGTCATCGCCACTCCATATACGATTTGCTTTCTTGATCCAACGATGGTCTCCGGATGCGACTTCCGGGACATGACTTCGTTTTCTGGGAGGAAGACCGACTTACGTCGTTTGATCCTCTAGGAGTTTTCCATCTCCGTCGAGCTGTTTGTTTGTTGAGTCGTGAGGGTACCACACCTCCGCTCTATGGGATGTTCTTCCTTCACCCCTCGGTTGTTGTGATCTTTCCTGGGTTCTCAAACCAGGATGTCAGTCCGGTCGACGCCGGACAGGTGTCAAGAAAGGCGTATGAATGCGAGTGGTGTGTGGATGAATAGAAACTCTAGCGTGTGGGTTCCGATTCGTGTCATCAGGTTCTTCTTCTTCCTTCTCCGAGGGCCAAACCTCAGTGTTTCCAGGATAGTCGTCTATCCTCATGATTTGTTGTTCCTCTTGACGACAGTGGATGGCGCCCATGGACAAGTAGGTTGATCGCTTTACAAAGGCTTAGGCCTACTTCTCCAGGCTACCAGTCATGCCGCCCCAAGCAGTATCGCTCCCATACGGTGAGCTCATCTCCGGTGAGGTTGCAGCCAAATCCCAAGCAGTATTGTCCCCATACGGTGGACTCATCTCCGGTGAGGCAGTTTACGGCGTCCAGAGTTTGTTTTTCACAAACGTGGGCCTATGGTGGGGAATACCACGTGTAGTGTTGGGTTCGAGGCAAGGATGTGAAGAGAATTAGACTTGAAGGGTGCAGCGAGGAATAAGGAGGAGTCTGACTCCTTTTCCAAGTCTGCCCGTTCGCTTGCACGAATGGACATCTAGACCACAGCTGATATATTTGTCGGGTTTGCGAGATATATCCACGACTGGCAGTTTAAAACGTCATGCGGGACGGTCCGTAGTTTATCGTCGTTTCGGACGATCCGTAGTTTATCGTCTTTGCGGACGTCCTTCATCATCAACATGGAATATCTGTGGGGAAAGATGTTTCTGCACGCCGGAATTTCCATCGGTGATGTGCATAGGGCCATAGACCAGACTTTGCCCGCTCCAGATTCCACTGAGGTATGATGGACGGTTTATACTATATCAAACCGGATAACTTGTAACGCCTCAAAGTTATGAGACCGCTCAGTTTAACGCCGTGAGGTAGGCGGACCTGCAGTTTAACGCCGTGCATTAGGCGGCCTTGCAGTTTAACGCCGTGCGATAGGCGGACTATCGTCTGACTATGTCCCTCGAGTCACGATAGACTTTTCCTCCGAGGATGAGGGTAGTTTAATGTCGTTTCGGACATTATCAGCGTCGTTCTCGTCAAGGACGACGTTGATGATGATCCCTATACTGAAAAAGGGACGAGTAGTTTAATGTCATTTCGGACGATTCAGCACCAGAGTGATGAATCACAACTCCTGTACGGTAAGGAGCACGTAGTTTAATGTCATTGCGGACCGATTGACACCATGGCGGTCAATCCACAACTCCTATTCGGTAAGGAGCAATAGTTTTCCGTCATTGCGGACGCATTGGCGGCCAGGGGATTGGACGTCAATGACAACCCCTAGGTTCAGGGGCACCTAGTTTAACGTCGTCGCGGACGCGCGGTATCTTGTCAAGATCGCCACGCACAATCCCTAGAAACGAAGGGACGGTAGTTTTACATCATTGCGGATGCCCGTAGTTTATCGTCGTTGCGGACGTCGATGCCATTGGCCTCGAACAATCCCTATGTGGAAAGGGACAATAGTTTAGCGTCATCGCGGACGTTGTTTCGCCACAAATATTGTGGAAAAACAATGCTTAGTTTAACGTCATCCCGGACGCTTCGTAGTTTATCGTCGTTGCGGACGAGACCTAGTTTTACGTCGTCGCAGACGATTGGCGGAATAGACTTCGGATGAGTGGCCCGCTCTGGTCGTTCTTCCGCTATGTGGGCCAGATGAGAGTCGCGTGATCTAGTCCCTTCCTACTAGATTTTCGACTCGAGGCACGTGTCCTAGTTGCCTCCTGACTAGGTCTTGGAGCGGAATTTCTTGTACTTCGACTCCAGGACTAGACTGAGCGCTCCATGAAGAGATGCTTGCTCTTCCATGTCCCCAGACCCCTCGCTTGGATTTGAACCAAGACGACCCGATATTCTTTTACCGAAAAGCGAGTGAATATCGGAAGCGCTTCGACCTTTTATAGGCAGGGTTCTGTGACGCGAGTCCTTCCGCGCTTCGCCAGAATGCAACCACGCTCCTTTGGTCAATGGTAGTTTAACGTCATCTCGGACAGGGATAGTTTTCCGTCGTTTCGGACGAGGACTAGTTTAACGTCATTGCGGACCCTAGTAGTTTATAGTCATTGCGGACCAAGCCTTTGGTAGTTTTACATCGTTCCGGATGTGTTTTGTGGCCTCGCATCATTAGGAAGACTTGTGAGGTAGAGGCGGCCCGCTCTCTACATCATCTCATGCGCCAGCTGTAGGATCCCCTAATGCGGAAACGATCCTGTAAAACGGGAGATCCAAAGTGGGACGTCCCAAAACACCAGTCAGACCTTGACTGTGAGGGTTCACGATACGAGTTATGCATCATAATTTCTTGACTCGGACTTGCAACCGGTTATGTATGGGCACTTCGCTGTACCAAGGCGAAGGGCCTGCTTGTCGACACCTACGAGTAGAGTATATGTCATGTAGAGGGTTCCCTAATGCGGAAAAAACCCTGTAAAACTGAGGATCCAAATGGGACGCTCGATGCATCTGTCAGATTAACTCCTTGACAGCGAGGATGTGAAAGGATTCCGCCGTAGGTCGTACGTGGAATTATGCCCGCTGTTGTCCTTGATTCGTACCATCATTTGAACCTAGGACTGAAAATGGTCAGGTACTTCCCCTGCCTTCTTATCTTTTCACAGTTTTTTAAGACATGCAGGTCCGATAGTTTAGACGTCATTCCGGACGCGCGGTAGTTTAACGTCTCTTTCGGACGAGGTCGTACAGTTTAACGTCTTGAGGGACGATCCTAGTTTTACGTCGTTGCGGACGATTGTAGTTTTACATCATTTCGGATGCGTTTTGTCAGGGGAAGGAGTTCCTCAACTTCCTTACCCCCTTTCTTCTCCCTATGCCCTGTTATTAGTTCGTTTAATAATCAAAAGGTCCTTGATAATCCCCGCCCCCTTCGTCAGGTCGGTAGTAGGGGTCCGCGTCGTCATAATTCCCTGGATCGTCTAGAGCATCCCATGCGTCGAGCTCGGATCTAGTCCAAGAGCTATTTCTTCGAGCCTCCGAATCAGCGCGGCGAGTTCTGCGGCTACTTCGGTTATCCTCTCTTTCGTTCGTACGAAATCGAGCACTAGGAGGAGGCGATCCAGGCCGGTGTCGAATACTCCGGCCAGCAGTTGTTCCGCGTCCGAGGGTTGCCTGGTTTCCCCGACTCCGCCTTCCCTCATTTCTTCGATAGACGGGCGGTTCCTCCTCGTCGGTATTTCCTTGGGATAAGGGAAAACTTCGTATCCGGTGAGAGGGGGGAGTCGCGGTATGGCTATGCGCTGTAGGAACCTCTCGTTGTCTCGGTGGAGGGCGCTCCACGACCGTACGCGGAACCCTTCTTGGATTTGGTACAGGCGTGGGATGTTCTCCGGGACGTGGTACGTTCCAAGTGACAACTCGGAAAGGGTCGGTTCTGCTTGGTTGGACGTTTCCCAGTTCTCCTCCGAAGAGGAGAGCTGGAAGGAGCTCTCGGTTGACATATTGGGAGAACTCGTCAGGGTGGATGAGGAGGGCTCGGGGTCGCCCGTCATTATGGGCGTACCAGGAGGCTGTGTCCGGGTCGGTTTGGAGGGCAAGCGTCCTGATCTGGAGACTGGCACTAGCCAGTCGTCGAGGTACGTCGCTATGTTCATTCCCGGGTTGTCCTGCCGAGAAGTTAGCGAGTCTTTGGAGGGCCATGGCTGTGGCCATTTGTATTACCGCGGAGATGGTGTTTCGCTGGAGGAGCGCGTCCGCGTGTCGCTCCAGTTCTCCGGTGTGAGGATCTGTACGAGGGGTAGGTCCTCCCATGGAGCTGGGAATCGGTCCACTAGTTGGTACTGGCGGAGGTGCAGTTTCTGATAGAACTGGTATCGGTTCAGCTTCTCCATGGCCTGGG